ATGGACATGTGGTATTAAGGTCTCGCTTCGCAGAGACCTCTCTATATCGACCAGAATGATGAACAGAGAAAGTGGCGTACAATAAGTTACGGCATTATCGGGTCGTCTGTGCCCATTCCCCACACAGAAGCCCCATTGCGCTGCGGGTTCGTTCAATTTGGGGTCAACTTCACATGTCGCCGCAGTGCTCACTGCTCAGTGCTCACTACGTAGTACGTACTTCTAAATGGGATGGTCGTCAGAATATGGATCATCAACTTCAAAGACAGACAGACCCAAGGAATGCCCGTCGGGATAGTCGCGTCTAGATCGTCTCTACTGTTCTGCCTGCATCGACACCGGCTGTGCAGACGACGGGGCGTTGGTCGAATGATCACGGAAATAAGAATTGGCAATGTCCATGGGAAAACGTCGAGTCCGGAGCATCCTCTGCATGGATCACCATGGCCGGAGTGGAAGATAGCCGCAGCAATCCCGGCGCTTACCAAGCCAACTAACATTTTGACTGAATTGTGCCCGCAGCCATGAACCACAAGGTTTGGAGGTACGGTGAAATCAAACGTGCTAAAGTCACTACTCGAGCCAAAAAACGAAGCAACAGAATGCTGATCAGCCTGGGGGCCAGATCTTTTCGATCCATGGAGTGACGTCAATGCTTCCCCATCCGGTGGCCTCCAGTCTGAGCGGACCCCTTTCTTTTTCCTTCTTTTTTTTTCTGCTTTTCGCACGGACGCACGGATGACGCTCGGGCTTTGCAGGCGGCGACAACATCAACGATTATTTGGGCCATGTAGGCATTTTCAATACTCAGTGCTGGCTCTACTACTGAATGCACGGCACCGGACTGACAGGGCCAGGTAACGAGAATCTAAAGAGTCTTCACTTCAAATATTTTGTTCACCGTGACTTGTGACACTAACTACGTATTTTTGAGTAGACCTACTTCTTCTTGACTTCTTACTAGTGCAATTGTCGCAGTGTCCGAGTCGAGTTGATATACACCAATCGGGCAAATACGCCATCGATGGGATGTACCTGCAATGACGGGCCATTCTGGGCAAACGCGATGACGAAATTTGGTGGACGGGCCGTGGTGAGTGGCGATGCACATTCCCGATTCCTCGAAAGGTGCCATGTTACACAAACACTTCCCAATGTCTGTAGTCCTGCACTGTGTATGAATCTCGAGTCCAGTATCTGTCTCCAGACCCAGAAGGAGATTAAAATTCATTACCACGTACGAAAAAGATGTGTAGTACAGAATAACTTATGGTAAGTTTTATGACTTGTCTATGTGTTGATGTTCACGCACGCCGGGTAATTGCCAGCTAAGACTCGAGGAGGAATCACTTTACTTCGGTCCCACTAGACTCAGTCCGCAGTCTATACATGTTGGGTGGTGGCTATAACTACAGCAAAGGAAAGCAGAGAGAGAGTGACACTCCACGAGATGTACGAAAGCTCGACAGCCTACGCTTTTGTACCTCGCCGGGATCGATCAGTGAGACTGGCGACTGAAATACGCAATTGGATCTATTATGCGGCACGCAAAGCGACCGGCGGGTTCCTCTCGCGAATGATCCTTGCTATGTACATTTGGGCGTCCTTCATTTAACTTTTTTTTTCTCCCACCCACGACCTAACGACGGACGAAGGGGTCGCGGCGCTGCTGCCAAGAGCACCCTAGGGCATCGACGGGTTCCCATAGGCTCATCCGTCACGTCAGAGAGCCAAATGAGGGTGAGAGGATGCGTGACGCAAAGCAAGATTGCTTGCTCATATCAGAATCGTCGTTTCATAGTATATGCCTATATGGTCGAATCGATCAACGTACGGTAGAAATTCAGGTAAGTATTGGTGGTCGGGTACTATCCGTACTGAACAGTGAACCCATGGACAGAGGATGTAATATTTGTCCCCTCGCTACCGTGCTAGTACTACTGTAGTACTACGGTGGCTCCAAGGACCATGAACCTAGTCCCGACCAGCAATGCTCGTGGCCCAAAGAGGCACCTGAGCGGATCATCACCTCAACTGAAACAGGGTTGTCGCTGAATTAAAGATTGATCTAACGGACGCAGCGACCACGGTCCTGATGGTCTCGTTGGGGACAGGAGCCGTCCATATAGCAGCTTTAACAGAAAGCAGCCGAAGTAGACTCGTTCCAAAGACGAATGTGCGACCGTCCGATTGGAGCTGTCGATTTGGATATTGTTTAATCTTGTTCACCAATGTCCAAACGTACTCGTAGCGACAGACGCGCAAAAAGCAACCATGCTACTTTCTCTCGGACCGACACGCCGTCGAGAGGGAGAGGCCCGTCCGGGTCAGCTTTGATCTCATTCGTCTTTCGCCCGCGAAGTAACCGAGAGCATGCGCGATGGGACTCTGGTACAGCGGAGGGTGCAAGGGTGCAAGGATGCAAGGATGCAAGGGTGCAGGTACAAGTGTATGTACAAGTGACCAAGCGTACGTGATTGGTCTGCAGGAGGACGACGCAGTCGCACTACCTGACTCGCCGAGGGCAAGTGCGGTTCTGTACATGCGATGGGACCCTCTGGCTACCACATAACCAATGAACCACAGTGAATCGTCGCCAGCACCGAGCAGTAGCGTAGTCATGGATATAGTTCGTAGTTTAGGAATTAGTAGTGTAGCGAGTGGTGAGTCGTGATAACCCGCCGACGCACAACAGCCAGTCAGGCCCGTTCGAGCAACTGGATCATCGGCTGCTTGGCGCTGGGTCAAAATTGCCACTGATAATATGACTATTTCGATGGGACTGCTCCATCACATCGATCGTTGCACTTGGCACTTTGCACGCATGACGAGCGAGTCGTGAGTCGTCAATCCTCATGGAGTGTATGGACTATGGAGTATGGACTGCAAAACTATCATCATCTCACAAGGTCTCCACCCTCTCTCTCCACCTAGACGCCCGGGTAAACTGCACACTGGCCACACTGGCCACACTGCGTGCCTGTCACCGGCTCGATGCTAGGGGAGGTCGTACAGAGTCCACAGGCAGGAGAGTCGATCGCAAGGACCCGACGGCAGAGAAACACGGGTCCGTCGGCGAGTCGGCGAGTCGGCCGAAGCAGCGGGACCTTCGCGCCATGACCGCCTTCTCTGATTCCCAAGAACCTCCAGCTACAGCACGCCGTACGCTGAGTTCGGTTGGGTTGGACACTGTCGAGAGCCGTGGAAGATGCAAAGCTCGGAGGGAGTTGATGATGATCTTGGTCGGGGAGAGAGATTGGCCATTCGGTAGAGTGTATTGGACTGCTCCGATTGGAAAACGACTTAGCAGTTCATCAAGTCCATACTGCGTGAGTACGCTGATGAAGTGGTAGTCATCAAACCCATCCGGCCTACGAAGGGCAGACCAACTGTGGAGTCGGACCCGACAAGTGGACTTGGACCGGGTCCCAGGAAGGACTAGTGGCAGACTGTCTGCAAAGTCAAACCAGATGCACAAGTCATGACCGAGTGTAATGGTAGTACGGTATCTACCGGGTCCGCCACGACTCTGACCAGGCGCTTCTCCGAGAACTTGGTAACAGTACGCCACCAGTTTTCAATACTGGACGAGCCGGACCCACCAGCGCGGATCGCCCAGTCAAACTGGGTATAGTGACTAGCTCGACTGACTAGTGTTGAATCAGAGGGGGCCATCAAGCAAATATTGCCAGAAACAATCCTCGATGATCGGGCACATCTATAGAATTAAGAGGGTCTCCAATATGGACATCTACATTGCATCCTCGAGAGAGATCCGAGACCAAATCTCCAGACCGAAGAAGGATCATTCTCATACGAACAACATCCCCTCCCCCCCCCTCTCTCTCTCTCTCTCTTTCTCTCGTCGGTCGCGCGATCGTGACAACAGATTGGCCGACGTGCATGTCCTAGTACAGTAGTGTTGCCCGCTTGCATTCCCACTAGGCCAGAACGATTACCCCCCTTTTTGCTCAACGCTGGAAGGCGAACATCGATTGCTCCCACGGTCTCGGTGGTTGTCCCTCTGACCGGTTAGGACACGGCGCGGATAACTGGATACGCCCAGCCTGAGATCACCGCGCACTGGGCAGAAAAGCCCTCGGGGCTGTCGGCGCGCTCCATATTGGGCCAACCCGAGTCCCACGAATTCACGTCCCCCCCCCCCAAGTCACTCTACCGGCGGTGGGGACCTCCCCAATTCTTGCGGGCAAACCACTCTTCGACATCGTGACAATATTCCTCCACCCAACCCAACCCAACCTTCGACCTCCCAACCTCCCCTCCCTCCCCCCTCCCTCCCTTGTCGACTCATTCTGGCCTTTCCATCGTCTCGTTGTCGCTCCCAGAGCCTGTGAAGAATCCTGTTCAAGAACCTTGTCATTCTATGTTGGTACATTTCTTCTGAAATTGTTCGCCTATCTCCGATCTCTCCGATTTCGCTACAATCCCTCCCACCAACCCCCCTCTCCCTCTTTCTCTCTCCCCGGACGGGCACGATTCGACCACATCCCTCACGCCTCCCCGCCTATATATAGCAGCCGTCGGCCGGTCGCAGATCACTGGGGAATCTCACCTGCTGTGTCCCACGACGTGCCGAGGGGAAATTCCCGAGTCGCTCGTGCGGTAGCCGGTCTACCTTGATCGCCTCTGCATCATCCCGAGCTCGTTCGACAACTCGAGCCCCTCCCTCCCTCCCTTCGGCGGGCCTGTTGTCCGGTACACACGGCGCCCGCACATCACAGCTATATACCGTTCTGCCCTGCGCTCAGAGTAATGCCGGTTCATTCTTGCGTGCTTCCATGAGCTATCAATCAGCTCCTTCTGAAATCGACGTCCAGACCGACCAAGTTATTCACACATGTGTAAGGAGGACCATGCTCAACTGTAACTTCGGTAAACTCGGCCCGCATCCTTGAAGCTTTCCTTTTCTATCAGAAGGGCGATAAAATTTCCATCCAACAAACACACAACCCTGGGAGGGAAACACCCTGGACTTGGTGATGACAGATCAAACGAGGTTTACGGTACGAGTGGATGAGGCCGATGAGGCGCCGCCTCGGCATAGCGGCGCCAGGGACTCGAAACTCGAAGAGATTCGGCCCATTCAGTCGCAATCAACTGCCGCCACCTGCGCGGCCGACGACAAACCCGGTGTCGGTACGAAGACACACAACGCGCCTTTGCCCTTTACCGCCGCCGACCTGTCCGAAGCCCAGAAGTCCCTGCGCCAAGCATTTCCCCACGTCTATACGACCTCTCGAGCCGCGTCCATTCGCTCATCGTCCAGCTCACTACAGGCACTCAACGAAGATACAGTGGTAGATGCCCGCTCTCATCTGGGCAATCTTGGACGTGTCTCTCGGCGGTCATCACGGCACTCGGATCATCAACCGGAATACCCCGTCTACCCAGATCAGTCTTATGCGTCACTTCAATCCCAAGTTCATCCCACATGGGGGCTGCCACCCCATCTGCGCTCACAAAGTACACACTCGACCCCCGCTTCGGCGGAAGCAGTGCCACGGTTCCCTCGCGCCGCTCGCACGGCCGGCAACACTCCGGTCTCAAGCCCTGGGCTCTTCTCCATGAGGAGCCCGCGCACAACGCCTCTCGGTTCTGATGAGGAGGGTTCGGTGGGTAGTCCCTACCTGCACCCGTCACACTTGCAGCCACCTAAAGAGACCCATACCGCCGAGGTAGACCGGGATTCGAAGACTGGCAATAAACTTATCAACCAGTATGAGATCTTGGAGGAGCTCGGTCGTGGTGAACATGGCAAGGTCAAACTAGGTCAGCATGTGGCTACCAAGCAAAAGGTCGCAATTAAGATTGTGCAGCGATACTCCAAACGCCGTCGCCTGGGGAAGCTCGGCAATCCCGAAGACAAGGTTAAGAAAGAGGTGGCCATCCTCAAGAAGGCACGACATCCAAATGTGGTCAGTCTGTTAGAGGTCATTGATGATCCGAATCGACAAAAAGTCTACATCGTCTTGGAATACGTGGAGAACGGGGAGATCGTATGGCGAAAGAAGGGCCTTCGTGAGATTGTTCACGTGGACAAACTTCGACTCGAGCGAGAGAAAAACGGTGTCCCCGACACGCCAGCCTTCCTCGAGGAAAGCCATCAGTTCATTCGGACCGCGCAGCACCTCCGCCGTCAACGCGAGCGAGCGAGAGAAAGGATTGAAGCGCAAGCCGCCGATGCCCAGCAGGGGCCGATTCCTGCATGGAGTCTAGAACACGGTGCCGAGTCGTCCGATGAGGAGGAGGACGACCTGTTTCTCACTATGAAGAAGACCAGCTCCCGATCCAATCAGTCAAATGCACTCTCTGACGAAAGCTCATCAAATCATCTGTCCGCACAAGACGCCCTTGCTGCGGTTGAAGGAAGCATGTACGGCGCCTATATGGACTACCCCTTTGAGCGGCGCTTTAGCACGGCATCTAGCAGTTTTGGGTACCCTCCTTCGGAACCTGAGTGGTCAACTGACACCGATGACCTTTCCTACGTCCCTTGTCTGACTATCGGGGAGGCGCGTAACGCTTTCCGTGATTCTGTCCTGGGGTTGGAGTATCTTCATTATCAAGGGATCATTCATCGAGATATCAAGCCTGCCAACCTTCTGGTCACCGCTAGTCACCGTGTGAAGATTTCCGACTTCGGCGTCTCTTACTTGGGTCGCCCGATGCGCGATGAAGAGGAGGAACAGGTAGGGGAAACCGACGCCACCGAGCTGGATGATGCGCGGGAGCTGTCCAAAACTGTGGGAACCCCAGCATTCTATGCCCCAGAACTCTGCTATACTGGCGATGATTTCGTCGACAATATCGGGGCTGTACCAAAGATTACGGGCGCTATCGACGTCTGGTCCCTGGGTGTCACCTTGTACGGAATGATCTTTGGCCGTCTGCCTTTTCTATCCGACGATGAGTACAGCATGTTTCAGACTATTGTCAAGAAAGAAGTTTTCGTTCCGAGAAAACGACTTGTGCCCGTCAAGGACGACACCTTTTCCAGTTCAAGTCATCGGTACTACCGGCAAACCGATGAGCTCACGTACGAAGACATTGACGATGAGTTGTACGACCTTCTCCACCGACTTTTGACCAAGGATCCTGTCAAGCGAATCACCCTCAAGGAGATCAAACATCATCCGTGGACTTTGAAGGGACTCCCCAACCCGCAGGCCTGGGTGGAGGAGACCGATCCTGGGTACCAGAGCAAGGGCAAGAAGATCGAGGTCTCCAATGAGGAAGTCACCAGTGCCGTCAGTAAGGTCCCTTTTATTCAGCGTGTGCGATCCAATGTGGCGAAATGGTTCTCTGGCCGGTCCAAGGACAAGGAAGGCCATAAACACGGTTCAAACAATTCCTCCGATACCTTGTCATCCATCTCAAGCACAAGCACTTTTGGAAAGACATCGCGAGAAAGCCGTCGCTCCAGTCTACGGGGTGATGAGGATATCCACCGGTCATTCAAACACATCGCACACGGGGAACACCCTCTCGCTCAGAGTGTTACTGCCAGCCCTGTCGAAGACAACGCACCGTGGGCTTCCTACTTCGATACTCTGCCTGGCGCAGCCAGCAAGCCTAGTACACCCACTACGACAGCACTGCCGACCAGGCCAGGTCCTCCCCGTCGGGCCAAGTCATCCATGTCTACCGCTGAATCGACCAAGACTGTCAAACAGGGCACGATAGATTCCGTGCACTCCCATTCGCGCACAAGCACGCATTCGATCATCGATGCTCTGGGCACTACCAATTTTGGTAGTCTGTTCAGTGGTGCTAGTCGGCGCGTCTTCACATCAAGCCGTAGTAGACGAGGCTCGCCTTCGAGTGACGCGGCCGCTGTGGCTGCCTTGGACACGGAATGTCACGCAGAACCGACACTTGCCTTGAGCAATGCGTCTGCGGTTGGTCAGGTGCGGACCTCGGGACTATGGCATACACCCTCTGAATCCCCGAACGAGAGTTCCGCACCGGCTGGTCATCGACGTAATCAATCTCAGCAACTCGCAGGGAAGACGTCTGCGGAGTCCTTTCACTTGACCCGCGACGCTTTGATTCGCCGTCGAAGGAGTGATGCTCATGCTGGGTTGGACGAGGTCCATCCTTTGGCTCATCGTGTTGACTACGCAATGTATTCAACTGAGTCACTCGCACTTCCTCCCCACATGACCCCCGCCCCTGCTGCTCATGCGGCCCTTCCAGAATCAGTATCCTCTGCCGACGCGGCAAGCACCGTTCTTAATAAGTCGACGCCGTCTGCAGGGACAATCTCATCCTCGTCGGCTGACGACTTCACCAGTGGCATGTCCCAAAGTGCCTCTCATCCGAGTATTCCGTCTGTGGTATCTGGTGCCTCTTCCCTATCAGGCGACGGGCTATATACGGGCTCTCGAGAGAAGGAAGTGGAGGCCAAAAGCCCGATTCCGTCCATCTTGCGAACTGGTGAAACCGTCAAAGCTCGTCCGCTAGGGTCACCGCGCCCTGAAGAGGATGAATCGAGGTACTACTGCGATGATGAGAATGAGACGGATTCAGATGACGAGGTTCTCATCATTGGCCGCAAGAAACCTCTTCCCAAGCCAGAAGCCAAGCCCACAGCTCACTCATGAGCGCGCCTTTGCTATGCACTCGCCTTTCTTCTCCCTCGCCCCCGTCCTGTTCATCATTTCACCTTTCCCTGGCTTCCAGGTTCTCCTCGACAGCACTTGTCTTGTGAGGTCAAATGTACATCATATCTTACCTTTTATCTGGACTCCCTTCCGCCAGTCAATGTTGCCCTATTCATCAGGGTTTAGAGACTATTTTCAGACATCATATTCTTCACGTCTTTGTACATTTACAGACCTGTTCATTCTTCCAAACTTGCACCACCATGGTCCTGACCAATACGTTTATGGTCGGGTTGGTCACAGCTCGGCGTATGACTTACCCGCTTCACTTTTTATCTTTGCCCCCTTCTACTTATATGTAATGTTGTTGAGCTGGAGTTTGACAGAAAGACCTTTACGGACATGCGCTATATTTCTGTGCAGGGGCAGAATTACTGATTGCGTGATACCAGACTGGATTTGGAATTGGCAGAGATCCATGGGCATTCGGCTTTTCTGCTACGATGATCGATATATGATGAATGACACCGGAAGAGAGGATTGATTGTTTTTCAACTTCTTGCCTATGTCCCTGAGTACACTTGATGTTCAGGAAGCTGACTGAATACCTGGATTGTACACTTTTCAATTACTAGAGTTGTATAGTCAACCAGGCCCGAGCCAGACCTGCTTGATGTAGATATTTATGAATACGGGAAGCCACACTTTCTTTCCACACATCCTAAGGTAGCTGTGTGACTGTGCACTATGCACTATGCAGTACCTACCTATCAGTGATGCTTGCTGCTCGAGGCGTGCATGTGTGAGTATAAGGTTACGGGCTGTCTGCAAAGAAATCTCACTACCATCTGACAGTCTCCGTGAAAAGGCACACGTGGAACTAGCGGTCGATACATGGAATCCTTTATACTTTTTCTAACTCGTGCCAGTAGACTCAGGGACAGCAAAGTGAGTCGATCGCAAATTCGTGACGAGCATGTGACCCTAGTATTCGGTCAGATACCAAAGAGTGGAGCGCGCAATTTACTACTATTACTCTGTACTCTGTAGTCATCACTGTTGAGGCTTTTGCCTATGAAGATATTGTGTGCGCCATCAAGAGTCCTTTGCCATACGTCACATGGTCCGCAAAGTCGGCCTCTGTGTTGACTATCTTCCACCAATGGCAATAGGAAGTGTTCCGAATCATGGGCTAGAATGCGGATTGACGACGACATATGAGGGCCCTCGTGGAGTGCTCAGAATGACCATGTGATTATGGCTTGAGATTCACGCGAGGTTGAGTCTTCTGTAGAACGGCGGTGAAAACGACCGACCTCATCATCCCGATTTCTCGGTAGAGTGAGGACTATGTCCTCATCCGCTTGGAGCTGACCCGAGAACATCACAGAAACTATTCGCATACAACAGTCGGAATGCCAGACAGAAACACCAGTCACCCTGTCGAGGAATTCTCTCCTGCGATGATCTTTCTCCGGAAGGAGTCGACTCCAGTGAAAGCCAAAAGGCAACCTGAGGCATATCTCCGGCGGACGGTTTCTTCAGCAATTCTTCAATGACAGGGATTATCCACTCTACCCCGCGGTGCACCGGTTGTTTCACGATGCAGACTAATCCTATCCAGGCCCGTACCTCAATTTCTCTATATTCTGCCGAGAATTATGAGAGGCTCGGTCGCAGTGCAAGCCTAACAGTTCATCCACTATTCCCAAACTGCGCAATTTCGCGGTGGGCACGCGCCGGAGAGCGCTGGAGCAAAATGACCCCATTTCTTGTTCCGGCTTGACCAAACGTGCCAGTTCCACCTATAGAAGTGACTGAGACAATACGGAACACAGGCTACTTGGTGGCCAGGCGAGGTAGATTGGGTGGGGATCTTTTTGACCCTTTCTTTACATCAACGATCAACGGAGTGATAGGGAGAAGAGAGTTTGGGATCCTCTGTCAGTTCTCTCAGTCTGAGCTTTTTCCCTTCCCTTTACACCTGCTCGACCTTGTACATCAAAATGCGGTTGACAACGGTCTTGCTAGCTGCAGCTCAGCTGCTGGCCCCGGTCGCGGCCAAGTTGGCCATCCGCGGTGCGGACATCTCCTCGTTGCTGGTGGAAGAAAGTGCCGGGTACTCGTATAAAAATCTCGGTGGAGCGACGCAGAAGTTGGAGGCCATCGTGGCTGGTGCAGGCATCAACTCGGTCCGTCAGCGAGTGTGGGTGAATCCCAGTGGCGGCACTTATGACTTGGACTACAATGTCAAGCTTGCAAAGAGGGTCCAGGCCCAGGGGATGAGAACTTACTTGGATCTGCACTTGAGTGATACATGGGCTGATCCTAGCCATCAGGTACGCTGTGTGGTTTTTTGCATGGAAAATGAAAAGGGAAAGGCCGAAGACAGTTTGATATATGTGCTAATCTGTCTCATGACATTGCTTTAGGCAACCCCTTCGGGTTGGTCCACGAGCAGTATCGATGACCTGTCATGGCAAGTGTACAACTATACCAAGGAAGTCTGCGACACTTTTGCCGCGAATGGCTTGACGGTTGATATCATCTCCATCGGCAACGAGATCCGCAGCGGTTTGCTCTGGCCTCTTGGCGGTACAAGCAGCTACTACAACATCGGCCGCATCCTGCACTCCGGCGCATGGGGAGTCAAGGACTCAGAGTTGGCCAGCAAACCCAAGATCATGATCCACCTCGACGATGGCTGGTCCTGGTCCCAGCAGCAGTACTTCTACAACTCTGTCCTCAAGAGCGGATCAGACTTTGTTCTCTCCGACTTTGACTACATCGGCGTGTCATACTACCCGTTCTACAACGCGGGCGCGACCCTATCGGCATTGAAGACCAGTCTGACCAACCTTCACTCCACATATGGCAAGGAGGTCCTGGTCGTCGAGACGAACTGGCCTTTCTCATGTCCTTCCCCCGCATACGCGTTCCCATCGGATCTCTCGTCGATCCCGTTCTCGGTCGCTGGGCAGCAAACCTTCCTGCAGAACCTGGCGTCCGTGGTCGCAGCGGTTCCGGGTGGACTGGGAGTGTATTATTGGGAGCCGGCTTGGTTGAACAATGCCGGCTTGGGCAGTAGTTGCGCGGACAATCTCCTGTTCAGCTGGAGTGATAAAGAGGAGCGATCGAGTTTGGTAACGCTTGGATCATTGTAAATCAAGCATTGTCTCTTGGCCGGTTGACTTTGTTCGAATGATGGTTCGTCGAGTCTGACATCATCATGTTTTATTCTTTGTGACCCCTTACTAGGTGTCGAACCTTGGCTGGCCCCTACATAGTTGATCGAATTCAATCTGTAAGGTTGATCCATTGTTGTAGGGAAATACGATGACTTCCTGCGCATGTATTCCAGCTAACAGAGCGTAGATTCGAATTGGATGTAAGATCCTTGAAGGTGTGAAATCTCCCAAGAAAAAGCAATAAAGTCCCGTCATCGATACCATCATGCTACGTTGCACGCGCAAGGCAGCAGCTTTTCCATTGTCTATAATAAGATTAGGCAACGATGTTTGGGAGCAACATAAGATTTGAAACTCTTTTGGATCGGGATTGAAGCTACTTCCATTGCGGTTGAGGCTGAGATCGCGCACTGACGGTAGCTCGAGAAGTACTAGATTTCCTTGCAGGTACTCTACGTTCCACAGCATGTCTACCTCAAGACGGATTTGCGGAAGGCAACAAGATCTTTGATGGCTTGTTGGTCGATCAATGGCATGATCTTCGAGTCAGGTTAGATTGAATGAAGGATACAGGATCCCGATCACGTCCAATTACTGCAAAATTACTATATATACGTAGTGTTACAGCCTACGACCTACGTTACTGGTGGCTATAGACCGCCGTAGCCGTAGCCGTAGCCGTAATGTTATAGAGTACTATGATATCTACCGATGACATCAATATTCTCGACTCTATATATGGGGGAGACCCCCATATACTCCCCTTCGCGGGGGACATCCCCGTGGACCCCAATCAACGTAAGTTAAATCGTACATCTACAACGTGAGTCAATACTATATAAACGCGAGTCACGTGATACGTCATCCGAGAGTCGAGACAGAAGGACCACGTGACATGAGCGGAGATTAAGACTGATCACGTAGTCGGGACAGAAGCAAACATCTTGGATACATCACGTGATGTAGTTTGGGGGCGGTCAATTCTGCCACAGCCAACCAATCAGAGCACAGGAATAAAATTCCAAGCACTTACATGAGAAGCAACTTCTCGTTCCACTCCAATTTGCAATAAGATTGCTCCATAGTTATACTAGCTTCGCTAGTAGAGGGCCAAGTAAGAAGTATATCTTCTGTAGCTATGATCAGTAATTCTTTCAAGTTCGGTACTTCGGTCGACGGTAGGAGATCAGGAATTTGCCGATTCGGAGACTCTTTTAAGTGTTACGACGGATGGCGGACTTGGTAGCTACGCGTAGCCGTAGCTTCCCGTAGCTTCCCGTAGCCGTAACGGTGCGATACTAAGCTACCTGATCCTATCAGGCTATCACAACTATACCTGCCTCACCTCCTCCCTTTTTGCTCCCTAATGCAACTTTCATGCGATTGCTCTCCGAACCCGTTTCTCGGGATCTCGTCGGCGAAGGGGAAGATTCGGGCGCATTTGGCCCGAAGACTCCACTTTACGGATATCACAATCTCGTCGGCAAAGGGAAGATTCGGGCGCATTTGGCCCGAAGACTCTACTTTACGGATATCCCGAAGTCGCTCAGCCATTCGCTTATGAACGAACACTTTGAAGTGGTCTAGAGGCTAAACATGGGAGCTTTACTTCCACATTTCTGGTAGCTGAACTTTGTCCAGTCACTCAATCTGACAACTGTGTTACAAGTTTCAAAGATATATACACCGTTCACAATGCGAGTCACCCGCTGTGGCATTCACGGATTCCATGAAGTCCTCGGTGTCGATACTGATGAGCTGCGCTTCTACTGGGCACTGGAGAGCAGTGTTGAGAATTCTGTTCAAGTCGCTTACCGTATCGTCCTTGCAACAGACTCAAAGCTTCTTGAAGTAGCTGAGCCAGATGTGTCGAACCTTGCATGGGACTCTGGTCGCGTTGAGAGCAATGAGCAGCGCAACATATTGTGCAAGCCTTCTCATGGCTTCAAGTCCACATGCAGCTACTACTGGCAAGTGAGAGTCTGGGACAATGAACAACAAGTACACTATGGCCCCACTCAACACTTCTTTACGGGCTATCCTCGATCCCGTCGGCTGCCTCCGTACAGCATGAACCAAACATACATGCCACACTCCAGTCTCATTTTCCGCACGTGGTTCGAAGATGAGGCAAACAGATGGAAAGCTGTTTGGATTGGCGATGGAGGTGATAAGCCCATCTATCTCCGAAAGTCTTTTCAACTAGCAAAGCAGCCCACGCACGCTATTCTCTTTGCCTCTGGCCTGGGTCACTTCAATATGAGTCTCAATGGTCAACCCGCATCTGATCACCGTCTGGATCCCGGTTGGACCAACTATCACCGAAGAGTTCAATTCACATCTTACGATGTGACTGCCCATCTCAGCTTGGGTGCGAACGCCTTGGGCGCCCACGTAGGCAACGGATTCTATGCCGGCGACCAGGGCGAGGATCGCTTCTTCTGGCCTATGTATGAGGACAACACTTACGTCCGATACGGCAACGAACTCTGCTTCTTCTGTGAACTTCATCTCTTCTACGGGGATGGAAGCCGTGACACACTCATTTCCGATCCCACTTGGCGAGTGCGGAAGAGCGCAACAACCCTGGCCAATATCTATGCGTCGGAGAATCATGATCGTCGACTCTACCCCACCAATTGGGATACGCCATCCTTTGACGACAGCAACTGGGCTTTAGCGAAGCCTCTGACTGGCCCCCGAGGTCACATCTTTTATCAGACACAACCACCAGTAGTGTTACATGAAACCTTTCGTCCTGTCAGAGTCTACAGTCCCAGCAATGGGGTGGTTTGCTTTGATCTCGGTCAGAATGCCTCGACTATGGTTCAGTTGGTACTCGAAGGTACTTCAGGCTCTGAGGTCACTGTCAGATATTCGGAGACGGTCAGTGAAGACGGCACCGTGCTCATGCCCGATCCTCTATTCAAACAGTTTGAGACTGGTGTCTTCTCCCGAATCTATCTTGCTGGTACTGGAAAGCCTGAAACGTGGGAACCCGACTTCAGCTTTACAAGTGCTCGGTATGTCCAGGTCGAGGGGGTATCGTTGACTCCTGGAGAAGGCCTTCCTATTGTTCACTCCGTGGTGGGTCGCCATATTTCTTCTGCTGCCAGACGACTTGGCACGATGAAGACCGACAAGGCGGACGTCAATGCACTTCTCAATGCGTGTTATTGGACTTTCAATAGCAATCTCTTCAGTTATCATACCGATTGCCCACAGATCGAGAAATTCGGCTGGCTGGAAGTCACACATCTTCTCGCACCTGCCACACAATATATTCGCGACATGGAATCTCTTTACACTAAGATCTTGGATGACATCCTTGACACTCAAGAGCCCAACGGTCTCGTGCCAACCATGGCTCCCGAGATCCGCTACATGTGCGGACCACTTCATGACACCATCACCTGGGGCTGTGCGCTCTGCTTCTTGCCCGATATATTACTGAAGTACTATGGTTCCACCCACGTCTTTCCTCAGGTCTATCCCGCTGCAGTGCGCTATATGGAATACATGAGAACAAAGGAACGTCTTGGGGGGTTGATCGAGCACGGTCTAGGTGACTGGGGCCGTGACATTGCCTTTGGTAACCACCAGGCTAACATCGAGACTGCCATCTACTATCGATGCCTCCAATGTGTTGAGATGATGGCTAGAGAGCTCGGCAAGGCAGACGAGGCCGAGAGGTTCCGACGATGGGCATCTCGGATCTACAACGTCTACAATCAGCACCTCCTCGTGACTGATGACCCGTCTCGTCCATATGCGTATTATACTTCCCTAGACAACTACCCTGAACGCGATTGTACTGCCATCAGCCAAGCCATGGCTTTGCAATTCAAGCTTGTTCCTGTCGAACATCAAAAAGATGTCATGGCTGCTTTCGTGAACGATTGCTCTGACGGGAGAATGCGCGCCGGTGAGATCGGCCTGCGCTTCTTGTTCAACACCCTTGCAGATGCCAAGCGGCCCGACCTGGTCCTTCAAATGGCGCGACAAGAAGAGCACCCTTCATACATGCGCTTCCTTCGTCGGGGGAGACAACGCTCTTGGAATTCTGGCAGGATGAGTGTCGCAGCAAGTGCCATGACATGCTAGGTACCATCTATGAGTGGTTTTACGCGGCGATTCTCGGATTGAAGCCCGTGGGCAATGCTTATCGTACCTTTGAGATCGAGCCTCCCTATGAAGCAGAGTTTGACTTTGTCGAAGGCGCTGTGGACAGTCCATATGGTCTGATTGAAGTCAAGTTCCAGCGTGACGCTAAGAAAGTGGTAACTGTCAACCTTCGTGTTCCCTTTGGTACTTCGGCAATCGTAAAGAGGCCCACCAACTCGCAGGTGGAAGTCACCAGAGAAGGATGCACAAAGACTATGATTGGGGATGACACATTGCAAGTGCAACATGGCAATTACCAGATAACCATCCAACCTTCTTCATAGACGATATAGGTACTATAGTCCTGTCATAGGTCAAGCTCTCTACCTTATTGAAACTCATGCATTTGCCCTTGGAGTCCGTTTGTAATTTCAATCCTTGTTGTAGATGTGGGCTTCACCTTTACGCTATCACATTTCGTGCTGTGTCTCTTAGTAGGACCTCGGCAGTTCAGAAACGGCGACCAGGATAATGAAACATCTCAGGCCCGTTTTCGCCGAGTACGACGGCCGTGGCATGGTTATTCTTTCCTCAACACTTCGCCCTTCGCTTCACTTCGGCACTCGCACTCCATGAAGTGCCTGCTGGGGGTGGAGCGAAAACCTCGGCCGTCCAGCTGATCGGGCATATTTGGTGGTTTGAACACAAAAGCAGTCTAATCATGGACTCGACTTGACTCAATTGGCCCGCGCTCACGACCACCGGCAGTCAGATCCTACGGCACCTTCGAGTCCTCGATATGCATCATTCGGGAATCTCGGGATTGATTTACACCGACAGGGGTGGTGTCCGGGTGGAGCCATATTTGCTAAACCTTGTCAACATTGAGCATCAGGCCGTTGGGTCGGGATTTCCGCTTTTCGCACGCAGCCTCGAACTGCGTGACCGCGTGAACCCCAACTGGACGCTAGACTCTGACCTGTCTTGCTTCCGAATCCCCGCTTGATCATGAAATACTGCAGTCGACTGGTGTGGAGTATAAAATATGCCCCGTGGGGAGACAAGTCCGGGGAGATAATCCTCATCCCACGTCTAGTTCATCATCCGCGATTCCAAGTCTACAGGTCATGAAGCTCACTACGTTGCTCTCGGCGGCGTTCCTCGCCATTGGAGGTACATGAATTTCTCGATCATCCCCCTGTCTAAAAGCTTTGCATCATCTTTGACATTATTGCAATTCCTGCAGGTTTCCTGTTCGGCTATGACAGTGGTATCATCACTTCTACCATTGGCCAGCCCGAGTTCATCAAGTACTTTTCCTACCCGAGTGACAATACGACTGGCGGTGTTGTCTCTGCATTCCAAGGTGGCGCTATCTTAGGAACAATCATCAATGTCTTCGCTGGTGATCGTCTGGGACGAAAGCGCTCTGTCTTTGCTGGAGCGTGCATTTCGATCATCGGGTGTGGTCTGCAGGCCGGTGCGGTCGACATGGCCATGCTCATCATTGGTCGATTCATTGCTGGTGCTGCCGTAGGCATGCTCACTTCCGTTGTACCGATGTATGCCGGTGAGATGGCTGAGGCTGCCTCGCGTGGTATGATGTCGGGTCTCTTGCAGTGGATGCTGAGTTGGGGATATCTCGTGGCTCAGTGGCTGGGTTACGGGTGCTCCTTCATTGACACCCCCTTCCAATGTACCAATACCCTACTCCAGAGGTGAAAGGATTTTGTATGGGTTGCCTTTACTGACTACGTTCCCCAGGGCGATTCCCTCTGGCGTTCCAGTGCATCCCTGGTATTGTCCTTGCCTCCGGCGTGTGGTTCCTCAACGAGTCCCCACGCTGGTTGATGGAGAAAGACCGTCATGATGAGGCCCTCGCCACCCTTCACAGACTTCACGGTGATGGTACCCCTGAGAAAGAACAATATATTGAGCTTGAATTCCAGGAGATCCGCGAAACCATTGAGGCAGAGCGTGCATCCACCAAAATCACCTGGTCCTCGATTCTGACTAAACCTACTTGGCGTCGTCGCTTGGTTCTGGGCTGTGCGGTTCAAGCATTTGGTCCTCTCAGCGGCATCAACGTGATCAACTACTATGGAACCCGAATATATGCTTCGTTAGGCTTCGATACGCACACCACTCTCATGATTATCGGTATCTCTGGTGCTCTGTCCATCCTCTACTGCACTGGTGGTCTGTGGGCCCTTGAACGGGTCGGACGAATCAAGCCTCTCATTATTGGGTCCGCTGGTATGGGTCTTGCACTTGTCTGCAATGCCGCCATGTCCCAACACTACGACGAGACCAACTCCAACCAACTGCGTGCCATGGTCGCCATGAACTTTGTCTTCAGCTTCTTTTACACCTTCATCGGCATCATTTCCTGGGTGTACCCGGCGGAAATCTTCCCTGTGGATATCCGAAACCAGGGCAACTCCATCACTACATTCACCAACTGGTCTATCAATCTGGTCTTTGCTCAGTTTTCACCCACTGCTTTGACCAACATCGGCTTCCGGTACTTCTATGTCTTCTTCGTGTTCAACATTATTGCCATGCTCTGCTACTACTTCTTTTTCCCAGAGACTAAGGGTAGGACCCTTGAGGAGATGGACTTGCTCTTCGGAGACGGCCATGTGGTGCCCTCCGGCACAGAGAAGCAGGAGTTAACCCTTGTGGAGCACGTGCAGTGAAGCAGCTATCTAGCTTGTGATGATCTATTCTGAGCAATGGCATTCTCGAAGGACAATCCAGTCGATCAAGTAATCGCATGTTCATATGTCGACAGTTGAAAATTTTGCTCGGCGCTGGGGACAAATGCGTGTCAATATGTAATTGTCTGCAATGGATAATGGGTTATTTTGCTCCTGCAAGGAATACCGACGGAGTTTCCAGCCGCTTGCTTTCGCGGTGGCAGAACCTAGTTCTAAATTGCCGACATAAATACCAACTTTCGCTTAAATACTATGTTTTCGTAGATATTCTACGAGATTCAAACTCGCAGCAATCTTACTGGTATTCCAAACCCTATTCCATTCATGCGGTCTCTATGGCCTAGAGCCCTGGACCTTACCCAACGAGCCGAACGAGCCGAGGATCTCAAGCTCGCACCCGCGTGTTAGGACTATCATGAATGGGTGGTCCGAATCAGATTGAGGTTTCCAAGATGACTCCTCGAAATGATAGAGATAATTGCTAAGTTTGAAGGGATACTAGTGTCCGTGTTTGCTACTTAAGTCCTGCGGCTGCCGCTCCTGCGGTATAGTAGGCGCCTGCTACAACGTGTCCAGTATCATTACGGCGGTCTAAAGGGACCGGGTGAGTAGTGGGTTTGGATCGTAATACGAGTGTCCCGCGGGCTTCCTCCCCCTCGGTAGGAACTTCGGAGTGAAGCAACTGCTATAATTAATCCGTTGACTGCCGTCGCAATGCTTCATGTTCTACGCTGCCCGTGATTGAGAGAGACGCTGGACGTTATGGGCATTAGCAAAGCTGGGGAAATCACATGATTTTAACACGTCTGGACCGCCCCGAACAGCGAATCAGAGGTGGAATCTTCCGCCGGAAGTGAAATTAAGCCCCCCTTGGGTCGGGATATAGTGAAGGCATTTTAGAAGATATGTCACGTGATCGGTCACCTGATTTGAGCACAGCACCACCCTATCAACCAATCAGACAGCTAGGATTTTGCCAGAAGTTTACCGCTGACTCCGATGTACAGTCACGTGATGTTTTCACGACCTTACGCATTAGTACTCTCCAGCCTCAAGTTCTCCACTGCCCAGTTTCACTGGTATTGGTGCTGTTGATGAAAATGAGCGCTTCGCAAATTGACAAGAGTCAAGAACCCAGGAGTCTCCCCTTCTCATCGATACTCCTACATCGTCCAATTACCCTAGTGCGTACATGCTATGTTGGGGCAATTCAAGGCAGAGTCGCCCTGTGGCTCCACGAGTCTGCCTTGTCTCCTCGGCCAGCTTAGCTTTCGTCCGTGGCCACGCAAAAAGCAGCCTCGGGGGCCATGGAATGTCCAACCAAGCCAATGACCACCGCCGACTTGCAAGACCGGAAGACTTGGCTGTGAGGCTGTGCAAACATAAGCTAAAGCCGGCCCCAGTGTTTCTCCCCCACTACTAAATTAGTACGGTCCAGTTCTGTCTACTTGGCTAGTGGTCTCCTCTAAACAAAAAGTGGACTCGTAGATTGTTGATGGATCCACTCCGCTGTAAGTCGAGGACGAGTCGACGATAAACCCTCGTTTTCTTTTGGGACGGAGTTCCACGCTAGGAGTTCCTCGCCTGATGAACTCGGTCGTTCGATGACGATCTTGGTCCGCTTCGGCTGAGAGGAATCTAAAAGTACAGTATGATGCTCCCAAACATTGGTGACTCGTGAGAGTCTGGCCCTTTGGTACTGTTCCCCTGACGTTGGGCACCTCTATGTACTTACACTACTTGGTACTGTACCTTAGTACTGACTACTGAGTCAGTGAACACTGGGTACATGGACACTGGACAGGGGACCCTGAGCACTCTGACAGCAATGGTGGGAAAGAGGGGCTCTGCTTGCTGGATTCCGTAGTCACTCGTACTGGTACAGTAGTGCCCGCCTGCTTTCTGGTAGTCGCACTAGTCGAAGTACATGGAGTCCACCCCAAAGTGGGGTGACCAAGTAAAAGGAAAGACGAAAAGGCATAAATATCTGTCAAGTTTCGACTATCCGGATCAGTAGCAAAATGGCTTGCTAGATTAGAAGCAATTTGCATTCGCCTGGTCTGTAGTAATAGAAATTCTGGTATATTCCTCCTGCTATTTACGAAGTACTACAGTACTATGATGTGCGGTTCCAGCGCCGCACGTCTTGATGCTAAGCACTTATGTAGCATGCATTCTATTAGGTAGGTACCTAAGTAAGTGAAAATCTTGAGTAGATCATATCAGTCAGTCCAAGCTCACTCAATGAGCTCTTTAAACTACACTCCACGGTGCCGTGCATCGATGTAGAGTCGTAAACATCGCATACTTCCAAGTCGGGAAGCCCTAACTTAGTAGCATCGAGGCTGCGTTGCTTGGTACAGTAGTGCAGTCAGGTTGTCAGCACTCAACGAGTCAACACTGAACACTTAACAGTGCTGTTCCAAATTTCAGTTAGCGTCGGTGGAGGCTGACTGACCCGAATACGCGCCCAATGTCCACACTGGACTGTCGCATTTCTCGAGGGTGGACTCCTGGAGTACATCCTGCATTATTATTGTACCAGAACTGCGCACGCTACGTGGTTCTAGTGGGCTTTGCAGGTGCCGATAATTGCAAAAGGGTACAGTTCCTTCTAATCTTGTGTCCACTCTCGAATTCATCGCCCGTCCCTATCGCCAACCCCTCCGAAGGCAACCCAGACGCGATAGATTAAATCATCATTAAAAGCTGAATCCATGTCCAACTTGCCCGTAGGCTTGGAGTATGCTGTATGTAGATACGAATGTTGAGTGTGGTAGGTAAGTGTTCCCCCGTAGTACAAACTACGAATCCGTCGACTGTCCGATCTTATGGTGCTTAGACCGCCTTACGCACGTGCGTTGACCGTTCAGATTGGGGGTTCCTCCACAGTACGGGCTACTATCACCACCCACTCTCCTCCATCGGTACCAACCATTATCAATCTCTCCGTCACATCTCCATTTTCCCCCTGGCATTTGCATCTGCTTCGAGGCTCCTATATGATGCGACCTCCTTGCTGAGTCTGGGCGACTTTTGGATCCACGTGTGTACGCGTTAGCCTCTCTGCTCAGTGCTGTGCCTTCTTGGTGCTCGCAAGTATATTGCGCCCTATTTCGTCGGGTTAGCCGCAGCTTCGATTTCCCCGATCTTTTGTGCTCCGCTTGCGCCGGCCTCCCGTGTCGCGCTCTTCACCGGTCCCAACATTCGTGCGCGTTGGCATACAAAGTTACCCTGCCAATTTTTTCTTCTTAGGTCTACTTGGCTGCTCATTATGGCCTCGCACGACCATAGCCAGGGGCTGGATGCCAACGCGGCGCATGTGAAGACTCGCAGCGTCAGCCCATCGCCCCATGCCCAACCTCACTATCACGACCCAACTTCGGGCCTAGCATTGGACCCCTCCATGTCAGCCAACTTCAACACCAACCCACCCTTCAACCCTCCACAAGGAGACTGTCACATCAGCAACCTCGCGGGTCAGGATCTATATGGATACTCCGCAGATTACTCTTTCGATGCGTCTGCGCCAAATCAAACATTGGCCCCTTCCTCCTCCTCCAGCCAGACCTTCCCACCTCTGTTGGACACAACCAATATGTCTTTACAGCAGACATTCGATCCAAACATGATGACTCGATTCGACCCTGCATCCTCGGACCTGCAATCGGGCCAAGGCACAGAGAACTTTTCCAATTTACTCAATTCCAACCCGGGCGAGCTGGATTTCTCCGCCTACCAAAACAATGGCGCAAACGGCGCAAGCGCAACGGATTACAACTCATCGCTCTTCATTGATACCCAGATGCAGCCGGTACAACAGGCGGTCAACTCCACCATCAGCCCAGCAGATATCGTCAGCCCAATATCCAATCCTTCTGCGTCTTCACACCCATCCACCCACGATCTACAACAGTCTTCCCCCGGTCCTATGTCACCCCCAGGAGGAACTCCAGGAACGTTCTATACTCCTCAGCATTCGCGACATGCATCTCTAGATCCAGCCACCGCTGCATATATGGGTGCTCAGGCGAACGCCGACTGGCCGTCGGTCATGACGAATAACACCGCGTTTCACGGCCATCGTAGAGCTCCGTCGGAAGTCTCCGAGGTCTCATCAGCGACACATTCCCCGTACTTGTCACAAAATGAATTCGATAACATCGACAGTAACGTATCTCCGTCGCTTGCGCCACAAAGTGATCCAGCTTTGTACGACAACGCCTTGGCTATCGAGCAATTCACACTGTCTGAGCAGCATCAACAAGGCTTCAGTCCGGCGCACAGCCCGTACATCTCGCCTCGTCTCATGCCTCAGCAAGGCATTGACATGATCCCCAGCATTCAATATACACCTACCGGCAACCAGTTTCCTCCTGCGCCAACCGAGATGTATGGCTACCCGAGCGATGATTTGATGGCAGCCCGTTCGGGAGGCGACATTGGCCAGGCATCCCAGATGGCGCCTCCTTCAATCAACGTAGAGTTTGCGCCTCCGTCTCGAACCCCTAGCTTCGGACCCTCGAAACCAATGGCCGACTTCGACTCGTTGAGTCCTCCGGCGATGAGTGAGTTGTTCCTTTCCAAAGAAAATCGGCTCGCCTTACCGACGCGTTTTGCTCATTCAAGAATTAGGATCGCGAGGGCGCAGCAAGTCAGATCCTTTCGCACACCCAGCCTCTCGTCCAAGGTCGCCAGCAGCCTCGGCGTCCAGCTTAGAGCCAATCCCACCTACCTCTCCACGATCATTGTCACCTCAGTCGCGTAGTAATCCTGGCTCACGTGACGCTTCTCCGGCTCGGTCGAATCGGCGTCTTTCGACATCATCCATCGAAAGCCGTAACTATATTTTGGACTTGGCTGATCCGGGACGGCCAGGCGCGGCACCGGGCGACTCGAAGCGTGTCCAGAAGCATCCCGCAACTTTCCAATGCACTCTGTGTCCTAAAAGATTCACACGCGCATACAACTTGCGATCTCATCTCCGTACGCATACCGACGAACGTCCGTTTGTATGCACAGTTTGTGGCAAGGCTTTTGCCCGTCAGCATGACCGGAAGCGCCACGAGGGTCTTCATTCTGGCGAGAAGAAATTCGTTTGCCGCGGTGACCTGACGTTGGGCGGCCAATGGGGCTGCGGTCGTCGATTTGCGCGCGCTGATGCTCTGGGCCGCCACTTCAGGTCCGAGGCTGGTCGCATCTGCATTAAACCTCTCCTCGATGAAGAATCACAAGAGCGCGAACGTGTTGCGGCTCAACAACAACAACAGCAGCAGCAGCAGCAGCAGTCCGCCGGTGGTCACCTACAACCTGTTCCCCAGCAGCTCGTCATGCCAGGTATTCCCGGCATGGATGGTCAAGCCTCGGGCACTTTTGTCTTGCCAGCTGCCCTTCTCGCGCAATACCCGGCTCTTCAAAATCTGCAATGGGACCAGCTTGCTGCTGGAAGTGACGACCCGAGTGACATTGGTGGTCGAAGTAGTTTTGACGCCAGCTCTGGAGGAGAATACGGCTTTGATGAGGATGAATCCAGTCTCAGTGGTGTCTCTGGAATGAGTAGCGGATATGCTTCCAATCAAGCCAATCTGTATCCTGATCAGATGCTCAACTTGAATGCAGGAAGTTCCGAATATGCCGATCAAAAATGGCTTTAGTCATGATACGATGCTCCTTCACTCGTTTATACCCCCTTCGTGTTTATGTTGGCAAGAATATCGTGGACCGGAAGAAAGGAATTCAGTCTCCCAACTTGCCACAAGACCAGTCCTTGTTTCGTCTCTATTTTGCCATTTTTGAAGTCTAAACCTTGTGGTTTCTTTTAATGGCTTCTTTTCGATTCTTCGTCATCTTGTTCATTTCGCGGCCGATTATCGGCCTTGTTATTCCCAATTGTCTTTCTCCAGGCAGGATAAAATTTTATAGACTCGGTATTGGCGTTCTGAAATGGTTGATCAACTCACTTTGGAGCCTGAATATTACCTTTTCTGGTGACCGAGGTGAACTGAATAACTCGATTATCGTGAGATCACACTTACTTTCTAGACGATATCCACTCAGCATTAACACACTTATATATGGTTCCTTTGGCTCCCATTGATTGACCTGGTCCTATATTATGGGCTGAATCGCAATTGAATCATCTTCCTGATTATACTTTCCTCAGACTAAATGTGCTGGTAAATTTACGATCAATCTAGCAACGTCGCATCGACGTTCCTAAGCAAATGACCTTAATTGGCAGAGTGTTTTTCTGTCTAGATTTTAGTACACTCAAAATGGCTCATTGAGGTTTCGTGAGCTAAGGCGTCGTTTCGTGGGACCACGACTCTTGTCGCAAAATTGGGTATATCTCCGTGGGCAGGCATAGGTTCTGCTTGTCGTGCCGGTGATTTTATGCTGCTTGTCATTCCATTAGGTAGACGTTCTATCGACCCTCGCCTAGATGCTAGGTCTCTCTGGGCGGTCGTCTATTCCTATCTTCTAATACTAGGTATTAGGTGCAATGCTGAGATAGATATTGGTGGCTGATGCATGTAGACGAGACGATCTTTCTCGACGATGAAGGTGCTCTACTTACTGTCGGTACAGGAGGTGAATACAATCGATACATTGCCTTTCTTTATGCCTTTCAATTTGTCCAATCCTAATTTATCAATATAGACTTAATGTGATGCTGAGCGCCAAAGATAAAATCAAGGGTCACAGCCATTCGTAAAGGAAAGAACGAACACTGCCGTTTATCGCGCGGTGTCGACCAACTTCTGGATCTGTGTCAACCACTTTCGAGAAAATTCCGCCTCTGTGAACCTTTGAGCCGACCGTCTAGCCCGTAGCCGCATTGCAACCTTCTCGGACAGAGGCAATGCCAAAGCTGCCTCAAAGGCAGCTGCAAATTGCTCCTCTGTCTCGGCACGGAAGCCCGTAGCTCCATCGCCGAGATCAACGACAATGTCTTCGCGCGGACCACCGGAGTCGTGAGTCACACAGATCAAGCCAGCGGCCTGGTACTCCACGACACAGATACCAAAGTGCTCGTTCCACATTGCGTTGACGCCAACAGAGGCCGTGCCCAAGTGAGAAAGAACGGCGGGCCAGCTGGCGTCGCAGAGAAATGTGGTGTGGTCGCGTATGCGTAGCTCGTGAGCTAGTAGACGGAGGTTGTAGATGTGAGTCTCGTCCGGGCTGGCATGGCGAACTGATCCTATCAAGACCAGTCGCGGAGATGGAAGGCCCTCGTACGCGGGATTACGCGCACGCTCTTGCAGGAACCTGGCAAAGGAGCGGAGAACAAGTGGATGATTTTTCTCAGGTCGAAACTGGGCAATGTACAACAACGTGGCGTGGCGAGTTCTCTCACTTTCTTCGTCGACGGTAATGGCTGATTCGAGTTCTGCGACGGCCGTAGGTGGAAATACGACTGCTGGTGACGAGGGGTGCCCTCGCCGGCAGCTGATGAATTATTGTTCACATTGTCCTTACCGTTGCCCCAAAGCTTGCGAATATGGGCCGCGGTCCATGAAGAGTTGCACATCACCACGTCAACATGCTGACCAACCCAGCCGTAAAGCCGAGCAAACAGCTGCCAATATCGGCGTTTGAGAGTCCCTTTGAGACCCTTTCCTGCTCCGGCATTCAATCCTTGTATGCCACTTTGATCATCGAGCGAGGCAAGCATATCCGTTGAAATGGTCGGGTAGTGGACATAAGCACCCGTTCGTACCGTAGGGAAAAGCCATTTACAGAAGGCCAATGTAAAAGCATAGCCCATAGTGTCAATAAAGACATCCGGTACAAGTAACGTGAATGCATCGTACGCGACGACCAATGATCCCAGGGACTGCCCCAAGAGTGTCAGGTGTGAATAAGAGCTGGCGACAACATATTTCCGAGTGCTCAGGTACAGCAGCACTACCGTGGGGGCGTGCAATCGAATGTTGAATCTGTTCTCAACTCGTTCGAGCATACTCGTCTTGTTGACCTCGTGATCGCCAGTGTAGATTGCGCAGACCGCCTTAGGCCAACGCTTCTGTGTCGCACGTACTGCTTCCCAAAGCACTCGTTCTCCTCCACCACCAGCATTACTGCGATCGATGTTAGAGTATTGAAATTGACGTGAAACCACACCGACACCCATCAGGTAGATATCCCTTACCAAAAGGGGTGGAAGAAGCCGATGATACCGTCCCAGTCGTCGGGCCTTTGTGTGGAATCACCGCCCGCGCTGTCACTTTTGCCAGACGGTCTGCCTGCGCCTGCGCCCGAGTTACTGTCCACCTGTTCCCAATCCTCATCCTCCGTCGAGCTCCGGGCTGGTGTGGAGGTCAAAACTGATTCACACAGCGTCTTCTGGAGTTCCTCCTCGTCTGATCGCGCCCGCGCAATTACATAGTCACGACGAGATCGAGTTCGTCGGCGGATGAGCCACCCCGCACCGCGCAACAGCAGCCCTAACAAAGTACCGATGAGCCGCGGAAGCAGGAAGGCGGTCGTGGCAGCGATCATGAGCGCCGATATGGCGGTGGTCAACATGGCCATATTTGCGTCTGTCTCTTGAACATCAAGAGCGACACATGGTATCTGGAGTTCTGATGAGGATCTTGGACAGTGCTGACTGGGAGGAGAGGAAGGGTGAGTCAAAAAGGCGGAAGCCGTGTTTCCCATCAATAGATTGATCAACACCCCAAACGGGCTCAGATCACTTGACGTGGTGAGGGTCACTTTCCCATGCACGTGTCACATGATTCGCGGAGAGTCCATCGCCCTCCGCTCGGAGCTTCTTCAAAAACCGTCAGTTGATCTATGAAGCTCCACCCCTGTGAGCTGAGGGAAGAACCTCTGACAATTGCACGAATACCCGATCACCATCGTGACTCTTTCTTGTCGCGAAAGTCATGAACTCGCTTCGATTGAGGACGATACGAATTCCGCGCAGCACGTTAGCGCTGACGTCTCGCTCACATGTTCGAAAGTTCCACCCGACGAAACCTACCCCATGGATCAATGAAGCCCTCGACGCTTCCGCGGTGGTAATACACGGGGTCCACGATATTACTCATCTACCTTGGGTTGCGTCGATACCTCTGACAGCCTTGCTGGTGCGAACTGTGGTCGGCCTACCCTTACAGATTTACACCAAATACAATGCACGTCGTGAACGAGACATTGCGCCGCTAAAACAAGCTTGGGCAACATGGGCAAGTGCCGAGAAGAAAAAACAACTCAGGGGCACATCAGCTCTCACGAAAGCCCTGAGGAATGGCGACATCAACAAACATTTCCGAGAAAGACTCCAGGCCCTCAATCAGGATTGGCGCATCAGTTTATTGTATCGTTACCTGCCTATCGTGCAATTACCCGTATGGATCGTGTTCATGGAAAGCATCCGAGGCATGTCTGGAAACAAGAATGGTTTGCTGCCGTGGCTCCTTTCGCTGGTCGAGGGGGAAACGAGGCCACCAACTCCCTCCATCTCACAGTGGAGCCAACCTTCGCGACCGAGGGGGCACTCTGGTTCCCTGACCTGCTGGTAGGCGACAGCACGGGCATTCTTCCAGCGCTTCTCACTGCTTCTATTCTTCTCAACGTTCAGGCTGGCTGGAAAATGACACCCCGTGCTGATATTGCCGATATGCCTCGACGTGAGATGTTTCAAGCTTTTTCGCGAAATGGACTTCGCGTGTTCATTCAAGTTCTTGCACTTAACGTTGGTTTGTCCAGCTGGTTCTATGACATGCCAGTGGCTTTAATGATCTATTGGATCAGCAGCTCCAACATTGCCACTTTGCAGAACTTCTTCTTAGAAAAGAATTTGTTCACGAAGCCACCCATGCCGCTAGCTTCGCGGCGCTATGTCGAATTCCACAATCCCGATGCTCAAGATCCATTCCACGTTAAGCTGCGCTGAGCTGCTTCAAAGGCCTGTTCAGCAGAGCTCATGTACTTCGCTGTGGCCACTTCTTACCCCTCGCCCGGTACGACAATTGATTCTCAAGAAGGCCGCACCCCAAAATCAACAGCAACTAGCTTACCGCGCGCATTGTCATGCAAAAGGACTAGGATGACAGGGTCTGATTCACAGAGATTTGGACAAAATCCATTGACACGCCCACAAGGGTCGGGTTGAGCATGGCGGCTTCCTGCGCTAGCCTGTCAAAAGGAAGAATGCCAACCCAGTCCCGCATTCCTATTCATGATCTCTTCGAAACAATTGCTTCACCCTTGTAATCGCGTCTTTTGCGGAGAGCATGCGATTAGTTCGCAACACTGAGAGAATAGCGCAGGGATGATGGTCTACACAAACGAGACCGAAAGCACTCAGCACTGCTAGGGCCTCTGCCTTCTCAATGCTCGACCCCAAATCACGCTTTTGGCTTCATATCATACGTTCAAATGAAGAAAAGTTTGCTGTTCGATAGCATTGAACTCTGGTCGGAATTTTTCTGTGTTACCGTGAGAGTAAAGTCTACGGCACCTAGATGCGATTCAATTTACACCACTTTCATAGACATGTATAGCGGTCGCAACCCCAGTCGGGCAGTATGGTACATGGTCAGCTGCATGTAGGCATTCGCTGGCGTCAAATCACTACGATTTGCTGCTGCAACAAGACGACGGGAAATTGTCTCCAGATGAAGGTCATCCAGATATTATCAACATCATAGGATAAGCAACGCAGGCTTCAAGTCTTTGAAGTTTACCAGTCGGTCCTGAGCCAATTGTACCCACTTAAAGTTTGGCTTGAAGGGGCTCCTCGGGTGCCGTGGCCTCCTGGTTGATCTCAACGGTGCCTGACCGAGGGCCTGGACCCTTGCCGAAGAAAATAACCTCAACGGTAATATCATCGCTACGAGCATGGTCAGCAGACGAAGAGAATCAACAAATTGACGAAGAGACAACGTACCGGTATCGACGGGAATATGGGGACGGCAACGTCAACAAAGCGCAGACCATATCCTTGTCTTTGCCACCCATGGCATTGCGAACAAGATGAGTAGCAGCGTTCTTGTCCTCCACGACGAATCGACTCGCTGCGTCAGGAATGTCATACTGGCGTTGGCGGATAGGTTTGCGCTGGCCTTCTGAAGCTTGATCCTTGGCTGGTTCTACAGGTAATTGCTTTTGGGAGCTGAACCAGCTTTGCAGCCAAGCCTTTGAGCCTCCGTTACCAGACTTCTGGTGCTCCAGCCACTCGCCGACTAACCCGACTACTTCTTCATTGCTGAGCATTTCCCAAAGTCCGTCGGTGGCCATGACAATGAAGTCACCTTTCTCGGGGTCGATCTTGGTGGTAGTGATAATAGGTTCGGCGGTGACATATGGAGGAGTCTGGAGAAGAGGATGAGGTGTGCGGCCGAAGAATTGCTGTTTGATCATGTCTTGAGTTCCTCTACTCCACTTGTAGAATGCGTCGCCAAAGGCGCGACTTGGCTCGAGGCCACCCAAGATGCGGCCGTTTCGCGTAACATATGGCTCGCCTGGGTGTTCCTCCTGCAGGCGCTTGATCTCAGAGGGAGTTCCACCCGTCAGATCCTCGGACAACGCGGTAGCGGTCCACTTGCCATTTGCCCCTCGGCGACCCAGGACAGCGCGTGAGTCACCAGCGACGGCGACCTTTAAGTCTTTGGACTTCGAGTCGTAGAAGCTGAGGAGTGCACATGATCCTGATAGAGCGGGGGCAAGGATCTCCGCAGCCATGCGACGAGACTTGGACTTGACGACCTTGTCCACGCTCTCGTAAACAATGTCGTTATCAAGGCGAACAAATCCCTTCTTGATAGCTTGGTCAATTGCTTCAGAAGAAGGCATCATAGGTTTTCCGTCGGCGGCGGCTGCCTTGTAAGTGGAATTCAGCTCTCGCGCCACGTATGAAATGAGCACGTTTCGGAGCTTTGCGGAAGTGGTCCAGCCTCTAATCTCCTGAGGTTAATTAAAGTCAGAGCAGCATTTTCGGCTAGGACAAACTCACGAGTGTCCGTCGAATACCGCCCAAAACATCCAGTCGCTGTTTGGTTCTCCGTCTGTCTGACCCAAGGTAGATGACGATACCTCAACAATCTTCTCCGCGTGATCATCTTCGATTGGAGAGTTACTAGGCACCTGGACTATGTCGTACCGGACGACACCATTTCCCCTGTTGACAAGATACGATTCCTCATTCTTGCGCAGCTTCTCTGTGGCTTGTTCCGGGGTTAACATCTCCAGCCTCCGGCGATCTGAGTCGTCTGTATTCTTCGACAATGGCTCATCCGCTGTCAAAGGTTCGGTGTAGAAATTGTTGTTGCTGACGTGAAGTGCACGTCTGGCCGGACCAGACGGGGATTCAGCATAAGCTGATGAGATCGCGCTTGAGGCGAATCCTCGCACTTGGGTTGCCAATGATTGCACAGTTCCGTCCCCTTGATATGCGTACCAAGCCCCAGAGGCCACCACAGTAGAGATGGCTGCGAGCGAGAACCTGCGAATATGCATGGAGTTTTGAGGAGACGCCGAAATGATTGTCGAGCGTCGACCTCCTGAAAATGACCGCAGGCTTCGGACCGAGTTGTGAGTGTAGGAGAACGAGCACGGCCGCTTACTAGTAAGTTTCCATGCTGGAACACACCGAGCCGCACGACACGTCTGCACAGCCGCCCAACGCATCGGTACGCGACGATAGAAAGCTTCAGGTTAGATTTTGGTATCCCGGTGTTTAATGCCTGAGCTTCACTTCGAGATAATGAAAGCAGAGTTGCACGATAACAACAAAGTCCTTAGAGAATGCGTACGCTATACGACCCGATAAGGAATCACGTGTAGACGTGCCGAGAAGATTACGCTATTCCATATCAGGTCCCCTGTCGTCATTCCCCGCGGGAACTTTTAAAAGCTACCATTCGAGTCTGTGCAGCGCATGACAGGTGCTGTACTTTTCTGACGCACGGAGTACAGAAGGCACAGATTTCAAAATGTCTTCACGTGCTATTCGAAAATTGCAGAAACTGCGAGAGCAAGAATTGCAACAACAGCAAGAGACCGAAAATGCATCAAGCGACGACGAACCCCCACACCCCGCCAAGCCGAAGTTGAATGCTTTTGACCTCCTCAACATGGGCGACGATGACAACGACGATAATAATGATGACGAGACGGAACCAGAAAACCCTATGGAACAATCTATTACGAGCGTGCCTGACTCCGACACTCCGCCCCACGAGACCAAGAACGCGAGGAAGAAAAAGAAGAAGAAGAAGAGCAAAGCCAAAGCCGCAACTTCGATAAAAGTGGCGCAGTCAGATGAAGAGCTCGATGAAATCGATCGAGCTCTGAGAGAGCTTGCTACAGACGGGCAAGCGGGCAATACTGCTAGCGCAGCGCAATCGACAACGGACTCGCTGGACGGTTCGTTCGCGAAAACAACCAGTGAACTCCTAGCGATTGATCCCAAATCCTTGAACGCGACCAACGAGATGAAGCGTCTGTTTGGAAATGTTGTTCTGGAGAATTTCGATCAGCCAGCCGGTACAGGCGCTGGTCGGCGGCGTGATCGTAACCGAGAAACGGTCGATCTCGGTCAAGCTTTAACCGGACGATACAGCCCAGCCAGTCGAGGACAGAGTTTGGCGGGAGTCACACTACGACGGAACATTCTGATGCAAGGAAAAGACGAGTGGCCTCGAGCGCCGAGCGGAGGACTGGGGATGGAATTACAAGAGAAGCTCGCTTCTGGCGTAACTCTGTATCGCATCGTGCACAACACGGGCTACCAAGATGTTCAGAGGCAGTTCGAGCTCTGCGTCGAGTCCATGGATCCTCAGCGCCTAATTCACCACCTTCAATACAATCCCTATCATATCTCAACCCTGCTGCAAGTCTCAGAAATTGCCAAACATCAGAGCGACCACGCAGTCTCAGCCGACCTATTGGAACGTGCGCTCTTCAACATCGGACGATCGGCCCATTCGTCATTCAACGCACGTCTCAGAGAAGGCCTCGCCCGCCTCGACTTCTTGCACATGGAGAATCGCGAATTATGGCTGGTTGGCTGGAGATACATTGCCAATCTGGGCATGAAAGGGACGTGGAGAACTGCATATGAGTGGGCAAAACTCCTTTTGAGTCTGAATGACTCTGATCCCTACTGCATGAAGCTCATGATCGATCATCTTGCATTGCGTGGTCGAGAATACGCTCATTTCGTGGATCTCTGCACGCAAACGCGATTCAGTCGCGATTGGGCCGAGCTTCCAAACATTCAATGCTCGCTGGTAATGGCATACTTGCGCGTTGGTAAGCCTCAGGAGTGTCGCCGTCAGCTTCGTCACGCCATGGCCCGTTGGCCATGGATTTTCAATCGGCTGGCTCAAGAATTGGATCTTCAGCACATCCCGAAGCAGATTTGGGGCAAAATGCCTCCTCCTGGATCGCATGAACTTCTCACAGAGCTGTACATCACACGTGCCAAAGACCTTTGGAACACTCCGGAGGCAGTATCACTCATTGTGGAGGTGGCTGATACGCTGGCGGGTGAACCGCAATCTATCGAGCCTCCGGAGATCACTCTGGACATGGCTCGACATGTCGTTCTGTCGGATATCCCCAAGGTGACCACTCACCTGCCGACGCGGTTTGTTTCCGGCCGCATGTCCGCATCAGATCCCCTTCCACCCTACGAATCGGACGCCTACCGTCAGCAGAGCGATCCGTCGCCGTCCTATCTTGCACAGGTACCACAGGGTGGGCGACCGCAATGGCTGCGCGATCTCATGGGACAGCTGCAGGACGGCGGTGGTATTCGGCTGCCAGAGCTACAAGGTGACGAAATCGCAGACAGCGACGAGGAAGATTATAGAGAAGGCGGCAACACTGACGAAAATGGAACTGGGGATCGGCCATCAGGCGGCCGAGCTCGTCCATTGGCTGGTGATCAGCAAGTCCTTGAGCAATGGCTTGTGCAGGATGGACTTGAAGCCTTGCAGATGTTCTTACACGAGAATGGAGTAGACCGCGGAAACTGGGGGGATGTGGTGGACTACGGCCCACTCACGGATTATCTCGAGGCACTCGAGGAGATTCAGCCTGGGACTGCCCGACAACGTCTTCTGCATGGAATAGTCCAAGAGGTTATTGGTGACATTGCGGTCTCGGTGCTTGAGGATGAGCTAGAGATGATGGCAGACGAGCGGGGTGTTGATTCTGGCAACTAATCCGGTTCTCAGGCGGAGTGGCCCTGTGATTATGTTCCATCATTGTAATTGTAGAATATAGCGAGAATGAAATGATTGGGTCTCCTCGACGAACTGAGATCGGAAACTGCGTTTCGACAGGAAAAGTATGAGAGAATTGGGTTTGTGGGCCAGACTGAGCCTCATCGAGTGTACCGAGTCTGAGTTCTGTTGATTAGAAACACCACAGAGGACTTCCGTCAACGTCAATCATCACCTCAAGTCGAGCTACCTAGATTGGTCCCGTCTCATTGGGGTCAAGACAATGATATCAGTAGCTGCACATTAGCAGTACTGTTGGTGGGGAGGTTTGCAGTGAGTATACGAGTCATGCTGGGTAATAGGTAGAAAGGCAACAGAAAGAGACGTGACAGCCTGGAGCAAATCAAAACTTCCAAGGCGGTGGTCACCTGATTCAAAGTCACGAGTCTGGTTGATCTTGAATAACCTTGTGCTCGGGCATACCTACGGTAGGTCGGTACCTAGGTGTTGGGATGAAATCTTGGATGGAATATGTTGCTCAGGCTGGCAAGGGTGATATGGGTGCTTCCATAGCATTGTGTCGCAATTACAGGAGTCGAGAATGATCCAGAAGGTGCGTGAATGGTAAGGTAATGGATAGGCTTGCGCTAGTAGTCTTTTACTGATGGACGATGAAAATTATATATAGTCTCCTGACCATGGGTATTAACACTAAATAATATAATAATGTATATGGTGGAAACGGTCTTCTATATAGTATATACAGGTAAGATAACCTCCGTCTTCGATTCGGCCCAGACTGGAGTCCTGGACTAATTCGGCTGATGACCGCATCAGTCACATTGCCTCCAGGTTGTTTGGTATCGCAAGTGGTTACAGAAATGTACAGCAATAACAGCTCCAAGTGAATGTACCTGACCGACCCGAGTGGGTTGCTGGGTTGAACGGAGGGGAGGTTGAAACAGTCATGTGACTTTGTTGCAGTAAGTCACTCTTCATTGCCAACTACAGTACAATTCATAATCACATGCTCAAGAAGATTCGACATAAGAAGTTAAAGGTAACTGAGTTAGTTACTAGAAAGCTTGAGATGGGGACTGCGGACTGTGGAGCACATCTACCATCGTCCAAGCTGTGGTGAAGTCGAGCCCCTGATCAAAAGGGTCCAGTGCCCATCTGAGCAAGTCTCTACCCCATGACAGTTCTGGTGATGTCAACCTTCATGCTTCAGGTGGTTGAGAGCTTGAGAGGGACACTTCAGCGGGCTGACTCATGATTTCGAAGTGGGTCGAGCCAGTACAGTAGTAGTTAGAACATACTACTAAAGTAGTAAAGTAGTTCACAGGGAAGCAGTTTTGAGGCAGCTCGAGTGAAGCGGGCTCCGTGCCTTCCCCGATGCAACACTAATTTAGTCTTTTTCGTGGGCTTATCTTTCTCCCATTTGACTTTTCACCCCCATCCCTTCCTTCAACTTGCTCTCGCTCCCTCTTATAACACGATCTTCGCATTGCCATCAATTCAGGAAACTTTACCATCCCAGACTGACTTCCTGATCACTGACCGCGGTATTCATTTACATACCTACCCTGTTGCTCTCGATCCCTTCGGAGGCGCCCGACCCGCCTCGCTCCATTCCGTCATAGGGCATTCTCCGATCGCATTTTTCAGCCTAGCGCAGCCCGCTGCTTATCGTCAAACGTGCCCTGTGCGGAGACTGCACTGGTGCAAGGCACACAATGGTGCTCAATGAGATCGTCAGCAGGATGATGTCGCAGGATGCTGTTCCTCTGACGCCGCGAGAGGCGGCGTCTGGCCTGTTGGGCTCCGTGTCGATGACCTGTTGGATCTTTTTGCTGGTATGACTCGCATCACTCCCCGCAGTGTCATCGGTGTCTCAAGCCCGCGCCTGTGCGGGTGCCAGGGTATCATATGCCTCTTCACGAATGTCGGAAGGGAACAGGGCTCGCACCTCAAGAGGTCGATACCGTTTTGCGACTAAACGTCTGACTCAATTCATCGGCAGGTCCCACAATTGATAGAAAACTACCGCAACGGCAACGCGGAAGCAATCTCTCTGCTGTTCGTCGCTGTCTGGTTCGTTGGCGACATTGCGAATCTCCTCGGTGGCGTGCTGGCAGGCCTGGTCCCCGTTATCGTTGCAATCGCGGTATACTTCTGTATTGCCGACGGTGTCCTCATCTCACAATGTGTGTACTATAAGCTGCGCAATGCGCGTCGCGACAGCCTACTCCGACGACGGCGCTCGTCTACCGAGACCGCAGACCCGACGACTCCACTTCTCGGTCGGCGCTTCAGCGATGCCGTATCCCCGCATACCCGTCGCAGGTCCTCGGCCTCGCAGCGTGGTCATCAGGGAAATGGTCGTCGTGAGAGCCAACCTGAAGATCCATTGGCTAAGATCGTCGAGGAAAACGAATTCGGACGCAAAGCATGGGCCAAGAACGTGATCAGTGTACTGGGTATCTTTGTGGTGGGCATGGTCGGCTGGACAATTGCCTGGCGGACGGGAATGTGGGCGCCAGCTCCCATGGAAAACGCCAAACCCGTCGATATGGCCACCAGTGGTGCTGTGCTGGGATACTTCAGCGCAGTCTGCTATCTAGGGTGAGTGGGACTTGATGAACATCTGAAAACAGGTGATGTGAACTGACAGTTGTTATAGAGCGAGATTGCCCCAGATCTATAAGAATTATCGGGACCAGTCATGCGAAGGTATGTTAATGGGTCTCGACCACTACGCTAGCAACCCATACTGATCGCATCTCTGAAGGTCTCTCACTTCTCTTCTTCATTCTGTCACTCCTTGGTAATCTCACTTATGGCGCCGGGGTGAGTGTCTCCTGACTCCACAGACAACGTAGTTTCGGAAACTCACAAACAACTTCAGATTCTCTGCCATTCGACCAATCGCGAATATGTGGTCACCAATCTGCCCTGGCTGATTGGCTCATTGGGCACTATGGCCGAGGACGTCGCCATTTTCATCCAATTCCGTATGTACGCGGCCCAAGACACCGAAGCGATGATCACCTCATGATCCTCGCGACATGATCTATGTGTACAACTACACAACCCACAAAGCTTGAAACGACCCAACGAATGCCCCAATTGTCCGACTGAAATCAGCCGACGACGAAAAAAGTTTACAGTATAGCAGGCGTTTGTGATTATGTGATTGAATCTCCATGGATTCACGGTTATTGAATGCGTGAGCGTTTGCATCCTCGGTTGCCTTTTTGCTCAACGAGGAGAGGTTGACAGAGAATTCGCCTTCCGGTGGATACGCTCTGCATGTCTCCTGGCGTTTTGCCGTTTCAATTTGTATTTCGTGTTTTGGCTTGTCCTACTGCTATTGCATCGTTTCTGTCCGTGTCTGTATCTTCGGGCTCGTCTCTCGTGCGCACGCACAAAGTTGAGCTCGGTCAGAAACCGCTCTCGTTTACAGGGTAGTTTTTTGCTCTGACCGAGCAGTGCATTGTACATTATCTCACTACATTTCTACACTGTTAAGGCCCGAGCACCATTGCGGTCAGTGACGATATCAGAAGAAGTAGTGGAGAGGAATAGTGATGGAAATCTGCAAGATTCTCACAGCTTTGAAATGATTTCATCTGATCCTGGTCACATCTTGATCGCATGGGAAATAGCGTGAACAGAAGAGACCATCTAGATGCGGAAAACGACTGTCATCAAATTTCCCTGCATACATCTCTACTCGCCGGACCACTCATTTGTGAAATGGCGACCGGGGGACAGCCCAGAGGAAGATAATTTGTGCCAAACGTATTGTCTTCAATTCCCCTATAATCCTGGAAGCAACCATGGTATCGGCATCAAATCGGCAACCGACTGGGTCCAGCCCCGGTCCTGTGCGAATCGGGGCAGGCCCAAGCACCCAGTCTCCATTGAATGTCCATGTCCGTTTGAACCTTTTGCTATTTTCTTTTTTATCTTCCCCGTGATTTAGGTCTTCGTAGCAGGGGTCGTGGAGTATCGAGTACAAGAGAGAATCGTCAAGGGAGCCATGTGGCGGGGGCGGAATGAGAGGTGAGGGAAAGAGAAAAAAGGAAACGACTTTGAATTCGGGACAATTAAAGCGCTTAGTCGAACAGACCGAAGCCCATGTCGTCGTCAGACTCCTCCTTCTCTGTGAGGGAGTTAGCGATTGTATCACGCGGCGCATTGAGCGCATCGCATGTTTCATGAGAGAACTTACCCTCAGCCTTCTCCTCAGCGGGAGCGGCCTCGGCGGCGGCGGCACCACCAGCGGCGGCAGCGGGGCCGGCGGAGGCAGCGGGGCCAGCAGAGCCAACGTTGGTCAGGAGGTCCTTGACATCCTTACCCTCGAGAGCCTGGTGATTCAAAAGTGGTGAGTATTTGGATTCGACAAAGTGGTTGGGTTTAATCAGGCTGCCCGCATGGATCGCAAGCGCAATATCGCAGTCTGAAAGAACTTTGGATTCCAAAGATTTACCTTGGCGAAGATGGAGGCCCAGATGGGCTCAACCTCCTGGACCTTGGCGGCGGTCAGAATGGTCTGGATCTTGTCGGCCTATGAAAACATGAAATATGTCATTAGTCGCGATTCTCCAATCTTTTCCCTCAGACGCGCAGCCGTGCTTCAATTTCGATTGACGGTCATTTTTTTTCCATCGCAATTGCGGTCGAACGCGAGGATGAAAGGCAGAAGTGCGCAAACGAAATATCGGCCTCAATGCAACGAATATCGGGTTGTTGGGTTGGGATATCACGTACAGTGATCTCAATGCCGTCGTCGGCAAGGATCAGAGCGGCGTAGGAGACAGCGAGCTCGGCGGTAGACATTTTGTCGACGGGGTGATGTTGACCGGACTGGGTGTCTTGAAGATGAACAGAGGAAAGAGAAAAGGGAAGAAGTGTATCGTCAAATGCCTATCCGAACAGGGTAACCGGCCCCAGCGGTGTGTGGGAAAAAGCCCTCGCTTAGGGCTTTTCCAGAAGTGGCCTAGCTCACGGTCTGTACCCGGGACTCAGTACCTACCCTGCGCTAGTCCCGCTCAGGACAGGCATGGTCGTTGATGACATAATCGCGGGTCTGGATCACTGGACTCCAATTGTACCGTGCTGGTTTTTCCTTCTGCCAGTGCAACTTCAGTATAGAAACGGTCACTAGAAATGCGCACGAGGAGGGGGACCCTAATGATACGGGTTCTTCTGGTGATCGGGAAGTTTCGAGTTCTTCAAATCAGAGAATCGTGTGCGTTTATTGTTCGCTCGTCTCCCTGGAGCCCGGTAATTTGTTTACATCATTTACTTTTTTATTTTAAGTAATAGCGTAATAATCAGCAACGTTGCAGGTGTATCCAAAATTCAGAATCTGGGTACGATTTATGAAAAGAGTTTTTTTATAAACAAATCGTTGTTCTCAATTTGTTTGGTTCTAAATTGGGTTCACTACTCGACGCTCGTGAATTGTGACTTGTGAGTCGTTCGTAGGTATTAGGTAACTTGTAACTCGTCCATACCTGGTAAGTTTACCTGCCATCGTACAGTCATACCTCGATTAGTAGACCTACTAACCTTATGTATATAACTATGTACTATGTACTTGTAGTAGTCATCTACATTCAGTTCAACACAATCTTCTACGGCTCCATTCTATACAAGCTCTCGGTAACCGACTTCGGGATATCGAAGGTATGGTGGAAGGAGGAGAATGTTTCGAGGGGATTGGGAACTGTCGCGAGAATGGAACAACATTGTGTACTTTCCCTCTATACAATAACCCAGAGGTGGTAGTCAATTCTACGGAAGCTGTGTACCTATCCTCCGATTCTCGTGACTTTACCTTGACTATTTCTTGTGACTTTGAATCTCATGCATCACGTGATGTCTCCGCTCTTGCCGCCAAGTTGCAGCCCGTGTCCGTATCACTGGGCGGGTGGCAGAACGGATATCAATGCTATCGATTCCCAACTGACATCACGACGTGTGGGGTCACAGTACTGATAATCTTTAGCAGCATTCTTCCCTGGTCAAGTACCCAGATCTTTCGGAAATCTTGAGCATCTGCGTCCTAATATTGACTGAACTCGAACCCGAACAAAACTTACTTTGAGATATGGAATCTCCCGCAGTCACAACCCCGCTAGATCCGCGAGAGCAGCCCATTCTCGAGCGCTTGCTCCGGACCCGGGATGCACTTCTTCTGCTGAAACAGGACAAGTCGTCCTATATCAAGTCTCGTGATGTCCTCCCGCTATACGAAGAAGTCGTTGAAGAAGTTGATAAACTCAATGCTGCTCGCAGAGAGACGGACCGTCGCTTGAATCACAATCGATGTGAGGAACAATTCCTTGGCGCGCGGACTGCTCGGCATATTGCTAAATGGTGTCCTTTCTAGTGGACTATGTCCTGGATGACTGCTTCCAATTGATCTCGCTCCTCTTTTTGACCGTGGGCAGAAATAATGAAGCCCCTGCAGTGTAAATTCCCCATTCTTCTTTGGATTGCTTACTTCAAAGCTTACCCGTTGCTCAGGTACTCGCTTGCGGCTACAATTCAGGTATGGTGCTCAAAGTGCGTCTAGATTGGGACTATGTTTAACGAACTCTACGTAGCGCCTTCTTGATCATTTAGGAGAGGCTGGATTCTACAGCTCGAAAGATTTGAAATCGATCACAAAGACCCTAGACTCGATGCGCGAGACACTGGACCGCGGACGCGACACTTATTCACCAGCCCTTCTCACTCTCCTTGAGAGCAGGATGGAGCACTGCAAAATCTCATTGCAGAGATTGGAAGACGGTCTTCGAGTCCTTGATCCGGCTCTTGTGCAAACGCACGAAACGCTTGTCTCTATTCTGCGCTCTACGGCTGCCGTGAACACTCGCTCCAAAGTACGTCATTCACCAACCATCTACTGAACCAACTCGAGACTAATTTCTCTCCCGTTGCACAGTTTTCGGCCACAGAAGTCAACAATCTCCGCGAGCAACTGAAAAGGATCGAAAACACACTGAAGGATGGCAAATTTGTGGATGCCGATGGCAAAGTTCTGGCTGGATCAGATCGCCTGAAGTATCTGATGGATCGATGCTGGAAATGGACTGAGATAGTCCTCGAACGGTAAGCCTTGCAAGTATGGAGCGTTGGAAGGTTTAAGACTGACACCAAGGTAGCGAGGGCAAGATCGACGAACGCTTCCAGGATCAGTATGACCGCCTCCTCGAGATCCGCAACCAGCTCGATCGCCTCTCTGTCACGCAAGCTTGGTCTCTTCGTGAGACGGACTTGTTCGGGTATCAGCGTAAGTTGGACCGAATCGATGAGGGTCGAGTCAACGGAAACTTTGTCGATGCGGAAGGCCAACCGGCAGATCTTCATGCCCAACGTGTAAGACATGTCATTGTTTGATAGTCTCTCGATGGACCCCGCTAACATTATGCCAGACACTACTTTATTTGATCAGACGCAGCTACGCATACATTTACGCTCTCCTGATCTCTTCCGAGCCTGTATCCGAGGCACTTCTGCCCGTCTACAACCAACTTCAGACTCTTCGCAGATGTCTCGTCGAAGTTAAGGAATCCGGAGGCGTCTCCAATTCCCGCGAGCTGTACCCCTACAGTATGAAAGTATGCATCACCTTCCAGCCATATTCTGAAAAAGGGTTCTCGTAATGACTGACCGATCTTTGCAGCTCAATTCGATCGATAATATGCGTGTGGATGGAAAGTTCTACATCGGTCCCGATATTCCTGAGGGTCAAGGCAGTGTAAACTCCCTTCTAGCTGAATGCTACGACCTCGTTTGGGAGCTGCGGGCAGCCGTTGCAGATGATGACACTCAGTCATGAATTCATGGTCTCGAGGCTGGTTCTATTTGGTTCCTCCACATTCAATCCCTTTCGAGCACTGCTCTGGGGACATGTCTTCCTCGAGCCGACCCTTTTCAATTTGTCTGAATTCTCTCTTGTACCTGATGATTTCCGTTCTTAATTTTGTGGTACTGTCGATTACCCCGGGGCGTTACAATATGGAGGTTTTTCGTGAGCTCAAATCATGATCTCAGCATTGAATGGTAGTGGAATGGCTTTGATCTTTTCTTCCCATGGAACTCCTTGAACATCCAATTCAAGGGATGCCTGTCACCAAACACAGATATTTCATACTTTGAATCTTTACCAGGACCGCTTTCAGGATCTGAGGAGTTTCTCCAATCGTGTGGGCTCATACAGTACGACTTGAAATGATGCGCGAGCAGGTCCGCTGCCAAACAGGAGTATTAGGTAGATCGATCGGCACGCTATGCGAAAGGCGGAAACATCACTCTCCGTGGCAATGTCATCAAGTATTGCCCGGAACGTTCGTCCTTGGCTTCTTTTGGCTTATTCATGTTTTGAAAGAGGAAGCGAGATACCAAAATACTCAAAGGAAATGGCGTTTCACCAAAAAGCGTGCATTGTACAATATGCACAACGGAACTGTTTACTTTTGGTGGCCAAGTGGTTTCCCCACACTCTTGGCGATCCCGGTATCGGCAAACGGGCGGGCCAATGGCCAGCCCCGGAAGTGACAAGGTTCGAGTCATCATCCACGCCAGTAACTTTCCTTGTCTCCCTGACCATTTTCTCTTTTCACTTTCTCTCACTTTCCCTAGAAGCAAAGCCTCTTGGAGAATGGTGAGTCAGCTAGTTTGGAAGCAGGCTGCTGCCTCACGTCGGGTAAGTAATTACGTCGTTGAATTGTGGTCCCTTATTTCCCTCCGCACCTGTGAAGCAGAAAGACTGACTCATTTGGTGAAACACAGGTGGCTGCGCGCCTTTCTCCGCACCGGCTCTATCGTGGCCTAGCCACTGAAGCCACCTCATCTCGCATGCCCCCGTATGCGAAGATTGTCCGCAATCTTGAGACAGTGCGCAGAGTGTTAGGATCAGAGCGGTCACTCACGCTCGCTGAGAAGATTCTCTACGCTCATTTGGGTAATGTCGAAGAATCCCTGCTCACCGGTACAAACAATGGTCGTGATATCCGGGGCAAGGCCAACTTGAAACTCAAGCCGGATCGTGTGGCCATGCAGGATGCCTCAGCTCAGATGGCTTTGCTGCAGTTCATGTCCTGTGGTCTGCCCTCGACTGCCGTGCCCGCCAGCATTCATTGTGACCATATGATTGTTGGTGAGCGCGGTGCTGATACAGACTTGCCTGCTTCTATCCAGGGCAATGCCGAGGTCTTTGACTTCCTTGAGAGCGCAGCCAAGCGCTATGGTATCGAGTTCTGGCCACCAGGCGCTGGTATTATTCACCAAAGCGTGCTGGAGAACTATGCCGCCCCTGGTTTGATGATGCTCGGCACCGACAGTCACACTCCGAATGCGGGTGGCCTGGGTGCCATTGCCATTGGAGTTGGTGGTGCCGATGCCGTCGACGCGCTCGTCGACGCTCCTTGGGAACTGAAGGCTCCCAAGATTCTAGGTGTCCGCTTGGAAGGCCAGCTTAGCGGCTGGGCTTCTCCTAAGGATATCATCCTGCACTTGGCGGGTAGGCTGACCGTTCGTGGTGGCACTGGATTCGTGATTGAATATCACGGTCCGGGTGTTGAAACCCTCAGCTGCACGGGTATGGCTACCTGTTGTAACATGGGCGCCGAAGTTGGTGCCACTACCTCTCTTTTCCCCTTCTCGCCAAGCATGGTGCCGTATCTTGAAGCTACACACCGTGGTCACGTCGCTAAGGCGGCTGCTGAGATTGCTGCATCAGGCCCCGGCAATCTTCTGCGAGCAGATGATAAGGCTGAATACGATCAATTGATCACCATCAACCTCTGTGAGCTTGAACCTCATATCAACGGCCCTTTCACGCCCGACCTCTCTGTCCCTCTCTCCAAGTTTGCCGATACTGTGCGGGAAAAGAAGTGGCCCGAGACCTTCGGCGCCGGCCTTATTGGTAGCTGCACAAACTCCTCTTACGAGGATATGACTCGAGCCGAGGACTTGGTCAAGCAGGCATCAGCCGCGGGTCTTAAGCCCAAGGCAGATTTCTTCATCACCCCCGGCAGTGAGCAGATCCGCGCGACTCTTGACCGTGACCAGACTCTCAACACCTTCTCGGAAGCCGGTGGTGTTGTTCTGGCGAATGCCTGCGGACCCTGCATCGGTCAATGGAAACGTACCGACGGCGTTCCCAAGGACGTGGACAATGCCATCTTTACTTCTTATAACCGCAACTTCCCCGGTCGTAACGATGGTAACCGAAAGACCATGAACTTCCTGGCCTCGCCTGAGCTCGTCACCGCCCTCGCGTACTCTGGTAGCACCACCTTCAACCCAATGATCGACACCCTCTCTACCCCCAGCGGCGAGACCTTCAAGTTTCAAGCTCCTAAGGGCTCTGACCTTCCCAGTGCCGGATTTGAGGAGGGCAACCCCAAATTCCTTCCTAGCGCCGCCGTTCCGGACCCCTCCCAGGAGGTCATCGTTTCCCCCACCTCGGACCGCCTTGCCCTCCTCGAGCCTTTCGCTCCTTTTCCCAATGGCGACTTGACCAATCTGAAGGTACTCTACAAGGTCAAGGGTCAGTGCACTACGGACACCATTTCCGCCGCTGGCCCGTGGCTGAAGTACAAGGGCCACTTGCCCAACATCTCTGCCAATACTTTGATCGGGGCGGTTAATGCCGCGACTGGCGAGACCAATGTCGCTTATGACGAGAATGGCAAACAGCACTCGATTCCTGAGCTCGCTGAGCAGTGGAAGCAGCGCGGTATTGAGTGGTTGGTCATCGCTGAGGACAATTACGGTGAGGGCTCTGCCCGCGAACATGCTGCTCTGCAGCCTCGCTACCTGGGTGGTCGTGTGATTGTATCCAAGAGCTTCGCCCGTATTCACGAGACCAACCTCAAGAAGCAAGGTGTGGTCCCCTTGACTTTCGCCAACCGCGAGGACTACGATCGCATTGACGCCTGTGACGTCGTTGACACCGTCGGCCTCTACGATGTTCTCCAGGCCGGTGGCGAGGGCAAGGTCCAGCTACGTGTCACCAAAAAGAAGACCGGCGAGTCCTTCCTGATTCCCGTGCAGCACACCCTGAGCAAGGATCAGTCGGCGTTCATCCTGGCGGGCAGTGCGCTCAACTTGCTGGCCAAGAAGGTCACTGCAGACGGCCAATAGCGGGGATTTCCTCACTATTTTCGTTTTTTTTTTTTGCCAAAAGTTCCCGAAATCTGGGTGGTGATCTGTTGAAAGGGTCAAGTGAAGGGCCAATCGCCCGCCCTTCCTGTCTTGTTGCCTTGATTTGAGTCTTCGGTCCGCACGCATGTATTTGTAGAGTTTTATAGATTTCAGATTCTTCTGTCTTCCTGCTTGGCTAAATGATATCCATTGTGCTTCTTGATTCCGTACTACATATACCAGTCTCTCCTTGATAGTCGGAAGTAAATCGCTAGCGTACTCCATCGCAGTACCCTTCATCCTTAGGCAGTTAAGCGGCTTTGGGTACAATTTACGCATCGGTAGTCGTACTTTAGCAGTGCAGTAGTACCACAGTGTTGAATGCACGCCCTTCCGTTGACATATGCACAAAGAGGCGAGGTGGAGATTGGCCCTTCCAGTCACTGAGCGCTACAGCATTAGCCTGGAGGTCGCCTCGTGGCCCCTGACAAATCCAGCCGCCCCAATTGAAACTCTATAAAGCTTCTTTAGGAAGCGCCTCTACTTCAATCCATAAGAGATCTGAAATTTCGCATCGGGACTTGCTTTTCCGCAAATGTTCAAAATTGCAAAACATGAGTTCTTCAGACAAGAAACCTTGGATTGAGACTCCTCTCATCGAGTCTTCTACGCTCTCCAAGCACGCAGGATGGTAAGAGCTGGAGGCACTCTGGTCTTGGATCGTATCTGATTCCACTTGGCCAAATTCAAGTTCGACATTGCTGACCTGTGCAATTTTGGATTGCAGTCGCATATTTCTAAAGTTGGAGCTTCTACAGCCATCCGGCTCGTTCAAGTCTAGGTGAGTCCAACACAGCGACGAAGGCCATGTCCCCAAGTATGAGCAACGACAATGGCTGCGTCAACATCAATATCCCGCCCTTATCCCCGCAGGCTAACCATTTTTCAAAGGGGAATCGGCAACCTGATCCTCTCGGAGCTCCAGAAGAATAGCAACAAAGGCAAGACCGTCCATTTCTTCAGCTCGTCCGGTGGTAATGCCGGTCTCGCTGCCGTTCACGCCGCCCGCGACCTGGGCTGTCCGTGTACTGTGATTGTTCCACATAGCACGAAACCAATGATGATCGCCAAGTTGCGAGATGCAGGGGCTTCAGATGTGATTCAGCATGGCGCTAGCTGGTTCGAGGCAGATTCGTATCTGAGGCGAGAGTTTATCGAGAATCAGGTCGTTTCCGACTCCGGCTCCGGACAGGAGAGCGCAGATGCGGGTCTACGTCGTGATTCAGTCAATGTTTACGTGCCGCCATTCGATCACCCCTTGATCTGGGAGGGTGCTGCAAGCATGGTAGAGGAGATGGCGAGGCAATTGCCTCCTCGAAGATCCGACAAAGAGGGTGCCTCGTTCCCAGCCGACGTGGTCGTATGTAGTGTCGGGGGAGGCGGCCTATTCAACGGTGTTGTCGAAGGAATCGAGCAGCATCTGAAACGAACCACATCCATGATGTCAGGCGACACTGCTCGCCGACATCAACCAGTGCGCGTGCTGGCCGTCGAAACAAAAGGCGCCGATTCACTGGCATACTCTCTTCGTCAGGGAAAGCTCTCGTCTCTAACCGAAATCACATCTCAAGCGACCTCGCTCGGCGCTCTGCAGGTTGCACAAAAGACGTTCACTAATGCAAGCTCCCCTCCGTATGGCATTGAAGTGATCAGTGTCGTTGGATCTGATGCCGAGGCTGCCAAGGGGTCCTTGCGTTTGGCCGATGAGACGAGACTGCAGGTGGAGTTGGCTTGTGGAATCGGACTGGAAGTGGCGACCGGACAGCGGCTGCGAAAAGCGATTCCCGACTTGAAGCCAGAGACCAGGGTGGTGGTGATTGTTTGTGGCGGAAGTAATATTACTTCGGAAATGTTGGCAGAGTATAGAGCGAAGCTTCAGGGTGGCTGGGAGTGATCTCGGAAGAAGCATAGAAAGAAGTATAGACAATTAGAGACATTCGCATTGGTCCCTTTGCACGAGATACGTTCAGATCATTGTACGCAGAAAGTGAGATTGGTAGGATATTGAACCGCTACCTAAGACCGAGCCTCGAGCAAAGGCTCTCGTTTATGGTCTGAAATTTCATCCCTTTTTATTGACCAGCCTGTCACCGTTTTTCGGGCACTTCAATCGAAGCACTGCGCTCCCGTTTGAGGCTAGAGATGTCGTATAGGTCCTCGAAGGCTCGTCACTCTGTTTCGACTTCAGCGAATGCAACTAATAGATCATTATTTCAAGCACATGCAGAATTCGTAATCACTGTCTCGCCCGCACCGGTCGAATCCTCACTGCAATATCCACTAGTGATCATTGAACAGACGATGCATATACACAATCCACAACCCGAAATCTTGAGCTCACTAGGTTCACGAGCACCTCGATCACATTTCGATGGAAACATTTGGCTTGGTTGCATAAAAAGTACACTCGTAGTCATCATAGCTTCAGGAAGTGGCCAACGTGTCAAGCTCAAGTCTAAGATAGAAGCAGGAACGTGTATAAGTCAGAGGGCAATGTTGGTTGGCAAGGTTGCCAAATGGAAGCAAAGAAGAAGAAGAAAAAAAAAAACAGGCAAACAGGCAAACAACATGCTGGCAGTTCTCAAGAAATTTATGAAACGCCTTGCTTCCTACTATTCGCGAAGTCAAGGCTCACTGACAGAAGGGGACTCTCTCTCTTGTCGCCGATCAATCACTGTCGCTCGCGCTTCCACCATCCGATCCATTGCCATCGTTGTTTTGAATGCCTTCCGCCAAAATATACTCCGCAGACGCAAGCGTTTGCTTGATTGCCGCATTATTATAAACTAGGTCGGCAGGCTTCTGACCGTGTTTGTTGCGAACCCGCGGGTCGCAGCCGGCCTCGCACATCATGGCGATCATCTCGGCACCCAACTCGGGGTCCTTCTCATTGGCGTATCGAACGGCTGTGTGAAGAGGCGTGTCCTTATCGACGCGGGTCAGGGGATCACACTCGAAGAACTGAATATCAAAGAGGGCATCCATCACGTCGTCTGACGTTTCATAGGAAAGTCAGTCATGATTGGGGTAATTCAAGCCGAGGCTACAATGTAGGACAGGCCGGGAACCGACTCAAACCGCCGCGGGGGTTATTAACGTGAACGTACAGCTGCCGTAGGTTGCGCAGATATGTAAGGCGTGGTTGCCCATACTGTCCGTGACTTCGTTGAAGAATTTTGCCACGTCTTCGTTGGATTGATTTTCCATGTCGTGTAGAACTTGTTCGATGAGATGTGGTTGGTCGCGACGGCATGCTTCAACGACAAGCTCGCGGGGAGAGGCACCCTAGATGAAACCAGAAAGATGAGTGAGAAAGAGCCCGTCGGAGAATGTTCATTAAGCTGAGTGATGCCGTACCTCGTCGTCCGCCATGATCGTTGGTATAGAATGTAAACGAGGATGTCGGGGGCGGCTTAGGCGGAAGTATGTTGCGCAAAAGTCAGGGACGACAGTTTGGAGCTTGAAACACTGCACACACGGACGACAGCCCACGAAATAGCAACGCAGATGGGTTGGAAGATGACGGTGGACAAGCTGCAATTTTCAAGCAGCGCGATTTTCACGAATCTCAAACAGGCTCATTCAAACGAATCCACAAGCTTCGAGCAACCACTGACCTCCAAACCCGCCGGGCGCTGCTGTCCCCGGGGGGGCATCCCACATGCTCGGAGGATGTGTTGTTCCGATCACTCCCCCGCCATTGGCGCCGATTAGCCGCGCGCGTAATTGATTCCGCGCATTCGAGGCTCGCGATACCGAACGGCGATTTTTTTTTTCCTCTGGTCGCAAGGGAGGTCCAAGGACGCTGCCCTATTGTCGCGCGGTCTCAAACCTGCCGTGCTGAGGCGTTTACCTACAGAAACAGAGATCGAGGGTATACCGAAACTCACAGGGTAGCCAACATCATGCCACTCGTTTGTACGTATAGCACCAAAATGCATATCTCCAGGTCGCAGAGGAAGCACCGCTCGCGATACCCATCGTACCTGCGATATCCGATGATTGACCATTTGTTTTATGCTGCTCATCTTCTAGTTTGTCCCAACTGTAGCAATGCCTTGACGATTTCCCGCGCCGATGGCACGACGCAATACCCGATGGGTGTCAACCGCTTCGAATGCCGCACTTGCCCGTACGAAGACATCATCGGAGACCGGTCATACTACGAGAAGACGGAGATGAAGCAGAAGGAAGTGGAAGACGTCTTGGGCGGGGCCAACGAGTTTGCCAATGCCGATAGTGTTGCGAGTAAGTGGCCGAGTGGTCTTAGTGGACCTACATTGATCGCTGTCTTTTGGAAGACGTCACTAACGATGCGGTCTTCTTTCTTTTTTTCCTTCTTCTGTTTACAGCTCAATGCCCGGCGGAGAATTGCAACGGCGATCGTGCATACTTCTTCCAGCTGCAGATTCGCAGTGCGGACGAGCCGATGACCACATTTTTAAAGGTTGGTCTCCTCCTCCCTTACATTCTGCTTCCCTCCTGCGTGCATCGGACATGACATGACTGACAGGCGGGGAACAGTGTACTAGCTGTGGTGCTCGGTGGAGAGAGAACTGAGGGGCAGTGCAGCAAGTGCGAATCTGCATGGAGCTTACTCCTGCTGTCGTTCTGCGGTCGAGTTGACTTGTCAGATCATACACAGTATAACATATCTTGAGGCGTTTTTGGTTTTTTTTTTTTTTTTTTTTTTTTTTTTTTTTTGTTGTTGTTGTTTTTGGAGGGGGGAAGGGGGGTCGATCTACCAAAGTGTGTTTTTGGGTCTGTATTCGATCCTGCGGCGTTTTACCCCTCCAGGGCTGAGCTCACGCATCTATTCCATTTTGATTTTTTTTCCCTTCATTCGCTCTCTCATGCTGGGCTGTACTTGAGCAGCTGGGTGATCCTGTCGAGGTGGGACCCTGTCGCGGGTGTCTTCGAGTCTGCTCTTTATATTCAGTCATCACCCTCAGCGGCATTGTGCTAGAGTACATTCAAGTGACATCTGTCAAGATCGAATTCCGTCGAGAATGGCACATTGGCAACTACGTTTTTTTGGGAGATGATCATTGTGGAGTCACTGGGTTCGTTCCAGCGTAACTGAACCCTTTGGAGAACAACACAGGAAAGCTTAAGCTAGTTGAGAGCCTTTGTGGGCACTGGGCACTGGGCACTGGGCACTGGGCATTAGGCTGTGGTACTGAGTAAATAAGTGGACGCTGGATCATGGACACTGGACATTGGACAGTAGATTGCAGGATCTACTATCTAGTATCTACTGTAGGGAGGTAGCTGCCTTGAGTCACTTCAGACTTCCAAGTTGTGAGTTGAGCGATCGATAGATCATAATTGGGAGGAGGGTGCGGCCGATGTCGATCTTGAGACGTCAATCAGCGGGCCCGATGATGAGTGAGACGGAGAGTCGCAGTGGAGGGTTGGGTGCTGTAGTAGTAGTAGTAGTAGTAGTAGTAGTAGTAGTAGTAGTACCAGCCTAGTCTTACCAACTACTAACTCGTAGTAGCCTTAAGCCTACCAGGTAGGACGAGGTACGGTACTCCGACAGAGACACCGCATCATCCAGGCAGATTGAGTTTTTTTTTTTTTTCTCTCTTTTTTGGATCTTGGGGAGATGGCAATAACAAGGTCCTCCTGAGAAGCTCTATTACCACGGAAGTTGACCCGCGGCCGGGTCATCCTGCCTGACCATTCCGACCGTCGGGATCCTGTGGCTGCATTGACTTTTATTCTCTGGACGAAACAGGCTGAAACGACTCCCGTGGTCTATCTACCCTGGACAGTCAAGCTTCATCCACAGTCGTGAGGGTGGTACCCTTTCTCCTGATCATGGTGGGTTCATTGGGTTGTGCGTCGTCCACATTCTCGATGCCCTGTTGATGCAGAGACATGGCTGGCATCAACTTCTTGGGGACCACAAGACTTGAACACACGCCATTGATCTTAGCGCGACAGAGATTTCCACCTGGAGCCCACGCCGCCATGTCTTAGAGTGGCAAAAGGCCGTGGAAGAGAACAACCCGAGAGAGAGAGAGGGGGAGGACAAGCAGAGGCTTGCTCCATCGACACTGCACAACATGTCTGAAGTCATCGATGGTGGGTCCCAATTTGTTTTTCTGCAATTTGTTTGCTTTTTTGGGGGGGGGGGGATTTTTTTATTTCTCACTTGTCGGGCGGTCGTCAGTTTGGCGGTGACGGGGTGCCCCTCGCGGGGTTACTTGGGCCCCTCCATCGGTCATACTCTCTGCAGGAGTGCAGGCGCAGATGGAGGGGGAGAGAGAGAGAAATAGACATTCTGTTCGTATATCGCTTTCACCAGAGTAGTATAGTGTATAGCGTATACTGTATAGTGCATACCAGTACCTGGCCAAAATTGATTTTTGAGAGGATGTGGACCAAGTACAGAGTTAGGTATGATACGATTCATCCTACAGAGGACAGACGACAGAGATAGTGGGACAGAACCAGGCAACCCCTTCCAATGACCTCCAACGTCCAACTACAGGAACGGGGTCGGATGCGTTGCTGCCCAGTCCGAGTCCACCAGCAACAACAGCACCCATGGCGAGGGCGCAGACAGGCCAAGTGGGCTGGGCCGTCGGCGCCTAAGAGTCGGGATGCAGTAAGAGGGCGACGAGAGGCATTCTCTGAGAGCCAACGGACGGAGGGCCGACGATCGTGAGAGGAAAAGACTGGAAGGTGAAAAATTCCACTCAAGTGGAGTCCCCGGCAGAACACAGAACCAGGGAAATGGCCACTGGGGGGACCGTAGGGAATACCCAGACAATACGTGTAGTCGGCAGACTGAGCCAAAGTCTACAGTACAGCCCTCTCTGGTCGTCCGATGAAGATTTTTTTTGGGAGGCCCTTCTTGCAAATGCCCCGCCTGCGGGACGTCGGACAGTTGGACTCGTGTTCTGACTGCCAACCCCCCCACCTGCCCAATGGATGCACAGCGCGGGCAAATCGAAGTCGCACACGCACCAACCACAGGCCACGGCCACTGACCCCACCCAGAGTGGGGTCAGTGGCCCCGAAGCGGAAAGGGCTAACCCAACTCTCGCCTCTGGCCTGGGCTCGCTTGCCCCTCCATATAAGGATTTCCCCCTCCTGCCGCTTCCCACAGAATTTTCTTTCCCCTCCTCGTCCGCATCAGTACGTATAACTTCCCCCCTCCATCCTTTCCCTCTCTCCTTCTTTTCTTCTCTCTAACCCTTCCTTCTTTTTTTTGTTCAGTACCTCTACGCACGCCGTAGTCTCTGAGCAAATTTTCCCTTTGGAATCCTTCTAGTATCTTACAAAGAACTACAAGAATTCATTCTTGATCAACCGTCACCATGGGGTACGTGCTTGCCATTTGGTCGCCCGACGAGGATGACGATGGGCTCCGTCGATGAACAGCGGTGTCTGCCCGGCTGTCTCGTTGACTGGCGTCCTATTCTTCCTCCTCGGGACCGGGACCGGGATTGTGACCGTGACTTGCTCCACTTGAGAACAAGTTGCTTGCTACATCCACGAACATCGCACTGACTTTGTCTCGCAGTAAGGACGACAAGCTCCACATCAACATCGTCGTTATCGGCCACGTCGATTCCGGCAAGTCTACCACCACTGGTCACTTGATCTACAAGTGCGGTGGTATCGACTCTCGTACCATCGAGAAGTTCGAGAAGGAAGCCGCCGAGCTCGGCAAGGGTTCCTTCAAGTACGCCTGGGTTCTTGACAAACTGAAGGCTGAGCGTGAGCGTGGTATCACCATCGATATCGCTCTCTGGAAGTTCCAGACCGCCAAGTATGAGGTCACCGTCATTGGTATGTTCTCACTCGGTTGCCCATGCCCACCATCTCCGTACCTCGTGCTAACAACCTCCCTCCCCAGATGCCCCCGGTCACCGTGACTTCATCAAGAACATGATCACTGGTACCTCCCAGGCCGATTGCGCTATCCTCATCATTGCCTCCGGTACTGGTGAGTTCGAGGCTGGTATCTCCAAGGATGGCCAGACCCGTGAGCACGCTCTGCTTGCCTTCACCCTCGGTGTCCGCCAGCTCATCGTCGCCCTCAACAAGATGGACACTTGCAAGTGGTCCGAGGACCGTTACAACGAGATCGTCAAGGAGACCTCCAACTTCATCAAGAAGGTTGGCTACAACCCCAAGAGCGTCCCCTTCGTCCCCATCTCCGGCTTCAACGGCGACAACATGCTCGAGGTCTCCACCAACTGCCCCTGGTACAAGGGTTGGGAGAAGGAGACCAAGGCCGGCAAGACCACTGGCAAGACCCTCCTTGAGGCCATCGACGCCATTGAGCCCCCTGTCCGTCCCTCCAACAAGCCCCTCCGTCTTCCCCTCCAGGATGTGTACAAGATCTCCGGTATTGGCACAGTTCCCGTCGGCCGTGTCGAGACCGGTATCATCGCTCCCGGCATGGTCGTCACCTTCGCCCCCGCCAACGTCACCACTGAAGTCAAGTCCGTTGAGATGCACCACCAGCAGCTCAAGGAGGGTGTCCCCGGTGACAACGTTGGTTTCAACGTCAAGAACGTCTCCGTCAAGGAGGTTCGTCGTGGTAACGTCGCTTCCGACTCCAAGAACGACCCCGCCGCTGCCGCCGCTTCCTTCAACGCTCAGGTCATCGTCCTGAACCACCCCGGTCAGGTCGGTGCCGGTTACGCGCCCGTTCTCGACTGCCACACTGCCCACATTGCTTGCAAGTTCTCCGAGCTCCTCGAGAAGATCGATCGCCGTACCGGTAAGTCCGTTGAGGACCACCCCAAGTTCATCAAGTCCGGTGATGCCGCCATCGTCAAGATGATCCCCTCCAAGCCCATGTGTGTTGAGGCCTTCACCGACTACCCCCCTCTCGGTCGTTTCGCCGTCCGTGACATGCGTCAGACCGTTGCCGTCGGTGTCATCAAGTCCGTCGACAAGTCTGCCGGTGGTGCCGGTAAGGTCACCAAGGCCGCCCAGAAGGCTGGCAAGAAATAAATGATTTGCGGATGACTTCCCTAAGCGATGCCGTGATGAATTTTTCTCTACCCTTTTTCTTTCACAAACAAAAATGTTTTTTACTGGGATGGGAGCTAGACCTCGCTGTGTAGTTGAGACAATACTACATACAGTTTCGTGACTCATGTCAATTGTTTTTTTTTTTCCTTTCGCTTTGTAGTCCTGTAGTTTTTGTTCGTGTAACGTTCGTCGACATGGTGTCCTTGCGTCAATTCTCTTCCAACCGCTGTCTTTGTAGTGTTGTGTGTGTTCGACCTTGTCGCAGGACCTAGCGATTGCTGAGGTCGTTACGACCAGCACCTAGCGGTCGCTCGGCGTCAGGTAGCCATCAGGGTAGTTATGAGCCACGCTTTCGCGACCGTTCGTCTGGCTTGGTTCGGGATAACAGCTTTTGTGGCCTTCAAGTCCTCGGGACCTGTTGGTCTATGGGACCGGGTTCTCTTCCATGGCCATCACTTATGAAAGTGTATGACATCGACCACTTTAATTTGGACTTCAATCCATGAACCTGAATTCCCCTGCGACTACGAGTAACTTCTCATACGACCCTCTCGTTATTCAGAATTTTCATGACGGGCACCTCATCCGCGCGGGAGAGAGCTGAAGTAGAATATGTACAGGGCTGAGAGCAGTACGTCATGGGCTGGTCCTGGACTCAATGCCATCTGAATGACTTGGACATCTTGTTCTTCCTGTAAAGCTGGGTATTTGTTTCAAGGCTTGTCCCATGTGGTATGGGTACCTGGGGATGTTGATTCCCTGGAGATTGGGGAGGGGGGGGGGAGGGGGGGGGGGAGACTAACATGAAGTAGACTGTACAGTGTATAGTGTATCGTGTACATATGGATGTAGACGGGAAGGGGGAAGTATTAGATAGGTAGACTGCGTGTAGAGAGTTCAGCGCTACTGGTGCCAGGTACGGCGCGATTCGATTGAGTATGGCGGAGATTGAATTGGTTGTAGGTAGCTAGATCTTGTGTGGATGCGAGCACCTCACGTACCGAGGTTCGCTTTTGAGGGCCCTTCTAGTGTTTCTCTGGATGGAGGTCGTGTGTTATCTCCAGTCCAGCGGCGGCCTTGGAGGTGGTCTGGATATATCTTGGTGTTGGGGGGCGCTCCATGGAACGGAGAAACCAGCCCGGGCTTGAGGGCGTCCCTGGAAGGAGCCGATGCGACGCCGTCTTGTTCTCAGGCGCCTCTCGAGGTCGATGGGGGTTTGAATTGTACTATGTACTATGTACTATGTACATCGATTAACTGTTTTGTAATCTACAGACGATTCTCTTTTTCTTTTGAGGGAAGTTTCTTGCGTCTTATTTTCATGCGAATGTCTGAGGGGGGGGGGGGGGGGGGGGGGGTTTGGTTGCTTATCAGTGCCGCCTGGGCGAGCTGGGCGGGAGAAGAGGTATGCATCAATCACTACTACCTAGTACCTACTGCCTAGTATTTAATCCATTGATACGGTGGGATATATATGGCCTCGCTATCAGACAGCACTCTTTACCACGCCTCGAGGCATACATGTGCCAGCAGAGGCTTGAAGTAACGGAGGGTTCGCCACATCCTGAAAGGAAGGGCGCTCTTCTTCACTCGACTTCATGGGGGGTACGCTTTCAATCTATGAGATTGAGCAGTAGACTGGCATCAAAGATGCGGTGCTTGCAGGGAAAAAGAAGAAATGTTTTGTTAAAAAAGAAAACGGTGTCAATCAGTTTCCTCATCCTCATCTTTGATCGAACCGTCCGAGTCATCTGTTTCGTCTTCTTCTTCTTCTTCTTCTTCTTCTTCATCCTCATCCTCTTCTTCATCATCTGACTGCTGTGCCGTTGTGGCCCTCCTTGACGACCGTCGCGGAGCTTCACTTACACGGGTCGTCCGAGCTGCGTCTCGAGTCACCTCTCGAGTAGCCACTCGCTGCGATTGTTGCGGCTGTGATTGCGGTGGCGGCGGCGGCTGCTGCTGCTGCTGCTGCTGGGTTGACCTTGCAGCCTGCCGTTGCTGATCCCCATCTTCATCATCTGCCTGTTGCTCATCGCGCATACTGACAATTCCCAAGCTCGTCCGCAATCTCGATTCGAATTCCGCTCGTGCTTCCCGCTCCGCCTGCGTCAGGTCATCATTATCTGCCCCTCCAGTTCCAGTGCCGGTTCCACGGCCATGCCCGTACACTTCTCGCACCATGCCCGCGACACCCCCACTGCCCACCTCGATCTTGCCTCGCGGCCCAACCATGAACTCGATGATCTCTTCGCCGCCGTCCATCTCCCTGGTCCGGACCAGATATCCCTCCCGACAGAGTCTCGCGAGTAATTTTTCCGTCTTGTCAATGGGTGTGTTCTCATCGGCGTTCATGCGCCGCAGGTACCGGGTGAGTTTTTGTTCACCCAGGGAGCCGCCATTGAGTGCGATGACGGCAATGATGAAGCTGTACAGGGCGGTGTAGGTCCCTTCTGTGTTGGTGGAGGGTGCTCGTGTAGGAGGGAGGATGACCGGAGTGCGATAGGCCGCGGGCAGTGTACTGGTGAGAATCCAAGATTTGGTGCTGGTAGAGGATGGTTTTTCGGTTTTTTGAGCGGCTGTCCAACGACCACAGTCAGATGGGTTATATGATTCGCATGCATCGTATTGCAAAGTGACGGGAACCCGCGAATCACCGTGGCCTTGGCAAAATTCCAAGAATACTCGTCTCTCCAGAGCAGCTGCAGCTACACCCAAGATCCTACAGGACCAACATGCCAACAAGAAAAGGACCGGGCAACTCACCCCGTCGTTGCGAGATAGTCACCTTCTCTCTCGCAGGCAACTCCACCATTTCCATTCCAAACTTATTGCGCAAATGGACCTGCGCCGCCTCGAAGACCGTCTTGAACTGCCGCGCACTCTGTTCCCCAAAGACCTTGGTGCTGATATCGGGGCGGCGAATCGGTAACCGCGCATATTCGCTGGCCAACGCCAATCGCACCATCTTCTTCACCAGGGTTCCAAAATTCGAGGACGAGCCGCCGTTCTCGGTATCGCTGCCGGACATTTCGGGCGATGCGGCGTCGCTGTCGGGACGGGGTCGCTGAGTCTGGCTGGGTGCGATGTCGCCGTCAGGCTGAAGAGGGTGATGGTCAGCGGGGTGTATACGATGACGGGATGAGCCCAGGAAGGTACTGGTGTAGAGATCATAGTACGAGAGAGAGAGAGAGAGAGAGAGAGAGAGAGAGAGGGGGGGCACGTGGACGAGGGGCAGATGGACGAGGGGCGAGTTTCTTCTTCCTTACTGCGCGGCGTTTGCGACCTTGAAACGACATGTCTGTAGATGACATTGAGGAATGTGTCGGGGTGTGGATCGTGTGCGAGGACGTTCTTTGTGCCAGACTGTCTTTGTTCTTTGTGTATGCGCGGTATCTACCTGGTGTTCATAATTCAGGCTCGCATCGATGCGGATGATCATTCAACTCGACTCGACGCGACGCGACAAGATGAGAGACAATCGGCAGTCCGATAAGCCCGACGCAGCGCAAGGTGGTCCGTGCGTGCTCTTATCGATGGGGTGGACCGCCACGAATCTATGCGCTTGGTAGTCTACTGGTAACTTCGGGACCTCCATGTGATGATGCATCATTGAGGAAGGACAACGTGCGGCAGCTCTTTGCAGAGTGGAGATGGATGATTTGCGAGCTGATGAGCGTCGCCGTGAAGCTTACTGAGGGACCCGTAGAGTATGTTCGGGACGATCGTGAATTGTTGCAGAGCGCGTGGTAGACTTGATTGGTGTCGATAAGGAAGGGAAAGGGAGGGTCTGGGCCTGGTGAGCTCGGGCGATGCGCTGGCGGAGGTGAGGGGTTGGATCCAGGCCGTTCGATACCGGGAGACTCGAGGAAGCGGAGGGATGGCGAGAGATACTGCAGTGATGCAGTCATGCAGTGGTATCGGTGTAGTGCTGTCTACTGTCTAGTTCTACTGTCTCTGAATTTATACACCTGCCACTCTTGTGAGAATTCTCCATCAGACTCTAGCTGTTTGTTCTATCGATCAGTTGGATCATCCAAAGGGGCGAGGAATATTGTGAAGGTATCATTTTATCTAAAACGGACAGAATCCACGAGGAGAGAGAAAACTTGGAACTGTCATCCTTTGGCACAGCAATGACAAGAAAAGAGAAAAGAGGAGGAAACCACTCATAAAAAAAAGAGAGAGAGAGAGAGAGAGAGAGAGAGAGTCAAGATCCGGGGAAATAGGTAAAAAGTAGCACACGCTTCCGAAAAAAAGGCCCAGACCCCATCAAGCTCCGTGACTGTTGGCCTTCTCGTTGATCACGTCCTTGCTCTCCTCCTTGGCCTTCTGGAACCAAGTCGTCAGGTAGGTCAGCGACTCGGTGGAGAGCACCAGACTCGTTGTGATCACGGCCTTGCCGGAAGCAACCACGCCGTCCCCACCGCACTTTTTGTATTCCGAGCCATAGGTCTGGAATAGATGCTGCTTGACATCACCAGCGACCCGGATGGGGAGTCCGGCTGTGTCGTAGAGGGTGCCTCGGATCTTCTGGGTATCTTCGCGGATGATGGGGAAGCGCGAGTCAATCTCACTCAAGCCTTTCTCGCCAATGGCGTCGGCACGAGCGAGATAAGGAGCGAGGTAGCTGTAGGGCGTGGAGAAGTAGGGCAGGACCGGCTTGGCAAAGCGCGCATACGCCTGGTCGCTGAGCTGCAGTGACTTGGCAGCGTACGCGTTACTCTTGACGAGGGAGATGGAATCCGAGACCACGGGGTAGGATGTCAGATGCTGGTTCAGGTGGTCAGTGAATTGGGACTCGCGAGGAGGGCTGACCGAGAGCGACCACACGATGAGTCCAGAGTGTGAGATGTCTTACCTCGAGGAATTGAGAATGAGCCTTCTCTCCATTGACCATTGGTTGACCCATCGTGTCTGACTCGGCGTGGGGCATGTGGAAGAGAGGGGAGATACGACCGAGAGGTTAATGGAAAGAGGCAAAGTCTGTGAGCTGTTCAAAAAGTCGATGGAGCGCTGTCGAGCAGACCACACCTCAGTACTTATGATCGAGAGAGTAAAAAGGGAGAATATATAGCCCACAAGAGGAGGCAGCAAAGAAAAAGGCAGGAAATTAATAGAGAGGATGGAGGAGTAGAAGAAGAGGAAAAAAAAATAGTACGGAATGAGACAGGGCGGCCAGTCCAGTCTGGCAGTGTCAACGCGGTCGTTTTCACATGTGATCGCCTGATTGCGCGCGCATTATGCAATTGGCCTCCTCCAACGGCCTCCAAGTCCCTCAAACAGTTGGAAGGTCCCTGCACCATCGCATCATCTGTGCACCAACGATGCACAAACGTCCAGCTTTGAGTACACCCAGTACTCGTGTTTCCCTGCCGAGTCCTTTTGCCATCGCCCGGGGGCGGTTCTCTACTCAGGGATTGAATTTTGGACAGTTCTACAAGCAATCAACGCCGCCTGGAATTGAATTTGGTCTTTGCTTATTCCGTCATGTCGCTGGCCGCCAAGGGCTTTCCCTCCCCCCTCTCTTTTACCCTTTTTCTCGACCATCGATCATATTTTGTTTAGTCTTTCATGATGACGCCTTCTTTCTATTAAATGATCTCGCAATTGCATCTCTCCACTGAAACACATCTTTCCAACTGAGATGCCGGAATTGACTGTGCATCTGCGACTGAGAGCACCGGTGTCCTATTGTCCTAAATTCCCAATTCTGTCCTCGTCGCACGGCAGGGCTTGATAAGAGCAAGAGATTCACATGTGATTGTGGGTCTCCCAATGGCGCCTCGACCGCGTTCATCCGTGAGTTTGCCCCACTCGGGGAAGAAATGCGATGCTCAACGCTGGCTCTTCCTCCTTCCGAAAAGCACAGACTACTGCTACGTTACTACGTTCGAAGTCCTGTGCCCAAGCCTTTGTGTACAGAAGCCGTGATGGTCGATGTATCTGTGCTAATCTCAGACGTACCGTATCTCTGATGCCGTGCTACTACCTGCTTGAGAATACTCCTGTCCCGTCTATCAGGAGCGAGTCAGAACCCGTCGATCGAAGCTACAAACCTCCTACGGAAAGAGAAAAGATCCCCCCCCCCCAACCTTGTAACCCACTAAACCTATTGTACCACTACTTGGCCGCTCGTTCGGCTTCACCACCACCGGCTTCCCGTGGAGGTAGCCGTGATGTTCTCTGTCCACCGCATGGACTCGGCATCACCTGAAAGTGGGAGACAAACGGTGCCACTATCACAAAGTCCAAAGGATGACACTACCTCCATTCTCTGCGCTCCTCGGCTCGTTCGCAGGAGGGTTATCTCCTCGGGGGCTTCTTTTGGCGTTCTCTCGGAATGTGTTTCATCGTGTTCAACACACGAACGCATTGCCCGACCCGGTGATTGGGTCCAGATCCCTGCATCCCCCGTCCCAGCTAGCAGACAAGATTCATGTCCCGCGAGATTCCACGCCCGGATGGTTGGCGCTCAGCTTAGACGGGGACGTTCCGGACCCTTTATCACTGCAGTAGCTTGTCACAGGCTGGCAGTCCTCACTCCTCTGACTCCTCACGGTCTCACACAAGTGTCGCTTCCTCTGTTCATGGAAATGGAGTAAGTACTAAGTAGTGATGCTTAGCTCGAGCCGCCTCTGTCCCAGTGCCATTGTCTCTCTACGATTTGCCCTTCCCATGATGACAACTTGGTCGCAATCTTGATATCTGTTCCCGGTTTCTCCGTCCACTTCCCGGCAACAGGACATGCCAAGAACTGCGGACCATTTGATTACTACCCTTCACAAGTTCACATCCCTTCTATGTCTCCCTCCGCTCGAATGCTTAGATTAGTGTGGCTATAAGCTCTGGGCCTTCGCTCCAAGTCCCCACGGCACTTAAGTACATACGTTGGGAGGTGAGACCAGCTTCTCCCCGCCAGGCCTCGGAAGGCCTTGTCACCATTGTCAGCCCTTGGCACTCGGCGTGCAAGTTGCACGCCGAGTGATTCGCTCCCTACGATGAATCTCCGGTTCTCGGCGCAAAATTGAAGGGTAGATTTTATGCTCAACCACTTCTGTACAGTCACTACAGTGTACAACATAGCTATAGCACTTAGGGACACACGATCATTTGCCCGGTCCTAGTCGTCGCCAAATAATTCGCAGAGCCTGATCATTTCACATGATTTTGCCGCCACGCAGCCCACGCTTCCACCGACTAGTCTCCTACAGAATCTGGCCTATGAGGTCGTGGCAGACTCGCGGAAAGATTCCGTTTGTAGGCATCGCTGAGTTGGTCCGAGGGGCAAAGCATGTAGTAGCAATTAAGCCATTCCAAAGCTGTACGCAAGACGGGATGCTTGAACCGCACGTGATTCTCAGTCGATCTGCCGCGTATTCTCGATCTCGATTAATGTGAGGTGATTCCTAACGTTCGCCCAATCAGCACTAACAAAAGTGCGATGCAAGAAGGCTCAGTCACATGAAAGACAAGACACCGCAACAACCATAAGCACGAATCTTCCCAACACAAACCCGCTCGCGAAGGTCGAATCCCCATGTGGTTTCCTCATAACGTCTCTGTACTTGTAGTCACTGGACCAGTGGACACCAATCCGCTCAGCTCAGGGTTGAACATGACCTCGACAGCTCCCGTCTGTCTACCACATGCAGTTCTCGACCTCAGTATTGGGCAGGTTCAAGGCGCTTTGCAATCAACTAGCATTTGCCGGATCATTGGGGATTTGAACTCGTATCCCAGCTTGGATCACCAGGGTATCTACAAAGCATTATACAGGTTGAAGACTACCTAAGTGAGTGAATGCAGGTGGTGTGAGGTCCCGTGACATCTGAGCATGTGAGCTGTTCCAGCACTATCAGATAATTCAATCGGCGACGCGCGTGGCGGTAACCGAAGCGCCGTGAACAGTCCTCGAGAGCACGACTGTTTGGATGATTCTGCCGCCTCACCACCGAGGGACCCACAACCCATATTAGATAGCCTCACTCTTCCTCCCATCTTCTTTACACCAATCAACTGTGTTTTCTCCTTTTCTCTTTTCCTTCTCGTAGTTCACCTACGAATAGGTTATAAGCCCTATTTTAGCGCGCTAGTAAGGGTATTCGCATATCCTTACCATCCTACAGCGCTGCTTTTCGAATACGCCGCAAAAAGCACGTTATTCGATGCGTTCTCAACGCACTTTAAAAACAGCAAAAGCACAATCGCAAATCCCCAAGACTCCGCGTCTTTTTAGAACAGCTAATCAACGGCTATAACGGACCCAGTATCTAATAGACTCCGCGTCTATTTTTGCAGTTATCTAATAGCTACAAAGGGCTCCGCGCCCGTAGGACTCCGCGTCTAATCACCTTTCGAAGCCTAGGACTATAAGCCTACCGAAGGACTACAGATCCGTAACGGGACTTTAACTAACCGACTCTATCGAATTACCTTTAACGAATTAAATTCACGATTATAACTATTAGTATAAAGGGTTAAGATAATATTAAAACGATCCTTAAGGGGGAGTCTAACTTTACTATTTAGCGAAAGAGCCTTTAATACTTCCTTAAATATTAAGACCCTAAATTATAGCTTATAATAACTAGAGAGGTCCTTCTACTAATAAGTAATTACCTCTAGATCCCTTCTAAGTAGGAAGTCCGTTTTAATATTACTACCGACGAAGGAACTATCCCTAATAAGATATCGCCTAGCTAAATTAAATCTTAGATATATATAAATATCTACGAAAAGAATAAGGCTTTCGCGGACTAGAAGAAGCTAAATAGTAGCTATCTTTACTTCCTACTTAAATCCTTAGATAAGTCTATTAAGATCTTCCTTAATCTATTTAAAATAGCCTTATCTACGTATAATTATATCTACGAAATATAGGGTTAAAAGAATCTATAGCTTTTCTAGTAAAAGTATAATAAATAGAATACCTTCTACTATCGCGAGAGGGGTAACGTAGCTATCTTCGTTATAAAGTAGAAGAATCTCCTATAAGAAGTATAGAAGTTAATACTATATCCTATTTATATTATATAGTAATAGGCTTAATTTATATTTACTATTAAGTAGTATCCTACTACTAAACCTTTAGTAACTCGGCTTTAGTCTAATATAGATAGTAAGCGCGTTTTAGAAGAGGTTATTACTTAATTCCTATTATTTAAATTATCTCGCCGTTACTATTCGGCTATATCCGTCTCTACTAAAAAGGAGGGCTATTTAAAGGATAATAAAAAGAAGGATAATTCGAAATTAAAGGAAAAGGACTTAAAGAGTTATAATAAGTAGTATACTATTTATAAGAAGAAAGGTAATTATACTACTACCGAATACTTTAAGAATCTAAAGGGGAAGAATTATAAGAGTCTATCTAAGAAGGATAAATCCGACGTATCTATATCTACGGCTACGACTAGTACTTTAAAAGACTAGAAAGCCGTTAAAATACCTACCGTATCTACCGTCTTATTTAATAGGGACCGTTTCTTCCTAAATATAGCTTCTATTTAATCTATTTAATCTACCGTAGTAAGCGTCTAAAGTAATAAAAACTAATATATTTAGATAGTTAACTCTAGTACGAGTAATTATATAACTCCTTTTAAATCGTATTTCGTTTCCTTTAAAAGATACTATATTCGCGTTAGTCTACTAGATAGCTCTAAAGTAGTTACAGAGGAATACGGAGATATCTGTTTAAACCTATTAAATACCGAGACTTCTAAGATCTCTAAGGTAGTCCTTCAGAAGATATAGTATATACTATCCTTTACTTATAACCTTATTTTAGCTACGAAGTTAACTAATAATAACGGTATTACCTCTATATTTAGAACCGTTAGATTACTTTATAATACAAAAAATACTATTCTTATATACGCGGAATACCGTCGTAGCTAATATTAGCTTACTACTTATAATAGTAGCGGTTAACTTAATAAGCTTTACGCTTCTATAGTATATATACCTACGATATAGCTATCTTTCGCGCGTTCGAATTCGAATACAGATATAGCTTTAGCTTTAAAGGATTCGAAGGTTAAGCCTATCCCTATAGACCTAGCTTATTGCTACGCCTATTACGTAGGTAAATAAAAAGTATCTAAAATACCGTCCGTTTCTAAAGGAATTACCTTTATTAAAGAGATAGGAATCAAATATCCCTATAGTCCTTATATTTAAGATAAGGGCTATACGCTTCCTTTTAATAAGGGAAATCTAATTACGACTCGACCTAGTAATCGGTTATATATTAATATTTAGGGTCTAATTTCCTACTCCGTAATTAGAGATTATCGGTATTTTATTACTATCACTAATAATATATCCCGCTTCTATTAGATATATCTATTACGGTCTAAGGACTAGATCGTTAAAAAGATTAAGGAAGTTATTTAGTATTTAAAGTACTAATTTAACTATAAAGTAAAATTAATTATAGGCGATAATATAGGCGAGTATACCGGTATCGCTAATTTTTGTAAGACGGCTAGTATTACCTAGGATCCTATTCCCCTATATACTAAGTAGCGTAACGGTCTAGCTAAAGTAAAAAATCGATAGCTTATTAAGCCCCTTATAGCGATTATAACCGAAAATTAGCTACCTAAATACCTTTAGGATAAGCTACTTCTTAGAATTAATTTTATAATAAACTACCTTTAGTATTTAAAAATTAGTATAACTCTATACGAAATATTCTATAGAAAGAAACTAAACGTATTAAAACTATATATACTTAGCTACTAGGTATAGTATTTCGTTCTAAAGGAACTACGCTAGTTAAAGCTTTCTCCTTATATATTAGAAGCTCGTCTTATAGGCTATTCGTAAGCTAGTAATTATCGGCTATATAATATATATTTAAGAAAGATTATTATATCGCGTAATATTATATTTAACGAAACGCCTATTAAGGTACTCCTAAAACCTATATATAACTTAGATACGTTACGTTTTCCCGTAGGAGATACCTAAAGCGCGGCTAATTAATACTACTATATTCTAACCGATTTTTTAGATAAGGATTTTCCGAGTTAACGCGGTCCTTAAGATATACCTCTAAATTATATAAATCTACGTCCGTAGCTAGTAGTTCTAATACTATTTTTAAGTTAAAAGGACCTTCCTCCTTCGGAATATACGAAGCTACCTTAAGTCCCTAGGCTAATACTAAGAAGCGAGGTTAAACGGATCCTTAGTCTAGATAGTAATAGCGTTCTAATCGTTCTAATTACTCTAATCGTTCTAGCCGTTCTAGCTATTCCGACCGTATAGGCTATCCTAAATCTTCCTATAGATTTGAATACTACGTAAGATAACTTATTTTTAAGTTAATCTATTAAGGATATTTAAGTTAATACGTAATATAATATTCTAAGTAATATTCTAGATACTATTTAAAATATAGTCTAAGACGGTAGAGAAGGTTAAGATCTAGAGGAAACTATTCCTCTACTAAGACGCTCTACTCGTATTAAAAAGCCTTCTAGAGCCGCTATTAAATCTTAGCTCTATTTAAGTAGCTACGCGGTTTTAGCCTAAGAGGCTTATAATAGTATAGATATACTATACTATCAAAATATTATTAAAGGATCTTATACGGACCTTCCGCCGAGATAGAACTTAAGTCTCCGAGTTTTTCTCTCGATAATTTCAGAACTCGATAAAATAGTTTCGGAACTAAACCGGATTACTTTTATTAATAGTACTTCTAGGAATACTTTTGTTAATAGTACTTCTAAACTCTTTAACTCCGAGCCGAAGTCTTAGAAGGAAGCTATATCCTATCTAGAAAAAGATAAATAGGAAGCTATAATTAATAAGGAGCTTAAAAAGTAACTAAAAAATAGTATATAGACGGTTATAAGCCTACCTAAGGGTAGAAAGCCTATTCTACTTCGATAGGTCTTTAAAGTTAAATATAATAGGACCTATAAAGCGCGTCTTATAGCTAAAGGCTTTAAATAGCGCGAAGGCGTTAACTATCTCGATATTTATATATTAATAGCTAAGGCTACTAGCTTTAAGCTTTTTATAGTAATTATAGCCGCGCTTAGCTAGAAATATTATACGATTAATTTTATATCTACGTTCTTAAATACGGAATTAAAAGAAGAGATCTATATTAATCTCCCTAAAGGAATCCGCGAAGAGTATCTAGGGATATATAGCCTTCTTATAAAGACGCTCTACGGGTTAAAATAGAGCCCTAGAGAATAGTATAAAGTAGTCTTCGATATATTTACTACGCTTAGATTCGAATAGTCTAAAGTAGATTACTATATCTTCTATTTAATTTAATACCTTAATTAATCTAATTAGCTACCGAAGCGTATCTACGTTTTAATCTACGTTAATAACTATCTTATTATTTCGCCTTCAGAAGACTATATTCTATAGCTAAAGACTATATTATCAAAAATATTTAATCTTACTAATAATAAGATCCCTAATCGATTCCTTATAATCGATATCGTTTAATAGAACGATAATAGTACTATCTTCTTAATATAGGAATCCTATATTAATTAAATCCTTAAAAAGTTTAATATATAAGATATATATACGGTTGATTCGCCCTTCTTTAAAAAGGAAGTCCTAAAGCTATATAATAGTATAGCTTCGGCCGCGGACGTCCTTAATTACCGTAAGAAGATCGGTTCCTTAATTTAGCTAATAGTTAATACTAGACCTAATATCTAATATTTAGTTACTAAACTAGCTAGATATTTATATAATCCTATAAGCCGCTACTTTACTACGTTAAAACGCGTTTTTCGGTATTTAAAAGGTACTAAAAAGCTATATATCTATTACCGCTATAACCTTAAGCCCCTCTACGGCTATATTAATACCGATTAGGTAGGAAGATATATAGATAGCGCGATATCTACGTCCGGCTTCGTTTTTAAGCTAGTAGGAGGACCTATCTTATAGGTTTCCAAAAAGTAATCTTACGTTACGCTTTCTTTAACTAAAAGTGAATATATTACGGCCTTATTAGCTACGTAGGAAGTTATATAGCTATATCTCTTCTTAAAGGAGCTTTAATTTAATATATTTCTAGACCTTCCGACTCGTATTTTCGAGGATAATAATAGTACTATCTGTCTTACGGAGAATCCGGAATTTCACTAGCGTACGAAATATATTAATATAAAATATTATTATATTCGCTATTAAGTCTCTAAGGGTATCTGCAAATTTAAACGCGTTCCTACTAAGGAACAGGCTGCTAACGGCTTCACAAAACCGCTTAGAAAGATTTAATATAGCCGATTTCTTATACTCTTAGGGATATAAGATGCCCCTAGGTAAGGAATCATACTAACATAAGGTGTTTTTACCCTATTAGGTGCTTTCCTTTTCCCACGAGCATAGGTGCTTCCCTTTTTAGGAAGGAGGCATGGTTTGTTAGTCCAGGGGGTGTTTGGATGATTCTGCCGCCTCACCACCGAGGGACCCACAACCCATATTAGATAGCCTCACTCTTCCTCCCATCTTCTTTACACCAATCAACTGTGTTTTCTCCTTTTCTCTTTTCCTTCTCGTAGTTCACCTACGAATAACGACAAGCTTCTCCGCTTGCCACAGGAGTTAAGCATGGGCGTGTGACGAAAAGAATAGACTTTGCATGTATGGCCACTTTCTGGCGATTGGCACGTTTTAGAGGTTTGTAAGTAGTGAAGATATATCGAGGGGATCTGTGATAAATAGAAGTGAATGCTTTATAGACTAGACTGTACCTAGGTAGTAGGTACTAGCTATTGCTCATTGGTCTTTCTGTCGCAAAGTTCAAAATGAAGCAGTTACCTATCATCCGGCATCCACCGGCTTCCGGGTTAAATACTATGATGATACCTGATGCTATCGAGCTGACAGGCTCATACATGTACCTGTCTTCTTGATCTACAGTGCCTCTTTCTTGGAAGATTGGAGTTCACGTCGCACAGGTACAGCGTCGATCATCAACAAAGTTTTATTTGAAGGTATTATTTGACATTGTACATGGCACACGGCAGTAACCGTCCAAAGTCAACCTGCACCACACTTTCCTCAGAACCTAACTAGTCCTACCTATCACTGCTGCATCCGCCATCCGGCCGCGTGGTCTCTTCATCGGACGAATGGTGTTGGCCAAGATAGAACCTCGGAAGCATGTCAGTTCGCCTCTGTCATATGCTGGGTCTCCTCTGCGTGACATTCACATGCAGAGAACCCCGTGGACACGGGCGTTGTCGTTCGTCAAAAGTAGGCTTATGACAGGAAGACGGAGGTGAAGATGTGCAAATACGGTATACCCGAGTGTCGTCGACGCTGTTGAGCATAGACGCATGTGCCATCTTGGCCCAGTTCCTGATAGCCCTGATGGGAAGGCATGGCACCTCTACGTACTCAGCGGCTTGCGTAACGAATCCCATGATTCCCCGAGTCATGTACTACACAGGCACATACTGTAACCCAGGCGCTGCTATGCGTAAGAACTTACAGGATTTATGCTACATTGCAAACTCATCGAGCAGTTGGGAGTGGGATTTCGACACCCCCACGCTGGTTCCATTGCCTTGGGTCTTTGAGAACGCAGACTCTTCGTCTGAGAGCAGACAACCTACAATCAACGAAGATGGCGCATCTTCCACAAAGTCCAAGACCGCTGCTCGTAGCATGCGCGAACCCTCAACAATTGGGCGTCGTGTCTGCATGCGCTGAAGCATTGCGCAATTCATGGCAAAGGACCGGCCGGCTTGACCACATCGTTCATATCGACCGGATCGATCACAAGGACTGGGAATTAAAGATGGACGCGCGCGATTCAAGAAAAAAAAATAAATGTTCATGTTTTGCATTTCATTGAAACGGTCACCATTTCTTTCTGGCACCGTCTTGCAAACTGGACTTCATCGATACATTCCCGATTCTGTTTCCAGCCAAGGTGTATGCCTTCCAATCCATTGCAGGGACCGAATGTGCTCGATGAATTTTTCCCCTCGCCTTGTCCCTTGACCCTTCGCGCTCATAAATGACAAAACGCCCGAGTGAAACCGCTTAGAAACCTGCCCAAACAAGATTATTAGCGAGATTGTTGGTGAAACGAGAGAGAGAGAGACAGAGTTCTGGGTCGTAAGATCCGATCTGAAATCGATCGAATTGCACGGAGTAAAGGACATACGCAGAGGAGTGAAGAACCAGCGGTTCTTGCCGGAGGTGTAGCGGTCCTCAAGAGCCTTCTTGACAGTCTTCTTGGCGTCCTCACGCTGAGAAACCTCCTTGAAAGTGTCGTTGGAAACGGCACCCTTGAGGCCCTCAAGCTCGAGAGTGTAGCGAGTGGGCATCAAGTGGTTGTAGTTGACGACCTTGATGAAGGGCTTGATGCGGCTGCGGCGGTCGACGAGCTTCTTGCCCATACGGCGGGTGACCTTCAGGGGGTAGCGCTCGATACCGGCAACGATGGCGTAAGGGAAGGGGTGCGCCTTGGAGCCAGAGTCGTTAGGCTGGACAATGACGACCTGTGGAATCGAGCAAAAAAAAATCGCAAAGTCAGCCGTTTTGGTCCTTCATTCGCCTCGAAATCGAATATCCGCTATCAATCGTCTTCATAGCCCCCGCAGTCGTTGATTCCGGTCGCAGTTCCCCAATTCTATTCTGGTATCTCTGATTCGGCGCTCGGGTGGAATATTTCTGGTGCTTGGAAAAAAAGACTCGGAATTCGTCGTACCTTCTTACCGGCGTAGCGGCCACGGGTAATGATGGCCACACGGCCAACTTTCATGACTGTCGCACCATCTCGTTAGTGCGAATTCGAATCAAGAGGTCGAATGAATCGGATACGTACACTTCATTGTGAAGGTCCCGGTGGCGGCGAGGTTTTGGCGGGTGGTTTGTCGAGATGCGGAACAGTCGAGATCGAAGTGTTCGTTTTTTCGCGTGGGTGGGCGAAGGGCTCAGGGCAAGCGGCATTTGTGTGATAGGCCGTGATTGGATCTCTTACCGACTATGGGGCACTATGCTTCTTCAGGAACATTTCTCCATTTGGATGGATGACATCCCTTCCCGGCGTATCTTTGATCCGGCCATGGGTCGATCCTGCGTTCCATTAACCCACCGCCTCCGTTGCCGCCCTGGCAGAAAGCGGATACCAGCAGATGATCTTGTTTACATGACGACGGTGTCCGTGCCCGTTGCCCCCCACCGGGTGCTTGTTGCTATGGAGCCATCAACTAGCTCCATGATGTGGTGACCACCGAGTGGTACCCAACCTTGAACTCCACCTCCACTCTTGCTGTTATCAAAAGCAGATCTCCGGTGCTGGCTCTTTCTTACTCACCGTACTTTGCCCTCGTGTTATCTTCATTGTTTTCTGAGCGACGCTGCTGCTATTGATATGACCTGACGACCCTTGATTTTGATACCTACAAGCATTCTACCCTCACATTCCGGCATTGACCGTTGTCAATACCTTTCTGAAACAACTTTTTAAGCTTTTTTGCTACTTTGAGCCACGACAATCCACAAAATGCCTTCGCAAGACCGGGAACTTGTTCGGCATTCTGGGGTGCCTACTGAATCCAGACGACCTTCGATTCCAATGTATGTTCTAGCCACCCAATACTCCCTTGTTTTCTCGAGCCTGTTAAGCTGCTCATGGCTGCTGCAAAAGATTGGAGATTGTCACTAAGACGTCGAAAACACAGGTGGGATAGCTCTGATCCAGAGCGAGCACCTCCTCCTCTGCCACTGAATCCACGCTCCATGAGTCCTGCGACGAGATCCAATGTCTCTCCAAACATTCAAGCTGTAGCGGCCAAGTTCGCAGACAAGGCGAGCGAAACCGCCCCCAGCAATTACACAATCAACCCAATGCCCAACAAGTCCTCCTCTCCGGAGAGATCTCTCGTCAAGGGCTATCACAAGCGTATGCAATCACTTCAACCCGCAGATACAAAGAGTGATGCGCGTTCCGAGTTCCTCAACTATCTCGAAAGCCGGTCTCCTGAACGCCCACTCCGCGCTACTATCCTCGATCCAACCGAAAAGGTGTCCGATGCGAGCATGACCGCAGAGCCAACGAGACCCAAGACGGCGGATCGCGAGATGCCTAGCTTCATGTCGAGTCGGTATCTCTCAAAACCGATTCTTGGAGAGAGCACACCTCCTTCAGCCACCATGTTGGCTCTTCAAAATATGCAGATTCCTGCCGAATTGGATCCCCCATCGCCATCAAAGCCACCGAAAATGATCGCCGATCGACCTGCGGCGGAACAACCGAATCATACGATAAACACTCTCGCATCTCAAATCCACAGCCTGACCGACATCGCGAGCAGTCTGCAGCGCGAGATGGCAAATCTAAGTCGACGAAGTAAAGACAATGCTACCGACTTAATCAGCCTGAAGGCTGCGACAAACGCCAGAGACGAGGATATTCGAAAAAGTCTAAAGGACTTGACTTGTAATTTGACTACTAAGCTGCTGGATGGCGAGCTGACAAGGTTAGATCTCAGCGCACTTCTGAAGCCTGCAGAGGGTCCTAACGCGAGTGAACCGGATAGTTCTCCCAAGTCCAAGAGAAGCTACTCTGCCGCTCGACTGCCGAGCCCAAATCCATTTGCCTTTGATCGTGATCTTTGTGTTTCGCCCACGCCAATTACAGACGGCTCTGCCAGCATTGCTTTGCTTGAGAAGGTCCTCCGTGAAATGGCGACCAAGGAAGGAGAAGAGCGACTTTTGGAGCTTGTTGATGAAATCAAATCACGGCCTGCCGCAAATGATTCCGACAAAGACACCAACTCTAAGATTACGACTATGCTGGAAGAGATCCTGAACTTGGTCAAGGCAGATCCCTCCAAAAACGCGCTTGTTCGATCCTTGTCCGGGCGAGGCACCGCTCAGGGATCTGGCAGTGGTGGTGATGTTGCCCGGTCAGTCTCTACAGGATCTGTTGCTGGCACCCCTGCATCTTCCAAGGCTCTTGATGTCGCCAGAATCGATGGCAGGGTGGCAGCCACTGAGAACATGATGCCTCTCCTCCAAAGCGTCAAGAACAGTGTTATGGAGAGTGGAGGCATGACCAACAGCGTCAAGACACTGGTGCGAGAACTGCGAGGTGAAGTTCTGGGAATGGGTCGCGACATTGCCCGGAAGCTGGAGGCAATCGAAGCCAGTAGAAACACCGAGGACTTTGAAAAGCCGACACCATCTGCGACCCCGGAAGAGGTGGCTGCAGTGGTGAACGACAGTCTCCATGATCTCCGGGATCAGCTCGCTGCCACGATCAATGAGAGCCGCGAACATACTACCGAATTGTCACAACTTCGCGCAGCATTCAACTCCACCGAGATCTATGCTGCTGTGAAAAAGGCGCTGGACGAATTTGAGATTCGACAGTCAGAAATTTCGCAGCCTCGTGGTCCGGTGATGGAGAAGGAGGACATTCTTGAAACCGTTCGTGAAGCCTGGGAAACCTACAAACCAGAGATTGAACTGCAGAACTTTGGCCTGGAGCGTGATGAAATCTTGGAGTGCCTCTCGGAGGGACTGAAGGACTACCAGCCAAAGCACGAACAATCTGTGACCTACGAACAGGTTGTTGGTGCCATTCAAGCCGGCCTTCAGAACTACGTACCCCCTCAAGTCGAGTTGCCCCCCATGATCACGAGGGATGAGATTATTCTGACAATTCGCGAGTGCCTGGAAAAGCCTGATACAACTGCGCGGGCCGCTGAGGATGAGCAATCCCATCAACTCAATACTCTTCGAGAGGATATTCTACAGGCAATCACGGAGCGAACCGCTTTGGAATCTACCCCACGCCAGCTAGACGAAGAGCACCTGCACTACCTCGACACGATGAGGAATGACATTCTTCAAGCAATTGCGGACCGGGCTGTTCCAGAACCCCCAACCGGAAGCGCCGACGAGGAACACACCCAGCATCTCAACATTCTGCGGGACGAGATTATCCAAGCAATCATCGATCGTATGCCAGACAGTGGCCCTCGGGAGGTAGATGAAGAGCAAATCCATCACCTCAATGCCATGCGAGAAGAGATTCTCCAGGCTATCGCAGAGCAAACAGCTCATGACCCTACCTCAGCCCATGTCGAGGATCATATCCAGCAACTCAGCTCCTTGCGAGAGGAAATTCTTCAGGCTATTGCGGATCGCATTCCAGATCCTCATCCACGGGAATTAGATGAGAATCATCTTCATCACCTCGACGCTATGCGAGAGGAGCTTCTCCAGGCTATTGCTGAAAGACCTCTCGCTGATGCTTCTCCGCGGGCAGTGGACGAGGAGCATATCCACCACCTACATGCTGTTCGCGACGAAATCATACAAGCCATTACAGACCGTGTGCCACCTACCCAGAGCCCGCCAGGCCTAAATGAGGAGCAATTGCATCATCTCACTGAGATTCGCGATGAAATTCTGAATGCTCTAGCTGGCTCATTGGCGACGCAAAGCATGGTCAGTAAAGAGTCATATGACTCAGGGCTGGGCCGGGATGAAATCGCTAGCGCGGTATCCGATAGCTTGGAGGCCCATTTCCAAAACTCAAAGAAGTCAGAAGAGCCACGCATCACCCACAAAGACGTTGTAGATGCTGTCAACGATGCCTTCAGCGCTCAGCAGACGGCATTGGCTCTTCCAATGTCGTCTCATATTACCCGTGAAGAGATCATGGCCGCCATAGCCGACGGCATTGAGATGTCCCACAAACCTGATACATCGACCATCTCACGAGAGGACATCATGTCCGCGATTGCTGATGGCATGGAGATGTCACACCCGCTGTCGGAGCCGACCATCACAAAGGCAGATATCATCTCTGCTGTCGCAGAGGGCATTGAACTATCCAACAAGCCTGACGAAACTGCCCTTGTTCCCGCCGTGCAGCCAGTGCTGACACGTGCAGAAATCATCGAGGCTGTCTCCGAGGCCCTGGAAAAGTCGCAACAGGCAGAGAAGACAAGTCTCAGCACCTCTGTGCAAGAGCCAGGCATCACACGTGAAGAACTTTTCCATGCCGTCGTGGATGGAATTGAAAGCGCCAATACAATGACTCGCGAGATCGAGCTGAACAAGGATGATCTCATGGAGGCTATCAGCGCCGGTCTTCAAGAGGCGAACAGCACCGCTAATTCTAACATTGGTGATGAGGTGATGGTCCGTCTTCAGGAGGTGGTCACTGGAATGAAGGAAGAATTCAAGCAGTACTCCGCAGCGAATGGAAAAGATACCGAACAAGTTCTGGATGCTGTGAAGGACGGAATGGAGGTCGTCCGCCGTGAGATCGAGTCTTACGTTGCAACTGCTGCAGAAGCCGCAGGGAAAGACGAGATCATTGTTACCGTAAAGGAAGGATTCCGACTCCTCCAAGCCGACCTAGAGAAGACCATCAATGATGCGTCCGTCAGCAACGCTCCCCTTGGCAATCCTGATACAACAGAGCTTTTGGACGCCATGGAGAAGGAGTTTGAACACTTGCGTGGAACAATCAGCACACTCCTTCTCCGCGACAGCGCGACGAGCGACAAGGATGAGATACTGGATGCAATTCGGGATGTATCTGAACAGCAGAAGGTCCAACCGGGAGAAGTCCAGATTTTGAGTACACTGCGTGCAGAGTTCGAGAGCCTCCGTGAGCGCATGGACATGAGCATCGTCCCCGCTAGCTCTGGAAGTGAAAAGGACGACATCATTGCTGCAGTCCGCGAGCATCTTGATACATTCCGTGAGGAGACAGTGCTGTCTCGAAAAGATGGCGAAGAAAGCACCCTATCCGCAACCAGCGAGCTGTTGGACGCTTTCCATGACAGCATGGACGCCATTCGCGACGACCTTAAGAAGCTAATGGAGCAACCAGCCGCTTTTGATAGCTCTGAAATCGTGGACACCCTAAAGGAAGGCCTTTCCGACGTCAAAAATCAGATCGAGTCAATCCGGGTCGCCCAAAAGGAAAATGATGACGCGGAAACCGTTCGTGGAAACGAATTGATGCTCGCCAAAGAGGCCTCCCTTGGCAACGAAATGGACAGCCTGAAAACCCTGATGACTGAACTTCAAGCCAAGATTGAATCTATCGACTCCACTCCACGTATGGCCGAGCTTCCTGCGGATGCTCTGAAGCAAAGTCATTTTGATGAGCTACTCACCGCCGTACACGAGGTTCAAGTAGCTATGGGTGCACTCGGTGATCTGGGATCATCACCTGATCTACACGAGGCCGCAGCTCGCAAGGAAGATACGGATGCCATTCAAGAACTTCTAATGAGCACCAAGGCCCAGATGGATGAGATGAAATTCCCATCCCCAGACGAGTTGGCGTCCGCACAGCACATCGCAGCACTCGAAGCGACCGTCAAAGAGGCTAAAGATGGCATTACGGAACTGTCCTCCCGTTTCGAAGCGGATGGCCCTACCAAGGCCGAGATTGGCGCCCTGGAAGGTCTGATCAAGGATGTCTGGGTGACTTTGGAGGACCTCAAAGCCAAAACACTGGAAAAGGAACAAGAAGACCCAGAGGCTGACACTGATAAGCTGATGAAATCGGACCTTCAGACAGTTGAGGCCATGATCTTCGAAGTCAAGACTCAAATCGATGAACTTAAGTTGCCTGACGTGGAAACTATTCCTTCTAAAGAGGAAATCAGTGACCTTGCAGCCCTTGTCTCCGATTTTCGCGAGAAGATGGAGGCTAACAACGAACTGACGGCTCAAGGCTTCGAAGCTCGCAAGGTCGAGCACGGTGGGCTTGCTGAGAAGATTGAGGAGGCAAAACTCGTTGTTGGTGAACTCGGAGACGAGCTCAAAAGCAAGCTCGACGGCAGTGCCGAAGGCTTGACCGAGCTCAAGCAACTTCTCGAAGGTCTCGCACTCACTGCTGAAAGCTTCAGCACTGTGGAGAGCATCAGGGAACTTACAGAGCTCATTAATCGCGAGTTCGAACGTGCTCGTGGTGAAGAGGATGCCGGCAAACTCGAGAAGGAAGAGCGCGATGCGGCTACTTTGGTCAAGCATGACGAGACTCGTGCAGCGATCATTGTTGAACTCGGTACGAAAATTGATGAAAAAATCGCCGAGGTCCTCGCCAAGTATGAGGACGCACATGCCTCTCTCCACGCAAAGCTCTCTGAAGGTGAAGAGCGGGACTTGGCTCATACTGAAGCGGTGACCAGTACCAAGGGTCTCGCCGAAGAAATCAAGCTTGTTATAGGAGAAATGGGTTCAAGTGTCACCGAGACTTGCGAGCGGATCGGCATTGACACCAAGGCTCTCTTTGAGAAGGTGGACGAGTCATACAGCCGAATGGAAGAGATGCAGAGTCAAGTCAAATCCCAACACGAACAGTCTCGAGGCGAGACTGAGCGAGCTACTGCCGCCACTGAGCGCGTGGAGAGTAAGCTTCTGGAATTCCATCCTCAGATTCTCGAGGCAGTGAACGAAATTCTCAGCGTTGTCAACCGCCACTTCGACCACTCACAGAAATCCAGCGAAGAATTCAAATCTGAGCTATCCGCATTGCCGAGCACTATACCTACCATGCTGCCCGCTCTGCCCCCTGCAGAATCTGATGACCCTGTTCAATCTAAGCTCAACGACATCTTGGAACAGACTAAGAATAGCCAGGTCCAAGAGGTTCTCAACACACTCCTCGATCATTCGAAGAACGACCAGCTCCACGCCAAGCTTGATCGACTCCTGCAACGGGGCTCGGGCAATGAAGAGATCTATGACAAGCTGAACCAGCTTCTTGACCATGTCACGAACGGTAACAACTCGGTTCATGACAAGCTTGATGCCCTGCTCGAGCGTCCTGCTCCTGTGTCGAACTCAGAGGACTCCGTTACGCAGATGATGAAACTGGACGAAATGCACAAGGACATTATGGAGAACACTCGTCGCATGAACGAAATGTTTGCCATCCAGTCAGCACTGGTCGCGGAGGACACTGAGCGAAAACGTCGCGAAGCAGAAGATGCTGCGATTGCCCTGGAGCGTCGTACTACCCAGCGAGAGCAGGTAGAAGCCGAGATCATCGGTTTGCACGAGGAGAAGGACTCCCTTTTGAAGATGATCCATACTCTTAAAGCCGAGAAGGATGAGCTCGTCAAACAGCACACCAAGCTCAACAAGGAGGTGTCTGGTCTTGAGACTGCTTTGGAAATTCGTCACGAGGAGATGCAACAGATCATGGGGCAAGCTGACGAATTGGAGAAACGCATTCTTGAGGGTGTTCTCGATCACGCTCGGTCTGTTCTGTTGAGTCGGTCTAATTCGGGACAAACCATGGGCCTTCGACGCAATCGAAGCGCGCGGTCCTCTCGTGCTCGTGCCCGCAGCCCTAGCGTGATCAGTATTACCAGCACTGCTCGTGACTCCCGAGATGCACGCAGTCTCCTCGGAAACGGCGTCGGCATGGCTTTGAAACGCCGGACCCCCGCCACTTCCCAAGTCGGACAGGCTCCTACTCAGCCCAACATTGGTAAAGAGCGCCGCATTCTTAGTCTCAGCCATGTCATGGGAAATCGCGGGCCTGATCGTCAAGTCAGTGCCAACAGCGGAATCACTAGTCTGAAGCGCAGCCACTCCGTCAAATCTAACTTCTCGCTTCGAAAGACCTCCATGCCCACTCGCACCTCTGTTTCCAACAAAGAAAACGAGGCTTTCCCGGAAGAGGATGAAATTGACGGTGATCTGGAGAGCCATGCTAGGACGGAGCGCCGATCAAGCTATGCACCGACAGATCGCAAGACCTCCTACGCTGAGACTTGTACTGACAGCATGTGCAGCGGACCCACTGGAAGTGTCATTTCACGAGAAAGGCGCCCGAGCGGAATGAGTGTGAACAGCGCCGATGTCAGTACGGTCGACGGACATGACGACCATGGCCCAAGTTTCATTGCTGGGGATGACCAAGACTACATATCTGGCAGTTTGGTGGAGTCAGATGATGGAGAAGATGCAAAAACTGCTCGTGAAGGGGACGGTGATGAGGAGGAAGAGCGGGAACTGGATGAAGGGTTGAGTGTTGATCAATCTAAGATACATGTCGAGGCGCCAGGTGTCACTCAGCAAGCAGACTTGGAGGCTGAAGTCATGGGGATGCTCAATCCTGCCGGGGACAATACACCAGCTGCCGGGCCACCTGTCAGCGTCGCATAATTTTTCATTTGTTATTCTTACGACTATGTTTATGAGCCCTTGCGTGTGTTTCAATTGTATGTTACTCCTCTGCTGGCCTTGATTTTGATTTCCTATTCAATGCACTCGATACCAGAGCGTTCTTTTTCTATTAGTTGTGTTCTGTTGGTGCATACATGCCTCAACAAGAACCGATGTTCGATGCCTTACTTAATCAATTCAACACAATTGAACATATGCACCATATTTAACTGCCTGCTCACACCATTCCTTTCTTAGGGCTAAAGAGACTTGCATCTGCCAGCGGCCCAGCATACTTCCTCAATCAAGTGACACATGAACTCGTAGTAATAGTCTCTTGAGATCGTGCTGGTCACCAGAAGCAGGCCATGCTTGGTCTCGTGATGGACCAAGTCATGTGCGCTGATCCCTAAATAATTTCTGCTGCCTGAGGCCGGACCGAGGCCGCATCGCCTCGGTTGAAGCTCCGCTTCTATTTAGTCTTTCCCTTTTGTCTATCCGTCCACTTTGACAGGTGCTGTGCTCTTGCTCGTTCGGTGAGCCAGACAGCCTCCTCGAGCTGCAAAGTGTCTGTCAGTATTTTGAAAGATCCTTGTCGCTATACTCAGAACCGCCTGTGGCCACTTTGACCTTCCATTTCCAACTGCAGTGTCGGAGCTCCCCGCATCGATAAGATCTCACCAAAAGGGGGGCGCCCATCCAAATCGTGAATATGCTGGACCCTTTGGGTGCACCTCCAGCCTGGCTCAGGGTGCTAGCTGAGCCGTACGCACTCGCCTTGAAAAGTCCGACATTATCAGAGCACGTTCACGAGGTCATTGGCAGCTTCTTGTTCTACCAATTTATCCACTCTGTGGTCTCACCTTGGTTGTCGCCAATCCTCTGTCCCCGCTCCTACCCGGCTCTGAGTCCTCGGACCAAGTTGAACTGGGACATCCATGTAGTCTCACTCGTTCAGAGCGTCGTGATCAATGCCGCCGCCCTCTGGGTCATGTACTCCGACGAGGAGCGGCAATCTATGTCATCGGGAGAGCGTATCTACGGATATACCGGTGCATGTGGCATGATTCAAGCGCTTGCTGTTGGATACTTCATCTACGACCTCATTGTCAGTGTGCAGCACCTTAAAATGTTCGGCATTGGGATGTTGTTTCATGCTGTCAGCGCACTCTGGGTATTCAGTCTCGGATTTGTACGTGTCGCACCCGACCCCAATCCCTGCATCATCTATTTAGATCCCAGTGACTCGTGCATTTATTTACACTGACAACATTTAACGTGCCACAGAGGCCCTTTTTGAATTACTATGCGCCTGTTTTCATTCTTTATGAGCTTTCCAGCCCGTTCCTCAATATACACTGGTTCCTTGACAAAGTCAACATGACCGGAAGTCGGGCCCAGTGGTATAATGGCATGATGCTTCTTGGTGTGTTCTTTTGCTGCCGCTTGGTCTGGGGAACCTGGCAATCAGTCATTGTGTATCAGGATATGTGGAACGCCCTTCAACACAAGTGGTCTGCCGCCTCATCGTCTCCCCTTGACACACCCGTGAATATCGGAGCCCATGTGTTTGCGATTCGAGACGGTGACATGTGCGTGGACGAGACATGTGCTCGCGCCAATGCCGAAATTTCTCGCTTCAAGGATTTCACCGCTGGTGGGGTACCGACTTGGTTGGTTCTGACATATGTGACCTCCAATATCATCCTGAACTTCCTAAACTATTTCTGGTTTTCAAAAATGGTCGACACGGTTTTGAAGCGTTTTCGTGGCCCGCCTGCTGACTCTGCCGAAGCTAAGAAGATTGATCGAAAACCCGCGAACTTTGACAAGCTTGCCCATGATGCTGTTCTTGACGCCGCATCAACACTCAAAGACAATGAGGATGCTGCGTTGCAGGGAGAGAAAGTTTCGTCTGCTCTCGATGCCGAAGTGGCAGATGATTTGCGTCGCCGGCGCGGCGATCTGGTCGCTGACTTGCCGGGTCCAGGATCATGATTCGCGGTCAATTTTCAAGCCACATAACCGAAACCAATGTTCTCTCCGCACATCTTTGTGCGAATAATTGGAATCGTCCCTGGCTTTCTCAAGTTCCCTTAAATTGGAGCGCCCTTTCCGTGACCATGCTGGCATTGGTCTCTGCACCAAAGCTAATGGGAGCTCTTTTGACGGTGATTTTACATTTTGTGTCAGCCTGAAACCAAGACATAATATTTCAATAATGTACAAGGCACGATTGACTCAGACGTCTGAATCTCTCACACGCCTGGTGCTATAGTCTGTTTGTCTTTCTTGTAGGAATTTGTTTGCCTCCAGCCCACTGTAGCAAGTGCCTCCAAATCTGGAAGCTGTTTCTAGGTGCACCGTAAGTAGATTTCGTTCGGAGGCAGAATTGCGCCGCACTTTCAAGCACACATTGAAGCTCTATCCTACTGTTCTTGCCTGGTTGTCTTAGCAAAGAACTAATTACAAGCAAAAAAGCATTACCACGATGGAGATGAGGAAGGGTTGCATCTCCATCCTAGTCATGACCAGGCCACGTTACGAAAGCTGACATTATATGCCTACCCTTTGCTAGCCGTAGGAGGCCTGAGGAAGTAATGCAAAACATTGGAAGAAGAATAGAAACTTGGAATGTCCTGGATAAAACATCGACGCGAATATTGAGCCCATCTGAGATCCTTGCTAGCCAGACCAAACACCTCGGAAGCGCCCCAAGCAAAAAGTCCCAGCATATTAACCATCGCTACCCAATATAAATCACAGGACAATGGAATCAACGCGGTGCAGCAGCCTCGGGTTTGGCCAACATGTAGCGTACTGCCTCCTTCGCAACGGGAGTCTCCCACGCGCTTTCCGGGCCCCCACGACGGAACTCAGGACCACTGCCATCACCCACACCATTGGCGTCGCCGATGATCATCTCAAGATCCCGGCGCTGAGAGTTGGTCCAGCGGCGGAGGAAAGTAGCAGGATCGTTGCCGAGAGCCTTGTAGAAGGCGTGGCGCGCACGCGAATGGGTGAGAGCCTGGATGATTAGTGCAACCTGGTCATCCAAAGCGGCAATTTGTCGGAGACCAGCTGTGTATTGGGGATTTTGGGTAAGAGCCATCATTTTCTGGCGCAGGGGGTCTTCAACGGCGACCTGAATATCATAGATGGTGGGAGTAGGGGATTTGTGAAAGTCTTCATCGACGCGAATGGTGTAAGGTAATTTGATTGGGTCCATAGGGCTAGTGTGAGGCCCTATGCTTTCGGGAATCTGAGGAAAGAACATTTGATCGCGACCGAAGATCTGGCGGCAATCGAATTAGCTCGAGCGATCACACAATGACCAATCTTCGTGTAAATGACGAGCAGCTTTGACTTACAGCTCGAAGGCGATGGTCACAGCGGACTTGTCGCTTCTCCTCATCCTCCTGAAGTCCCATAGCACGGATATAATCCCAGATGCCAAGTACGATCCCGCTTCGAGTCTCTTCTTCCACGTCCAGAACTTCGGAAAGCTCCTTGCTCAACTTGTATCGCTCGGGTGTCTCGTCCCGCACCAGACTGATGGTGACATTAACATTTTCTTGCGAGCTGCGCGAGAATTGGATGCTGTCGAATTCGGCATTTGACGGTGTCGTCGAATTACCGGATGCCTGGGGCTTATTCCATGCGACAGGCTTGACCTCACCGGCATTATTTGCCGATTTATCGAAATCGACAGTGATGGATTTAAAGAAGTGTGACAGTCGCTGTGAGGGTTTCCTGGCCCCGGCTTGTGAGGAACCGCCTTGACTATCCCTAACCCCATCCTCGTTGTCGCCCTTTGATGACTCATCTTCATCCTCTGGCACAGTAGGGTCATTGTGATCATCTAGTAGCCGACCCTCAATGCGCACCTTGAAGCGCCCAGAACCAGGGTTGCCACTTGCTCCTTGCCAAGGTTGATTTTCGACAGTGTTCGTAATCCACACCCGAAGAGTCCGATATTTCTTCACAGTTTTGCTGATGGAGTCTTGAATATCCAAGCGCTTTCGAACGATCGCCGCATCCAATCGCTTTTCCAGATCACGAAGGTTATTGTATTGCCCGACACCGTCGCCAATGACTATCTCGTCAAGACCCTCGGGCATGTTCTTGTCAGTTGGTTTGCGGCTACGGCGAAGAGCCGCGTCATTTGGATGGGGGATTGTGCGCTGCGCGGCCAAGTACTGTGGGTTCATCGCATGCTGAGGCATTGGGACTGGCATTGCGCCAGCTACTTTGCGGTTAGTGAGGCCTAGATGGAGCTGTTCCCAAAGAGACGAACCTGGACCAGCGGCGCGACGTGTCGCGGCAGGAGACTTCATAGACCCCTGGGGGTAGCCTCGCGCGTAATTAGGCTGCATTTAAGCGGTGGTTGGAGAAACTGCCCGAATCGGATTCTGCAGACCGTCGTATAGATAGGAGGACAAACAGGGCGGGCTGGGAGTCGCGATTCTTCTGCCGCTCAGCCTAACCCGATTTGGAAAGTTGCGCATGACACTGTCCTACTTCTCAGCGCTTTCGCTACAGTACTCTCAAAACAATCAATTTTATGTCTACACAATATGACTTGAGAAAAGAAGTCAGGAGTCGCTTGTTCTTATTTCCCATGAATAAACATGTTCGCATCGCTAAGAGACCAGTGGATTCATGTCTATTCACTCCAGAAGCGATGCCTGATTAGTGTACAATCCTTCCACCACGTTACTGAGTTTCTCAATAGTCTCCAGTGCGGCATCGTAAGCCTGATCACGTTCTGTTTCATCGTACACAATCAAACAGCCTGATCCTTGATCAAGGACCCCAATGATCACCTTATCCAGGATCATCTGTGAAAGTTTCCGCTCCACCTGCTGGGTGTCCAGACCGACCATCTTGGCAATGTGTTCCAGCTCCACGCGACTGAATGGTTCGATGACCTTGATCAGATTCTGCTCCAGCATGGCATCATAGAGCCGTCGCAGGTGGTTCCGAATAAAGGTGTCGCTTCCGAGCTCGTAACGATAGTCTGAAAGGGCCTTTTCGTATTGCTCGAGGGACCGGTTGGCATGGGCTCGTGCAACTGCCTTCATAGCTTCCAGACGAGGGCTTGCATACTTCTGAGCCTGTTTGGAACCCAGAAGCTGAGTGACATCATCCACCAAGTTGAGCATGATCTTACAGAGCAACATGTACTGTAGGGAGGCAGTTGCCAGCTCACTCTCATCGAGCGAGCTGTACCCTTCAAGTGCTTCGATGAAGTACGAGAACGCGGTGGTGAAGTCCTTGTCCTCGGCATGCAACATTCCGCTCTGCATATCCAAACCTGCCTGCAAATTGGGTGGCGTGTAAACAGATGCCGCGGACGTCCGGGCGGCTGTCAAGGCGGCCCGGCCTTTGGCCTGGTTGCCCAATGCATGATAAGTCCGCGATTCGAGCAGTTGCACCTCAACCAGCATGAGCTTGTCGTCCAAACGCTTCAACTCGCGAAGAAGAGAGTTGATGAGAGTAAGAGCATCGTAGTAGCTCTGCTTCTGCATGTAGATTGCAACCAGGCGCGCCTGGAGGTTTTGTCGAAGGAACGATCGGCGCTCCGCGATTGCCCATTCTATGCATGACTGAATGACGGCGATTTGGAGGTCCAGGGTGTTGGGGATTTCACTAATGAGGTCCAGGAGCTGGCGAACTGTCATTCAAGTCAGGGTGAAGCTCTCTGCACTCAATTGCTGGCTACTCACCCAGTTTGGCTGTCTTTGCCTTGGCAAATGACGAGAAGGTGTCCCGGCTTGTCTTGATAAGATCTGCGATGTCCTGAGGCTTCTTCGCATCACGATACAGCTCCCCAAGACCTATGAGCGCCTGCTCATAGTCTCGTGATGATGCTTCTGTTGACCCTGGACCTTCCGAAAGGATCTTCTGGTAAGTGTTGGCTGCGGCGGAAGGGTCCTGCTTGGCCCGGTCACGGACTTCCTGTATCCGTGGGGAGACCTGCAGTGTGGCAGCCATGACGAGCGGTCAAGAGGGAGTTCAAGAGCAGTTTATAAATGTAAGAAAGAAGAAAATCCGTTGATGAGACAGGAAGGACTGGGTAAGGTGAGATGACGACGTGACGGTTGGGTTAAACTCACGCTTAGCCGGCGGACAGTCGGGGAGCTTGAAGCTGGCAGCTATGGATCTCACCGCCCGGGCGACGAATCTGCCCGCCAACAGAAAAAAAAGTTCTAGTCGCCGCCTTAGCCCAATCTCTCCGCCACAATCATATCGTCAACATGGTAAGTTCAAAGATGTCTCTTTCCACATATTGCGAAGGAGATGGCTCACTCGAAGTCAGAAAATCAAAGCGCTTTCTCGCCCAACTGCGTCACAGCAGGCGCCTGGGTCATCCACTGTGCGCCAGGCTCGAAACCTAGACCCATCCCAGCACCCGTTTGAGCGGGCGCGTGAGTATACCCGTGCTCTCAATGCTGTGAAGATGGAACGCATGTTTGCCGCTCCGTTTCTGGGTCAAATGGGAGACGGTCATGTTGACGGTGTCTACACAATGGCAAAGGATCCTGGTTCGCTCGAAAGATTTGCCAGCGGTAGCGGTGACGGTGTGGTGAAGGTTTGGGATTTGACCACCCGCGAGGAAGTTTGGAACACACAAGGGCACGAGAACATTATCAAGGGCCTCTGCTGGACACAGGAGAGGAAACTTCTGTCTTGCGCAAGTGATAAGACTATCAAACTTTGGGATCCCTACAACTCTACACCGGAGGCTCCCCCTCTGGCAAGTTACCTCGGCTCAAGCGCCTTTACTGGTCTCTCGCAACACCGAAGTATTCCTTCCTTCGCAGCCTCTTCCTCGGTCATTTCAATCTACGATCTTTCTCGACCTTCATCCACGCCTTCTCAGACGCTGCACTGGCCGACCAGCGTTGACACCATCACGTCGATAGCATTCAACCAGACTGAGACATCTATCCTTGCCTCAACTGCCATCGATCGCTCAATCATCATGTACGATTTGCGTACTTCGTCACCTGTTCAGAAACTCGTCTTGAACCTAGCGTCGAATGCTATTGCCTGGAACCCCATGGAAGCCTTCAACTTTGCCGTGGCCAACGAAGACCACAACGCCTATATCTTTGATATGAGGAAGATGGACCGGGCCCTCAACGTTCTGAAGGATCATGTTGCTGCTGTGATGGATGTGGAGTTTAGCCCCACAGGTGAAGACCTAGTCACCGCATCTTATGATCGCACCGTCCGCTTGTGGAAGAGGAATCGTGGTCACTCGCGCGATATTTATCACACCAAGCGAATGCAACGGTATGTACAATTCAACCCAAGAAACTCTTTCAGAATCATTGCTCGAGTGCTAACGGTCTCGATAGTGTCTTTTCTGCCAAGTTTACACCTGACAACAAATATGTTTTGTCTGGGTCTGACGATGGTAACGTTCGCTTGTGGCGTGCCAACGCTTCTGACCGCAGCGGTATTCAAAGTGCTCGCCAGAGGACTAAGCTGGAGTACGACCAAGCATTGATCAAGCGATATGGGCACATGCCCGAGATTCGCCGTATCAAACGCCAACGTCATCTGCCTAAGCCTATCAAGAAGGCCGGTGAGATCAAGCGTGAGGAGCTCGGCGCGATCAAACGACGCGAGGAGAATGTGAGAAAGCACACCGCCAAGGCCAACCTCAAGGGAAGAAAGAGCGAGCGCGAGAAGATGATCCTGGCTCGCGAGCAATAAATTTGCACTTCCGCTGGCGCGTTCAAGTCAGCGCCAAAAGCGCTCTGCTTTCACAATTTTCATTCCACATGATTCCTCGCGTTGGTGTTTTTAAATCACACGCCTTTAAAAATAATGGATCTCTCATGGCCACACAAGCACAACGTTCTTCGCCCATACTGTTTTTCTTCTCAGTCTACCTTCTTTTCGGTCTGCTGTGAGATTCTAGTCTCTCTTCTCTCAGTTTGCGGGGTAGCCGAAGCGACGGCGTTGTCAATGCGACTCAGGTATCGTGCGATAAGCTGTATTGCCCCAGGCAACACAGCGTACCAACTGACAAGTGTCGCAAATGTGGGCAACCTCACAACACCACCGCGGCCGCTGTCTACGGCATCCACAATTTCGCGAGCAACCTCGAGTGGGTCCAGCACAGGTGCAAAGAAATGGCTTGGAGTACGGATCCAACCAAAGAGCGGCGTGGCCATCTGTCCCGTCTCAACAAGCAAGAATTTGATGTGCTCTTCTCCTCGAAGTTCTGCTTCCATTGTCCGGTGCAGCGCGCTGAGCCCTGCCTTGCTTGCTGAGTAGTCTGACAGCCCTGCTGGAGATAATTGTCCCAGCACTGAGCTGACTGTCACGATGGTACCTCCGTTTTCGGTCTCCGTCATCATATTAGGAACAAATGTCTGATATAGGGAGAAGGCGGCCATCAAGTTCGTTCGGACAGTCTTCTCAAAGTCTTGCGCAGGCAAGTGCAAAAGAGGCCTGCCGTGGATACCGGCTGCAGCACAGTTGATGATGATAGACGGAGGGCCCAGCTGTAGTATAAATATCAGCCTCCATAAATTCATGACCAGAGACACCGTTTCACGACCTCACATCTTTCTGTAACCTACCTGCTGTTCGACTTCTTCTTTGGCGCTCTCCAAAGCACGGCGATCGCCCACGTCGCATGTAATATAGTGCACATTCTCACCAAACACCTCATCTTGCTCCTTGTCACTCATTTTCCTGATGTCCATGACTGCCACACTTGTTCCCTTCATAGCATATATCTGCGCAATCAGAAGCCCAAGCCCGCTGGCGCCGCCGGTCACCAATACCACCTCATTCGCCGGGTCAACCTGGCGTGGAACCCCGTAGGCGATACGCTGGTTGATAACTCGCGCAACAAGGAGTATAGTCAGTGTGGTAGCATATATCACAGACAAAATGAATGCAGTGTCTGTTACTGGTGTGACTTGGGCGCGGAGACAAAGGACGATGACCCAGCCGATGAATGGGCTGAAGATTGTCTTGCCGCAGACCTTGAGAAGAGTATCGAGCGTGAGATGATAATTCCACGGCTTTGGAGCCGTTAGAACTGGCAGCGTACTCCTCGATGAGACTTTCGGCAGTGACTCCATTGTCGACATAGACTTATTTGATTTCAATTACCTCTGCGGTCTTTGTAAACTCGGGCGGTTGGTAGGGACTTAATGGTCAGGAGAGGCGCCGTGATCTCACATTTCAAGAATTATTGAATTGAAAGAACGAAGTCAGCGTATGGCCGTCTTTTCTCAGGATTTGCCAATGGAGACGTGGCAGGTGCTAGTACTAGGCTTTCTCCATGTGAGTGGGAAGCTCCTGAAGTGTTTACCGAGTTGGAATCGCTCGTGAAGCACATGCAAGTGCCCGCCTCATATGGGGCCGATAAGATAACAGGTAGCAGACAGCCCGCCTGTGTCTGGGTACGAGTATGACTCTGCTGGGGATAGTAAAGTTATTTTCCAATTTTCTATGTTTCATGGGTCTTGAATTGATTTCGGAAAATAATCTATTATTTCCCGGAAACGTAAGTAGAGCCTGATCCACAATTGATTTCAAATTTACGGTATTATACAAGAATAGATTATACTGTAAAGAAAAATACAGAGCTAAGTTATGTAAGACTTCTAAGTACTAACGTAATTCCCGGTTAAGCCGGACACCCGGTTAAACCGGACACCCACCACCATTAGGAATTTTGAATCAAGATAATTCGACCAAAACAATATTAATTCACCTCAAATTAGCGCTTATTACATCGGTTTATCTTATGGCCTAAATCTCCACACCCACTATACCTTGCTAGAGCCCTTTTGCGTGGCAAATCTGCCTAATTCGCCGATTCGCCCGCCTCATACGATACTACCTAGTCCTCTTCTACTAGCTACTCTGGCTGCTGAGCTAGCTATAGGCCCTCTGCGATAGTTAGGCCTTCTTCGTGAGCTATCTACCGATACAAGCGTATACGTTTCTAGCGTTTCTTCTTATTCGCGCGGCGTAAATCGGCGTTCTCCTACGCTAATATCGCAGTGTTATATATTGATAAATAAGTACCTTTGATAATCTGGTCCATAGTAGTTTTTAAGGGCGACGGAGGGCTATTTAACCGCTGTTTTAATAGATTCTTAAGTAAGGTAGCCTACCTTTATAGCTAAATTACTATTTTAGGCGTTTTTGGTATAAATTAGCTAGATCTACTACTTAGCCGGCTAGCTAGTAGTATTAGCGTATTTAGCGAGATATTTAACTTAGCTAGTATACGCTCTAGCTTAAACGGTGTAATACTAGTAGTAGCGAAGCTAGTCTAGATAGTCTATAGTTTAAAGGCCTTAGCTCGCGCGCGAGGATAGACTACGAGAAAGTCGAACTTATCGATATAGTTATAGCTATATCGGGCGAGGTCGCTTACGAAGCGACCGTATATACGCTTAAGCGGCGCAAAATATATAATATTAAGCGGTTAGAGTAGATGTGAAGAATACGAAGGTATACAGAGAGGTATAATATCATTCTTAGCGTAGACTCGGTCGAATTAAGGCGTAAGGTAGCTACCGTGGCTATCAAGAATTAATAGCCGATATCAACCTCGTACGCGCGAATTTATATATAGGATAAAGTACTTTTATAGCTAGCGAAGGCCTATCTCATCGGTAGTCTAACCGTTATTCGAGACCTTAATTCGCTAATCGCTCGGTAGATTTAATTCAAACTAACTAGCGATATAAACTTTACCTTGAAATATCACGTATAGCGGGAGCGAGTAGCTATCAGCACAGATAGCTTCGATAGTAGTAACCTATTCGCGGTTTCCTAGCTATAGGATAGAGCGCCGACCGTAGTATTTAGCTCGAGTAACTACCTTCTGTAACGATATAAGGCCTATCGCAAAGCTAGTCTTATTAAAGTTGTAAATATCCTCCGCGAGGATACCGTTCTCTTCCACCACGCGCTTTACGCTCTTAAACCACGTACGAATCGATCGGGGATCCTCGTTTAGGGCGCGCTAGTAGTCGTATCGTCTTAAGAACCGCGTACGAATCTTATCGCGGCGTTGAATAAAGGTTGATAGCTAATTCTTGCTAACGGTAGTTGGGGGTATCTCGCTACGCGCCGTAAGCAGAATATTCGCTATTTCTCGTACGGTAGACGGCCGCGGCGCTACTCCACGCGAATCTATAGAGATAATCTACTTAGTAAGCGAATCCTCTTTAAGCTAAGTCAATTTTTACCGGTAGTGGTATTTATCCACGCGTAAGGATACGCCTACGGCGCGGTTATGTAGTGTAGAGAGCGGTATTTTGTATAGCGTGGCCGCTGCGCGTAGAGATTTGATATTGCCCTTCTGAAGATCCTGAATAGCTAGAAGGATCTTGCCCTCCTGCTTAGCAGATTTTTGCTAGGATTCAGAGCGTTTTGGCGGCATATTTGCTGGTTGAAGCGGAGCGTGTAGAGAGAGAGACGCGATTTTGGTTGGGTGTCCGGTTTAACCGGGTGTCCGGCTTAACCGGGAATTACGTTACCGTATATCAGACTGTTAGTTAACTAAGAGACCCCGCACTAGCGTACACAAAATTATTTTAAAATTCAAATTGCATTTACTATTTATAATCTCGCCAGGTACCTCGCTTACTCTATACTTAATTCCTATATTTTAGAATTCGTTCTCTAGCTAGATAAGTCGCTCTTACTCGAAAAGATCCTCCTTTATTTCTGTTACAGTAATAATATCATTATGTTCTCAAGGTTTATCATCTGTACTAACTACCCGGTGATTCATACAAATAAAAACTAACTTATTTATCTTGTCCGGGTGTAGTGAGTCACGACCTTTGGACCTAACAAAGTTCATTACAGAGAATGATCGCTCAGCTACGACAGAATTCGCTGTTGTGTTATACAATCGGATGGCGAGAGCTACAAGCTCGGGCGCAAAGCGGGACTAAGGATATGAGTTAGCTTAAGACTTGAGAATTGAATCTTTTAGACTTGTGAACAGTTACCGCTCGTATCCAGAAAGTCTCTGGTGTATGCTCAGTCGAGATTCCTGCCTTGCTAACATCGTAGAACTCTTTATGTTGGCCCCGGAAAAGTAAGAACTGAGTCTCATTACTAAGTTACTACTTAACTTAGTACATAGTACTTACATCTCTTTTGAGGACACATGTACAGTTCATACGGATTCAAACACTTGCAAGTCAACTTGACTGAAATTTTATAGCAATTGCGCACAAATATTTATCACGGCAATTTGAATTTGAAAATCCGTGGTGGTCTCGTAAGCTCATTTCCAGACCTCGGGAGGGTAGACCTGTCCAAGCGTGGTGGATTTTTTCGCGCAAAGCCATCGGTCTCAGGAGTCCCCTTGGGACGTGATGATGCTCGCATCTAGTTGAGACCCTGCCAGACTGGTGGGGGACGTCCGGCATCTTGCGCCATCTTCGCTGGACCGTGGAGTTCATGGCTGAAAGTTTGTGAATGAGAGCTCTCAGTAAGAAGTTTCATATCACCAGAGTCCAACATGGGCATAAAACCATTTCCAGCGTCAGGATACAGACGGTGGTCTTCAACAGCGTCCTCGTAGATCTCATCTTCGTTTTGGGGTTCAGGGCTGACGGATGGAGTATCTTGCAAGCTGAATGATACCCGTCTGGTTTGCGCTTTTCTGGCAGCGGGTGTACTGGATCCATTCACTGGGCTGGAATTGGCCGACGTGGTAAGCCCACCAGGTACGGCAGCCATGGAAGCACTCGAATCTCCTGCAATACTTTCACCAGGAGCGGAGGAAGCATTGTTCAATGAGAGCTCCGTCGATGTCGAAGTGCGACGCTTCTTAGCAGAATTGCTATTGGGTGTGGCGTCAGAGACATCGGATTCAGAGCGACTTCTCTTCGCTGACCTCTGTTTTGACTCAAGCGTGGTGGTTTGGTGATTGGTCGGTTCCGGAGTGTTGGGTCGTAAGAAGAACTGTGATGCCGGCAACTGCTTCAAATTGACTGGGAACATCGGGACCGTTGGGTTTCTGCTTGAGACATTGACCAGGAGCTCAACCAGCTGAGCATGTGAGAGACCGGAGAGGTAGGCGCGTCTCTCGTCAGGAGTAAATTGCTCACCCCCAACTTCAAGTTGAGGAGCCGCTTGTAGTCGAGGATGCAGTGTTCGAGTCGCCTTCTTCGTCTTGGCAGTCTTCGTCCTGGCTGCTTTGGGGCGACCCACGGGCTTGCACTTGATGCAATGCCACTCCATGTCCTTCATCAAAATGACACGGTTGTCAATTGATGGATTATGGCACTTCTGATGCCATGTATTGTTGCATCCATCGCAGAATACGATGGCGTTGGAGGCTGGGCTGTGGCCTCTGTTGCAATGTATGCACACTACGTTAGATTCCTTCTTGCGGGAGACGCCCTTTCGTTTGCCCGTAGTGGCTACTGTTGGAGGTGGGACAAAGGCTGTCGGGGCCTTGATCACTCGGCCAGTCCTGCTGGTTCGAGTGTCCATGTTGGTGCTTGTTACCACGGCGCCTGTGGGGTGTGCTGCCATGGTCCTAGCGAGCGATGTTTTGCCTAGGGCCAATGTCTTGGGCGCCATGGGAAATCGAAATCAGGTTGCCAATGACCGACTCTCAAAAACAAAAGAGAAGAGAGAGCAACGTGGGGACTGGGGAGTATCTCAATCCAAAGTTGAATTGAGAGGCTGCAGAATGATGAGTAAGAGAAATGTTGGGCAGACGGAATGGAGAAGGGTGGTTGCGAGTGGAAAGGCCGGGGGAAGTTGCTGCTTTTTATACAACCCACTCCAGAGACCAGACACCAGACTCTACGTAGCTCTGGCTCGTCTGCCTAAGGGTTGCCTGGTCGTGTTTGATGAAGAACATGGTCACTGTCGCCAGTGCCATGGAAAATGCAAATTCCGGAAATGGGCAACTGCGGTACCTGTATACTCTCACGTGACAACGGCATGTGTCCCATCCATTACCTACTTCGGGGAGGCGGGTACCAGCTCTTACAGTCACTGAATTTACATCACAAAAGGAAGGTTGGATTCAGAGATCACCTCTGGAGAATTTCTATCTTATTCAATAGAAATTTTTTGCTGTTGCCTGATTTGAAACTTATATACACTTGTACAGTAATGATGAAATTCTGACCACCCGTTTTCTTCACATTCAAGATACCACACCATCCGTCTTTAATTGAGCGATATCGGTAATGCTATAATTCAACATTGTTGCGAGCACTTCATTGGTATGTTGACCCAGCGTTGGAGGAGGTGTACGCACACCAGGCTTCGCCTCGGAATATTTGATGGGTGTATTGACCAGCTTAATGAGACCGCAAGCAGGGTGATCTACTTCAGTGACCATGTTTCGCGCGAGGACTAAGAAAATTGTGTGAGCAGGATACGTCATTTGGGACGTTGGAACGCAAAGAGCTGAAAGCGTACCATGTTCATGATTCAATGTCCCTTGGATATCATTCACCGCTGCATATGGCATACCACTGCCTTCGAAAATATCAAGCCATTCTTTCGTCGTCTTCTGTTGGGTTGTGTTCTCAATCAAGCCATCAATGTCTTCTCTATGTTTCACACGATCACTGTTTGTGACAAAACGAGCGTCATTCTTCCATGCAGGAAAGCCAAGACGGTCACAAAGAACACCAAATAGGCGGTCATTGCCTCCTCCAAAGAGAATATCACCGTCCTTTGTCTTGTAGCTTCGGTATGGCACAATTGACGCTAGGAGCAATCTTCAGTATTAGTAGCATTCAATGCATGGCTCCTTTTTTTTCCACTTACGATGAGCGGTTCCCCAACGCCCTGAATCTTTCTGCCCGCTGATCAACGCAGAGCTCGCCAGGTTAGACAAGGTAGCGACCTGACAATCACTCAAGCAAGCGTCAATATGTTGGCCCTTGCCCGTTCTCATCCTTCCTAACAAAGCAGCCATGATTGCATTGGAAGTATACAATCCAGTGGTCAAATCAGTGACTGCGACGCCGACTTTGACAGGAGGACCGTCACGCGATCCGGTGATGTGCATCAATCCCATCTCTGCCTCTACCATGACATCGTACCCAGCCCTGTTGCTGTATGGCCCAGTCTGGCCATAGCCTGTAATACTGGCATAAATCAATTGGGGATTGATTTTGTGAAGCGTCTCAAAGTCCAATCCATATTTCTTCAGTGCTCCTGGGACGTAATTTTCGACGAAGACATCGCATTCCTTGGCGAGCTTGTGTAGAATCTCGACGCCAGCCTTATGCTGGAATGATAGAGCGAGTGACTTTTTGTTGCGATTGACCTAATCGACGATAAGGCTTTGCAATCGACAAGCGCTTACTGGGGGGAGTCTTCTCATACCGCTAAATAGTATGCGCTTTCACCTGGGCCTTGTCTGGACGCATCCTCATACTTTGCGTATGGTGGGCCCCAGGCTCTGGTATCATCACCCCTAACGGGATGCTCGACCTTAATCACATCTGCACTATGAATGACAAGTTAAAATGTCAGTAATGAAGGCCAGTGATCCTGCTTGCTGCGCAATTGACATCCAGATCAGTGATCTAGTAGTAGGGTTAGGCTCTCACCCTAGATCACCTAGTATTTGGGTGCAATATGGCTGTGGTTTATGGACAGGTCAGTCAATATCGCAATGACCTAGGGACGAAACAAAACACTCACCCCAGCTAGTACCCGTGTCATGTCAAGTACACGAATTCCTTTCAAAGGAAGTGTGCCATCTACAGGCGAAGCGGTTGCGGAATAGCTCCGCATGGGCCGCATTGCTACAATGCGCGATGAGGCATTGCCTGGTCGGTAGGGCTTTAAACGGCACAGAAGTGAGAGAGACATGCTTCATAACAAATGCTATAGATCAGCTCCCAAAGAAACGGAAAATGGAGCAAGGAACCAAAAGGAATGGAAATTTGACGAGAATCAATCAACTCCAACTTCTTAAATGGGAGTCTGGGGTAAATGGAAACTCCGCCAAAACGCCGACGACGACACCGCTCGGAGTGGGGCCAAAAGCCGAGGTCGACGGGCGCCTTCTCCAATTGTGTCATCCTGCAGCTTCGTCCAGTATCACCGCAAACATGTTTACTGGCCTGGTTGAGACCATCGGAAGTAGGTCTGTCGTGGTCTACCAATATATTCAACATGAACTGACATCCCTTGCTTGTATAGCTGTCACAGCTCTAGAGCCTCTCGACACCACGTCAAGTGGGGGCGGGGGTACTTCGCTGACTATCTCCGACTGTGAAGAGATCCTTACCGATGCTCATCTGGGGGACAGTATCGCCGTCAATGGTATGAGCTCTGCAAGGGAATATACAGCGATTTATGACGCTATACTGATGGTGTCTTTCATTCTCTAGGGACATGCCTGACTGTCACCGCTTTTGAGAAAGGCTGGTTCAAGGTCGGCTGTGCGCCGGAAACACTGCGAAGAACAAATCTTGGATCTCTGAAGGCTGGGTCCAAAGTGAACCTCGAGCGCGCAGTCTCTGCCGATACTCGAATGGGTGGTCACTTTGTTCAAGGTCACGTTGACACCGTCGCGACGATCCTATCCGTGACGCCAGATGGCAACGCCCTGGTGTTCCGCCTGCAGCCGCGTGACAAGGATGTGCTGCGCTACGTCGTCGAAAAGGGATACGTCACTCTTGACGGCGCTAGTCTGACGGTCACAAAAGTAGTCGACGGAGCTGAGGGATACTGGGAGGTGATGCTGATTGCCTATACGCAAGAGAAGATCGTCACTGCGAGCAAGAAGCCTGGCGAGGAAGTGAATGTGGAAATTGATATCGTCGGGAAATATGTCGAGAAGAGCGTTCAAGGTTACTTTGCCGGCACATCCGGTGGAGATTTCGCCATATTGGAGAAGATGGTGTCCCGTCTCGTTGACGAGAAGTTGAAACGCTGAGCTGGATGGTCTACGGACGCATCCACATGCAAGAATCTAAGCTTTTCTCCGATCTATACAATTCCTTACTTCATAGGTCATCGATCTGCAATTGAGCATGCAACAGTCCGTTCATTTTATATGCTGAAGAGGAATCCAGTGATTTGGTGGAATCTTTAGGTAAGGCTCTGTAAAATCAACGACACTAATCCTGACGCACACCCCTTGCTATTGGAGAAAGCCGCATGTTCCTACAGAAATCTCATGCCACGATGTTTTCCTATCCTGCCTACCATAACCTCTGGCAAGTGCACTAGGGTAAATAGACCAGCTAATTCACTGTTACTGGCCTCAGTAACTGATCAATGAAACTGTAACTGTTTCTTGACAGGAATCATAATGTGAAGGTCCCCGGAAAGGCCCTAGGTCCTTATGGCCATGGCTCGATATCATGCATTTGATTCTTACCGCAGATTCCAGTCAAAAGACTACGACCTCACGACTCGCCTTAGAACAACAAGTTAAATCAACTACGCTCTCGACTCGGCTTGGCGATATCTTTGGACAATTGAATAGCTCACGTTGCTTCTTTCCATGACAATAAGAACGTAGAGTAATATGACATGGCGCGCTCAGACAATGCAGAAAGTGCAATGGGCAGCTCGGAATATTGTATTAGAACAGTGTATGTTTGTTGAGAACACCCATGGATGGATCTTCAGAGCCCAACGCTAGGTGTATCGAACGAGACCAAGAACATGGAAAGAAGAGTGAGGGCTGAGAAGCCTTGCCCCCAAGTACAACAACTTTTGATCTGCATACGCTCATGAAATAAAACAGACCACCATAAAGCTCGTGGGTATAATGTATGGATCGGCGATCCAGTAATGTACAGGACCAGTTGCCGACTGAACCACTCGGGTCTGTGGAATGACTCAAGACCTGGCAGGCGTGCGGGCGACTCGAACCACCATAATGCGATCGATGCGTTCAAAAGCCTTGCTGAACATGGAGAGAAATAACGTCAAAAATTCTCCATTTTCAAGCGCTCACTCCTGCATGGAGTCATCAGAATCGGCTTCGGGTTCCTCGTCATTATCATCGTCATCGTAGTCACTGAGCCATTCGCCATCCTCCTCGTCCATCTCATCCATGTCCTCATCCTCATCCTCGTCAACTTCCTCCCCATTGGCCTTAGCTTTGGCCTTTTCTGCCTTCTTTCTTTCAACATTCTCCTTCTGCTGCTTCTTGCGCTGTTCCTTCTCCTTGCGACGCTTTTCCCAGCTCTTGTCCAAGGACTTCACTTCCGCCGCAGACTTGGTAATGAAGTCGTGCCACATGATCTTGCCCTCGCAAACGCCGTCCTCGACCTTCATCAGACGGAGTTTCATGCGTGGACCCAACTCGACCAACTTGACCGCGCGTTTCTCAACTCCAGGCGTGTCCACCTTCTTCTGAGCCTTGTCGCCAGCCTTTTGGCGTTGCGCCTCTCGTTTGTTGAGAATCTTGCGGGTTGTGCTTTCCGCAACTTCGACTTCCGCGTCGGTGTCGAGTTCGGTTTCACTCGCAGAGGTGTATCCGGCGGCCGATGGATCCAGTAGATAATCAGCAGCATCTTCTAGCTTGCCCAAGTTGGGCACGGCTGCCTTCTTCTTTTCCCGATTGCGAATCTCCTTGGGGTCCAAGCGGCGGATACGTTTTGAGACACCCGTCTTCTTTGTTGCAATTGCGTAGTGTCGTAGGTGAAGAACGTACGAGCCGTCGTCAGATTCACTGGGTTCTCTGTTTAAGAGCATAACGCGGCGAATCGAGGAGAGAGGTTGGGCTTGCGGGTTGATTGGAGGAAAAAGAGACTGGAAGATGGTGGTCGTAAGGGACTCGAGACGCTTGGGTACTTTTGAGTCTTCGGTAGCGTGAGGAGAATTGAAGTTGTTCATCACAAGCAAAGGGGGAGTCTTGTGATCTTGTCCACCGCTACGTGGACGCTTCAATGAACGCTCGACGTCCTTGCAAAGCGAATAGTTCTCAACTTGGAAATGAAGAGTCGGTCCACGGGGAGTCACAGCGAGTCGCATATTTGTGTTTCCTGTTTTGGATTTGGAGAAAAGCATCAAGTGAGTGACACCGAGGGGGCCGGCCATCACGGTATAGTCGCGAAGTCGGTTAGATTTCCGTTCCTAAGTAACAGCGTTAGATACGAGTTCGCGGCGACAATTCCGAGCAAAATCCACCAACCTTCAATCGCACGGCAGTATCAGGCTCCATCATTCGGCGAACATCCTTGACCAGCTGCGTCACGCTGGTGCCGACTTGAGAAGCGCCCACTCGGATGACCATAGACTTGGGGGCCTTGGTCATCGACGACGCTGAACCTTTGCCAGCCGCAGCTGCAGAGGCATTTTGCGCCCGAAGATGGGTGCGCTTCTTCACACGAGCCTTCGCCATATCGAATGTAATACAGTTGTCGACGACTTTCTTTATAGGAGATAATAGATTGTCCACGAGGAAGTTCGGACAAAGTACTGCCCGGCTTTTACTGATAAGCTGGAAGTTTTTTTTGTCTCCAAAATTCCAGGGCGGAGCCAATGCGGATCATTGATGTTGCGGACCCACCCAAAATTATCTCGAAGATCTCGAACGGTAATTACTTTTTTTCGGGCTAGAATATTCTTCAAGTCATAACGAAAAGATGTCTGCGATCAAAAAAAGAAAGGTCTCAGGCGAGAAGCCTACGTCTATATCTCAGGAAGAAAATGATGCTAATTCCGTGAGCTCACAATCTGGCGACGAGACTACAAATTCAGACGCCCCGGATGCCGATGCGAAGGCGTCGAGCGCTCCACAGACATTCAAGGAACTCGGAGTGATCGATTCTATCTGCGAAGCATGTGAAAGTTTGGGATACAAGAAACCTACGGCGATTCAAGCCGAAGCGATACCTTTGGCTTTACAAAACCGAGACCTCATCGGTCTTGCTGAAACAGGTTCGGGAAAGACCGCGGCTTTTGCAATCCCAATCCTGCAAGACCTCATGAGCCGACCTCAAGCGTTCCACGGGCTTGTCATCGCACCCACGAGAGAGTTGGCATACCAAATTGGAAAATCTTTCGATTCACTCGGCTCGACTATCAGTGTCCGAACGACAGTCATTGTCGGAGGCATGGACATGGTGCCCCAGTCTATCGCACTGGGCAAGAAGCCGCATATCATCGTCGCTACGCCTGGTCGTTTGCTTGATCACCTCGAAAACACAAAGGGCTTCAGTCTGCGCTCTTTGAAATACCTCGTCATGGATGAAGCCGATCGCTTGCTGGACATGGACTTCGGACCACTCCTCGACAAGATTCTCAAAGTCCTGCCTAGGGAGCGTCGCACATTCTTGTTCTCCGCGACTCTGAGCAACAAGGTCGAATCTTTACAGCGCGCCTCTCTCTCCAACCCTCTGCGCGTATCCGTGTCTTCCAGCAAGTACCAGACAGTCTCGACTCTTCAACAATACTTCCTGCTGCGTCCCCACAAGCACAAGGATATCTACTTGATCTATCTCCTGAACGAATTTGCTGGCCAGTCAGCAATTGTGTTCACGAGGACAGTACACGAGACACAACGCGTTGCTTTCCTTCTTCGTGCGCTTGGGTTCGGTGCCATTCCTCTCCACGGTCAACTGTCACAGTCTGCTCGGTTGGGTGCTCTGGGTAAATTCCGTTCACGCTCGCGGGATATTCTCGTTGCTACCGATGTTGCCGCTCGTGGTCTTGATATTCCATCCGTCGACGTAGTCCTGAACTTCGATCTTCCCACCGATAGCAAAACATATATCCATCGTGTCGGTCGTACCGCTCGTGCTGGAAAGTCTGGTGTTGCGATTAGTTTCTGCACTCAATACGATGTGGAAATTTGGCAAAGGATTGAGGCTGCTCTTGGCAAGCAACTTCCCGAGTACGAGGTCGCCAAAGATGAGGTGATGGTCCTTGCCGAGCGAGTGGGCGAAGCTCAACGGCAAGCGATTATGGAAATGAAGAACTTTGACGAGAAGAAAGGAACCCGAGGCAAGAAGTTTGGCAAGGGCAAGCGTTCTCGGGATGACATGGATCAAGAAGAAGGTTAAAATGGAAAATATCCAATCTTAGAATTACATGCCCACCTGGGGACTTCCTAGCATTATATCTTGAAAGCACATGTTGGCAGCTACAAATATCTTGACAAATACTGTAGCAGTGCTTGTCAGCGCTCGGTGTCGAATGTCATCTGTATGACGTTGCAAAAGCAGCTAAACCACCTTTCGACGGGCTTTTTTCGTCTGTACACACAACAGAACTGAGAATTTCTTTCTTTTCCATTAGCGCGACCTAGCCTTCAGATGTCTTCAAATGAAATAACATATCTCTTCCAAGTCGACCACTATGGGCCTCTTGCCGTTGCTTCAAAAGCGTGCTGTATCGAATCTATCTCTAACGGGTTGTATTGTTTATAGTCTCCATTCGGCGTCCACTGAAATTCCAAGGGAAGTCGCGGAACGAGGTTATCACCATAGGAGCTGAGGCTAAGTACCAGGCGGATGGATTCATTCGAGGGCGAATCGTAGAGACAAGGTCATGGGAATTAAATCCGAGGAAGAAAAGGGGAAGAGGGAGATAATGATATTGAAACGACATTAAGTCGTGATTGGGGTGTGAGAATTAAACATAAATTCCCATGTTGGTATCCTTCTTTTTCGCCTGCACCTCAGCAATAGCGTCGACATAGTTTTCGTGGCCGACCTTGCTCATTCCCTTGCGCAGGGCAATCATACCAGCCTCAACGCAAACTGCCTTCAGCTGTGCACCACCGAACTCGTCAGTGCTGCGCGCTAACTCGGCCCAGTTCACCGAGTCCTCAACAGACATTTTACGTGAGTGAATTTGGAGAATGTTGGCACGAGCCTCCTCGTTGGGCAGCGGGAATTCGATCTTGCGGTCCAGACGACCAGATCGGAGGAGTGCTGGATCCAGCACATCCACACGGTTAGTCGCGGCCAGGACCTTGATCCGATCGTCGGAAGCAAAACCATCCAACTGATTCAGCAATTCCAGCATGGTTCGTTGCACCTCACGATCACCGGACTTTTCTGAGTCGAAACGCTTGGTACCCACGGCATCAAGTTCGTCAATGAAAATGATTGATGGCGCCTTCTCTTTAGCGAGAGCAAAGCAGTCACGGACTAGCTTGGCACCATCACCAATAAACATCTGCACCAGTTGAGGACCAGCAAGCTTGAGGAAAGTCGCATTTGTCTCGGCAGCACAAGCTCGTGCAAGAAGTGTCTTACCGGTACCCGGTGGTCCGTACATGAGAGCACCTGCGGTAGAAATAGAAAAATGTTAGATCCCTTATGGTCCGCCTTTGTAAACGGGGTGCAGAAACACCTACCCTTTGGCGCCTTAATACCGATCTTACTGAAGCGTTCAGCCTCCTTCATTGGCCACACAATAGCCTCCACAATCTCTTCAATCTGCTTGTCCAACCCACCGATATCGGTGTACTTCTCTGTGGGCTTCTCGTCGACCTCCATGGCCTTCACCCGGTTGTCGTATTCTGCGGGGAGTGTATCAAGAACCAGGTATGAATCCTTGTTGACACCAATCAGATCAGCGGGCTTCAATTTCTCGTGATCAACAAGGCCAATGAGAGGGAGGAAGATCGTCTGTCGGGTCGATGTTTTGATGACGGCCGACTTGCCAACGCGGGTGGCATCCAAATCGATGTTGGCCCCTTCCTCGGCAGCCTCAGCTTCGACATCAAGATCCAACAACTCAACAACATTTCCCACAAGATAAGGTAATTGTCTTTATGACGAAGAAATAACGTTAGCCACTAGAACTGAGCGCATGGTTCCTGAGATGAACGCCCAACAATCGTGTGATGGGGGAGCGTCTCCAAGACAGTCTCCCAAAGCAGTTGATGGCTCCATACCTGTTGTTTTCGATCTTCTCGTGGTTGTCCTTGACCTTCTCCCGCATCGTACTTTGCTCGTGTGTAAGCCGTTGGAATTCGCTCTTCATGATGCGCATCTCGTTCTCTAGCATTCGCCGCCTCTTGACGATATCCGCTGTGCTTGAGTGCAAGATCTCATCATCAAGGAGCTCCTCCTCATCATCCTTCTTTTCGGCATCCTGCATTTCGGCATCTCCGTCGTGACTAGGCTTCTTGCCATCTCCGTCACTATTTTCCTGCTTCTTGTCTCTGTTCTCGCGTTCGAGATCGTCGAGATCTTCGAGGGTGGACATTTTCGGAAGCTTGCAAAGGGCCGGTAAGTTGTTTCAAATCAATGATGGAAGCTGGAGATGTAGTGATTGTAGGCTGTGAGAAAGTGCGGTGGTTGATTCAGCAAGGTGTAGACGGGAAGAGCTGCTGATGACCGAGCTCCGACAACGTCAGCCAAATCACGTGAGGAACTGGACAGTAGCAGACGCACGGTCCAGTGGTCCACGCTTCACGCTATGGGCTTAATTGTAGTTTTCCTTAAGAGCATAAATCTATCTTGGGGCTCATTTTCACACACAAATTTTCGAGTACAAGCTCTACAACAGTTAAAGATATCTGGACTTGGAGACCCTCTTCAATAGCATCTATTGCGATCGATGTAAACATACCTCCTCTGCGCAATGCATTCTAATAGATCGAGTAAGGGCTGTCGGGCCTTTTGAACTGGTTAATGTTCCCAAGGTTATCCAACACCTTCTGTCGGCCAAACTTCAGAAGTCGGAAACGAGAAACAAAGTCGTCGTTGTTGACTAGGTAGTCACTCGTGTCAGCATGCAATCTGCGCCCGAACTTCAGCTCAAACGTACCGTAGCCACCACACATACGACGCTTGCCAGTAAACTCAGATCGCCCGTGCAACATTCTCCAATTATCAAAAACTGTCGCAACATTAGCTGGAAGCCGGAAGTTCCGCGGTTGCAGATGGGCCCACTTACTCAACGCTGTTCCTGGTTGCAGCTGGGTCCAGATCTCATTCGATGAGTCGGTCAGAATGTTGTTATACACTCTGGCAGCTTCGTACCACTCCTTTTGCTCATTGATGTGCCAGTTGGCCTTCGGAGCTCGATCATAATTATTCCATCGAATCTGGTAGACCGCTTTTGTGTCATCGTGAACGGAAAAGACCGGCGCAGTCGAGGAGGGTTGTATACACACGTCTTCGTTTCCGCTTGCATGCCACGGATGGCGTGAGGTGGAAAGGATCTTGTATGATTGAGGGCTCGTCTTAGCCAGCTTCTTAGCTGCTGCAAAACCATCAACCAGCAAGCTTTCTCCTCCTTTACCATCTGTGTGCGACAGCAGGTGGAAGAGCTGCAGCCTCGCGGGATCACTGAAGTAGGTGTTGTCCGTGTGAGCTCCAAGCCACTCATTCGTGTAGGCTGTGTCCTTGTATGTCAGATCCGCAGTGAAATCCCAGAATCCGCCTATGGATATGGTCAGCTTCTTTATCCGCAATTGGTCTTTGGGTGGAGGAACATCACTGACCATAGTGTGTATGTCTTATGAATGCAATTCTCTCAATTAGAGCTTTTGTCGACTGCGGATCAACAGGCACGCCTTGAACAAATGAGAACCCCCACTTCCACTAATTCGGAGTGAGCATTTGTCCATAAGGCCGTGGAATGGGGTGCTGGATATCAATGGTGACACAATACTGACAATATTCTCTAGCCATTCTAAGACTGCTTTGTCTTCGGACATGACCGCGTCGTACGCCACCTCCGGATATGGATTCCCGTCTCGTTGTTCGTAGACCTCGAATGGTCTAAATAAGTTGGTTAGCATGCTTCAAGCTGCCACACGTTCTGGACATACCGTGGCAATCTGATCGCATCTGCTGCTGCCGACTTGGCAGCAGGTTTAGTATTTCCGCGATGCGCCGCAAGCCAATTCCATGAATATGTGCTTTCATGTCCGTCATTCCCTAAGTCCGGGTAAGCAATGTGAAAGCTGGAATCTTGGAGTCAATGTTACTTCTTACATTTCACGCGCACATTCTCGGCATCCACGCTGCGGACAGACTTCGGTCTGACTTTCGGTGAAATCTGGTAACGAAATCTTGAGTGTTAGTTCAGGGGAAGTCAAATGGTAGTGAGTGGTAGACATACCGAAAACGTGTCGACAATCCTTTGTTTGGTATCCGGGTGGACACACTTTGGACATTGACAATTTTCCCTGGTATCAGTCCGATTTAGCAAGCATCCTATCTCCGGGTCTTGCTAGGAGCGAAATACCTCATGAATAAAGATCCGCTATCGATTCCATCTTAGTTTCGACATCAGAAGAGTTTGGCGACCATTTCAAACTTACAACTGCCAGAAAGGACCTTCCTCTGGACGGTTGGTTTTCACCACAGTATTGCCGTAGCTTTGAGCTAACCGGAACGCCTTCTGGACTTTCGCATCCTTGAAATCATTCTTGGCACTCTCAACCTTGGGAGCTTCACTGCCACTTTGGGTAGAAGTGGACTGAGGGCGTCTGCTCCCGTATAGCCAGAGTGCATGGCGAGTTCTACCATTGCATGCCCTACTGGCCTACATGTGAACCTCAAATAAGCATGTTAGCTCAACAAGCCTCACTTTGGAGCCACATAGCAACCAGACGAATTTCCACCCACCGATACGCAACTCTTGAAGACGCTCGACGGTGAACAGGAAGCTCTAAGCACGCATGTTAGCGTCAAGAACGTTCCGGATATCTGGCCTAGGTTCACCTATGTAGTGCCCACGAGGCTGTTCCTCTCAGAGAGATCAAACGAGTACCGCTCATATTTTCGAGTATGCGAACATGCGTTTCTTGTCGCGGCCACGGCAAAGTGCACGCAATAGGTACTTTCTGGGGAAATGGCCCGAGCGAGGTAGCTTGTTAACGGCCGAGGTTAAATTCACGTGACTAACTATACTGAGTCCGCTCTTTGGCGCCGCTTCGAAGCCGACAATAAGAAACTGCCTACGGGATTGGTGGACAGGCTTCCGAGTAAAAACAAGTGGGTTTAAAATTTGTGATGATGCTTATATGCCCAACAACAATTGAGGTAGGCTCAAGTCAGCCGTGTCAGCTCAAATGCATATCTCAAGCTGCCGTCTTAAACTAGTACGACCAAGATCCAAGTCCCTAAAGCTTGCTTTTTTCTCCGACAACTTTGACCAGTGCACGGCCGTTGCTAAGAACAACTTTTCCGGACTGATTCTTGGTCACAAAGCGAACCTCCTCGAAGCCATCCGACTGCTTGTCACCCATTCGCCAGATTTCCGTAGTGAGCTGGTCGCCCGGGCGAACAGGCGAAGCGAAACGCGCCTGGAATTCCTTGAGGTTGTCAGGGTTGCTCCCACCGAGCTCGCGAAGAACGCCGTGCGCGGTAGTATTCCAGCTGAAGAGACCGTGGATGATGGTACCGCCGAAGCCCATCTTCTGACCTGGCTCAGGCGTAGCATGAAGCGGATTGTAGTCTCCATTCAGGCTAGAGGTCATCAGCGCTGGCTTTCGGGTAATATGACGTGAACAAGGGTCTTACCGATACAGATGAGCTGTTTCCATATTTGTCTGAACAACGTGAGTAGCATCGGGCTTCTTCTCTGCAGGGGGAGGGAAGTTGACCGTAGCGGGACCTATACGCTCTGTCAATTAGAGTCATCGGCGAACAGATATGGGATTGAACGATAAACGAACCTTTGGGACCACCCCATCCACCCTGGCCAACTAGGAAGCCGCTACTCAAGACCTTGGAATACACCTCGCCGGTCTTTGCATCAACAATGGATTGCTCGGTCTCAACGACCGTGCCCGGCTTGCCCTTGTCATAGACCCCAATAACTTTATTTCGCAGCTCAAACTTCTTTCCGGCGCTTGTCGGAGGTAGAGGCTTCAGTACTGTGATCTTTCGCTGACCGTCAACACCGTGGCGGTGATCCAAATCAGGGACGCCTGGAATCTTGACAGCCTTTTGGCGGGCATAGAAGTCAACGACCTCCTGATCGGTGAGCTTGAATGCTAAACAATGGCGAGTCAGCGTGTCACAAAAGCTCTATCGGTTAGACTGAGGGATTGAGTGCGATGCATACGGAGAATGAGCGGGTAAGTGGGAAAAACAGAGAAGCTTGGATGCAATTCCTGTAACGAAATGTTAGAGTCAGGAGCTCATCATGGCAATTGGTTGGTACAATCGTACGTAGAGGAAATGCAATTCGTCGGCCTTTACACCAATACTGTTGGCAAAGAGTAAGACATCTCGCTTCTGCCAAGAAACTTCTTGGGAAGGAAATTCATGGCCGGCTCCTGGGGCAGTCATGATGTGTATGTACCAGCAATCGAAGTAAGAATTCAACAAGAAAACTAAGTGGAAGATGCGCGGATTGAGAGCAAGAAATAGCGGAGAGGAGACAAGCTAAAGCTGGAGTAATTGCGGGGCGGCGATGAGCCGAGGATCTGATAGAAAGTTGCCGATGCCGAGAAAACGCCCTTCCCTGCCGTCAACTTCTCCCTGGACCTCTTGCCAAACCAAGGCGCGTGTAGCCGTGTACGTATTGACAGAAATTCTAGTTCTATACTGGTTTTCTTCCAAGAATGAATTTGCTTTCTTTGACCAAGAACGATGAGATATGAGAAAGAGCGCCGGAGTTGCTAGACTAAGCATCGACTCGGGGTATCTACTTGGAAATTCGAGGAGCTTCACAATCACCTCTCCGTATCGCGCCATGTAGTAGTGCCTTTTACCTGCCACCCAAATAAATCCAAAAATTTAACGCCGAAAGGTGGAAACCCAGAAAAAGAGGCCGGAGTCACATCGGATCACTCTGTGCAAAGCCTGAGTTGCCTATGCTGATGTGCAGTGCATCGACTGGAAGATGCCAAGATCGTGTGGAAATTCATCGAAAAATCGAAAAGGACGTGGGGTTCGGTATAAGTTTAGCACCTATATCAGGTCAGTCATTTGTCGCTCTTGCGAGTACGCAATTGGAAGGGTGACGCACATGCGATAGAAGCAGCTGCCCTCTGCGAAGCGAGTAGGATCCTCCACATCGAATTTGTAGGAGATGTTAATATCCAGATCACGCTTGTTCTTGTCGTTAGGGCGGTTCTCGAGGACACCAGAAACGGTCTCACCCTCCTCCACGGTGAGGACGTCACGAAGATAGAACACGGTCTGCTTCCAGTGAGTGTATTTGGCGTGAGGACCGGTGGAGAAGTGGATGGGCTTGTGGCAAGCGCTGAAGTCAATGTCGAACCAGGCAATAAGGGCGTGGATGAAGTCGGAGCGTTGCGCAGTCAGCTTGTAAGGGACCTTGAAGGCGAGATCGGCGGTTGTGACAGTGTTGAGGTCAAAAGTGATGATCTCACAGGGCTCAGTGACCAGAGCCTTCATCTCAACGGTGTCGACGAGAGGCTCAGTAAGAGCGATCTCCTTCATAGGGCTGTAGTTGAAGCCGTAGACATTGTCCCAGACTATTGATAACAGAGTCAGAAATCGGCGTCTCGAATAGATGGCTGCTGGAATACCCACATCCAATCTTGTCATCCTTGTACTCGCCGTCCTCGATAGCAGCGACATACATGGTCGCCTTGTCGGGGAAGATCTTGCCATCAGCAGCGAGATAGGTATCACGGGCATAGAGGACGGTGTCCAGCATGGACTCGTAGAGTAGGAAGTAACCCATCCACTCAGAGATGATGATGTCAACCTTGGGGAACGGGAGATGAACCTCCTCCATCTTGCCTTGAAGAAGGGTAATCTTGTCACTGAGCCCATTGACGGCAACAATTTCCCGAGCCTTCACAATGATGGAGGACATGTCGACACCAATCACATGCTTGGCACCGGCGCGAGCGGCGAACCTATATTCCCAAGTCAATCTCTAGGACAAGTGCCATACTTTCGGGGAATCGTACATGCTCAGGATACCAGTTCCACAGCCAACATCAAGGACGACCTTGTCCTTGAAAATGTGGCGGTTCTGGTAGATAGAGTCGCGGTAAGAACGAGTGCGCACGTCATCTTTCTGCAGGAAGAAAGAGGATCCTGTTAGCAAAGCCCTCAATTGGTTGTGAGATGAGTCCACATGGATGGAAGAAATTCTCACCAGCATCTCCTCGTGAATTCCTGCCATGGTTAGATAGAGACATTAGCTAATGCTGCTAGCGAAAAACCTTCTGTCCGGTGAAGAATTGAGATGATGGGTCTTATTTGATTACCGTGGTGGTCGTAGCTGTTTAACAATTAGTACAACAGACAATCATGAGAGTCAAGCGAATCAAATAGTCTTACCTGGTAAAGTAGCGCACTTCAGCGTGCTCAGCGCCGACCATGCGTTCGGCGCTGCTGGCAATAACACCGGAGGCATTGGCGGCATCTGCTTCACTCATGTTGACTGTAATACAAGAATGATCTTGAAGGGGAGAATTTGTGAGAATGGGATGAGGAGACTGCGACAACGAAGCAGAAAAGCTAGACGCGAAATAACCACGGCCTTATCTTTCGCCTCCCAAACTTTTTTTTCCTCAGCACCTCCCAATGCCAAGCATGAACTCCAAAACGTCCCCGCCAGCGCTAGGCCATTTTCAGCCAATCACATGCCACTTTCAGCCCTAAAGCTTCTAGGGCTAATCGATGGTAACGGTCTGGCAGTCACCCTCAATGGATCTGCAGCCCCCTGGTCTCACCACTTATTTCACCGCCCATCGAAAGCCTTATTTGTCTGGGGGGCTTCGGCCGGCAGACAGATTGGGTCGGCCGTGGTGGGGTGCTACCAATGATCGTTGTCACTAGTTAACTAATAATGACAAGTTGACAACTCACAAGAGTGCTTGTAGTCGTGGCAGAGTATAGTACTTCATCAAGTATTGTGCTGGTGAAATTCAAATGATTCCACACAGAAAATATAGATCTACACAGATGATATAGACCGTTTTGAAGTCTTGAGAGAGATATGACAGGCAACTTCCAATTTAGCTAAGAAGGACTTTGAGCACCTCTTCTTGAGTCGATCTTTACTTATCAGGTAAACTACCTACTCTGATGGCATTTTTAGGCTAAGCATAGCAGTTAAGAAGGAGCCCGGTCGGCGAAACGAAATCTCTGGAACGCTCACAGAACGGAATATCAGCAAGTGAAGCTCGCTTGACTACCTTCCGAGTACCGGACTGCTTATTAGTCATGTACCTGCTGACTACCTAGGTATTTCGGACGGGCCCTTGGATAGTTGTGTGTTTGGCATTGCATTATTGGGTAGACTTGGTGTTGACATGACATATATGTCCATGAAGCAAAAGTTTGGAGTTCATACATCAAGCTATCCGCATGTCGCGCTCGTGTCAAGGTGAAGGGTGTACTGGAACGAAATGTGTGACCTAAGTACTGGTCGCGTCATAGTGTGCGTGCTCTGAACCTCATGAACTATATAGATATCGCTTCTGATGCTCTTGAAATAATCTCTGCAGACCTAGTGAGACGAGTCCATCCTACCTTAGAAAGCTCCATTAGTCAGCGAGGAGAGGATCACTGGCGACCCATGTACCTACCTTGACAGATTGACGCGGTGCCAATCGAGATCTTAAACAGCCCTGAGTACATCATCTCAATCATGCAGGGACGTCTCAGACTGAAGTTGGGGTCATATTGTGGGTCAAAAGGACTGCAAATAGTCAGAACACCGATGTGTAACTTCTAGAGCATTCAACTCGCACTGTCGTCATGAACCTGGTAAATCTGCCTGATGACAACGAAGCTTAGCTGGAGACGTATATGCCAAGACCGCCCGGGGAAATGCCGCCCCATTGAGTCCGCTGGGTTCGTCATGTTCAGCTTCTTGACACCAATGCAGTTTTACAGGGCCTGGGTCTCTGACTGATCACCATGTTCCTGCGCCCAAGACAGTCGATCTCCTTGAGCCTGGTGGTGATTGCTGTGTTGGCTTTGCTTGTCAATCCCTCCTCAGCGTCTCTGGGTGACCATCTTCCGGACTTCAAGGAATGCGTCCAGGTAGAATCCCCTGCCCGAGTCTGGAGTGACGCACATGGACTCACTTCCATCTTCGCAGGTTTGCAAAACTGAGAACTGTCAGAATGGCAATTCAGTGCTCCGTGAGTCACTCATTTCTTAATCATACCTGTTATTTGGAGCAAGTTCCAAAGCTAATCAACGTCTCTCTTGTATAGCGCTGCACCTCCGCTTGCTATTTTGGACCTGCCCAGCCGAGTGCGATTACACTTGCCAACATGTCATTACCGACCGTCGAGTCTCGCGTGATCCGCCAATGCTGAGTCCCGTGGTGCAATTCCACGGCAAGTGGCCATTCCGCAGGATGCTGGGCATGCAGGAGCCCTTTTCCGTGCTCTTCTCCTTCCTCAACTTCGCCGCTCACTGGCACGGCATGTCGCGTGTTCAAGAATCGATTCCGGACTGGTATTCGATGCGCAAATACTACATGATGTTTGGGTATATTGGATTGACTAGCTGGACGTTCAGCATGATCTTCCACACACGGGACTTCAATATCACGGAAAAGCTGGACTACTGGGCGGCAGGCGCCAGCGTCCTGTACAGTTTGTATATGGCGTTGATTCGGATCATGCGCCTGGACTTGGAGAGTCCGCCGTATCGCCCCACACTGCGGCGTCTGTGGACGGCGATTTGCATCCTGCTGTACACGATGCATGTGTGCTATCTGACGTTCTGGTCCTGGAATTACACATATAATATGGCAGCAAATGTAGTGGTGGGCGTTATCGGAAACTTGCTGTGGACGACATTTAGCATCGTACGATACCGGCAGCAGATGAAGTCATGGACAGCATGGCCTGGTATGATTGTCGCGTGGATCATACTCGCGATGAGCTTGGAGCTCTTTGACTTCCCGCCATGGCAGGGCATGATTGATGCACACAGTCTGTGGCATTTGGGCACTGTGGTGCCTACCGCATGGTGGTACTCGTAAGCGATTTTCCTCTCTTTGATACCCATTGCCGTCTTCGGGTTCGGGTCGAACGGTGACTTACAGCCATGTTTCTTAGGTTCCTCATCAGAGATGCGCAGGATGATATTGCTGGAATCCGCCTGAAAGCATGAGGTGAGCGTCACAGCTCACTCGGCATCTATTGAGAGTCCGGTCTCGAGCTTCAGAATTGCCGGGATATACTAGATATTTAGAGTTCAGTCTTTTGCGGAGATTGGATAATGAATTTGACGCCACAAGGTGACTCTATACATATACTGGACAGCTCTCTGGTGCAAAGTTGTCAAATATCTCAGTAGTCAGGGCTATTCCCCGCAATTTATCAACACGAAGAGCATATAGACCCGGAGTCCAACGTGGTGCTCTCAAACAGTGACACCAAATGGAGCTTACCCTATATACCTCCTACGACGTTGGAAATCAGGCACGTTTGGTAGCGGGTCTGACCCCGGATACCTAATCTCGGTCACTGTGAGACCTAAGGCAGGGATAACATCCATATCTAAGTTAGTATTTAACTAGTATCTAGGTATCAAGGTGGAAAACCTTCTTCAGAAATCTTAAGGGAAGAAGAAATTCAGAATGAGGGAAACATCATGCAAGCTGTCGCTGCATGCCATTAGGAGAGTGGTTGTGTGGACAAACCAAATTGTTTTTGATATTTATACAAGGCCGCTGAAGTCTGACCAGCCAAGCGGCCGGTAGCTGCTACATGCCGTGGCTCGTGTGATTTTCAGAGGTACACAACGAACTAGCACCTGGATTTAGAACGGTACGTATCTGATTAATATGTGTTTAGTACTTCCAGTATCAGGTGTCCTACTAAACTTAGACTGAAACAGCTACATCCACCAGGTAAATGAAACCAGGCCAGCCCCTAGTAGTTTGGCGATTAGATACACGGATCTTGGGACAAGTGCCAGTGCCAGGTCTAGCTAGTATGTCGATTCTTTAAGGGTGGCTCTCTTCAACTGGTAGGGTACCTGGCAATATGAACTGTAGTCTCCATGCTCAATGAATATTTTTACGGTCTACAAGTGCTATACCTGGTCTTGTACTTTCGAGGAGAACAAAAAGTCTTGTTCCTTGGAAAATACTTTGGATTGATCAGAAGATCTATTCGCACGGCCCTTTATGTGGCTCAGCTTTTAATGCCACCCCAAACAATCAGGGTGGACTGCCAACTTCCCCGCCATTGGTTCACCGCTAAACAAGGACGGGCCGTCGCAATAAGCCGTGTTTCACTCGCAGCCCCTCGTCCTTTTTTTGATGTTTCCCATATTTTCCCTCGCATTCTTCTCGACAACTCCGGATTTCCTCGTTCATTATTTGCCCCCTTAGCGTGTGAAGCCGTTCGAATCATTGCTCTCTTCCTTCCAGCCTCAAAGACAGCCCATTGTGCCGCCATGGCCTCCCAGGCTATTCACAAAGCTATTTCAGATGCAGCTCTCCAGTACGAGAAGCCCGAGGGCAAGGTCTTCGAGTACGGAACTGCAGGGGTAGGTCCAAGAAGACTCTTCCCAAGTCTCTATGTCAGAACTGTCAATTGACATCGTCGTTGCGCTTGTAGTTTCGTATGAAGGCGTAAGTGTTTGATGCCGATCAATTCAGCCCCGCATCCACGTCAACAGCGCCCCTCACCCGCTTCTGTTTACCCGTCAAGGATGAAGCTTACTGATGAGCCACGTCGGATAGTGACCTCCTCAACACTGTCGTCTTCGCTGTCGGTCTACTCGCCGGTCTTCGCTCAAAGAAGCTCAGTGGACAATGGATCGGTGTTATGGTGACCGCTAGTCACAACCCCGCCGAGGATAATGGCGTCAAGCTGATTGACCCCATGGTACGTAAAGCCTGCGCGTCGAGGACCGTCTGCTTTGCTTTCTCCCATCGTGATGGAAACTCTCTAACCCCTATAACTGCTCACAGGGTGAAATGTTGGAGGTATGCAAAGCTTCTTCTACACGACGAACAAATTTGAAATGCCCGCGTTAGACTCACATTGGATGTGGACAGGCCGAGTGGGAACAATATGCGACCAAGCTGGCGAATGCGCCCCTCGACAAAATTGCCGATGTATACAATGAGCTGGTCAAGGAGATCGACGTCAACATGGCCAACCCCGCGCGTGTGGTCTTCGCTCGTGACACTCGTGCTTCTGGATCTCGTCTGGTGGGTGTCCTCAACGCCGCTCTGACTGCGACCGAGGTCGAGTTCATCGACTTCAAGTACATGACAACCCCCCAGCTTCACTATGTCGTGCGCTGCAAAAACACCTTGGGTACGCAATACGAGTACGGCGAGCCTACGGAACAGGGCTACTACGAGAAACTCGCCGCATCTTTCAAGAAGGTCATGAAGGGTGCCAAGGTCCAGGGCTCTTTGACCGTGGACTGCGCCAATGGCGTCGGCGGCCCCAAGCTGCGGGATCTGATCAAGTATCTGAATTCTGTGATTGACATCAAAGTGGTCAATGATGACGTGATCAACCCTGACAGTCTGAACTTTGACGTAAGTCGCAAGTCAAGACTACCCAGTGATGCTCACCTACAGGACACAGCGCTGATAGTCACAGTGTGGTGCCGACTACGTCAAGACGAAACAGCGTGCCCCTCCCTCGTCAAAGGCTGCCCCCCTCGATCGCTGCGCCTCTCTCGACGGCGATGCGGATCGTTTGGTCTACTACTTTGTTGACGATAGCAACGTCTTCCGCCTCCTGGACGGTGACCGCATCGCAACCCTCGCGGCCTCTTTCATTGGGGACCTCGCTCGTAATGCCGGCATTGCTCAAAAACTGAAGATTGGAGTTGTCCAGACCGCCTATGCAAACGGTGCGAGCACCGACTACATCGAGAAGGTGCTGAAACTTCCAATCATCTGCACAAACACCGGCGTCAAGCATCTCCACCATGCGGCTCTCCGCTTCGACGTCGGTGTCTACTTTGAGGCCAACGGCCACGGCACAGTCACCTTCTCTGAGAATGCGCTAAAGGTGATCAAGAACACCGAGCCTCAGTCTCCTGCTCAGCAGCACGCCCTGGAGTGCCTCCAGGCTCTCACCGACCTCATCAACCAGGCAGTCGGTGATGCCCTTTCGGACATGCTTCTCGTCGAGGCCATTCTCGCGCACAAGGGCTGGTCTCCCAAGGAATGGCTCGGAACCTACACCGATCTCCCATCCCGTCTTGTTCGCGTCGAAGTAAACGACCGCTCCATCTTCAAGGCATACGACGCGGAGCGCAAGCTGGAGTCCCCAGCCGGTCTTCAGGATCAGATCGAGTCTCTGCAGTCTCGCTACAACAAGGGTCGCAGCTTCGCTCGCGCTAGCGGTACCGAGGATGCCGTTCGTGTCTACGCCGAAGCCGCCAGCCGCTCCGAAGCCGATGATCTCGCTACTCGCGTGGCAAATGCTGTTCGTGAGGCAGGCTCCGAGTCCCAGTAAATCTAGACTCATATCCGTCAATTCTTCCCCATTCCAAGGAAAAAGGAACCACAATTAACCAAGCCGACCCGAACAGTCACTTTTGACGTCTAACCAACCCTATCTCACATGAATGTGGTCTCTGGTCATATCTCTTATCACTTGGCATTGGGATCGAAACAACTAAAAGTGAATGTGCCCTTCTCTGATCCAGCCCCCTTCCGCGTGCTCCATGTCGACAGAAGGAGCAAAAGGACCCTTATGACTCGATAACGTATTTTCGATATTTCTAAAATTGATGCAGTAATGAAATGAGGTGCAAAACCATTTATTTGCATGACATGATGGGTTGCTTTTCCGTTTAAATTCTGTTCAGCTAGAAGAAAGGCATACTATGCCTTTGGCAGACCATTTGGCAACGATCAAATAGGTCAGGTGGAGTTTTGTTGCACTTGGCGGCTTTCTCACTCTCTCGTTATCGAGTAATAGTATTTGGCGAATGGCTTGAGTACGTCGCTTTGAAGAAAGGAATATCACATCGCGCTGGGAATCATGGACATGAGCTTTCTGGAGCAGACTTGCCAAGGCTGGAGCTTTTGATCGGTTTGTTCAAAGGAATCATGGGAACACTAGTAGACTCGAACCGAAAGGCTGATGGGATGATCGATGGATTAGAAAGAGAGAGAGAGAGAGAGAGAGAGAGAGAGAGAGAGAGAGAGAGAAAAGCACGGTCATAGACATTGACGATGCAAAATGCTTATCATAAGTTCCATATCAACATGATTTTCTTTTATGGGATTCCACATCTACCAGGTTCATTTCCCAACGCGAGACGACGCTCAGTCGACAGCCGTGGCCTCTTTTCTCCTCGAATAACAACCCCGATGTCCCGAGGCGAAGACACAACAAGAGTTCACTTTCCAAGGGGGTCGCTCTTTCAAGATGCTCGCTTAATTCTTACCCTGGGTATCCTTGAGTGTGACAATGCGATTCAAAATAACCTTATCGGCCGTTGACTCGCGATCGACCGCAAAGTAAGCAATGCGCATACCCTGGAACCGAACACAATGCAGATTCGACTCGACATCTGTCTCACCGGCGGCCTTGGGCCAAGGCGCCGTGCGACGAATCTCATTAAATCCAGTCTCGATCATCGCGTCCTTGAAAATCTCCTCGGAGTTGGGGTTGATATCGGCAAGGAAGCCGTCCGGGTGAGCCGAGGGATCCTCGGAGTTGAACAGGGAGTTGAAGGCGCGGATTTCGGCGCGAACAGGGCTGTTGTGTTTGGCGGACTCGCCGACCCAGTGGATGAAGGTCTTGGGGCGGGGCGCGGTCTCGCCCTCGGCGGGCTTGTCGTATTTGGCGTGAACGACGCTGACGGCGCCGGTGGCGGGGTCTTTCTCAAAGGAGGTGGCGGTGATGGGATAGGGGACCTTGAGAAGGCCGACGGTTTTGCCGGGGGCGAGACGGAAGTAGTCGGGGGAGTCGACTTCGCGGAAGTCGGAGCGTTCGATATAGACGGTCTTGGTGAAGGGGACGGTATGTGTGCCGAAGGAGGCGTCCTTGCCGAAGGGGACCTCGACCATCTCCTCGTAGTCGTCGGGGAGGTCGTCAATGATCACCTTCAGAGGTTCCGTGACGACCATCAGACGGGGGACGGTCGTCTCGAGGAAGACGCGCACGCTCTGGTCGAATCGGTGCATCTGCACGTTTGTCACGGCCTTGGTCACGCCGAGCTCGTTGACAAAGGAGAGGATTGCACCGGGGGGCACACCACGGCGACGCAGGGCGATCAAGGTGTACAAGCGCGGATCATCCCAGTCACGGACATGACCATCCTTGACCAGCTTGATGATCTTACGCTTGGAGAGAACAGTGCCCGTGATATTCAATCGGCCGTACTCGCGCTGCATCGGGCGATATACGTCGAGCTTCTCGTTGAGCCAGTCATACGAGACCCGAGACAATTCAAACTCGGTTGTGCAGAGCGAATGCGTGATCCCCTCAATACTATCGCACAGGCAGTGCGCAAAGTCATAGGTCGGGTAGATCTTCCACTTGCCGCCACTGCGGTGATGCTGAGCCTTCTCCTCACTCTCCGTAATGCGCCAAGCCACCAAATCCCACATCTGCGCTCGAGGATCTTCCAGAAGAGCCTGCTTCATGCGCAGACAGGCCTCGCCAGCCTGGTACTTTCCATCCCGCATCGCCCGGAACTCCTCCAAGGACTTTTCCACGGGCTGGTCGCGATGCGCACAGGCAAAGCGCTCACCGCCACGCTGTCCGCTCTCGCTCTCACCACGGCCAGCCTTGATCTCGGCCTTGGAGCAGTAACACATGTACGCACCATCCCGCTTGATCAATTCCTCCGCATACTCGTAAAGCTTATCGAAGTTGTCACTAGCGCAAGTCTCTCGCACCGGCGTGAATCCCAACCAGTGCACAATGTCCCGAATGGCATTATAATATCGCTCCTCCTCGCCCTCGGGGTTGGTATCGTCGAAACGTAGAATACATTCACCGCCGTGGTACCGCGCAAAGCCAAAGTTGATCGCAATAGCCTTGCTGTGTCCAATGTGCAAGAACCCGTTGGGCTCAGGTGGGAATCGCGTGCGAATCTTAGGATGTGTCTCGGAAATAGGTCGCTCGTTGTAGACGTCGTGCAGGAATCCAACCTTGAACATCTGGTCCGGATCGCGGGTCTCTGTGGTGGCCTTGGGAGCTTTGGCAGGCTTGGGCTTGTTCTCCTTGGGACGGGCGCTGTTCTCCTGCTGGAGAGCCTTCTTTGCGGCCTTTTTGGCTTCCTTCTTTGCCGCGGCTTTGGACTGCTTCGGCTCGGCCTGGGGCTCGGCCTGGGGCTCGGCCTCTTTGGGCCTCTCGGGGAGCTCAACAGGCTTTGCGGGATCCATGATCGGTGGATAGACCGAGACGCGGGGGGATTGTATGAGCAGGAGCGACTGGTTGGGTGGTGGTGGTGGAGGGGGGGAGCAAAGCCTCAGATTAGCTATTATTTTGACTGAGGGGCTACGATGCTTATCAGCTCTAGGCTATCTACCAGTCATGTTTCGCTTGTCGGGCCGATGAAACCCCGGATGAGTCAGGTGAGCAGCGCCCCCCGGCCGGAACCGTGCCCGACTGCCCGCAGCAGGGCGGTCGACGCCTACGTTTAATAGCGGAAGTGCCATGACGTCTCCCCCATAGGCCTCCGCCCCCCGGGCAGATGAAATATAGTGCTCGAAAGGGCAGAGTATTTTCGAAAGTGCAGATGGCTCATGACCCTTTTGAAACATTCAGTTGCCCGTCTCAAAGGGGCTGAGTACCGAAGGTACTCTCACCTTGGCAAAAATTGTGAACTTGCTAAGCTCATTCGCGATCCTACCACTATAGTTCTTGTAGACTGTCCCCCCCCCCCCCGCCAGGGAATAAGTATGCCTCGACTTGGAAATCGTTAAATGTCCGGAGGATGCTGGTGTACATTGTTGCCCAGTCGAAGCAATGCCGGCATGAGGAACACGGTACAGACATGCCTGAGTCTCTCAGTCAGTTCGATGGCAAATAGTCAAGTGCAAGACATTAACATTCACTGATCAGGGCAATGGAATCCCGTCTCAACTATATTGTACAATGATATGATACAAGAGTAGCAGTCGCCAGATTACAGGTGACTGGGTCAATCCTTGAACGCCCGCAACACACTCATCGACCCGCAGAAATCAAAGCAAAGCACTCATGACAAGAAAGAAACATAGACTAGAGGTGGGGTATAGAACACGGTAAAAAAGAATGCAAGGAAATGTGACAAGAGGAGGGCGACGGCGAGGTCGATCATTGCGTACCCAAGGACAGACCAGCCGACGAAGGGTTTAGAAAAGCTGCGAGGCACTGATCAATTCAGTGTTTCCGGGACGGTCCCGCTCCATATGAAACCACCAGTCTCGGCCTGTTTTATGATTCCAAGAGCCAGTGCAGGTGTCTTTGTCCCAGGGCAATGCATGGGATGAGGTGAAGGTCATGGGCGTGATGGGCGTCGTGGGCGTCGTCGGAGCGACAGACGAGCGACTACCCAGACTACCCCAGGCAAATCGCGAGGCGATCGAGGAGGGAGAAGTGAATTCGTCGACGGGGGGTGAGGTGGGTGTGTTTTTCTGGGAATCAAAACACAGAGAGCCACTCCCAGCGGCAAAGGAAAGCGACTGATTACACGAGAGCAGGTGCTTCCACCCGACCAGCCCACCGTCCGATTCCTGCCCCGGGATGTCTGGGCGGAGGAGGAAGTTGGGGATCGAGGCACCCGTGGCGGGATCTCTCAATCCAGAGCGACCCATGAAGGCAGGCATGTGGAACTCATACACCGTCTTCGGGCCGGAGTGCTTCGGAGGTGCATTGCGGTATCGCTCGGCTGCCGCCCAGATACCAAAGTCATCCATCTCCTGTTCTTGGTCGTCTTCGAATGAGGACGCTGCCGCGTTGTCTGGGATGTAGTCGTCCGAGTAATCTTGAATCAACACGGGCATGCCGCTTTCGGAATCCTTGGCTGCCATGTCGATGAAAGTCTGGGCTCGAATGCGAGATGAGGTCAGGTTGTTTCCAGACGGTAGAGCCAGGGGCCGAGTGCTGACGGAACCATGTGAGCTCCGTGGCAGACTCAACCGATCCGGTCGCAGCAGAGCTTGACCTCGGATAATCGGACGACAGGAAGCCTGCAGCACCCCTGGAGGCTCCACATCGTTGGGAGCTCGCAAGGTTTCCAGGCACGGGAATCCGGCGGATAAGATGCTCTGAGCGAGGTGGGAGTTGGGGGTATTGGATTGTTTGAGAGGGTGCTGAAAGGGTCGCGAGTCCAGCTGGGTCAGCGCGGTTCCCGGGTCTGGACAGGCCACATCCCAATGAAGGTATTGCAATGTGGGTGAGGCGAGAATGGGCTGCAACACCATGTCCGAGTCCGGCATGAGGGGGCATTTTTCGGATTGCACGAATTTGAAGCGTCGCAGATCTGTCAGAGAGGACAGGATTTTGGAGATGACCAGCAGCGACTCCACATTCTGTTCCACCAAAACCAAGGACTTGAGGGAGCGGGATTCGGGACGAGAGGTGTATTGCACGAGACCACGGTCTGTGACACCGGGCAGGTTTTCGAGACGAAGAGATTCCAAGGGAGGAAGACACAGCAGGGTGGTGTCCGCAAAGGCATCTTCACTGAATGAGGTAATGCAAAGATGCTTGAGCGCCGGGAGAAGATCCAAGGTGCGCAAAAAGATGCTGGGCTCCAGGGCGCCGTTACCGTCGAGCCCATACAGCATCAAGGTCTCCAGGTTGGTCCATGAAACATGGTAATTAAGAAACTCAAACATCTGAGACGGACCCAGACTACCGGGACACGAGGTGCTACGAGGCGACATTTCTGAAACCTCAGCAGCCTCTCCCAGCACCCAGATATGCTCCTTGAGTCGCTTTCGCGTGGAGAGCGCGTGGGTGAGTCGGTCGAATTCGTGGTGATAGGCAAAGGACAAGCCCAGCAGGCGCTCCAGGTTGGGACAGACCATGACCACCGATGCGACGAGATCCCGATATTCCTGCCAATAGGTACTCTGCTTGGCGTTCGTGAGAAGCAACTCCATCTGGGGCACCCGAAGGTCGCGCACGAGATTGGCGAGCATGAGTCTTTCGCGCAGCGTCCGACGCAGTAGTTTCAGCCGACTGCCCCTTTTGAGACGGTGCTTCTTCAATTGTGCGGGTGAATCATTCCCAACAATGTGGATTCGAGTATAACTGCAGAACAGGCACAGAATCGATCGTTAGTACATCGAGAAGGTGTTGAAACAGAAGTTTCGATTGGAACGTGGTGCATGGGGAATCGGCTCTGTTGGACTCACAGTCTTGGTCTGACTGCGCGCTCCCAGGCGCGGCAGGTCAGGGACAGCGCATGCAAGTCGCGCTGGAAACACGTCGTACAGCCAGTTTGATGTGGGGCTGTGTGCATTATCTCGAGATTTGCTAGAATGACATCGTATACTTCCTGCGGGATTCGACGTTGTACGGGGATGATGCATTCTGAGACCGAGCCAATCGAGTCGAATTGGCGGCACGACGAAGAGGGCGAGGAGGGAGAATAGACCGTGGTGGGTGTTGTGGAGACGGTATAATTGGTCTTGTAGGAGGAGATGGACGAGGTACGCGATGGGATTGAGTCCACAATCACACTCACTTGACCCTTGTCGTTGGAAGCGTCGTGTCGCAATGCATGGTCTGAGAGGACGGGACCCTCAGGTCTTCTGGCGGCGATGCTCATGGTGACCCCCGTCGCGCATTGAAAGTTGGAAGCCGCGGGTGAACAAGTACAAATGAATGGGGGGTTCGAGTGGACTGGACCGGGCTGGTGCGTTTCAGTCTTGAATTGTTCTTGAACCGTCCGAGGCCGGGGAAATAAAGAGTCTGGAATGTACGACAAGAAGGGGTCCGCGAAGAGGGGTCGAGAACGTGACGAGTTTGTGGACCGGTTGGAGGGGATGGCGGGCAAGGGAGGGGAGAGAGGTAGGAGAGAGAGAGAGAGAGGAAGGAGAGCCGCGATTATTGCAGGATGCTCAATGGAGCTGGACCGGGGCCCCAGAAGGAGGGATGACACTTCAATTGCGGTAAGCGGGAGGGGGGCACAGGATCGGTGGTGAGTCGAGGTTGGGGATCAAGAGGATACAAGTAGTAGCTGCTCAGTAGCCTGCTCGTATGGAGGAAGGGATCGAGTCCAGGACGCCAGGTAGGTGCTGAGTGGTGAGTGATGACCAGGGTTCCAGGGAGACCAGGGCGACTCGACGAAAGTTTGATGGGGACGACGGGGGCCCTTTGATTGTGTGGGGGACGAGGGTGTCGAGGGTGTCGAGGGTGTCGAGGGTGTCGAGGGTGTCGAGGGGGATGAGGTGAAGCAGGAGGAGTTGATGGAGAGTTTACAGGACAGGAGTCGGAGGGAGAGACTGGGGGTAGGGCACCGTCAAGAGGGGAAACCCAAACAGAGAGTAGTCGAGTACAGCAGAGTCGAAGTCTATGAAACTACATCCACGTCAACTTCCGCCCCAAAAAAAGGGGATGTTCGACGGGATCGGAGGCAAAGTTGAGGATCCATTGTTGTTCTTCTGCTTTTTCTGCTTTTTCTGCTTTTTGTACTTTTTCTGTATGCGGACCCACGATGGCCCACGATGATCGGTGACGGAACAGACCATCCACAGATTTCCACTCTGGCACGGCTGTTGAACCGCATTCACAGAGCAGACCTCTACACATGATCCAAATACACACCGAGGCATTTCCTCCCTCGAGCTGGTCACTGATCGCTTTGAGAATGGTTGTCGGTTTATCAGCTTACGGTTTCCAGGAATAGGAACATAAACAGTAATTGTACCTTATTAAGGTACAGTAGGAGGCCAGGTAGGACTACTACTACTAGTTTAGTATTGACTATTGACTACTGTCGTAAATCAACAACAAAACTTGAAGTTGCATGGGCCCCTCGCTCTGCACCCCTGGCCGATCTCCTCCCCGCAAGTAACCCTTTGTAAAACTCTACTTGATTTATCTCCTCGTGCTCCTGGAGCCAAGTGACGTGCCGCGAAAAGGAAAGTTCTCGGGACAGAACACGTAATTGGAGCAGACTAAGGTAGTAGTCGTCCTGTATGCACTATCCACAGTATGCAGTAGTCGTGCATGGCGCACAAAACACTCAAACTACCACACCTGAGTCTGACACCACGACTTATACTTTCCTACTTACAGCCTACTTGGAAGAGCCTGAGAGGTAGACACGGCGGAGGGCGCCAACTGGTGGACTCCTGCCAGGTGGTTCCTGCCGACGGCCCACTCAACGCGGGATGGAGCACAGGGGATCCACACTTCAGGGGGGACAGGAAGTGATTGGTCACGGTGGAGAAACATCGTCCCTGCCCTAACTTACTAAGAGACTAGAGAGGACTTCGAAAGCCGAATGGGGAAGAGATCCGTCTGCCGTTCCTTGGAGGGTCATGATTCATGTACGGTTGTACAATGTACAGTGTTAACTGCATCCATAGTAGATGGATGATGGAACATAGGTATGGAATTTACACGATAGATAAATGTCCCGTTTATAGAGAGACCTGACTTAAGACACGATTCATTCCACATCAACCACCACAGTGTGTAACTGTGTACAGTGTACACTGTACACTGTACAGTCCAGTCATTGCTGAGGAGGTGCAAGTGCCAAGGACTACCTATTCTTGCCCAGAGCCATGTCATAAATATACCTCGGGTCCACGGACCATTGCTGTCCTCAATCCTCCAGAGTAGACTACTAGACCGAGGAGTAGGACACTGTTCTCTAGTAGATACCGAGTAATCTATTACCCTTTTCAAAAGAAGTGACGCTTTTCAATTGACAACCTTCTCTTCAGAGGAGAAGCCGGACAAGGATCAAAGACGCCCAAGTGCAACCACACCCGTGCGCCGGTCACATTTGTGAGATAAGTCTATTCTTCAGCCTTCCTCCTACCCCAGCGCAGTCACACTTGATCAGGGACAGACCGAGCATCCCTTGCTCACGACCCGGAGTAAACGGATCAATTTCAACGAGCGGTTCGTGGCTCACAGCACTAGGCTGGAACAGGCATAGTGGGAGCACTCTCGACTCCTCGAGTTGTGGAGACGGGAGCGGGTCCGCATCACTTGCCGTGCACGGATTTCGTTGGCCCCTTTTTGGAGGGGCTCCTCGAAGGTCTTGCTATTGTGTTACTGTGAGTGTGCAGTGTGCACAACTACACACTAACTTGGCCATGACCATATACAAGTCTCGTCGAACATGAAAAGGTTCAATGACAGAGCGTTCACCGTAGGTCCTGTCGGAGAAGACATTGTGAAATCCAGAGATTCTTGTTGATGAACGATGTAGGAATGGAAAACAATCGACTATACCTACGGAGAAAATGGATACTGCTGGTGCGGGTGCAATATGTCTCCATGTGAGTGACACTGACTGGAACCAACCTATAATTATGTATACGTGCGTACAACATGGACGCGTGTCCCACGGCATGGTATCAGCCCCGTACTCAAATCCGCTACTAGTCGCCAAGCGCCCATCCCAGCACAAGACTTGAAGACAGTAGCACACTTGCAAAAAGCCTCCCCTTCAATGTCCTCGAACTAGAAATTCCGCATGCAGGTTCCCCCCCCCCCGAGTCCAACATCCCGGGTGATCGCAACCGCATGTTGATATTAGCCCCATGTTTCAGGTCCATGCGCGTGCGTTCTATCAAAAGTCAATCCTACGCAGCCTGACCCCTGGATAAGGTCGGTGGTGCGTCATTTAAACGGCAATTTCAACCCGGTGCGGACTGCGTGGTACTGGCGCTATACGATCAGCGGGCGCCGGGCAGCGATCTCTGATCTGCGTTAATTGAATGTTATGATTGACGGACCGTCCATGGGGTCTTCACCCTTCTTTGACTTTGTGTTCTTCTTCTTCAAATCTGATTGTCATTGCCTTGTCAAATGATTACTGATGTACGGTTATACCCCCAGGAACTCCCGAACTGGCTCGGGAGTATGTCCCTGCCTCCACTGACTCTTGTCCACTCATGGTATCGTAGAAGATGGAAAAGAAAATAGTAGCTAATACCACAAAGGCAAGCCGGGCTAATATTGTGAAAATGAAACACGGCAAATACTGAATAGTAAAATAAATACTAAATAGGGATACCCATCCGGACAACCTTCCCTCAATCCGAGGATGTAAAGTCGCAGTGGCCCCCGTCGACGAGACATCGCATGTACTGGTATTCCTCAGATCGGATTCCTATGATCAAAAGCCTTGTTCATCAGATGAGACAAGCAATGAGTACAAGGACAACAGATCGGCTTCAATACTGGTCTGAATCGGTGAATAGTGCCCACTGCCCACTGCCCACTGCCCACTGCCTGCTTGACAGGGCAGAAGCTTTGCACATGAGAATAACAACACCCGAGTGTTGAGCAGCTTTATAGCAGTTTCATATGAGACCAGCAGATGAGGGCATTTCCGGACGTGAGGGCCCGAGTGTGGCCCTTCACCATCCAGGTACGGTAGAACGAGAATGTGATGTATCACGTGACCATCCATTTGGTCGCAATCCCGGGGCTCGAATCAGTAGTAACCGCAAGTTTAAGACCCAGTGGGGCAAACTGCTACCGAAATAAGTCACAGATTCGCATAGATTGGAAACAGAATATGTACGGGAAGCAAAAACGCTGATGAAAAGAGAAAATACAAAGCCAGGTTCATCTCAGATTGCATGTATCAAGTCAGGAAAAAGGAGAAATAAAAAGAGACCGCCAGGCCAGGATGGGCAGTCGAAACCATGAGCTAGCGGACCCCCCCCCACCAAGAGCAGATTGAGCAAAAGCCACGCAATGACAATAAATGGTGAATGAGCTAATCCATAATCAGAAGCCACCATCGGATCACGATGGGTGAAAAAAGACACAGTAAAAACGAGCATCACCACTTTCAACGAGGCACACACCAATGTCTCCAGGACCAAAGACAGAAGCATGTCAACCAATAAAGCAAGACAAAGTGGTGAACTAGACGAGACGTCGAAATGGGATGATGTACCCTCAAGATTCTGCGGCGGGCTACCCAGGACATGCATCCAGTAGACATGTACAAGATAAGAACGATGACAATATCGATGCCAAGATCAAGACTCCGTGATCATGCAATGACAGACAACAAAAGAATACGGAAGATATGATGGACCAGGGAGCAAAAATCACGAAGACCAGTCGACAGGTCTGAACAGGGAGGGCGCAAGGAGGCACAGCGAAGTAGCCAAAAAGAAGAATGGAAAACGCGAGAATGGGAATAGAGATACGTGATTACATGTCGAAATTATCGTCAACGTTGAAAATCCCCGTCTCTGGGCCGTCGGTCCTTTGGACACCGCTCATACGTTGATCGTTCGAATGGGTGGCCCGATGGGTGCGCTGCCAGGTTTCTTCATTGAGAGGGTCCTCGTCCATGCGGTCAGCGGGGTCGTGTTTCAGATGATGGTCGATAGAGCTCTCGTTTACAAAAGTGAAGCCCTTGAAGTTGGCTTGCATGCCGGGTGATAGAGGGGTGGACCCGGGCATCAGCCCGTTGGCCAGGGCCGCAGCACGCTCATGGAGAGAGTTGTTTGTCTCCAACGCGGTTGTGAACTCTGGATCGAAGTTGGAGGTGTCGAGATCGGATTGCAACTTGGGCTTGAAAGGGGGGATGACTTGCTTCCGACCCAGCGCCTCCCAATCAATATCATGGAAGAAAGGATGAGCCATCAGCTCCTTGGCATCACCATTCGCACCCAATCGGTGTTTGGGGTTTCGGTTGAGCAGACCCTTGACAAAGTTGCGACCTTCGGTACTGAGCGCATCGCGGGGGAACCGCACTTTGCCGAAAGCGATGTTTTTATACATCTGCTGGTTATCCTCGGCGTAGAAGGGACTCCAACCGCAACACATCTCAAAGACCAAGACTCCCAAAGACCAAAAGTCGACCATCTTCGTGTAACCTTGCTCATCCAAAAGGACCTCGGGAGCCAGGTATTCGGTTGTACCACAAAAGGTGTTGGTAGTGTCATTCTGGCTCAGATTGGCCTTGGAAAGGCCGAAGTCACAGAGGGCGATGTGTCCATTTGCATCCAGCAGGATGTTCTCCGGCTTCAGATCCCGATAGACGATATCGTGGTCATGCAGGTGTTGGAGCGCCAAGATCAACTCGGCAATGTAGAACTTCGCTCGCTCCTCCTGGAAACGGCCCTCACGCTGAAGATGCCAAAACAACTCACCACCAGACATGTAATCCGTTACCAGGTAAAGATCAGTGGGTGTCTGGAAGGAGAACTTCAGGCCAACAATGAATGGGGATGCGGTCATGGCGGTGCGCACGAGAATGTTGCGTTCTCCGAGTGTGTGGATCACCTCCTTCTTTTGGATGATGACCTTCTTGGAGAGTACCTTCATGGCGTAAATGCGTTGCGTGTCTTTCTTCATCACCTGATACACCTGGCCAAAGGTGCCCTTGCCAATGAGTTTCAGGATGGAGAAGTCGTTGGGGCCCACCTGCCGACGCTCCGTCATCTCGAATTGCATCTGCATATGAATTTCGCCCGACACTTGACTATCGCCAGCCGCACGGGCGACCAAAGGGAACCAGCCTTCCAGCCGACTGTGATCCTCTTTCAGGTTGATGGCGAGGCGTACGTGACCGAGGAAGGCCTCCTGGTTGCTGCGATCATAGACCGTCACGTCCACCTCGGATTGGTCTCCTAGAACATCACTAGAAGAGGGAGAATCTATCAGCTCATCATCTTCAAAATTCGGCCAACCCACCGATCGAGCGGGCGGGCGGGCGAGCGACCAGAACAGTGAGATCTTGGAGGACAAGCAGGAATATGGAGGAGGGAATGAACTCACAAGACGGCTTCGTGATCCCAATGAGGATCCGTTACGGCAGTGCGACCTTTGTGATCCTGGCCCTCCACCGCACTGTTATAACTGCTCTGACGACTCTTCATGGGAATCGCCATGGAAACACGGGCGTCCGCATCCGACTGCATCTGCCGCCGTTTCTTCTCCTCCTCGCCTGAGCGAGCCCCCTTGGAAATGTACTCGTTCCACTCGAAAACGCACACGACGTAAGGATCGAAACTGGGGCGCAGCCCGCGCGCCTCGGTGATCTTCACAATCAGCTTGCCTTTGATCGGACCCACGGGCGCTCCATTCTGGGGTACCGAGCTAGATCTGCGGGGGAACGCTTCGTCGAGTTTCTCGGCGATCTCGTCGGCGGAGCTGTCCATGCTATCCGTGGGGGTGGGTTGTTCGGCCGCCGGAATCTCGCTGACCGGCGATTCCTCGGATTCATCTGCGCGGGGAGCGGGTTCGGTGGCCTTGATATTGGCCGATTCATCCTCGTTGGACATGGCCCGAGGAGTCAAGGGCGGGGTGTTCTTGAGACGCGCCACATCGGGCGCGTTTTGAGTCAGCTTGGCCAGGTTCTCGGAAGATACAGAAACAGGTGGCAACTCATGGCCAAGAAGAGGAGCTGCGGAGGGAGTGTAGAGATCTCCGGTGGCGAGACCGGGAGCAGCAGCAGCGGTAGCAAGATCATCAGGAGGAGAAGGTAGCGAAGAAGAAGCAGACGGAACGGATGGGTTGGAAAAGTGCGTGGCAAGGACGGGGTCATCAGAGACACTCGAGACTGGCAGAGAAGTTTGCCGTCGGGAAGGAGGGGTAGATGATGCGGGCGGGGCGAGATATTTCTTCAACATATGAAGCAAGGAGGACCCATCACTGTGGTCGAGACTTGACCCGAGGTCCATCTCGTCCGGCTCCGTTTGGAGCAACGAATGTGGAGGGGTAGGCGGGTTGGCCATGGGCAGCGCCTCTGATTGCTTCCTCTCCTCTCCATAGTTCTGCTCCATCGAGACCGGTGACTCGGAAGCAGTATCCGAGTCACACGTCGTGGTGGCGGGAAGAGAAGCAGTGGCAGTAGCAGTCATCGCTGCAGAGGTATCGGGAGATGTCTCAGGGAGGGCATGTGATGGAGAGGGGTCCACCGAGGAGGGCCTCGAGAGGTATGACCAGAATCGCGGCAAACTCGACTTATCACCAGAGGAAGAACCAACCTGGAAGTAGTTGTGCATAATGGAAGGCAAACGCTTGTCGGCGGGATCAGGCTGGGGGGTCGCGACACCCGTTGGGGTCGACCCGTTCGATCCGATCTGGTCGGAGATGTCGTCTTCAAGGCCGGATCTATTGATAGTTGGGGGTGGCGGATTAGCGATCGCTGCAAATGTAGACTCGGGTAGATAATCATATCGATGAACTTGCAACTCGTCACAGGCATTTCAAGAGTAGAAGCCATGAACGATGACATGCACACGGCCCGTCCAGACTCGGAGGTATCTCACAGTCCCCCACCTGCGACCGGGGGGAAGATAATCTTTAGAGGGTCCCCCCACCCCCTCTTCATGTTCCCGGGCAGCAGTCTGCATGAGGGAATGAGTCTTGACGAGAAGAACCCGAAGTGACCCTCAGCAGCGTCGCATCAGATTTTGGTGCATCAATCGGAAGTTGCACCGCTGAGAGTGCTGGTCTGCAAGGAAGAGTATTGCATGTAATGCAGTGTGAGGGGAGGGGGGGGTTGTTGGCGGACCCTCTTTTTTCTGAGGGGGGGGGGGGGGGGCAACACTCAAAAAAAGGTCCTCATGAATCGGCCTTGAGATTCAGGGCGCTCATCACCGCCAGAATAACACAAAGGATGGTGGATGGTCACAGCAAAGAGGGCAGTGTGATGCACACGAGTCGGCGGAATAACAGCAAGTGCAGCCAGGATTGGTGTTTTAAAGATTGACTCACTTGGGCGATTTCATGTCGTTGCCGGTGTGCAACTCAGTTCCACTCGCAGCAGCCATTGCGTTTCCATCAACAGGGCCTCCACCGGATGACGAGAAGGCGACACGCACGGGGGGACAAATGGCTCTGAGACCTGAAGACTCAAGGATGGACGAGAATAGATTGGGAGGAGTCGGGCGAAGTGGGAGAGGAGAATGGAGGGGGGGATCAGAAAAAGAAGAGTCGAAAGGGCCGATCTAATAATGATGGAGGTGTGTGGTCGAGCCTGGAAAGAAGAAAAAAGAAACTTTGACGCTGCCCGATGATGAGCTAAGGAAGATTGCGGGATGGTGTCCCCGATCGGCTTCGGCTGCGCTCTGCTAAAGGGGGCGGGGAATCGACCCGTTCAGGTTGGCACACACACACTGAGCCGGGAACAAGGTGAAGAACAAGGATGATTGGAAATGGAAGAGAGAGAGAGAGATTGTTGGGTCTTTGGGTCGCGGGTCGGTCAACCCAAAAGACAATCCCACGGAATCGGCGATGAGCAGGGCTGAGTGGCGCTTGGTGCTGGTGCTGGTGCTGGTGCTGGTGCTGGTGCGATGGATAGTTCAATGTCAATGTCGAGCACGCCGGAGAGAGAGAGAGCGAGAGCGAGATGAGAGGGTGTCAGTCTCCTTCAGCCCGTTCGGCACGGATCTGCTGGAGATTGAACTTTTATGGCCTCTTCGAGAGTGACTTCCAAGTGGCTGAATGTCTGGACTTCAGCACTCTCGCCCTTCCACGTGAGTACCTAATGGCGACACGGAGATGGGAGGCGCTCATGGGCTGAAACCGCCATGAGACTATGTACTGCCCAAGTCACTCGATCAGGCGTGGTACATGAGGAACGAGGCGAAAGAAGAGCTGCGAGATACAGTCGTCGCAGTAGTGGTGCCTCCTTGTACAGTCATACAGTCACACTGTTGACTTGACTGCCAATACCCTTGAGCTTTTGGTAGTCTACAGTCTGCACACTGTTTGCGCGGGGATAGAGGTCTTTTTATGATGTTGACGAGGTTCAACTTGAATGACATGTGCAGTCGGCCAACCGATGCAATCATGTCCAGCTAAGAGAAAGATCGTCGTCAACCCTGATGGCTAGGGCGGGCTTTTAGCTTGTGAAGACTGAAGATACTAGTAGTAGATAGGAGTATCACTAGTCGAGGCGATACTGGAAATGATGAAATTCCCGCGATGCACGCCACACTGGAGTCTGAACATAGGCCTCTCAATTTGAAGAACAATGCCGTTGAAAACCATGGACTTCAGTTCTCACTCGTACTTTCTCCTACTTTTCAGGATGAAGTCTTTGGAAGAGACTGCCCATTTCCAAAAAAACCTCTACCGAAAGCAGATGACCATCCGTCGGTTGACGTCGCTGATGGTCTAGAGTTGACATGCGTACTTTACTCCGAATGTGCCGCTTGGTGCATCCCTCGGTGACTTCATCACGGACGGCCATCGTGTGTCCCTGGCCCTGAGATCGATCCCTACGGCCAGCCCCGCCCGGCCGAGAGCACGACCAAGATGGAGTCGGAAGTTGCCTCATTCCAACTCGATCGACCTTACACAGCGTCAGCCTTCCCATGAAAGAGATGCTTGGATGAGGGTGTACCGCAGCATTACAGCAGTATCACAGCAGCATTCCGGACTCGGACTATCAGGGTTTAAACACTACTGCGATCTTACAGACCACGGACCGGAGTAGTTATTCCTGGCGCTCTCTCGGCGTTGTCCGCAGCACATCGGAAGAGGCAAAATAATCTCTCATGTGGAGACACTCACCAGAACACTGCTGCAATCATCTCCTCCACCCATTCCAAGAGAGAGGGGCATCGCTCTCTCGTGATTGCCCAGCGATAGGACCGACTGGGACAGATTCTGTAGCAGGTGGGTTCTCCTGATACCTCGGAACCAATATCTGAGATGGTCAGCGTGGCTCAAGATTGCGGTTCGGTGGCCCCTCCACGCCTGGACTGACGGGACTGACTGGACGCTAGATACGTTATCTTCACTTCTCGAACACGGAGAAGAGAAGCCACCTGCATGCATGTATGCAGTACAATCGTCCAGTGCAATCAGGTTCACAGATACGACCAGACTGTACCAGTCACTACTAACTTGAGTGGTCGCTAGGTACCAAAAGGGACCCGCCGGTCGTTGCAAATTCGATCATGACAACGTCGACTAATCAATTGGAACCCTCTCGAGATTGCACTATTAACGTACCAATTTTGGTCACCGTCTCGTCTGGGCATGCTGCTCCCTATGTAGCCTAATTTGGCGTGGCCTTTGGGGCTCGCAGAGGCTCGCAAGCGGGCTATCAGTTATTCTCGTTGGGCTATCCTGTTCCCTTTCCTGAGGTCGGAACCTAGCGTCTCTTTCGAGGCCCGCTTCAGCCTAGCTATCCCATTCTATATACGAGAATAAGGAGACCAATGCTTTATTTTCTTATGGTATCTGGACTGAACAAGGTATAAGCTCGAGCCCAAAGGCCTTAGATAACGATCCGTCATGGAGTTGCTCCGGGCGCTTTTGCCTGGTTGATGTTCAGCACAAGCCTGGTCAGGTGATAGTTCGAGAAGTTTTGGCCCACCGGCCCTTCAAGGGGGTATCGACCTTTTCCCTTTCCTTATTATTCTCCACTGGCCTACACAACATAATCCCGGTGTATGTAGTCATTGGCAGGTAGGGACTATGTATTGTACAAACGATTTCGGCATCCCATACGGTGGCGTCGTATGAGGACCTGATCGAATGGTCCTTCACTTCGGTTCATTGACGAAGTAGACGAAAATGAGGCGTACGATGACTACTGTACTTGGGGGCGAGTCTTCTCTTGTGCCCTTTTGAAAGTGAAGGCTGTGACGAGTATATTTATGGAAGAAATAAGTAGGGGCCTGTAAGCACTGAATAGGAGAAGTATAAGTATGGCACAAATGTTCAGGACCTAAAAGCTAAGATAAGCATCTCTCCCCCGGCATGTGGCGATGACTGCAACCCTTTGTCTGACTATGATGCGATGTGCATGACCCCAGAAATATCACGAGATGCTAGTCGCCTGTAGTTTTCTGACGTTCTGACTGAAATAGGATTATAATTGGCTTGAAGATAATCGTCTCATGGCCCGTCGAATTCCGAATGCGAAGGTCCATAATGAACCTGACTCTGCGGACTTGCCCGTGGTCTCGCCTCTTGTATGTCCTTCTACCTATAGATCCTCCTAGCGCATGGAACTAGACTATTTGGTCCTAAGTCTTGATGATTAGATCTATAGAGCTCGATCATCGAGACGTCGACCGAAACAAGGACCATTTTCAAATTTCATTCAAAACGCGATTGAATCACCCAGACTCCAGGAAGGCAGAGAAGCTCTTTCTTTTCTCGCACGAGCCACGAATCTGTAGATTATCGATGCATCTCACTCGGTCCGTCCTGAATGTGTTTGTTGTCCCTTCCAAGCCTTCGTCAACGCGCCGAGAGATGACCCCACATTTCTGGATCTTGCGACTACACTTCGATGTACCCTGGTGTGCGGGCGCGGCGCTGTCCCAAATGCCCCAGGGGAGCAGAATCCAAGTGAATGGGCTTCTTGGTCTGCTGAACGATGTGTCTTCACCCACAGGAGGTGGGAGCAATTCTTGGGTATATGCGGCTCTCAAAAGCCGGTCATAATTACTCAGTGGAAGAGTAAGGTAGCCTCTTGATCTCATTTCTCGAAGACCCAGTATATTCTAGGTATTCCAACTGAAGAGTTCTATCTTGAACGGGACCGAGCGAAGTGACGTGAACTGACCCCTGAACCTCTACGAACACTACAATACTCCAGCCCCGAGGTGTTGCGGGGTACTTGCCTATTACATCCCGTGCAGGATTGGATTCTGCCCGTTGACACAATCGGTACTATTCTACCTAATCAGGTAGAATTGATTGACATGCAGAATGACATGGCACGGGGCCAAAGTGGCTGCAGATCACGTCTTAGCGGAACTCAAAAGTTCAGCGGGGATTTTAATCGGGTAGGTTTCGCGATTCAAGTCATTGTACTGCGCGGGAGCGCGGAAGATGGCATGAATCAGTGCTGTTACTGCTGTTGACTCTCACATCACGTACGTATACCCCAGATGATGTAATCACAACACATTTTTAAGTGCTGGTAGCCAGCATTCTTCAGATCAAGCCCCCTTTCGATTGTTTAGGACTGGCAGTGAGTGGCAAGATAGAAAAGTATTGGTCCGACTCAAGTTCGTTTAGCCCGGCGCTCACGAAAGCGGACACTAACTAGTTATGTACAGTAGTTCATTGCTTCCATGTGCTAGACTATTGACAACCTCTTGCGACGTGTAAAGTAATCCGAGCAAAACTGGGACATACTTCAGGGCATCTCAATCTACGGAGCTTCTGAGTCTCACGGATCAGCTATCGCCTCGCTCATCGTCGAGCGTCCTGTGTAGGGTGACTGGGGTATACTGAATCTGCATACTGGGATGTATCGAATTTGCGCAAGAAGCGGCTTATGATGTCATGGCAGAACGCTCAGTAGTATAGGGCTGACCAGCCTCAGGCGGCCAACCCCGACTTTGAATATAGGCACGTGACATGCGATAAGATTAGATCACGTGGGATCGATCCACCGGCTCAATGAATTTCCCGCTCTGCGCAAAACAACTGCGCCATATCGTCGACGGATAACTGGTGGATTGATCGCGATTCCGCATCACGATTACAAATATGCCTCGAAAGCTTCGCGCGGCCGCGCAAGCGGCTGCAAAGCAGTTGAGTAAGTTATAGTTGGAAGAGAGGCATCTCTCAAATCAAACCGGGGCTCTTTTCACGTCAAAACTCCAGACCGTCAACAGAAACACCCCCTTTGCAAGGCACCTCGCTAAGAAGTGGCCGTCTCTATAGAAAATGTGCCAACGCTACCTGACCTCTCCGATGAAGAGATGGTGGACGCGCTGCCATCGCAGCCTTCATCGCCTCCTCCTGAAATTCCAACCTCACCGAATGACGACCCCGACGTCGAGCCTGAGAATGAGGATCAAGACGTCGATGAATCGCGCGCCGAGACGCCTGATGAATCCAATCTGGAGCAAAGCAAGACTGGAAGCCCGGCTGTAGGGGACGCCACACAGATAGATGAGAGCGCCGAGACACCTTCACATGCCATTGGCCGTCCAGCAATCCCACGAAAGCGTCGCCTTGGTCGTCCCCCCAAGAATCGCCCGCCTGACTGGGATGCGCCTGACGGCTCCCAGACTCCCATCCGCGTCACAACACCCGTCAAACGCCGGAGAGGTCGCCCAGCTGCAAGTGGTGGGCGATGGGCTCGAAACCGAGGCCCTGTGCACAACACTCAAGTCCCAATCGACAAGGAAGGAAATATGATGGATGTTGTTGGGGATGAGGTCGCGCTTCCGCCGAATCCTGTGGGAGACACCAAAGTTGACGAAAATGGCCACCTTCTGGGAGGCCGAGAATATCGAGTCCGCACATTCACGATCCTCAACCGCGGCGACAAGCTTTACATGCTGTCAACGGAACCAGCACGTTGCATCGGTTTCCGTGATTCATACCTTTTCTTCCAGAGGCACAAGATGCTCTACAAGATCATCATTGATGATGAGGCTAAGCGCGACCTCATCGAGCGTGATATAATTCCTCACTCTTACAAGGGTCGTGCCATTGGTGTCGTCACTGCGAGGTCTGTGTTCCGGGAGTTTGGCGCAAAGATTGTTGTAGGCGGCAAGAAGGTGACGGACGACTACGACGAGCAAGCTGCTCGGGAGCGCGGCGACGTTGAGGGGGAGCTGGCTGTACCGGAGGATAAACTGCCTGGTCCCGGCGAGACATACAACCGAAACCAGTACGTTGCGTGGCACGGCGCTAGCAGTGTGTACCACACGAATGCGCCGGCCATGCCCTTGGCCGGTGGCAAGCCTCTTGATCCGAAGAAGCGACGGGTCCCTGTCACAGATGAGAATTGGATGCTTGAGCACGCACGTGCTGCAAGGTAAGACCAGTCACATTCCTTATCTTCACCTTACATGCCCTTGAAATCAGAACACTCGCAGACTCTTACTGACACTTCTTCTTTCCCAGCCTATTCAACTCGAGACTTGCCGAGGTTCGTCGTGAAACCATGACTGGCACCTATGACGTGCACACCAACACCATGCATTATCCCAAGATCATGCAACCTACCCACGCCCGCTGGGAGTACGTCCCTTCTTCTGACGCTGGGAGCACCGCCGAGCTCATGTCCACGCTCAGCATCAATGCGCAGAACTCTGCCGAGATGGACACCGCCGTTGAAAAAACCAACGAACAGGCCCCCACCGAGACTTCCTTCCCTCCCGCTCCCTCACACATCTCCAATCGCTATGTTGTTGCTGACACAATATACGAATCGCCACCCTACTCGAACATGGGTCTGCCCGGTCCGGACGGTGATTTGATGAACCCAAGCCCCAATGGTCTGGCCAGCATTGCCCAGCCCAAACACTCGGAGTTCATGACCCCCGAAATCATCGACCTCTTGCCCCCGGACTGCAAGGAGGCCTTTATCGACGCAGCAGCCCGCGAAATCCACTGGAAGTCGAAATGGGGCAGCGAAGCCGAGAGCAAGCTGCGCACGCAGCCCTCTAAGAGCTACGCTTGGTATCCGTGATCGTTGAGTCTCGGACATCATAAAGAGCACATCACTTGGCTCATCTACTCTCGGCTCCCGGTTCACGGTAGTTGGAGTCTCTCTTGAGATCTCGGCGTTTTAATGGAAGAAGGACTTTGTGGCTTTACTTCTTGGTGGGACTGTTTGGTGTTGCGCGGTTCTTACTTGGGTCATACTGCGGTATTGTTTCCCCCGAGGAAATGGCGTTAGGTTTTTGGAGGGTCCCTGGGTGTTAACGCTCGGTGTGGACATTCATTCATGATAGCGCTTTCGAAATACATCAAGTAATGAATGAGGTTGTTGAATTGGCTCCTCGATCGGGGTCGAACTCCTCTAGATAGTATTTGACGTTTTCTTTGCTTTGACATCCACCGAGCTCTAGGTGGGGCATTGACTCGATAGTACGTGCAACGAGAGCAAATGCAAGATTTGCGAAAGTTATATGATGTAGTGCGGCGGGAGTTGTAAGCGCGTGTTGGCACTATCCACCCTACCTACCGAAAAGGACGTTGAGGTCATCGATAAGAATATGGATGTCAGACCTATTATCGGGGCCATCACCTGCAACATTGCACCATCGCCATCACTAATCGCCCACTCCCACTTCACATTTCATCCCTCAACGTCGCACGATGTCTTCAATGACGATGTCAGCCGAAGTGTCTTGGTTTAGACATGGCTCGATGGATCAAGTCATTCAAATCGGCAAGATAATCAGCCTCTCTCACCCGACACCAAGTCGATGAAGGATTGTTGAGATCCATGACGAAATTGACGATCGAAGGCTTCGCAAAACTGACAAAGTTGACTCTCACCCTTCGTTCCTTTTATCTTGTACTGACGTAAAAGCAATAGGAGTTCCCGGAGGACAATCCATGATGAGGGTCCTTATTCAAATTCAGCTAAAGACGCGGAGCATGATCCCTTGGTCGTTCGGGCTCAACAACTTATGAAGAAATTCAGAACAGATGAATTTCGTGCGTTGCAAACATTCAATAAGCGGCCGTCAACGTATACGCCCCTTCTTCTCGGATACCACCAGCATCAGCAAGATTCATTGGGCCCTATTCCTGGTGGCTTCCTTAGCTAGTATGCTTGGGAAGTTGTCCCTGGTATACGGCTTGGCGACGATACTGGGAAGTCAGCCCCGTTCTGGGCATTTGATGAGCAAGGGCGGGCATTTCAAAAGACCTTCGAGTATGTTATACGGATCCCTTCAACGTATATTTCTACAATCACAAAATCTAGGCAAATGGCTCTGATGAGTGCCCGGCCAGACTATGCCTCAGTTGCTAGTTGAGTCTGGGACCCGAGAGCAAAGACGCTGTGAATATGAAATTCGCGGGAGCAATCGGCGCATTGTCAAGTGATGAGCTTGGTTTCTTGATATTCTTTAGCGTCGATGGAGTACATCTGCGAAACTGAACAAGTTACTGGGTAGGCTTCGTGGATGGCAGTCAACAAGTGCCTCGTGAAAGTAAGCCTGTCATGCTCCCGCAGTTTGATCTTGTCGAAGCCCCTGATGATTCCTGGCATTTACTGACACGGGATGATAATCCTTCAATCCTTCAAAGTGGGAGATCCCAGGCTGAGCCGGTGGCGGTGACATCTTTCTAATGGAGAGGTTCTCGGCACTTGAATTGCACTTTGAGCTCTTCCTCGCGTGGCTGTCATTGATATGGGTAGGTCCTTGATCAAATATCATAACCGTGTCATTGAATTTACGTGCAGGCGTTGTCGGGGACGAGTATGAAGTTCAGAGTCGAAACCGTGCCAGGCATGAACGCGATTGCCATGCAGCAGTACCTTGAATGCGTAACAACTACGTACCCAATTGTAAGATTCCGGAATTCGCTACCTGAGTCGTCAAACTCATGAAGCTCTTGTTGTATGAGAGGTCCAGACTCCTTGGATCTCAGAGCAGAAACTCAAGGAGAAGGTATCGCGAGCTTCGTTCCCGGAAAGTGATGAACAACTTCATAAAGCTCTTGGTATGTTGATCAACTTGGTCGGCTTGCTCTAGCGACCGCGTATACTAACACAAGATTCCAGGCCAGATTGCTCTGTACATATACGATCTCGAACCGAACTATAGAATCTTTACGATATACACGCAGACGTTCTTTTCTCCGGTAGGTCGTAGAGAATCGAAAGGGGAGACCGGAGTATTCCCCGGTCAGTCGAAATGCGGATGGCCTTCAGACCCCGGGTCTTTCGTCATGTACCCTGCGAAAGTGTTGCTATCATGTAGCTCTGCTGTCGTTGGAGAATCGGGCTTTGGACAAGAGTGGACTGCAGCGGCAAGCATGGACGGGGGATAGATAGGTCTGCCAGGCTGCTGTATACGAGTGAAGAGCTTTCTACGAAATTTGAATTGAAGAATCGGTTGTTCGAGAGTAGCTTGTCAGGAGATTGTATCAATTGAAGAGTTGATCTTCCTGCATGGGCACTCCACTCACAAGGCGCTTCTCATGCGAACACTATTCCAGCCTTGCAGGAGATTGTGTCATTTATTAAATCGGGCACTTTTCAAGTGTCCGGGGACAGATACTGTAATATCTCTGCCCGGTTTTATCATGAACTTACAAGTCTCTGGACGTTCCACCTCAGTTCCTCAAACGCTCTACATACATCGTGGCTCGAATTCTGTTTGGCAATAAATATCTATCTTCTACTTAAAAGATCCGGAACGCACCTTCGATATATGTACAGTTACCCATGGGAAAGGTTTTTGTATTAATATCTCAACAAAGGCTCTCAACGGCCCGTACATCTGTTATAAACATCCCTAACAAGTCCGGAAACATGCCCACGAGGACTATAGCTACAGTCAAGTAGCGGCTGCAATACATTAGCTCTCTAAGCCTGCCCAGCTGTACAAGCGTATCAAGTACGATACGTTCGTTACTGGGTGCACTCGCATCCTGCCTAGAAACACAGGCGATACAATTGCAAGGCGTCCGCACAGGACAAGTCCTATCCTGAGAAACATATCGTTCAGGATTGTATAGCTCAGCTACCACGACCGGAGTAAATTGTTGACACAGGTTACACATTAATTTACGGAACAACTTTGCAAAGTGACAAGGAAAGGGTGGAGAAATCAATCGAGAACGCGATCTCCCGGGCATTCCTTTGATCGATGAGTTGTATAGAGAGAACGGAGACGAGGAAATCGAAGGAAAGGGACGCCAGGAACACATCATAAAAGAGGTAATAGGGGAACAGGGCTCGCTTGAAGAGGGATAGATAATGGGAGCGGTGAGAGGGGGAAAAGCATCAAATGTATAGGTAGATATTGAGAACTGGAATTGTTCACCCAGGACACCGGGACAAGTAGGAAAAATGGGGAGGAGGGCGCGAACCACGAAGACGGACAGAAGTTTGGCTATCCGGTTCTAGTCAATTCCCGACTTACATGGCCATTTCGGCTCTGAGCTTGGCCAATTCGGCCTCCTCGTCTTCTTCCTCGTTCTTCGCTTGTGGCTTGTTGACTGGCAAAGAGTCAGCATAAGGTTCCAATGTCATCGTGCACCAGACGCGGAGCTTTTGCGGTTCAAACTTACGTTCTGTGGCGCCGGCAGCAGGCAGACCTTCCAACCGACTTCCAACCGGCGTAGGTCCTGTGTTGAGCATACGCTCGTCCATAGCTTCTTGCTCCATTCCTTCCAGCTCGGCCTCCAGCTCTCCCTCGTCCATTTGCTCTCCCAGTGGCATGCTCGTGATCGCGTCGCCAATTTCCTGGCTGAGCATGTGTTGTTCTCGAAGTTTGTCCCTGAACAGTCGTGTCAGCCTGCGCGCACATGTTCACATCGAATTGCATCATGACCTCCAAGTCAACGTTGCGATTAGACTCCAGAAACTCCAATACGTACATTGTCTCATCTACCTGTTCGATACTCATACCGCCGTGAATCTGCTTCATAGCCTCACCGGCGCTCTTCATCGCTTGGAGGGTTTCATGGTTGATGTTGGCGGCTTCGATCGAGTAAATCTGTTGTTCGAGCTGCACAACCTGTGCCGAGGTCTGTTCAAGGTTCTTCTCATGTTGATGCTTCCGTCGCAGTGCAGCTTTCGCAGCTGTAATATTTCAATGAATTTCAAAGTCAGCCTATTTCCTCTCTTTTTGTTCCCACAGATCTTGGCCTCCTGTGTTTTGTTTCTGCTTAGGTTTGGTGTCATGGGGAGATAATCGCACCATTCTTATTCGTAGTAACGTGCTTCCGCGCAGCGGCATCTTGCTCGGCAATTTGATTCTCCAGATGCTTCTCACGCTTCTGGAGCATCTCCAACTGAGCGCGAAGACCAAGAATAGCGTTCTTGGGAGCCTCTTTCCGCTTCTGGGCGGCGGCGCCGCCAAACCAAGACCACATTTTCCACGTACGAGATGGCGATTGCACTTGGGAAAAATATCGGTTGGAGACAGTCGCTCCCTCTAACAACTGGAGACAAGGAGAAGCAGATGCGACGAAGAACGCGCGAGTCGTCTAGGCACCTACGATTTGACGCCGCACTAAACAAGCCGGGCGTCGGAGTAGCGTAAATCGTGCTCCCGACAAAAGATACAGAGCAGGTTCGCAGTGAGAAGAAGTATGCTGTCGGCCGATGTAATGGAAGCACTGCCAGGATATAAGGGTGGGCAAGAGGGACTGTTATTGAACCACGTCCAAGTATCACGAGCAAGCGGGCGTTGTCATCGATGAAGCCGACATGGAGGGGAATCCGTCACTCGCTGGACCCGATGACATACGCCCGATAACGGTCACGTGCCATGACCCACCCCATCCCCATGGCTGGAACTCTCAAGAATAACGGGCCCGTGACTTGGATGGTTGTGAAGTGACCAGCAGCTCGCGGACTTTTAGGCCTGAATCATACAGAATCCGAAATTTGGCCCTCAGCTGGAATTGTGACTGTCTGAGATCTTGGAATGAACGGACCTCGTCCTTCAATACGTGCATTTCTATGTGACCTTCCATCGCTGCGAACTGATACAAAAGTCCGCTTCTTGGGCTGGTACGTGTAGAGCGCTCTAAATCCTTATGCCATGTGTTTACTTCAGGCAAAAGGTGGTCGATATCTGACTTGATATTCAATTTCAGTGTAAGGCATTACGATGTCAATACAGGCCATCTTGTCCTAGAGCACAACTATCCGTGGCAGAAAGAAGGACCTCAATCGGTCTCGGTCGATGTCAACGCGGTGCTGCAGGACCTCTCATCAGAGGAGCTTCGAGTTGGCGCATGGTTGAATGTCATCGGTTACATCCGAGAATCGGCATCGCCGACCCTGTCCTTTACTTCCTCGCAATTGAACTCCTCGCAGCCTCATGATGAACCTGAAGTGGCTTCAGTGCCGACGAGAGTCGCGCCTCGACCAGTGCATGTTGATGCCGTAATGGTGTTTTCTGCGGGCGCCATCGCACTTGGGGAGTATGAGCGTATCCTCCGCAATGCCCAGGATGTTGAACGACGAATGCGTGTGTCTGGATAAAACATCACCAGTTCCTTCAGTGAGTCAAGGAACCCCCGGTGTACGTCATGCTCGGCGGTCCTAGTCAATAGTGATGTCCACGTCACCTTCTGATCGACGTTGCAGAAGGACCAGAGCACAATAAATGGGTCATCAGGACCTGATCTATGTCTCTAAACGCTTCAGACGCGACAGTCCTGCTTTTCCACATCCTCGACCACCATGGTGGATTTAGCGTCCTGAGAAGGGTGCGGTGTCTTCCGCGCCCGTTTCCCTTCCAACTTCTTCTTGTCTTCCTGCATGCGCACAATCAAGGTGCTCTTCATGCGGATCTTGTAGCCATACTTGTAGAAGATGATGGGAATTGGTATAATAGCCACCTCTAGCAATCCCAACAATGTGCCGGACCAGTTTGCACCCAGACTGTTGTACATGTATGGGCCCACCAGCGGTAGAACTCCGCCCAGGACACTCCGGATGACCGAATTTCCGGCCATCGCAGATGCGGCGTACATACCATAACTATGCGTCAGGTAGTTCGACGCATAGATGAAGACACCCGTGTTACCTGCGCCAAAGGGAATGCCCGCGAGCAAAGGCACGATCCAATGAATCGAGGCCGGGGAGCAGGTCCACGCAAACCAAAGCTCACCTATTGGAATGAGCGCAGAGCAAATGCACACAAAGGACACCATGGCTTCGGGTTGAACACTGCCGGTCTCTGGATCTTTGGGATGGCTGTTGATCATCCGACGAACCAGCGGCTCACAGGCGATCGTGATGAGTACTCCAGCACCGATGCCGAGGAACGCGAGACCGGAGAACCCGAGGTCCCACCCACGAATTTGCCTGAAGACGATGGGATACGCGGTGAAACAAAGATACAGAATGGCGTACACAATGGCGATGTAAATGTTCCAAAATATACTGCGATCGGGAGTCAGTTGGATGCCCCCTTGCTATGCGGCATCGCATTGACGAGTCTTACCAGATAGGTTCGGTGACAGCCATCACAAACGGTCTACTCAGGTTGAGAGCTAGTATTTCGAGTAGGGTCGATTTTTGATCGTAGCGGGACCACCATCGCGAATCATTCGTCTCCTTGCGCAGCCGAGCAGCTTTCCGCTGCAAAAGAGTGGGTGCGTATGTTTCCGGAAGAATCAGGGCAAAGGCAAGCGCCACGCAAGAAAGAATTAGCGCGATCCAACACATCCATCGCCAACCCAGATACTGCGTCACGAACCCGCCAATGACGGGTCCCAGTACTGTGTTTCAAACGTTAGGAGATGGAGAGCAACTGAGGATCAAGAGACGAATGACGTACCAGGTCCATTCAGTGGGCCGATACTCCAGATTGAGAAAGCGAGTGCTCGGTGCTCATCATCCACCAGATCAGCGACCATGCCCGGTGCCGTCGAGATCATGACGCTACCAAAGAAAGCACCGAAGAAACGGACCACCAGCAGGGTTGTCACCGATTTCGCAACAGCACATGGAATGATCAGAACGGTGAATAGTGCCAGGCAGACCACACAGACCGGCTTTCGACCATAAACTTCGCTGAGAGGCGCCGTGAACATTGATCCAATCGCGAGTCCAACCAGATAAACAGTCAATCCGAGAGTGACGACAGTAGTGGAAGTATCGAACTCCTTGCTAATTTGCTGCACACCTGAAGTGTAGGAAGTGGAATATAGAACACTGCCGCCCAGTCAGCGGGGTGACTTTTTCTGTAGTGTAACAGCTAAAGCACTCCCTGGTACTCACACAATCAAAGTATTCCATGACAAGAATACCATGCTCATAGACTTGTACCAAAGCTTCCAATTCTTGGGGTTTTGTGGATCGGTTTCACCCTCCCAATCGACCTCGTAGTTCGGATCCGATGTCATGTTGGTCGGAATTGTTGTCACCCGCTCCGCTAGAGACATATGATCAGAGGCTCTACTTGTATGTGCAGTCAGAGCTCTTCCCAATCCTTCTCGATCGCCCTGCGTATCTATCGAAGATGCACATGATACGGAGTCGGAATCACGAAGGGTGGGCGCAGTGGTTTGCGCCCACTTGGACGTGGAATGGCGACTTTCCATAGATGCCCGACGTGGATGTGACATGTTGAGAAATTGAGTTGCTGGCCTGGGTGAAAATTAGCGACTGAGCAGAATGAATGATCAAGTGTGCCGAGGACTGAGCCTAAAGCGACACCCTGGACAAATGTTTGCTTCGCTGACAGCTTGATCGCTGGCAAGCTTGTGTAGATATCTTGGAGTCTGGGCCAAAGCTCATCTGATCGCGGGATCTAGTACGAACGATCAACGGGATCCTCCCTACTGTAGGATGTTTCTGTACCAGAGAGGTTATTAGGTTCCCGGCATGAACATCGGAGGTTGCAGCTTCAAAGAAGAAACAAGGCTCAGTCCGAAGGTAATCTTGTTGACCTGCAATTTACCCCAACTCGAGAATTTTCGGTTTTCTCCAACAATTTCTGTTCATGGTGGGGGCCGACAAAAGCAATCAATGAGCCTCTTATCATTGGAACGGACAGGGGGCCAACGTCTCGTGGTTTACCACGTTAACAGCAGATCGCCATCTGTGTGGATCGTGCGCGATCTGATGGGCCGAGGAGGTTTTGCTGCTCTTCAAGCAAAGGCCGAGGTTGACGCCACTATGCGTCGAGGGGTCTGCAACAAGGAAAGTATCGCCGTCATAGCTCTTTGTGTCGGTTTCGTCGCACCGTGATGCGATGGCTAATGTCGCAGGTTGTGCGAATTAGACTCAACAAAAGCCTTCCCCACGATTTGGACGTCTCCATCTCAGAGGCCACAAATTCCGTATCCAAAGCTGGAGCCCCTGGTCACTCTCCCGAATACCTTAGATTTTCTGGCCCCCTGCGACGGTGGAAACCGTGGTGGAGAGGTCGATGTACCTTACCCTCGTGAGTGGGTTCGCCCGGACTGTGGCCTGGACTCCGTTGTGCCGGTTTGCCGAACAAGTCGGCAGTTGCCCCAGCCTGAAGATGGCCACGGACTTGATAGCTGGCGAGCTATGACCGCGCGCAAGGCCACAGGTCAGGCTTCCGTGGCCAGGATCCTGGTTCTCAGGTTCTGTGCATCAGGTGTCATTCGTCATTTGGGCAGCGGAACCTTTTCGTTGCCCAAGCATTGGAGGACGGGAGGTGACTGCAGTTGACTGATGCGTGGCATTCCGCTGGTTATCATGAATCAGTATCAGGGAGGACCCCCGGGAGGAACTGATTCAGTCTACTTTTGTCCCACAAAATTGGAAGGGTTACAACTTAGGTTAGGTAGTAACTGACTAGTGACAAGTAACAACTAAATACCTCATTCATTGAATGGGAGTCGGTATGATGGAAGATGGAAGGTTTAATTAAGGCTCGTTTATGCCCGATAATTTTGGACAGAAGTGGCACTACTATCGCACCAGCGACCATTTGGCATAGCCCTGGACAAGGAGCCTCGACATGGCCCATAAGTTCGTAAAGACACACGAGGAAGGTTTTACGATCGGCCCTGCTTATTTCTGCACCAGTGCACGCTGGCATACAAGAGCATGTACTCTTCGGATAAGTCAGAGCCTATGAACACCTATTTCCGCGGCTTATTAAATTACGCGTTCGATGTTTTGACCGCTACATAGTACCTACTAGTACCTAGTACCTACTATCTACTACCTAGAAACTCAGATCGCTGAGATTTTTTTCTTTAATGAAAAACTCGGTTCTCTCGAGTCTCTGTGCTTGAAGCATGAGGAGCAATGAAGCCCGGTACTCCATGTCCGAAAGAGACTTTGGCGAGGCAAATCATCAAATGCATGTTCATCCGCTGTACTTAATCTGTGGTGCTGTAAGGTAGTGGCACTGAAACCAAAATAGACTATCTCCTGCGGCTGATGGATCCGATATAGTAGTAGATCTAAATACAGTGAAGATCTTGCCCCACGTCAGTTGGGTGCCAGAGCCTCATTCAGGTCAGTCAGTACGAGAGAGATGGATCGCTAGATCTGATGGGTAAAAGGCACGTTCCGCCGCGGGACGGGAGTATGGATTACACTTTACAGCAGTTGTTGCGATCGAATGTGTTTTGATGCGAACAACCTGGAAAGTTATTTGCCAAGTATGACGAACTACAAGAATTCAAACCTATCTTACCTGCTCGGATACTTCTCTTGAATAATCTAGGTACCTGCTTAATTGGAGACTGGCGAGCAACGGAGTATAGCTTGATAAACGCTCATATCATAGTTCCGGGGCGTAGCCATGACTCCAAGTCTTCTGGTTTTCGTCTTGTCCAGCCTGTCCACCAGAGCAACGAGAGACCGTTGGTGAATCGAAAGGCCGAGAAAGAGACTAGACTGACTGGGCAGCATCACTCGTACACCCACTGCACATGTTGTGCTGACTTGTTGCCTGTACCCTCAAGTAGGTACCACTCGAATGACCAAATCCCGACGAGCCCGCATCCCGTCCTCAAACAATGTTGCACCAGGAGCAATGGGTGAGATGTCAGACTCACAGGCTACAGCAAAGTCGGAGATGCTTAAGACGGTCCTCCAATACGTAAAAATCGTCTTGGAAACAAATGCAAACACAAGAACAGCCCTTCTCCAGGAACTTCGAGGGTCCCCACTGCCCATAGGGACGCAAAGCGTACCAACATTATATAGCACAGCTCAGAAAAATGCTCTTTCGGTACCTGACTCTGTCCCCAAAAGGTAAAAGACCGCGACTTCGGTAGCAGACGATCTCGGAGAAAAAGCAGGACCGTCGACCACTGAAGAGACAGCGGCCCTTCTTCCGTGGGTTGGATCCACCAAAAGACCTTTCGCCGAGGGGAGAAAAAGAACCCATCGTCTAACCGAGTTAAGCTGACGGTCCAAAGATTGACCACAAATCTTCCGGGATCCGGTTCAGCTCGACGCCGTTGAGGGTTTAAGAAGGAACCAGCAAGCGATAAATCGTGGTCTTGGTTTAACTAACGCGCCCCGCATTCCAAGCAAGGCAAGTCACAAAGTCTCGGAGCCATGTGCCACTCTCCAGTATCGTAGCTTCTATTGCGATCTAGCCGCCAAATAGCCATCAATTCAACGGCCAGGTCTGACAGTTCGATCCTATGCAACTAACCATTGACCAGCCACAGTGCTGGCTGTTCCACTCGGCCTACCGGAACGATTACTATCCGTAGACTGTTTCAACTCTTCTGGAAGACTGAATATTTCCAATTTTCATGGCGAGTGGTATCCGACCCGGAGACTTTCCATAGATCTTCACCTCTCTGGCGCATGGTACCACAAACACCTCTCTCGGTCAATATCCACAAAGGTAGAATCACAGATTCTACCGAGGCCAGTTCATCACCCTTCGAGGGCTGATTGAACCCTCCGCATAGAAAGACTTTTGCGCCCAGAGTATGTTTGTCACATTCACTCGCGCATCGTCAGCTTGTTGTCCGATAAGAGGCTTAGGCGTCTGCTGCGATTGCGGAACCGGATTACGAAGGAACAGTCAGGACAGAACAGTGAGGATAGTTCATCAAGATGCTGTACATGATCCTGCTCGCTCTAGGCCTTGCCGCGCTGTACCTGATCCATGTCAATGCCGCAATGAAACGGGTGCCTGAGGAGGCCCACCGAGCTTCACCCACGCGCTGGACCACCGAGGAAGTCAAGGCCACTTACGAGAGGATCCTGAAGAACGACGTCGATGTCGTCAACGATTTGCCGCCGAAACAGTCGCGCCGATACATCGTTGTAGGTGGTTCAGGTACGTCACATGCTCACAAATAGAAGCTATTGCTTCACGTTGCTTTTGTTGGGCCTGCTTTCTGTTTGGTCGACCTAGCCTCGGTACGACTGGGGCCAACGTACACTAGGTAGCCCAACGGAAGGCGATCAGTTATTCTGCACATGATCCTGCAGTTACAGTATCACCTTGCTGATGGAACAATTAACGCAGGTCTCGTGGGTGCTTGGATCGTCTCTCATCTTCTCGCACGAGGTGAAGATCCCGCTTCTCTGCGCATTCTAGACCTCGCCGCACCCACCGCTGAAATCCTGGAACGCGGTGTGGCATACTTCAAGACCGATATCACCGACCAGTCTTCCGTTTCGGCGGCGTTCACGCATCCGTGGCTGGCTCAAGTCGCCCAGAAGCCTCTCACGGTCTTTCACACTGCAGCCATCATCCGCCCCTATGAGCGCCTCGAAAGATATCTGCCCCTGAGCGAGAAAGTCAACGTTCATGGCGCCCGCAATGTACTCCAAGCTGCGAAGGAAAGCAGTGCAAGCTGCTTCATATCCACCTCCTCTGGTTCTGTGAATTTGCACAAGCCCAGCTTTTGGATCACGCCGTGGGAAAGAGTTCCCAGGCGAGCGGTGCAAATCTTGAGTGACCAAGCGCAGCTTCCGCAGCGTCACGACGAATTCTTCAGCAACTATGCTCGGACAAAACTTGAAACGGAACGCTTTGTATGTGCGGCTGATGACCAAACGAGCGGATTCCGCACAGGCTGCATTAGACCTGCAAATGGAATCTATGGTGTCGGAAATGAGACTAGCGGAACCGTCGTCGGACTATACCTGCGCAGCGGTGGTAGCCCAACGTGAGTCTATGTCAAATAAAAAAAAGCTTGAATTTCTCCCTCAAGCGTGGACACAGTTGACTTGAACTGACTTGCCATCCTTCTAGCTGGACCTCCAACATCATCCACAGCTTCATCAACGCAGAAAACGTCTCGGTAGCCCATCTCCTCTATGAACAACGCCTCATCGAGCAATCCCAACCCTCCAGCACTCTGCCCAACATTGGTGGCCAATCCTTTGTGGTCACTGATCCTAATCCAGCGATTTCTTTCGAAGATATCTACACTCTTCTCGTCAATTTCTCCAAGACACCCGTGTCTTTCCCTCGCGTGGAACCCCTTCCGCTCTACATCATCGCCCACCTCGTCGAGGCGTACGTCTACATCCAAGACGCATGGCTCCCGTGGCTTCTACCCAAGATCAAAGGTGATTTATTGCAGCTTCAACCGTCGCTGTTTGCCATTTCGGATGTCTTCTGCATTGCGGATGACTCTCGGGCCCGAAAGGCGCCGGCAGATGGAGGCTTGGGGTATCGGCCGACGATGTCGACGTTGGAAGGGATGTGTAAGGAGCTGGTCAAGTGGAACCAGAAGGCGACGGCAAAAACTGTCAGGGATATACAAGACAAGGTGGCAGATGGACCTGTTGTGGTGGGGCCGGAGGGTATTGAGGTAAAGCTTGTTGCGCCGGAGAAAAGCGTTTGAAAGAAAATATGGCGAGGGCTTTCGTGGAGAAGTCATTGTACATATCATGTAAGTGCTTTTTATCTTTGGCTTATGCTACGTCAGGTGAATGAGAGCCATTCATAGTCCTGAATGATTATCTGGTATTGAGACCACATGACTTAAAATATTTCAAACTGGTTACAAGCTTCCAGAAACTATCTGTGTTTGCCTTGGATCCATTTATAAAATGAATATGACAGCGTGTGCTGTTCACGGTCCCGGTAGTGGATAAAGGGGACGTGTCGAAGCACATTACGAGACGTGGAGACTATTGACGCTTGGGGGCTGCTTGATGCCAAACGTGTTGCTGACGAACCAGGTCTCGGCCTAGTTAGATTGACTTTCAATAGATCCGTGTCATCTGACCTAGTGCATTTCGACAGAAAGCGTTGAGCCCGTGGAAGTCGTCGGAGAAGATCAACCCTGTGGCTTCACACATCACAGTGAAGATAGTGACTTTTTGTGATGGAACAAGCTGGAGATAGATAGACTGAGACACACGGGGTTGGTGTGAAGGGGCATCGTTGGCAAAGTCAGAAAATTACCATAGTGGCCTTAGGTGTGTCCAACACCGCAGAATCGCGAAAAAAAAAGGAAAGCGAGCAGACGACGGACAGCGACGCGGCAACACTTTTGGGTATCATGTATCATTTCTTCGATGGCGAACAAGTCTAACGCTCGTGCTGTTGCGCCGCTGATCTCCTTTGGTCCAGAATCTGCATGCGCAGGGCCTCCGAGGCCAATTCCACATCCAAGACCGCCCCGACACCGCGCTTCCACGTCTCTTCAAGACTGGTCAACTCGCCAACACTGGCATCCTGTGCGATCTTCCGCTGCCTGTTGACCTCTTCCGCCGCACCCTTGGTGTCTGCCAGCTCCTTCTCCATCACCCGTAGAATCTCCTCCAACTGCGAGTTGCCAATGAGCCACGCGTTTTTGCCATGGGCCTCTAGGAGTGAAAGGTTCTCATGCCGCTTGGTGAGATGCGAACTGGAAGTGTAAGCCTTGCGTAGTGTTTCCCTCCATTCGGTCAAATTGGGGGGCTCGGTGTCGGAGTTTCGGGTTGGAGGCTCCGGGGCTTCGTATCGGGTCAGGTCAATGCCGCCGGTCAATGGCGCGCCCGTGGCTTTGCGATCGATTTCTTGTTGGAAGAGAGGGGAGAATTTTTGCTGCGGACTGGCAGGAATTGACGGATGTAAAGTAGAGGAATGTTCGGGGGCCAGTTCAGCATTGATGAGCTGGGCGGCCTTTTGTCGCGCGCTGGCTGAAGGCTCGGCGTCGATGTCTGGTAAATGTTAGTTTGTGAGATGGTCACGTAGCTGTGATACTGGGATAGTGCACTCACAAGGAAGAGAGTCGTGAACTTCGGTGATTAAAGACATTTTGGGTGGCCAGATGTTCTTGTGCCCGTGAAGTGCTTCTTCAAACTTCAAGCCCTGCGACCAAGTGCTCTGCTTGAGCGATGTCATGTGCTAGAAGGACCCACAATGTAGGAGATCAAGATACAGTATTCAATATACTGTAAATTACAAGATTTATGCACAGATGGGTGATTATTTACAGTTTACAATTTACAATACACTCCATCCTTCAATGCGCCAGCTTGAAATTCAAGCTTATTGCCAGCTGCCTCCGCAGCAATCAGAAGAGTATGCAAAGTCGAGGAAGCATGTGGTCATGAATATGCATCTGCTGTGGACTTGACTCTTTCGACTCACGCACTCTTCATACTTCCATCCCTCAAAGCCTTGTCAGCAAATCCTACGGGATCAACTTGTTGTACCGTGATCAAAGTTTGCACGATCAACAACCGTCCGAAGCCACATGACAGACGGCGTGTTGATCACAGGAGAAGAAGGACGGGTGCAACCCCAGACGTTCAACTTTGCGCGAGACCGAATTGATTCTGCGGCATGATCTCTGGTCGAGTTGATCTTGTTATCGTACTTTAACCGGGAGCGACCACTGCAAGCCATGTTCTGCTGGTGGAAGTCCACTGCTTGATCTGGCATCCATCTCCGCTTGTCACCATGCATGGGGTTCGACATCACGGCAGGAGATAGTAGCTTCGAGCGGGGAACAGTGGTAATGCAGGCACGAAGAACAAGGGTCTTGAGAAGTTCTGCACTGATTCAAACCACAGGGTCATGTTGGCCCTTGGTGGCCCAAACCCAATTGGGAGTTGATGGAATGTAAACGAGTTGTCCAGGCAAGAGATGGCAGGATCAGCCTGTTCTCTGGACCCGGTTCCTCGCCAGTTGCCACTCCCTGTCGGGCGTTACACCAATCGCGGACGCAGGACGCCGCTCTCCCCGCCCGGATGCTCATGCAAGTACTTTTATGTCTTTTGCATCTGACGGAGCTGATCCAAGGACTTGCTGCTATCACATCTCTCTAGAGCAGCCGACCCGTGTGCAATCTCACTCGAGCTCGAAGAGGGCCATCTCACGGAGAAGTCGCTTTCATCCGCCATGGGCTACCTGCAGATCGGAAAGCCGACCTGTGTCTGACTGTCTGTACTTCTTAAAGAGTTGTATATGGCCGCATGCTGGAATAATTTCTTCTTCCAGAATCCTCGACCCTCGATGAACGGCGTCTCGTTCAGTACATATTGTGTCACATTTTGTATGGTCAGATTGGCCTGAGAAATCTATAGCAGCTCCCTTGATAGTTCAGGCGACATGGCCAACACACGATACGGTGTTGTGCTTGGCGTGATAGCTGTATCACTTCTGCTCTTTATGCAGTTGATCGCCTTCAAGCAGCCTCCTAATGAAGGGCCATCCTCCAGCTTTGACCCTAAATTCAGTTCCTGGAGAGACAGGGCTGGAGCAGCGACGGATAGCAGCTTGTTCCTGTTGGGCGCAGGCAAAGCAGACGTGACGGGGTAAGTAATCCCTCGAGCTCAACAGCAAGCATGCCATACTAATTTGCCCATACAGACCTGTTGTTGAGGTTGGCTTCAACGGCTATGCCAGCTTGGATCAAAAGGGCACGGGACTACGACAGAGACTCTACTCGCGCGCCTTCATCATGGCTAACCCAGGCAATCCGGAAGATACCTTTATCTACCTCGTGCTTGATACTCAGTCCGGCGACACTGCGATTAGAAATGGCGTTCTGAAAGGACTGGCCTCTTTGGGAGGTGATTATACGCGATATGGCGAGCACAACGTTGCGCTGACGGGAACACATTCCCACTCTGGCCCCGGAGCGTGGATGAACTACCTTCTACCGCAGCTCCCCAACTTGGGCTTCGATAAGCGTAGCTATCAAGCCATCGTGGATGGTACGATCTTATCAATCAAGCGGGCACACGAGAGCCTTACGCCAGGGCGATTGTCCTTTGGGTCAATCGATCTGGAGAATGCAAACATCAATCGCAGTCCATTTTCCTATGACCACAACCCTGAGGAAGAAAAAGCCAAATATTCCGCCAATGTGGATAAGACTTTGACGCTTTTACGTTTCGACCGCGAGTCGGATAACAAGACTGCTGCGGTGCTGACTTGGTTCCCTGTCCACGGCACGTCGCTGTACAACAACAACACCCTCGTGACTGGTGACAATAAAGGCGTTGCGGCCTATCTTTTCGAACGGAGCATTGTGGGTGATTCTCGGTTCGCTCAGGACGCTATCATTGGCTTTTCCCAGGCCAATGTTGGTGATACAAGTCCTAACACCGAAGGTGCTTGGTGCGAAGATGGCTCCAATGTCATGTGCAACTATTCCGACAGTACCTGTGGTGGCTCGTCGGGAGGCACCACCCCGGGGACTAACGAGGCGTGCCATGGGCGAGGTCCCTTTTTCCAGGAGAAAGACAACGGTGCCAAGAGCTGCTTTGAGATTGGAAAACGTCAATATTCCGCAGCCAAGACACTCTATGATCAGATGGATGCAACGCGCACCCCCATTGTCGGCAGCTCGGAAGTACGATCGTTCCACGTCTACCACGACATGAACGGCTACACCTTCCCCTCGCCCTTCAACGGCACCACGTTGAAGACATGCCCCGCTGCATTGGGCTACTCGTTCGCAGCCGGGACGACCGATGGACCGGGCGCATTCGATTTTACCCAGAACGCCAGCAGTCCAGCGACCGAGAATCCACTGTGGAAGGTCGCACGTGCATTCATCCATCAACCCTCCGAAGAGCAAAAAGAATGCCAGGGAGCCAAGGACGTGTTGCTAGATGTGGGCACATTGACCGAGCCGTATGCGTGGGCACCTGACATTGTGGACATTCAAGTTCTCCGAGTTGGTCAGCTATTCATCATCGTGTCCACCAGCGAGGCCACCACCATGTCCGGGCGACGCTGGAAGGCAGCGATTGCTCAAGGTGCCCAAAAGTCGCTCTCTGTTTCAGATCCACTGGTGGTCCTTGGTGCTCCATCCAATAGCTACGCCCATTATGTGGCTACGGAAGAGGAATACAGTGTTCAGCGCTACGAAGGGGCCTCTACTCTATACGGCCCCAGCACTCTTGCCGCGTACATCAATTTGACCCTCACATATCTCCCCTATTTGGGGAGTACCTCTGACATTGCCAAGCTGGCGACTATCCCCGCTGGGCCCAGCCCCCGGTTAACACTGATCGATCCTTGAGCTTCATCACGGGCGTGATCTACGACAACGCCCCGATCGGCAAATCGTTTGGCGATGTTCTGTCCAACCCTGACAAACGCACGTATGGGCCCGGTGACACGGTCAAAACCACCTTTGTTGGCGCCAATCCACGCAATAACTTCCATCAGGAGTCCACCTACGCGGCCGTCCAACGGAAGACTGACTCGGGCAGCTGGGAGGTGGTCCGGAACGATCGTGACTGGAACCTGGTCTTCCTCTGGAAGCGCACGAATGGTGTCCTCGGCTACAGCGAGGTGACCCTGCAGTGGCAGATCGAAGATTCTTATTACAGTGTGGGTAACCCGACTCCTTTGGAAAGTGGAACATATCGTATGCACTACTACGGAGACTCGAAGAATGTGCTTGGGAAGATCAACTCGTTCGAAGGCATTGGAGGGACCTTTACTGTGAAGGTGTAAGCTTTCAAAGAGACACTGCACAAACGGGCGTCTACACGTGGTGCACCTTTCTTGACCCGCCTGTGGCTGATCAGACATCGTCGCCCTTGCTCACAAGGAGGGTCACCCGATGGTAACAATCCTCCCACCCGTCTCTATCTCCGTCTGTAAAGTGAATCATTACTCAATCAGAAACATTTTGAATGGAGTGCAGTGCCAGACATGTCAAGTCAATTCTGTCTCGCTGTAGGTGTGTAGCCAGATCCTATAAACAGGGTTTCTTAAGTTGCCTTCGTAAACATTCAAACATTAACTGGATTTAGTATGACAGTAGAGACGGAGCCAATCACATGGCAGGATAGCCATCCCGAGCGGTGTTTGTGCTCCACTCTGAAGCCCAGCAGCCAATCAAAACTGGAACTGACCATCTCGGCGTCAACTGCAACGGCGCTTTGAATCGCGCGCGCCATCTTCATCCTTTCACACCTTTCGATTCTTTACGTTGATTCCTTTGTGCGATGCTATTCTCATCGCAACTGAAACCACAATGTCCCACTTGGCCCTTGATCTTATGGACATAATCACCTAGAGAAGATGGGGCTGGGCCGGCCCATACTGGCCGGATCATGCGAGTTCATAATCGAGGGCATCTGCACCATCTGCCATGCATTCCCTTTGCTCCTCTTTCGTTGTCGATCATTTTGCACTCTGCCTTCAGCTCTAGACTCTTCTCCTGCAGTCTATCTCTCTGCGTGTGTTTTTACCTCTTTCATTCACTCTTTTCATTCTCATCCAGCGCAATCAGCGTGGCGTCTGCCTCGACCACGTCGCATTCATTTAATAGCAAGCAGCTGCCTAAAACAACATTGCATCGCTACTTCAGTACCCCAGAGGGCTTCAACACACATTCTTTGACCTTTTCTTTCACAATCTGCGTCTATTTTGTCTCCCTCAGTTCATTGATAATCGCCTCTTGCCCTGGTGGCATCATTTCCTTTGATCCTTGAAACCGCCGAGAGCCTGTGTCTTTCTGCTCTTCAGTCCCAAACTCAACATCGTTCCCAGCTCCAGCAGTGAGATCCATACGATCAGACCACTCAAAATGGTGCTCTCTCGTGTGGCTAGTTTGTTGGTATTTGCCTGGTTGTGCTCGGCAGGCCCGATTGCACGCTCTCTTGCACTCGGTCACGAAGTGACATCGTCGAGCGTGGCCCCAGCGATTGATCACGGCTCGTCAACCAGAACTTCAACTATCAGCGAACCGACAGTAGTGCGAAAGGACAGCACTGGCAAGGATGATGATAATGAAGGGTTGACCGTCATTCCTGTCACTCGGACATGGCTGTTAACATCTTCTACGACTGCGCCGGCTGCTTCGGCCCACCCAGAATCCTCATCGTCCCCTCTACCACTAGCACAGACTAGCTCCATGGTATCGACAATCAGCGAGCAGCCAAGCTTTACCTCCGCTGCACCTGCACAGGTGTCGCAGATTTCTGACTCGACCTCAACGACTAGTTCAGCGCTATTCTCGACGTCTCCGACAACTTCAGAGGCGTTGCACGTCTCTTCGCCGAGCCTGACTTCCTCCACTGTATCAATCTCAAGTGCTGCATTATCATCCACAAATGGCGTCCTTGTAACCAGCACTTCTTCGTCATCACTGCAGCCACCACTCGCCAATTCCATCTCGTCATCAAGCAGTGAGCTGCCAAGCTCTGGTACTGCTCTCACGCCAAGTCCTCAACCCCCTGTCTCTTCCACAATATCAAGCGTATCTGCCCCGCTATCTTCGTCACCATCGTCATCAGTGGCCTCTAGCTTGACTTTTGCGATTGTGCCTACGAGCATATCATCGTCAACTCCGTTGCTGTCTTCTTCGGTGAGCTCGTCAACTGCTCCTGTTCCTTCTACGCCGACCTCAACCTCGCCCACCGTTTCGATCGGGCCATCCAGCGCGCCTGCTTTAGAAACCCCTACTTCAGTTTTGTACACAACTCAATCTCTTAATGCCCAATCGTTTTCAGTCTCATCTTCTGGGATTGATACGTCTTCACCAAAAACTGCAACAGCGAGCTCATCCAGTGCAACCCTATCCTCCTCGGCCCTCAATGGACCAGGTTCGACGGCCTCCGTTTTTGTTTCGGCGAGCTCATCCATGAAATCTTCAGTTCCCACCCAGTCCACAAACATGCAGTCTATCACCCCAACGGCATTCTCTGTCACAATGGTCACCGACTCGCGTTTGCATATTCCAATGTACTCGCATACTGAACCTCCTCGTTCCAATCTTGGCGGACTTGTGGCTACACTTGGATCACAGGTGACGAGCTCACACTTTGTCGGCGCGGCGCCGTCGTCCGAGGCGAGCTCGTTACTCCCTATAGCTGAGACGACTCTCGGGTCATCGATGCCTTCTGCAACATCAACCTCGTTTCAAATGACCGACACACTGCCCATCAGCTCAGCATCTTCCAGTGTTCCAGCCATTTCCCCGGCTAGTTCAAGCGAAACCATTGTGCAGTCGACCGAATCATTGCCTCTTACTACAAGTGCCGCGAGCGCCGCGCCTATTGTATTTGGTGCGAGTGGAATATCGACCACTGCCTCAATATCGATGACATCGCCCAGTCCATCTAGCTCGACACCTGCTACTCTGGGGGTGGAGTCAACTTCGTCGTCCAGCGGGCCACTTGCAACAACGCCCTTTCCAGGGCCTGTGGTCACAAAACCGGTCATCGTCTATGTCTCCGAGAGTGCAACAGCTCCATTCTCCACGTCCACCATCGAGCCTACCAGGGTAGTCGCACCGCCTCCCGAGACCAGTGTGGTTGTACAACCTCTTGAGACGACATCTTCGCAGGTCCCAATCGCTCAGACCACGTCAGTTAAGCCAAGCACGACAGCGCCTGAGATCATTCGTACCCATACAGTTCACGCGACCGATACAAAGAGCGTCACCGTAACTCAACCTGCCCAGACTGTGACCGTCACATCGTCTGCACCTATTCCCACGGTTGACACCAGCTCGAAAACCACATCTGACCTCGTAATCAACCCGGTCTCCACGATCGCCGAGCCTAATGTCGCTCACGCTGCACCTACTAATACACAGCCCTTGAGTGTCGCGACCACGACTGCTCCGCACTCCAGCGAGGATTCGGGTCTGTTGACCGTCATTCCGATCACACCTTCTTCGGGCATTTTCGTCATCACCAAGATGGACACTGTAACGTCGTGGAGGGAGACAAAGACCGAGACGGTGACCTCGTGGAAAGCGACCACTACCGAGACTGTGACGGCGACGACGACGGCTATCCGCGTTCAAGTTATCTCGTAGATGGGAATTTTACATCATTAGCACGCTGAGCGATTTCTCGCCTGATTTATTTATGGAGCCTCTTCTGTGTGTTGATCTCTCCCTTGAAAGGTAGAATTCTTGGAGTAATTAATGCGTTCGATCTTTCTAATTATATAGCTAGTAGTGATGTTTGTGTTTTCAGTTATAACCACAAGAGCGAATTAGAGTCGTATCGATTCACGTTCATGTCTACTTCTACTCACCGAGATGGCGGAAACACCAGCTCTACCGCTAAGGTATGAGTCAAATCTTCGACAATGTGGAGTTGTCTTGAAACATGGTAATGGACTGCGGAGTTCCCCGTGACCGAGACGCATTCCATGAGTACGAATCGAGATCCATCTCTAGACCTCTTAGAATAGAAATACACTCATCGCCAGCCTCAACACTTCAGAAGGGGGTCAAAAAAAGAGAGAAAGATTCGTCCCATTCAACCGATGCAATAAGCGCTTCATTCTATCCAAGATATCATTAAATAGAGAGACATAGAACTCAGCCTAGATAATCTATTTCAAAGCTGCGACAGCACGCCCCCGGCCTCTGCAAATTTCTGCTGATACTCCCTGAGATTTGCCCACTGACTGAGCTCCTCCTGATCACGGTCATAATCGCTCTGATAACTCATTGCTCGTCCATTTGTGCGAGGACTAACACCTTCGCAAGTACTTCCGGAATCTGTTGCCGCGGTAGAATGGCCCTCCAGCCGGACGAGGGTATCGATGAATGCATGGAGATAGGATTCTGCTTCGGCTGCTGTGAGGACGTGTAAGCCGGATAGAGAAGCTGTGGGGGTCTTGTCGGGTGGGGGCGCTGCTGAAGAAGAGTCGGCTTGGGTAGAGTCGAGTGGTGAAGGGTGATGGTTGGGCATGTTGAGGAGGGTAGATGCTACTTGGCGGATTTTGGAGGTCTATGGGAGGCGGTATTAGCATTTTTCGGGGGAGGGCTGGGTTCCTGGAGGCTTGATTGGGGGGTCGTAAGACTTGAAAGGAATTGAACGTACAAGACTGGCGCCGTTGGGCTCCATGTTGACTTCGTTGACTGTACGAAGAAGGACAAAAAGGTCCTTGATTACCAGTTTTCGTTCTTCGGCCATCATACGTCCGATGTAATCTGTCTGTGCATGATAGACCGCTGACATTTGTTGAGGTGGCGGAGCCGCGGGCGAATCTTGCGGAGTCTCGACTTTGATATGTGAGTCGGTCACAGTTCCACCCTTCTTCGGCTGGTCTGAGTTGCCATAGTTCCTGTAAATATCGAACAAGTTCCAATACTTGTCAACCAAGTAGGATCTCGTACACAGTTGGCTTGCGTAAATGTTGGCCTTTTGAATTTCATACTGAATCGCGCGTCGCTCTTGGTGAATGTGATCGTCCGGATAGCTGAACACAGATCCGTCCCCGGACATAAAGGCCGGCACATCTTTCTTGGGATGGAGCAGAGACAATTCAGCAGGAGTCTCAAGAAGGGCAGACTTAGTTCTTTGCAAGCAATCCCATAGAGTGGAACGCTGCTGCTCCCAATCAATTACCCGCGAACTACCGAAAGCGGTTTCCCACGCAAGAATAGAATTGTAAGAGCAGTATATCCGCACATTTGCAATGAAGCCGACTAATTGAGATACCCGTCCGGTTGGTTGAGGATTGATATGTGTTGAAAAGATGAACTCGTCATCTACTTCCAGGGGAAGTGGCGGGTAGCGGTCTGTCGGTGTTTCTGGTGCCACCTGGACTCTGAAATCGGAGTTTCCAAGCTGATGTAAAGTCTGATAACCCACGAGAGAGACGTAAAAAAGGCGTCTTCCCAGCTCTTGAGTGATCAGGTCTGCTTGATTGCCTCCCATCAGGCTCGAGCTAGACTGTGGGGACTCAGTGGCGGGATTGCCTCCATTGAGCGTGTCGGTAGCGGGCGAGTCTGTCGGGGCGCGGCATAGGTCGTAGACCTGCAGCATGGTCTGACATTCAGCCAAATAAGTGCGACAGCGCCGAAAGCTGTAGATATAGCCTGAGCAGACGCCGAGGAAATAGCTGATGGCAGCATCGTAGACAGTCGCGTTGCGATCAAGGTATCCAACACCCCGCGCCTGGATCGCTACCTCATGGCACCGTCGCACAAGTGCGATGGAATTGGGAAATGCTGCGCGTTCCGCCTCTGTGTTGAGACGAAGTCTAGGTCTTCGGGGGAACGAGGCCACAAGAAACCCTATCATTGAGGCCAGCAATGCCAAGAATGTATTGTTGGTGGCATCTTCACGGCGTTCAAATGCTGCCCTAAATGATGGCTCATGAGGAACAGGCACCAACGGATGAATGTACGTGAAAAAGTCGTCCAGTAGCAACTGAACAGTGTGTAACGAGCAGATGGCCTCCGCAGATGTTGGAGCATGCGCAACATGCGCGGAGGGAGATAATGGTGAGGTCTTGAGTACACTCTCTGTGGGGCCATCCGCTACGCTACCTGGCGATGCGCCTGCCGAAGAAGTCTCGAGCTTTTGTTTCTTCAGGGCCTCCGCATGACGATTGGGAGGCCCACGGCGTCTGCTTGGCCTCTCATACGTGCATGGAATGTCCAAGCTGGCGCAGGATCGACACGGTGGCCCGCCATTATCGCACTTCACAAGGGCATGGATGATCAATCAGTGGGTGAACGATTTGCGTCATCCGAACGGAGGTTTAGTAGTAGTAACCCACCTTGACTTTGCGAATACTGCAGGCATCGCAGGCCTTGCGCAGCCTCGTTTTTGGGTCCATCTGACAGGGTGGAGCGATCCAAATTTGCAGACATGATCTTCACTTCAGAACAGTCCAGCTGTAGCCATTCTCGACAACTGAGATCGTCTTCTATGATGAGTACTGGGCGTTCTCCAGTTCATGCGCTGCAGTCGTTCGAAACTGGGCTTCGAAAGAAATTGGCGAACTGTACCACAGCTTTCACCAAGACTCGACCTGCAGCACCAATGCGCCGTGAAGAGACGCTCTTGGCAAGTGAAAGGCGTCGGGGATGCTGCCCAGCTGAAACTAGCGCGCCGCTTAGGAAAGATGGCGGTTTCTGGAAAGTGGGTGAGACACCGATGTAGTTTATGCCAGGACTCAAACAAGGTACTGGTGAAACCTTAGCATGTCTTCTCACATGGTCATGAGTAGGATGAGCAATTCTCGCGGTACACGTTGAGATAGTGATGCCGTATTTCTACTCACAGCGGTGCGAAGGTTACTGTAGTTGCTCAAATTATTCCGGGCCAGGAGTCAAGCTACAACTTGGCGTTGGCCGCGGATGGCTGCGCCCAGTCACGTGCTGGTATCCCAAGACGCGCGGAGTGTTGTAATGTCAAAGTCTAAAGCCAAATCGGTCGATTCAGTGCATCCTGGAGTTTTGATTGGTTTGAGCAAGACTGAACCTTATAGATGATCCTGGACCGTATGGTTTTTCAAGCACCGTATTATGTTCGCTGGTGATAAATCCAAACTTAGTTGTGTCCAAGGGTCCAGCACCGTCAAAGTGGATTTCTCCCGCCTGGGGGAAAGCTGAGCCCGATCATCCTTGACTATTGGGGCCCACATACCCACACCATGCACGTTACCTTGATCGCGTGGAGCGAATCGCTGCATTTCAGAAGCGAGGAATGTTGCAAAAGCCGTTGGGTTGCTTTATTTATCATATACAGTATCATATGGATTGTAAATGCCTCAATTGTAGTGATGTATATACTTCCATCTTGGAGGGACTCATGACTCTTTCCGCCCCCTGGTGATGCAAGCGAGACCGGCTGAGTTGATCTCATGCGGGTGCATGATCGCGATATCCTACCCCTGGTCGGGTGGACTGCTGGCGTGCTTCTTGCCGCTTGCGCTCAAGATCTGAGGCCCATAGAGCAGCCCCCGTAGCGGTCGTCATTAAGAAAAACATGGAGAACGGAGGAATTAGCTGCAAAAGAAGGGCGACCGTTCCGAACCTGAAAATCAGTCAGCATGATCTACGAAATATGGTGGTGGGACTGGACAAGTTTGTCAAAACATACGTCGTGTACTGCAACTGTCGGCGTCGCACACTGGCTTTACGTTCTTGCTTGGTCGAGTCCAGCAGCTGGAAGTAGCGCCAATGATGGAAGGGTCCCGCACGATATCCAGTCAAGACGAGGAACATAGGCGTCCCAGCCACAGGAATGAAATTCAGTGGAAGTAGGATGATGAACTCGATGATTTGTCGAAACGAAAACGGAGAGTACACCGCGCTTGTCGTTGGTGTTCCAAGGCGACTGGCCGGGTCGCCCGGTTCAGGATAGATCACTCGGGAGACAAGCACCAGTTGCTCCTGCCCTTCGTTCACGAGCACAGAATCGAAGATGTCGACTAGGGTCTCGTCCACAAAGAAGGCCTCGAACAAAGTCGCCACGATTGCTGCCCCTTCACCGAGGACCAGGAAGGCACCATTGATCCATGCGCCCCAGCCTTGGAAGATGGCAAGGAATGCCACTTGCGGAATGTAGGTAAAGAAAAAGAGGAGGAAGTAGACGAATGTCGACAGAAGCACGATTGGAACCAAGCGAGCTTCGAAAAGAGGCCAGAGAAATCGGTGGGTTGCGAAGTAATAGATACCCTAATCGTCTGTGGTCAGTATACATGTGCCTGCCTAGCAAATACGGAAATGGGACATACTCGAAGTGGATAAAGCCATGCCGCTCGATCTAAATTCCACGCCTGCGCCATATTTCCTACCTTGCGAGAGTTCGTCGGTCGAATGTAGAAGACACTGCGGCGCTCGCGGACCAAGGGTACGTTGATGAGCAACCACAAGTGTGGAGAGCGAACCAAGAGGAGAATCAATGCAGATGCGCCAGAAAGCAGGCACTTTGCTTATCGATAACAGCCGACGTTATGGAAGCTCTCCGTTCAATTATGCTCATCCGCTTGAAACCGCGGTATGGAGTCACGTGAGCTGAACTTTTTGTCATACCAGTTTGCGGCTGATTTGTTACATTTCATCATTACCGAAGTATATATTTATGTACGCCATTACTTATAGTACTTGAGATATGAGGCTGAGTGTATCATGCATGGATCAGTGAGGCCCTTCGCGGTAGCCTTAGAGACGTGGTTGTACATGACGACGTTTGAACCGTGGATCGGGATGACGGAATATCCGGTTCCGTGTCACCTGAATAGGTGACCGGGACCATCACGTGCGCTTAGTCATGCCCTAGCCGCGTGAACCGCTTTTCTACCAGATTTTCATTCTTTCGCGACTTTCCCTTTCTTCTTCCATACATAAACTGAACGTCCTCCCTATTCACTCTGGAATCCACCATGCAATGGGTTCTTCGAGGGGAAATGGGAGGATAGAATAATTGATTGCTGGCTTACCCCAAATTCTTCGTGATACGTGGAGCATTTGGAAATATTTCTTCAGCTGTACATCCCTTTCTGACAGATCTGCTCAATGTTTGCGACTGGTCCTTGCAAGACTGCTTTCAAAACGACGGGGACCTCTGTAATCACGAGCTCTTGATGTGATCGATGATCTGCTCCAGATTGCGTACAATCGCAGAGGGCTGTAAACCAGGCACCGCAGCATCTTGCCAACCGTATCCTGCGCGGTCCACCCAAACGGCATTCAATCCTGCGTGTCGAGCACCCACGATGTCGAACGGGTTACCGCTAATAAGCCAAATCTGATCCATTTCGGACGGCTTCTTGCCCACCACCGCTGCAAGATGTTGATAGGTCACTTGTGCAGGCTTGAAGCGCTGCACGTCGTCCACAGTCACAATGTGCTTGAACGTAGTTCCGTGTGGTGACAAGTCCTTGGAGCTCGAGACCGAATTAGAAATCATTTCCTTCGATCCGTTGGAAAAGATCACAGGCACGATTGATGAATCGGCGGCGATCCGCTGCAGTGTGGATTTGACGTCGGGGAACGCAGATAAATTGTCGTAGGCCTTCATCAAGTCCGAGATATCGCCCTCGGTCAACTGTTCCTGCGCCTCGACGAGCGCATGGTGGAGTGATTGTCGCGTGATTTGAGAGAAGTCCTCGTAGTACTCTGGTTGCTGCTGTGAGTTTCAATGTTCTCACACAAATGTGGCACGAAAATGAGGGCATCTGCTCACCCATGCTATTGAGTCTCCATGTGTATTCCAGCTGGTACTTCCGCCATGAGGCAGCAATTTCCTGGGCCTTCGTTCGTCCAAAATGAGAGGCAAGCTTGCCTGCAATAGACTCAGTAGACAACAGCGTGCCGTACACGTCAAATGCAACGACTGTCTCCTTGTCTGAAGGCATTTTGATGAACTGATGGCCGTTATCAACGTTGGGTGTATTGATCAGCGTTGATGTGTTGAAGCGGAAGGTCAAGTAATGAGCTGGATGTGTTACGTTCCAGACCCTGAGGACGATGTCCTCTCTTCGAGAATAAGCACGGTGGCGACATCAAGCTCCATTTTTCCGGGTCGCCAGGATATCTAGTTTTCGCGCAAAAAGCTTGTTCATAGCGACGCTTTCTTGACATTGGGACTCTGAACTCTGACTAGGAGTGATGTCATTTTACCCGGCTCTTCCAGGATGCGTTGTGGTTGGTGCTAAGGACAAATGTACCCGATTTCCAAAACAGTCCGCGGAGTCGTGTTAAAGGACGTTTTTGCGCTTTGTGAGATATACGTTCTTTCTATTCGCATGACTTAGACCACTAGTTTTGACTTCCAAATGGGTAGGACTAAGCACCAAGTCGCGAACTTGAAGTACACTTCATATACATTATCTCGATGCGGCGTGGATCAGTCTTATTTGCTACAAGGCATTCACACGAGCTCGACTTAGTCATCATTCATTCCGACTGAACAACCGCAACCCTCATGGTATCTAGCAGGTTGGAAGCTGCCTGTGAGTGACGGTAGACATCTCCTTCAAAGGAGTCCGTTGCATCCTTGCCAATGGCCCCTGTGATCATCGCTACACCACCTGGATGCTCTGTCACAAATCCTGAGACATCATGTACTACCCCCCTGATCACCACCAGGTTGCGACCTGTTCTCGCCTGCTGCTGGTACTCCCTCCAACTCATGGTTGGTAAATCTGCGAGAGGAACGCCCCAATTCAGCATCTCGCTTTCCTGGTCGAGACACTGTCGCTTCCGCTGAATTCTCCCTTTTTGTATCTCATTCTGAGGGAATCGTCGCAGATTGCTGGCTAGACCTAACTGCGCGCAAAGCCAGATCACCCATTTGGTGGGATCAAAGTCAAACCAGCGAACCCCATTTCGATAGTCTATGGGAAACTCATGATGAAAGTTGTGATAGCCTTCTCCCAGGGTCAGCAAGCCAGTGAGTGGGTGATCTCTCGGTGTTTTGTCAGCAGCATAAGGCTGTGAACCACACCAGTGGGCCACCGAGTTGACGCAAAAAGTACCTTGTTGCTCGAGGGCAGTGGCGATGCAGCCTGCAAAGATGAAGCCACCGAGATAGTCGCCGAAGCATAACCAACAGAAGAGTGTCGGAGCAAGGTATCCCGCTAAAAGCAGAAGGAGCATATAATGCTTTTGCTGCCACACCACGATCGGATCAGCTTTGAGGTCACTGATGTCCACTCGACCTGTTGTCAGAACACCATGAACCGGGTCACTTTTTTCGAATAGGACCCAGCCAATATGGGCGTGGAAAAAGCCCTTGGATATGCTGTAAGGATCTTTGTCGGTATCAACGTATCGATGGTGCGCCCGATGGTCTCGACACCATTTCTTTATAGAATCCTGACCGGCACCCGCACCGATGATTGCAAAGAGTAGTTTCAGCGGTGTGCTTGCCGAATAGGATCTATGTGCCCAGAGGCGGTGATAGCCTGAAGGAACGGCACTCAGTATGTTATTACAAGCTTGTCTCCATTGTGAGACTCAACTACTGACCAGCAGTGACGGTAAGAGCGCGGAGATATGCATAGATGACTCCGGTCCAGACGGTTCCACGTTGTAAAGAAACCCAACGTAGACTGCAAATGGCAGCCAGAGGGATTCCCACGAGAAATACGGTCTTTGGCCAATTGAGCGAAGCGACTGTGTCCGCTATCACTCTGCCGATGGTTGGGGTCGATGCCATAGTGGAGGCATGGCGGCTCTTGGATCTGGAAGAGGTGTGCCGTTCTGCATTCTCTTCCATCTCGACTGCTGAATCCAGTTAAGATGGCATTGAGCCAAGCGAGCAACATGTGAGCTAGATATTGCAAAGCATCGACGGTAGTCAAAAGACACGCCGTCGCAGTGAGCCCATCACCGTACTTCCGACACCCATGCACATTAATGTGCTGTCAAACCTGCTCGATAATGTCCCTATCATTCATTCGACCGATTCTTCGCTTGACTGGATGTCTCGGAACAAGCCAACTGTTTGGCTCTGGGAGACTTTGGTTTGACCCGATAGCAGTGCGTGACGCAATGGTGGGACGGTTCTATCGCAGAGAACCAAGCGGCGAGGTCAATGCGAGCCCCGAATACATCTGCAGGTAGGAAATTCCCAAAACAGATATCGTGTAGGATCTTGCTAGCCTTGCTCGTGAGAACGTATCGTGGACTGATTGCATGGCGGTCTCGAGGCCTCTGCACGATCTCGAGGTGTTTCCAGTTACAGACCAACTAACTAGTGACCAGCCATCAAGGAATCCACGGACCCCCACTCCCGTCCTTCTCTGATGCGAGGGCTGAATAGAAGCGTGTGCAACGCAAACATTTTGTTGACCTCCCTACTCGAATCTCACAACATGAACGCGCTGCGACATGCGACCAGAGACTGTCATATGTCTTCGGAGATGTTACATGGTCATGATAAACACCAATCAATAATGGGACCTATAAAGTCAACCTGTGACAAGGTTGCCTGTTCTCACTACGGCTCATGAACTTAGACAGGGTCTTGTATGGGTTCCAACATGGCGATTCCTCACGGCGAGAGTTTGATCATCTTCAGATTTCCGCCGTCGAGTTTGTTCACACTTCCTCCCAGTCAATCCTTAAAACCAACAACACGTCTGCCACCTTTGCCCCCTTCGAATGTGTTAGGAGCCTCAATTATACAGAGTATCAGAATCGATCCTCTTCTTTTTCAACTTTCACTGGACCTGAGGTTCGTCATCACTTTTACGGCCCTTTACGTCTCCACGGTCCTCTACTTGAATCGAGTCAATGCCTATCGACAATTCAGACCGTGGAAGTTTAGCAGAACTCCATGGTTCAAACATGTTGTCGTTGCGCATAATGCTATGCTCGCGATCTTTTCAGGATGGACCTTTGTGTCCCTTTTCCACATCTTCCTGCCCCTTTTAGGGCGAGCGAGGGCCGAAGCTGGACCGGATTATGCTTCACATCTAGCAGAGCTTCTTTGTGAAACGGACTCAGGCGCGTATCGTGGTATGACTTCCGGCCGAGCACACAAGCAATGGAGAGATAGAGAGTTACCACCTACCAAGAGATGATCTGACCATGTGATCCGCATTTAGTGCTCTCATTCGGCAGCAGCCTGTGGGAGGCTGGAGGCAGTTATGTGGGCTGGTGGTTTTACATGAGCAAGTTCTACGAGATTGTCGATACATTGATCATTCTCGCTCGAGGGAAGAAGAGCTCCACCTTGCAGACCTACCATCATGCTGGAGTGATCATCTGCGGCTGGGCAACGATCATATATGAATCTCCATTGGGTGCGATCGGCGTCTTCTTGAATTCAGCGATACATACATTAATGGTGAGTCCTTCACTTCCTTCGTGGTAATCCATCACGTCCTATAAACGCAAGCAATTTCCGAGAATGGTCCTATGGCCCAGTCACTGTCTGGTGCCCATGAGGGGTAACAGGAACTTTGGGCTAATTCTATCCATTGCTCAGTATATGTACTTCACGATCCAAACCCTGGGAATTCCCATCCCCGTGAGCTTCAAACGAAATCTCACTAAGCTTCAGCTGGCGCAATTCTTTGTCGGCTGGATCTGGGGATACACCTACCTCTTCATGAGCTACCGGATCCCCTCGAGGCCGAATGCAGGTAAAACAGAACGAGATTTTATACATTCGGACAACCTGACCCGCGTACTGGGGAAAGACTCACCAGCTAGTCTGCAGAAGAAAGCAGATGTCCTTCACGAGTCTGTTGATGCCGTGTCGTGCTTGAGTGACAGTGGAGAGGCCTTTACCATCGTGGTGACAAGTGTCTACATTATTCCGTTGATCTATCTTTTTATTAAGTTCTACTTTCAGTCATACAGAGGAAACGGAAAAGGAATACGAAGTGGGGGTCAGGTGGTGAAGGAACCAAATGGGTTAATTCATTAACTGAGGTCATCAATCAACGTTGAAAAAGTTCGAGTGTGCTATTCACATTTGCCTGCGTGTTGGTCCAAAGAGTAGAAGGGCACCTTTAAAGCGTAAGTTATCCCAGTCTGAAGGCACGACGTCGCGAAATTTGATGATAACAGATTGGAGTCCCTTGCTTACAATGCGCACGAGCTCTCAACTCAGTGATTGCGGTTGTACGATCGGATCGAACAGAGCCCCCAAAACCTGCGGCGCATTCATCGCGATGGGAGAGCTACCGGGCCTGACATCATCTGCATCCGTCGCCGGCCCGTCGGATCAGAGCGAGACTCACCATCCTTTTCCTCCAAAGCTTTCAAATTCCAGAGGCTCATACAGAAAGCTCCACCAAAGCTCCAACTCCGGCATGATTTCCAATGAGCTCTGATGAAAACTACAGCGTCTTCCGAGAATGTCTCTCGAGCGCAATAGTCGCGCGATCCGAAAAGCCCAAGTCCAGCAAACGACGGCCTAAAGCGAAGCGCAATGGCCGCAAAGAAGAGCCATCGGAGATTGATTCGGGACTACCAGACCGCGTAGATCCCGAAGAACTAGTTGACTTTGTGGATGTGCGCAGCCTTAAAATTCATGATCTCCTCCTGTCCCATAGCCTCGGAGAGATTTTTCTCGAGTCGCACGCCCAAGATGAACCGTCAGTGACTAACGCTCAAGAGCCTCGCCGCAGTTCATCGCCGCCGAGACATTCACTTCGTTCCCAGAACCACTCAGAACGCTGAGTTACGCCGCAATTCAGCACGACGAGCAGATCGCATCGCGCTACGTGCCTGCGGACGCCGAAACACCGCTCGATCGACGGGTGCTCGAAGCGCTATGCGCCACCATCCCAGGGACAGTACCCGACACACTCGCGACGTACGGGTTGATCCCCGACGCGAACGATCTTTCCGACTTCTTCTCTCCAATCATCAGTGAGTACGCGACCAGTGTGACTAGTGCGCCGCCAGTCTGGAGTGCGACTCGAACCGACGCCTGCGAAATTTGCGATCGTGACTGGATTCCTCTATCTTATCACCATCTCATTCCGCGATCTGTTCATGCCAAGGTCCTGAAGAGGGGGTGGCATGACGAGTGGACGCTGAATAGCGTCGCGTGGTTGTGTCGCGCATGTCACAGCTTTGTGCATCGGATGACGAGCAATGAGGAGCTTGCCAGGGAGTATTACACAGTCGACCGCATATTGGAACGCGAAGATGTACAGGACTGGGCGAAATGGGTCAGTCGGGTGAGGTGGAAGGCCAAATGAAAGCAGGCCAGCAATGGGATAGATTCAAATAATTCAAGATTACATCAGGTGGATGCTGAGTGAGGTCTGATCCGTCGAGTATGGATGTAAGAAGAGTAGAGCCATAGTCTGCTCGGGGGAAGAATGATTATATCACCATTAGTCCTGTTGAGAGGGGAGTGAGTATTAGTAAACATCATTGCGAATCGGGCATCAGCCCAGCCGACTTGGGTTTCCTGAATCTGATAATCCTAGGTAGCCAATACCTTACCCAGCTTCAAGCGACGCAATGTTGTCCGTAGTCTGTGGTTGACTTGCCTCGAGCGTAACTGCTCTTTTCCTCAGTGAGGACTGAGGTCCGGGCCCCGGCCTCCTTCTCAGACTGTACGAGTAGAGAGACATGTATCCTCTCCGGTTATATGGATATAGTCACATCTCTTCTACACATAAGGTTGAGCTTTCTGACTTTTCATGACGTCCTTGTCCCTAGGGTCAGTCCCAACTGCCATGAACCAAAATATTGGCTCAGTCAGAGACACGAACGCCTGGGCCCTGGATTCGAATCAGGGTCTATTGTGTTTCGATAGGTATCTTGGATCAGAACGAAGTAAGGTATCAAAAAAAAATACAAGTCAGAAATAGGGTTGGATAAATCAAGCGATAAAGATTAGCCGGTAGGCTATTTTAATTTATTTATAAGAAGAGAAATTACAGCCCCCTCGGGTAAGGGAAACTGTGAAAGTCTGTGTGTATTCGGCTCTCCCCTATTACTTTCTATAGTCTATACTCTAGAGGGATTCCTCTTAACCCCCCTATTAATAATCGATCGATCGATCGACTAGCTAGAGCGGTAGGATAAAGATACTAGAGAGGTTCTAAACCTTCGGTTTGAACGTATAGGTCCGGGACCGGGAGCCTAGTAGCCCTAGCTTCTACGAAGCTGCGGGAGGGCCTTAAGCCTGGGTAACCTAAGCATATGGCAAGGTAAAGCTCAAAGATTGCACGAGATTATCTCGCTGCACTTCATTGCATTTAGATGCACAACAGAGATAAGTGGGAAAGGGGTACTTGGAGATCGTTAATGTACATGCAGCACGTGGGCTGCTTTCTATTTCTATGCGTGCATCGATGTGTTTCTCTTTGCTCAAAACATAATCGAGGCAGATTGACTGAACCCCCCAACGCCACAATGCACGACACTCGAAAATGAGGGAGAATTTATATAATACATGATGATGGAACCACAGAATAGGAGAAAGATATGTAAAGGAGAAGAGATGGATGAAGTGTCATGCGGAAAATAGCAGGCCCGATGTTCACATGACTTCAGGATCTCTCCCAAGTTGGTCTGTCTGGACTCTGGAGGGTGACGCTTACAAGTGTCGCTTTTCACGGATCTCTTCATAGCACTGAATATGATCACCGACAGCAAAGTCGGTCCAGCCTTCAAATGCAATACCACATTCTGTGTCTTTGCGCATTTCAGTAACGTCTTTCTTGACGTTCTTCAGCGAGGTCATCGTGCCTAATGATACAACGTCAGCGCCAATTTTTATGGACTCGATCCATTAGATGCGATTTTGCTCTTACCATCATAAACGGTTTCATTCCCGCGAATCACGCGGACCTTCTTAGTCTTGTTGATCAATCCGTTTCGGACACGACAGCCGGCAATGGATGTCTTTTCACGACCCTTGACGGTAATCTCGAAGATCTGACCAATTTCAGCCTCGCCTGTCACACGCTGAGTGATTGTTGGCGCGAGATATTCGCTGAGAACGTCTTTCACGTCATCGATGAGCTTGTAGATAATATTGTGATCCATGATTGTCACGGACATTTGCTCAGCCAGTCGACTCATTGCGGGATCGATTGGCATGTTGAAGGATATGATCTTGCCATCTGCGCTGGCTGCGTGCTCGATATCAAACTCGGTGACTGGACCCACACCCGAACGCACGATATGCGCATACACCTCATTGTTTCCAATGGCGGCCATAGAATTCAAAACGGCTTCCGAAGATCCATTCACATCGGCCTTGATGACAAAGTTCACAGCCTTGGGACCAGACGACTCTGTTTTCGGAGTAGCCGCCTCCTCCGTATCGCCATCCTCCTGTTTGCGTTTCTCTAAAAGCTCTCGTCGCGCCTCATTGATAGCGACCATGTCTTCACCCATTCTCTGGGTCTCGGCCTGATCCTGGCGATATTCTACAACGTCTTTAGCCTTTTGCTCGGTCGACGCCTGCAGAATCTCGCTGCCAGCAACAGGCTGGTCTCTCCAACCGTCAATCTCCACTGGCATACCGGGTGTAGCTTCGTCAACAGACAAACCGGCTTCATTACGAAGAGTTTTGACGCGAGCCCAAGTTTTACCAGCGACAATGACATCGCCGGGTCGAAGAGTACCGCGGCGAATAAGGGCAGAAGCCACCCGACCATAGCTCTTAGTGGTCGCCTCAATAACCCAGCCTTCGACATTACCACCCGTGTCAGCACGGTGATCCTGCAATTCCGAGAGAGCGACAATGGCCTCTTCAAGCTCGACCATGCCTTGGCCGGTCTTGCCGCTCACACCGATTGCTTGGACATCGCCTCCGTAGTCCTCGACATGCACACCGTGGACCGCGAGATCCTGCTTGACACGATCCGGGTTACGGCCTTCTTTGTCGATCTTGCTGATTGCGACGATGATGGGAACATTGGCCTGACTGGCATGCTTGATAGCCTCAATAGTCTGTGGTTTCACACTGTCGTCTGCAGCCACAACAAGGACAACAATATCAGTGACATCGGCGCCGCGCTTGCGCATCTCCAAGAAGGCGGAGTGACCTGGAGTGTCCAGGAAAGTAATAGTCTTTCCTGACGGCATCGCCACAGAGAAGGCGCCAATGTGCTGCGTAATGCCGCCGTGCTCTGTAGCTGCCACTGAAGAGTTTCGGAGCCAATCCAAAATAGTCGTCTTGCCGTGGTCGACGTGGCCCATGATTGTCACGACTGGTGGACGAGGAGGCAGGTGAGATGGGTCCTCTGGTACAGGAGCAGCCTCAAGATCCTCGGCGCCGTCGTCAAAAATCGCTTCATACCCGAATTCGGCAGCGACCAAGCCGGCCGTCTCGGCATCCAAGACATGGTTATAGGTAACATCTTCGAAGCCCATCTCGGTCATTCGAGCTACAAACTCGGCTTGGCGAACACCGATGACATCGGCCAAGTTACTGACACTGATGAAATCAGGGAGATGGAGTGGAATTGCCGCAACCTCTTCTTTCACTTTTCTTTGACGTTTGCGATCTTCGCGGCGACGTTTCCGTTCCTCTGGGTCAAAGTCATTCTCCTCGGACACGTTCCGGTCTCGACGTCCATCTCGTTTCTTGGTCTTCTTCTGCGTCCCCACTGGCTCGTCTTGGTCTTGGATGGAATCCAGTTGCTCCAAGGCCGACATATCCCAAGACCATTGGTCCACCTTCTCAACATCTTTCTCGTTGTCTTTCTTCTTCGGTCGAGCTTCTGATTTGGCCTTTGAGAGCTCGTCCCGTCCGCGGCCTCCCTGCCGTGTTGATCGTGCATCTCGTTCAGATTGATCAAGTGAATCGCCGTCGTTCCGGCGGGGGTGCCGTGTGAAGCCAGAAGTTCCCTCAGAGCTCTCGCCGAGCAAAGCGCGACCTAGATTGCGCAATTTTCCTGTCCGTGCGGAGTTCTCCCCCCAACGGTCAGCTCTCGGAATATGTGCTTCCGAGGTTTGAATATGTGGTTTTGCGGTGGCGCATGAAGAACATGCGTCTCGTTTTCCGAAATTGTGATGTCCGCATTTTGGGCAATCCCAATCTCCTTTCATGCGCTGCTGTTCCTGCCGTGGAGGTCTGGGGATGTCTCGCCGTGGGGCCTGGCAGAAGGGGCATGTCTTGTGCCTGGCGAAGACCAGTCGGTGGCAGTTCTGGCATGTCCATTCACGATTTCCCCGACTATACCGATTGTCGTCCTGACCTTGCTGTCTCGAATGCCGGGCGTGCCGATTGTTTGCGTGGCCATGGTCGACAGACTGGTCATTAGGGCGGACAACGGCATGCCTGCCCTGGCCTTTCATGTAAAACTGCGTCCCGGGTATCCTCTTGTCCCTATGGGAGCTTGTCGACTCTTGCTGCTCTTGAGGAGGCGACGGTGGCTTATTTCTGGCGATCATAGCATCGCGCAGAGCCTGTTCTGCTGGACTCAATCGAACGGGCTTTACGGCTTCTCTGGCACCCCATCTATTTCCGAACTTGGGGGCTGGCGAAGACGAGCCATTTCCAATCTGATCGCCATTAGTTGAGTCGAACAGGATAGCGTGAGATCGGAATGTTCGAGCGAAGGATAAAGTCGTGGAGGAGAATAGGCTTGTTGGTAAGGGTTCAACGCGGCGCGAGAGCTTTAGAGCGAGCCATTAGATCGGATTGTCTTTGAGGACATTGAAACAAGCTGTAGGAGTTGAGACGTACCTTCCAGACCACTCGGCGGTGCATAGCTGTAATTGCGACAAATCTTCCTCATCGGAGTCGCCCGATCAGAAAGTACTTGCCAAAAAAGAACGTGTGTCGTCCTCCAACAAAGCTCAATCAATAATTCCTAGCTCGCGCGGCTCCACTTGTCTCCAAACGGGGATTACTTTTTTCTTCTCCCGGACGGCGTTCAGGCGGTGTCTCCTGCGCGAGCCTGCGATTGTTGTGACTTTCAGCTCGACTGCTGGTGACCGCCAACTGGCCAGCTTACATAAGTTTTCCGACGGCAAACCTCGGCCTTTTCCGTTCCGCAAGTCGGTCGGCGGTATGTGCGAATTGGCGGGCAGTACGCCATTTCTCGATAAGAAGAATGTCTGAAGGTTCCTAGTTCTTCGACCTCAAGATACCCAATTGAGTGCTTTCAAGGGAAATTTGAGTACCGTGCATCTGACAATTAGACTCTGTGAGACTCCGTGAGACCTCAATTGCGTCTCACAAATCCACAAAATGGAGTCTGAAGCATTCGATGACCTGGAGAAGAGCACCGACCCTCTCCGGACGGTCAAGGATTTGGCCGCAGGTGCGGCTGGTGGAATCGCCCAGGTGCTGCTGGGTAAGTGTTTGATCGTAAATCGAACGACAGGGAAAGCAATAGACTTGGGGAAGCGTGTCGGACTGCAGCATATCTGAATCAAGCACGACTTTCGATAATATGTCAAATTGGTTCAAATGGCTAATCGCTTCTCACAACAGGTCAACCCTTTGGTTAGTGACTCACTCTCTGTATAGCTGTACAGAATGCAGAGACTACCCGTAATGTGTTCCGTCTAATGCTGGCCCTCCAGATATTGTGAAAGTCCGACTGCAGACCACCTCGCATTACAAGGGCGCGTTGGACTGCGCAACTCAGATTTTCAAAAAAGAGGGCCCCGCAGCCTTTTACAAGGGCACCTTAACTCCCCTCATTGGAATTGGTGCTTGCGTAAGTTGCTTTTTCTTAGGCTACTATGAAGAGATCAATCTGACTCTTTCCACAGGTCAGTGTACAATTCGGTGCTTTCCATCAGGCGCGCCGGACGCTGGAAGAGCTGAACAAGAAGAAATATGCCGATAGCACCCTGTCTTATGGCCAGTACTGGCTGGCCGGCTCTTTCGCCGGCGTGACTAATTCCGTTCTCTCGGGTCCGATTGAACATGTGCGTATTCGTCTACAGGCCCAGCCTCACGGTGCAGGTCGTCTGTACTCTGGTCCCATCGACTGTGTGAAGAAGCTGGCCGCCCAAGGTGGTGCTGTGCGCGCCTTGTACCGCGGCCAGGCTGTCACTATTATGCGTGAAGCGACAGCCTACGGTACCTGGTTTATGGCCTTTGAGTACATGATGAACATGGATGCCAAGCGTAACAATGTGAAGCGCGAGGACATTTCGGCTGTCAAGGTGGCTACATATGGTGGCCTCGCTGGCGAGGCCCTTTGGCTCGCCAGTTACCCATTCGATGTTGTGAAGAGCAAGATGCAGACAGACGGATTCGGTGCCAGCCAGCAATACGCCAGTATGCGCGATTGCTTCAAGAAGACATATGCCCTCGAGGGCTTTGGTGGGTTCTGGAAGGGTATTGGACCTACCCTGCTGAGAGCCATGCCCGTCTCTGCAGGTACCTTTGTTGTGTAAGTGTTTTTGCTTCTCCCTCCATCTCTTCCCGAGTCTTACAAACGTAGTTGCATTTTACTTGTGGCAGATACTAATTTTTGTGTAGTGTCGAGCTTGCCATGAAGGCTTTGGGTTGAACCAGCGGTTCCATATGTGAAATAAACCGCTTCTTGATCTCCTTTCTGATACCATCTACGAGTTTGATTATGGAGAATTTCATGGTTCCAAGTGTGATTGCAACCTTCGAGGAGCGACGAGGGCTCCAGTCTCTCTCAATTCCTACCCTTGTATCATGCCTAGTAGATTTCCGCGCATGGACGAGAACAACTATCTGCAGGGAAAGTATAGATCACTCAAAACGTCATATCAAGAGGAAGTTTCACATTGCCAATGAAAAATCTCCAAAAAAGTCTTGCATCGCCGTCGGGAAGAAGAACAAATTCAGCCCTGGGAACTCCCACTCAGAAACGAACTGTTCGGGCATAAAACACTGCAAGTCCGCCTGCGCATCGAAGAGTTCCCAGAATGGGGACGTGTTAATAGGACCCTCTGTGGCTGACGGCCGAGACTCTTCCAAGGCACGTTCAAATTTTTCAATGCTGACTTTCAGTATTTGAAGGTAAATATTCCCGCCGTCTGGCTGGTTGCTGCTGGAACTGGCTCCACTGAGCTCTTCAATCAGTTTCTTCCCTTGGTCTAATAGCTCGCGATGCTGCTCATCTCGGTCGGGGAGAAGACGCGACAGCTTGAGTAATAGCAGGAAGGAAAAGGCACATTTGGCCCAAACAAAGTCCATCGCGTATTTGAGTTTTGCGAGGTAGTAGTTTGGCTCGAAGATAATCAGATTCAGGTGTCTTCGGGCGGCAGCTTTGGCGGCGAGAAGTATTTCTTGCTCATTGGGGGTCATCGCTCTGCGATAATCGTGTCAGCTCATCGACCTCATCAGCAAGGAAAGAAGTGCCTAATTAGTAACTACAAAACGAAGAACGTGCTGAACATACGCTACATTTTCCACGCCCATGGCCCGAAGCGCTTTGCAATTCAGCATCATCTCAGCCCAGCACTTTTGGACACGAAGCGCGACAAGAAGATATGGACATTCTTGTTTTGCAGGCTTGCAATTTCCTGGTGAGTATTTAGCAGGAAAGTATCGCCTTTTGCGGGAAGATGGTACGGACCAATTATTCGAAGCCAGTCACTTGAAGATGTCAGTGTCGAAGATAGACTAAAAACAACAGGTATCAACTCACTCAAACCATAAGTCGAGGTCGGTCTTCGTCTCGTGGACAAAGTCTGAAACTTCATGACAACTCAAAGTCGTGTTCGGCGTTAGTGTGTCGTTGATCGTTGCTGAACACAAGATCAGCAACTCTATCATGCACCCCAAGTTGCATCACACAAAGCTCTCGTTCTCACCTCGAAGGATGTTCAGCTGCGAAATGGTCAGTTTTCTTTATCAGATCTAAATGTGAGTGAATGAAATACCTCAACTTGGGAAAAGAGTCGAAGATCCAATATGGTTGATGCGGGATGGCTCAAAAGTATCCGACATCGACGTGCATTGCCAAGAAAGCGGATGCCCGGTGGCTTGCCAGCATCGACACGAAATCTATTTCAGAGCAGTCAGGAGGCTTGGTCAAGATCTATCAACGCTCTGACGAGAGACCGACATGTGCTCTAAGACAAGAAGACCAAACCAGGTCCTTGATTTGCGCATCAGCAGCCGCTCTTCCTGCACATCATGAATTGAACCACTGCGACCATCCTCAATCCAAGCGTCATGGTCATTCCTGATCACCAAGCGATCGGTCAACATTTGAAAGGCTTCATGTAGCCCAAGATCAAGAGCCATGCGTGTGGCAAATGAGAGAATCAAAAGCCTATCTGCTGAGTAGCATGACACCACCAGCATTGCCTGTACCGACTCGAGAGAATTCAGACTTCGGTTCTGAATGATCACGTTTATCCATTTCTTCAACTCCCTGTGAAGTATTTCAGACATAGACCCATCGGGATCTGGATTGGTCTTTTTGTTAGCAAAGGTCTTTAAAACCGCGATAGTCGTAACGCCCACCTGACCTGATCATGCTCCCAATGGTGCATAGAGCGTTGAGTAGGATACTACTTCTGTCACGCACGGAATCGAATGTGTCAAATTCTGGGTCGAAGATTGGAATGTATCTATCCTATATCACCTTGAAAGGTCAATCAGACTCGTCTTTCAACAAAGTCATGCAAGGAGCACATACGCAACCTTCGAAGAATCTAGAAAAGTAGAAAAGTTAGACTAGACCCAGTTCCAAGGGTTCCGGAGACACATACGTATCGAAGTATGCGATGGCGCTATCTTTCGAGATTAACCCTTTCGCAATAAAATCTACAACAGCTTCATCACGTATTTCGAAACAAGATCGCTTTCGCTTTGTATTTTGGCGCTCCGGCGCTGACGAAAATAGCTGTGTCGAGATGTTCCCTGGGCTGGTAGAAGCAGGATTCACGCGCCGCAAGTTGTGCCCATTGACTTCGTTCGTAAACACTCGTCGCTCGTAGCCAACGGAAGCACGACCGATTCCTCCGACATCACGGCTGAGAGGAGGAGTCAAGTCTGAGTTGAGTATCTCTCTGTGGCTTGACCGTGTGGGTGGTTGATACTGCTGAGCAGCGATATTCTGATTTGTAGCTGCTGGCGTGGTCCTGTTCTTTCGAAGATCTTCATGCACCTCCCGCAATTGTGTTCTCAGAGAGGCCAATTCTGACTCCACAGCCTCAAGTCGCCTGGCAAGCTGTCAGTTGATCAGACCACATCTAAACCCCATGAATCCCAACAATGCAATATCTTACTCTGCAACTGGGTCCTTGGGAACCTCGTAAAAGATGCATTGTTTCTCAATCTTCTGACACCTTGAGGAGAATCAATAACTGCAAGGCATCTGTAGCTCTACTTCTCGACACCTCATACCTCCCGCATGGTCGATCTCCGTCACAACGGACCTTGATCAATGTTAGCTGAGAAATACAATTCTTTCAAAGAAATATGACACCTACTTTTGACTGTCGGCAGGCACGGCACGCCTTCTTAAATGGTTGTCAATAGATGGGCGCTTCATATACCCGTATGTTCTTCGGTGCCGGTAGCAGCACGGTCGTCTGGGGTTTGGTTCACGCACAGGAATTCGCTTTTTCCCGGGAGGAGCCGGCACAACGTGCAGAGATTCGTCAGCCTGCATCGAGCTAGTATGATCGAAAAATTGGCTACAATAGCACCTTGATCACGAACACCGACAGCTCCGAGGGTGTCTGAAGATGAGGATGGGGAAATTGCGGGGTTCGGCGGTCTTCTCCGGGGTGGGGGCTAGCCTCATTCGGGACAGTGGAGGATCGCTGCTGTTAATGTTGGTCGACTAGTTGAGTCTGGGGTGGTAGAACACTGCAATTTCACATGCAGGTAAAGTGTAAGTGATGACTAGGCAAGTCTAACAGTGAAATGCGTTCATGCTCTGGTGTAGTTTGAAACCAACGGTTGAACTCATTTGCAAAAGTTGGCTCTCGCTTTCCTGTCAAGTCAGGGCTTGCTTTCGTGTCCAATGGGTACATGATAAAATACCGCCTATATTCTGGAATTTACAAGATAAGTTACGTTCGAATGAATTTGCAACAATTCTTTCGAGTTCCGGGGATAGGAACCCGTTTAGACTAAGAGCACTCAAAAACAACAAGATCACGGCCACTTTATAAACATGATATAGCTCCTCGCAATTGGGACCGAGTGATAATCCCCTAATATACGTAGACAAAATCCTCGTTCTTCCAGTCAGTGAGGTCCATGAACGCATTGTCCTGCGTTACATGTTCCACTGGAACGTCTGCCTTATCCGGGTTGGCAGTTGTGACTTTGTTCATTGAGTGATCCACGACTTTGGCATCCTTACCGGCAGCTACGCGTCGATGCTCATGCTTTCTGTTCAAGATTAATAAGTATCCCATGTTCAGCCTGCGTAGAAATATCTGAGTTAGTGGAAGTTCAACAGATGGAACATGGATGAGAACACTTACCAGATGAGGCAGAACAGCGCAATGAAGAGCGCGAGACTTGTCACGATTAGCTTCAGACCTTCAGGGGTGGTTCAGGGTGTTTCGTACCTTGAAATGAGGCCACGACGATAGAGAGGTGCCTCTTCGGTTGTGTATAAAGTGGGTCCAATAACCTGGGCGCGCATGTTAGTTCGCAACATTTCTTGTTAAAAAAGGTTGCAGATGGAGAAGGTGATCATACATTACCAACGCATTGCCCAACAATCAATATACCAGTTGTTACTTTCTTCTTCGTCTCACCGCCAGTATTTGCAGCAGACCAAGAATATATCAGCGGTGCTACGACGCCATCAGTATATCGAACAAATAGGTCTTCAGACGGGGGCGGGAACTCACTAATACCAGGATACACCGAGACCTATTTTCAAGTACATAGAGATTAGCTTCATCAAGCTTCGAATGGTAGATGTTGACCACGACTTACAAGGTAGTATCCCACGAGTAGTGGTCCTCGGTGAGCCGCATCGTGGGCAATTTGCAGTAGCATGACACATCCCGCAATTGGAGGAAGACACAGTAGCGCAAGCACTGGTCCCTTCCTTTTCCAGTGAGTAGCCAGCCAAGCGCCTCCCATAGTGGCAATTAGCTGAACGGCACCGAACGGAACATTCAGCAAGATGGTATTGAGAGGGTTGAATCCGAATGACTTGACGATCAAAGGCCCAAAGGTCGAGATGCCTCCACTGGGAATGCTGCGAGAGGGTCAGTGGGCGATGTCCATGGGGCCGGACTGAGAACTTGGGAACTTACGAGATGGCCAGTAGCAGAGCGAACCACAGCCATGATTTGAGATCCAAGCAAGACTCCTTCACATGGTCCCATTTCCACTCGTGGCTTTCGATACCCTGCTGGTTCATTCGCAACCTAATGGATTGTTAGCATCGGACCCATTGCTTATCGACGTATGAGTCAGTATGGACCTTTCGATTGCGACTAATTTGTCTTCTTCGTTCAAGAATTTGGCAGTTGTGGGAGAATCGGGCATGAAAAGCCTGTAGTGAGGGAAGTCAGTGGAAGCTCATAGTGAGAAAAATTGTACAATTCATGACATACAGCACAGCGACTGCGACACCGATTGTGATCAGGCCAAAGAACAAGAAGATGATCTATTCCAAAATCAGCAAGTGACTCTCTTCTGGGTCATGCAGTCACAAGGCCTACCTGATATGGCTCGAAAACTGATGAATGAATGTGGCCAAGTCCGTACGTTATGAGACTCCCCACCTGTTTATGCCCGTCAGATTGCCCTAGAACGGCCTTTATTCGACACTAGAAGGACCGAGAACGTACCATGTTGACCACTCCATTCATCGCGTACCAGGAGCCCAGTCGGACAGGCTGCTCCAGTCGACGGTACCACATTTGTGTGACTGCAATGAAGGCCGGGGCTAGTCATATTAGTATCGATGAAGCCATTTCACCCCTCTGACTAGTAGATAGGACTCACCAATGCCTGCTTCACAGAGTCCAAGGAACAGGCGACACACTAGCAAGCCCGCAAAGCTGTTTGCCGCTGTCATGCAAGACAAAGAGATGCCCCATAGCAGGACCGACACTGCCATGAACTTGCCCATGGGTACTTTGACCAGCAGGTACGAAACCAGGGGCTGAACGACCAGCTGAGCTAGGTAGACGACAGAACCCAGCCAGGAGTACATGTCGCCATGAAGATGAGCCGTTTCAACAAGACCGAAGACAGAGGCATAGGCTAGAGTGGACTTGTCGAGCTGTTGTAGGAAGTAAATCGAGAGCAGAATGGGTAAGAGCCGCAAGTCAATTGCGCGTAGCACCCTCTTGTTGTTCTCTGGCGTCAATGTGGTTGAGTAGCCGGCATCTTCGATCAGCTGAACAGCCTGGTCTTGCTTAGGACCACGGTCTATATGCTTTGCTTCCGATACCCTTCCTGCCTCCTCAGCGTGAATCGACTCGACACGCTCCTCTTGCTGAGCCTTTGACGGGGAGATTTCTTCGTGCTGCGACATTTTGAGTCGAGCAGGAGACTTGAAATGGGAACAGAAAGCCAAATGGATTTCAGTGAGTTCGACACAAGATACCGACAAAATGTTCGGGAATCAATGAAGAGATAGTAACGCCTGCAGAAGTCTGCAAAGGCGGAGGAGATGGATGTCCATAGTTATATTCACCCAGGAAAGGATCGACCAGACCTAAGCTCATTCATGGGCTGGATTCATGGGGAGACATGGAACGCGGGTTGTACCCCGTGGGGTAGCGTTGCGTGGGGATCTTCGGAGAATCGCGGGCGAAATCCGAGGGTCACGCTTCCACACCACAACGTCGTCTTCCATTCCCAATTCGAACCATCACTCTACCGGTAACAGCCGAGCCTGCTGCAGTGTCACTCTGTCGAGGAATACTCCATCCTGATCTGCTCAATTGTGAGGTTCAAGCAGTGGATTGAGTAGCCGAAAGCCGACGAGGTTGAGAGCACCCCAATCATAGCTCTTCATTTCCATTGCCGCTGTTTAACAGCGGGCCGCGATATTCACGGCCAATTGCCGAGATGCGGGAGGACAATCGTGAATGAATGTTAGGCTGTCGTCTTTCGGTTGCTCAATCCGATGCGATCAGCGCCGTTTCTGCTTCCTGGGGAGGCTAAAGTTCAGCCGAACGATGGGGGTGGATGCAAGAGGCCCAGATTTCCCCATGCAAACTTGACTTTAGCACCAAACTAGCCGCTGCGGGGCCGAGAAGTAATTCAATGCAAGGGTTGCGGCAGCACATGGACCAAATAGAGAGTGGTGATCCTGGAGGAGATTGAGGTTGGTGAAGCGGAAAGCGACCGAGAGACACTGGGTCGTCTCGGAGATCTGGCCCGAAAACCGACTGTATACTTCGCCCTCGGGCGTGACCTCAGTAACCCGAACGCGGGGTATGGGAACGCAATGGCTGGCAGATGGCGAGGTATGAATAGTGATGATTTAAAGGCCTTCCATCTCGCCTCTGCACTGGAATCAGAAGTATATGTTTTCAACTGCAGAGTTTGCTCCCTCCTCCAGTGCTGAATCGCATCATGCCACAGAAGGAAGTCTGCCCCAAGGGCTACCAGCCGGTAGCCGCCAGTGAGCAAATGGCTTCCACTGTTCAATTGCAAAGCTCATCCGGCGAAACCAAATTCGACTTTTCCTTCGAAGCGGTTCGCCGGAACTTGTTTCGAGTGACATTCTCCTCTGCCGAACGCCCACTCCCACCATATCCCAGCATCACCAGGCCAGAGACCAATTTGCAAGGCCTCGATGTGTCCGCACGAGTAGAAGGCGCCTCGAAGATCATTGACGTGGCCGACGTGACGGCGCAGGTAGAGTGGGAGCACACTCCTGTTGTGACGCTCTCATGGAAGGGTGCGAAGAACGCATTGCACCGTGACTTGCCTCTAAGGTCATATGTTGCTGATGGCCCCGGTGTTGCACACTACTCAGTGTACGATCGAGTAGCGCTCCATGTCGGTCTGGGAGAGAAGGCTGCTCCAATGGATTTGAGTGGACGCGATTTCCAGCTCTCTGCAACCGACTGTTTTGGTTACGATAACCACAAGAGTGACCCTCTCTACAAGCACATCCCATTGTTGATCAAGGCGTCGCCCCAAGGATGCATGGCCCTCTTCTCAACCACTCATGGACGAGGTCTGTGGTCAGTGGGATCTGAGATCGATGGCCTGTGGGGCCACTTCAAGATCTACCGACAGGACTATGGTGGCTTGGAACAGTACATGATTGTTGGTCGAACAATCAAGGAGGTTGTTCACACATACGCCGAGTTAGTCGGGTTCCCCCTGCTGGTACCTCGTTGGGCTTATGGCTATATCTCCGGTGGCTACAAATACACCATGTTGGATGATGCGGACAAAGCTCTCCTGGAATTTGCAGAGAAGCTGAAGAAACACGGAATTCCGTGCTCAGCCCACCAGATGTCTTCTGGATATTCAATTGCACCCGTGGAGCCCAAAGTCCGCAACGTCTTCACCTGGAATAACGAGCGATTCCCAAATCCCCAAGATTGGATTTCAAAAATGCACGAGCATGGAATCCGTCTCATCACTAACATCAAGCCTTTCCTAATAGCCTCGCATCCCGACTTTCAACGCTTGATTGACGGCAATGGCTTCTTCACAGATCCGGAGACAGATAAGCCAGGCTATATGCGTTTGTGGAGCGCTGGAGGAGCCACTGGCGACGATGGATGCCATATCGATTTCACCTCCGAGGCCGCTTTTAAATGGTGGTTCGAGGGAGTCAAGAGCCTCAAGAAGGTCGGCATCGACGGCATGTGGAATGATAACAACGAGTACACGCTGCCTAATGATGACTGGACGCTCGCTCTAGACGAGACAATGGTCAATAAGGAGGCCAAACAGACTACTGCAAACAGTGTTGGCCAGTGGGGTCGCGCTATGCACACCGAATTGATGGGCAAATCTTCCCACGATGCTCTCGTCGATATGGAGCCCGATGTTCGGCCTTTTGTTCTAACTCGAAGTGCTACGCCGGGCACGATGCGCTACTCTGCGAGTACATGGAGTGGCGACAATGTGACGAGCTGGGATAGTATGAAGGGGTCGAATGCACTTTCATTGAACGCTGGCATATCATTGCTCCAGGTAAGACCCTTTAACTTCTGGATCAAGGATGAAGGGGCAAGCCCTTCGAGATCTTGACACCGATGGCGTCGAAAAACAAAGCTAACTGCCCTTTTTTGTAGTGCGAAGGACACGACATCGGCGGGTTCGAGGGACCTCAGCCTTCTCCAGAACTACTCCTTCGGTGGATCCAGCTAGGCTGCATGTCTACTCGATTCGCCATCAACTGCTTCAAGACCTCCCCGGACAACAACTCTGTCGGCGAGGTCATTGAACCCTTCATGTACCCCGAGATCACCCACCTTGTCCGCGACGCGATCAAACGCCGCTACGAGATGCTCCCCTACATCTACTCTCTCGCTCTGGAAAGTCACAAGGATGCTTCACCCGTGCAGCGCTGGATCGGCTGGGGCTATGAGTCCGACCCCGAGGTCTGGAACAATCAGACGCTCAAAGACGGCGAAGAGCAGTTCTGGCTGGGAGACAGCATTGTTGTCGGGGGTGTCTTTAACCCCGGCGTCACCAGCGCAAAGCTCTACCTGCCCCGCAAGAGTGGTGATGGCTTTGACTATGGCTACGTCAACATGAACGCTCCATACAATTACTTCGCATCCGGGCAATGGGTCGAGATTGAGTCCCAGTGGCGCGAGAGCATCCCACTGATTGCCAAGATCGGCGGTGCAATCCCCGTTGGCAAAGATGTTCACACTCGCATTCCCGATGACAAGACAGCCGCCTCTCAGGGCGTGAGCGAGATCGATGATTACCGCGGTGTGGAAATCTTCCCACCTCAGGGGACCTCTCACGGCAGGACCTTCTCCAATACTTGGTACGAGGATGATGGAATTTCTCGACAGCCCAGGACTGCGGTGTACACACTCAGCTATAGCTCGACCGAGGAGAAGGTACTTGTGCATTTTGAGCGTGATGAGTCCGCAGGATTCGTGCCAGCCTGGAAGGAAGTAGACGTTATTCTGCATCACAAGGATACGCGTCGGGTGGTGACCAGCTCCGGTCAGGAAGTTGTGCCCAAGGGTGTTGACGCTCGCGGCCGACTGGTCTTTACGATCAAGGCTTGAAGGGGACCTGGCTGGACAAGACTTTTGAAGAGTGCTGTGAGACGAGGAGGGCCGGCCTGAAACCACGAATGTACATACATCATAGAATCCTAGGCGTAGGTGGCACGTACTAGTCCGAATGTTCGACTCTATCGAGAATAAGCACGACATTTCAAATCCCCTTCCTTTGGTACGCGGGATTGCATTCTTTTCCCACGGGCAAAGATATTGCAGATTGAGGTTGTCTGTATGAGACTTCTGCTCTTAGACTCTCCTTTCACCGTCCGTCAAAACTCGTATATTCAATAGTCACGACAGCTGACCTAGATAGATGACGACCAAGCTTTGAACTTGAAAGATACGCCATAAGGAATTTTCGAAGCAAGACATCGATTGCGCGTAGGGATCTTCGGTGAGCCATCGGTGCTGCAGGCATTGGTCTTGATCCCAGACTGTCCTTCCTCGTCTCATTCCGGTGCTCTTTCACACCGTCGGATGATTTTGATTAGACGTGACACCGTCGAGGGACTTAAGATTAGGAGCACCAATTGCAGTGGACTTTGCGAATCGTCATGTGATATTCAATTGTTGATACATGTTATGTTAACGCCCAGAAAAAAGAAAGCAGTTTATACGATACAAAGCCAGGATCCTGGCACTTGCGCGAAAAGAGACATGCAACCTTATAAGCCGTCGAGCCTAATCGCGCTCACTCTTCTCCAACTCAGAGCCAGGCGGAGGCGTACCCGTGAGAGGATCTAAGCGCAGTTGACGGGCCGTGATAGGCTCGTAAGTGGTCTTCCCTTCCTGTGCCATCTTCAAACGACGTGCCTGGCCAGCTTCACCGGCACGTCCGAGGATGCCCGCAATGAGGTTTGTGCCGCGGAGGGTATCATCGTTGGCGGGGATGGGATAAGTGACCCGGGTAGGATCAGCATCGGTATCAATAATACCAATGGTGGGCACATTGTTCAAGCCGCACTCGTGCAAGAGCACCACGTTCTCGAGGGGATTCAACACAACTACCAAGTCTGGCTTGATGGAAGGACGATCCGCGAGATCAACCCTGAATTTGGACAATTCTTGATCCAAAGCATTGACAACCTTGGTCTTGCAGTGGCCGAGAATCTGCTGACCGTTTGTGAGAGAGCCGGGAATCCACCGCTCGAAGATGTGGTAGCCCTTGGCAAGTTCCGCAGCGCGCACGACGGAGCGCTTCTGTCCTTTGCGGGTACCGGCGAAAAGAATGATGCCACCGCGAGCGGCGACTTCTTCAACGACCTTGGCGGCTCGGCGCAGGTATGCGGCTGTGACGTCTAGGGAGATGATATGGATACCTTCGCGAATACCGAAGATGTATCGCGAGTTTTGCGGGTTCCAGCGCGATGTTGAGTGGCCCATATGTGTGCCGGCGGCAAGAAGCATTTCGAGGGTGACATCGGCGGGCTTGGGAGGATTGCGGAGGACATTTTCGGGATCGTATGACTCCTGGACCTTTGATCCAAGGGTGTTGAACTTGTGTCCTAGGGAGAACGAGTCTTTAGTACATTCAATGCCTATAGCGTATGCTTCGAGGTTGCATTGAGGCTACTCACTCCGCTTCTCCAATGCGTCCCATTGCTTTAGTGGGCGGGGTTCTGGCACAGTGCTTGTGGTCTGAATCCCCTGCTCCACTGGTGATTGAGCAATCTCGGCTGATCCTACAGAGGGTGTCTGGGTTATCGTGTCGCTTGCGACCTCCGTGGACAAGGATCGAGTGAAGACCGGGGCCTGACGGTTCAAGGCGATCAATTGGCGGCCTGGGGTGATGAATCAAGTCAGAGGGGGCTCATGAACAGGAAAAATCTGAACGACCACTTTTTTGACTCACTTTGCCGCATGAACAGGTTCCGTACAATCATTTTCAATTTGGTTGTTGAATGCAGACGCAAGACGGAGCTTGGTGATGGTCTTGTCGGCGCGAACTTTTGTCGGGCTTGGCACAAGACCGCCGAATTGTCACTCGCCTTGGTGCCTGAGGCTTCTGCATCGAGCAGACCCGCACCACTTCAGAGTTCCTGTGAAAAACAGCAGGCACGCTCGAGGCAGACCAAGCGCGAACTACGAACGACATCGCGTCGCTTGAGGCCAGGCTTCTCCTCGCTGCGCTGCATATTGTTGTCATATTTTGACTGTGACGACTGACACGAGACCCGTGATCGACGCATCTTAAAGTCCAGTGCACCCGTCGTCAAGCGGGTATCAATGCCGGCTAAGCTACTGGAGTACTATCACCGAAGCAGCACTCTATTGATGAGCCATGAATGTATGATTTTGGGTGTTGTCAGGGCTCCTGCCTCATGAAGAAGATGGCAAGTAAGCTCCTGCATAATTGCCTAGATCGGGTCCCCTGACAACTCTACCCCTCTGGACGCATTACCATCAACTTGCACTGTGGTCATAGTCATAACAAAACATGTTTCCTTCTTCCAACGCTTTTTCCGTACCGTGTAACATTGCTACGAGGGTGCGTTCTTTATGGTCCTCTCCTCATTTGTGTATCTGTGGAAAGTGACCTCAGAACAATCGGCGTTCTCTTAGGTCTACGGACCATCCTCGGTTTTGATGAAGCAGAGCAAGACAACCATGTCGAGAATCCTATCAATGCTTGTGTCGAACAGAATCAGCTTACTGTAGTACTCAAGACTGAGAAGGCGTTGAAGTTTGATCCTTAACGCTCACAACTGTAGTGGTCAGTGGACGGTTGTAATCAGTACTTCCAAGCAAATGAGAGGACCGCTGACGGGTTCAATTGGAAAGCACGTCTTCAGTAAAATACATGATATAGCGTGAATGAGAAACGAAGAGAGATCGTGATAATGATCGTGATAATGAAAATCGTAATGATAAAGACGCCGTCAATAGAAGATAACCAGCCAAAGACACGTCAAGCTTGCGAGACGGATAGTATCAACGAGTCATCTATTTCTTGAAGAAGCTGCCGAGCTGATCCATCATGCCGCCGCTGCCACCGCTCTGGGAGGGGGGTTGGCCATAAGGACTGCCGCCTTGGTGGTGGCCACCCTGGTGACCACCCTGGTGACCATTGTTGTCGTGGCCCTTCTTCTTCATGGCGTCCTCAGCAAGACTGCCGATGATGGCACCGCCAATTGTGCCAAGAATACCGTGGTTGGCCTTGTGGCCTACGAAGCCACCACCGGCAGCGCCGGCAAGAGCGCCGGCAAGACCACGCTCGCCCTCTTCGCCAGGAGCTTGTTGCTGGTCATGTCTGAAGGGGTGACATTAGCGGATATTCCTTGGAAAAGTATGGAGTATTTGAAAAGAAAGGCATTACACGTACCCAGCGCGGTTGTAGTCCTGACCCTGCTGTCCACCGTACTGGTGCTGAGGCTGACCGTAGCTCTGCTGACCACCGTACTGCTGGTTCTGAGATCCGGAGTTGTAGTAATCGTTGGAGGCAGGCTGGCCGTGCTGCTGGTGCTGGCCATATTGCTGCTGCTGGCCATATTGCTGCTGCTGGCCATATTGCTGCTGCTGGCCGTACTCCTGTCCATAACCACCCTGCTGGTAGCCTTGCTGGGGATATCCCTGTTGACCATAACCCTGACCCTGTTGGCCGTAGCCGCCCTGGTTGTAGCCTTGGTTGTAGTCACCGTAGCCAGACATGATGTGTGATGGAGCCGAGATAGTTGGAAGAAGGTTGTAGAAAGTAGGTTGGGTCGGAACGCGACGGTTGAGAGTGAGGGATGGGAGGTTGATGTATGATGGAAAGTGGGATGAAGATGAGGGGTCATGGGGCTACCTTTAAATAAGTTCGGTCCTGTCCCCCAGGTAATGTACTGGTTTACCTGACTAACTAAGTGATTGCCAAGACAAGATGGGTATCTGGTACATACGCAACACTCCGGCTCTGTGAGTTTCAGCTGCTACGATCGTGCCCGTCAAGCCGCCAGGAAAAAGTGGGGATGAACGGGGATCAAGGCGACCGTCATACCGGCATGCTTCTTGAACCCAATCATTGTACTTGATCACTATGTTTCTATAATTTATGATTCGCGTTCGCTCAGTTGAATGAGGGGACGTTCAGGTTTTACAAAACAGCAATGCTTGCACGTACATCATAGCATGCATAACAATGGGTGTTCTGGGGACGACAGGGCTGAAGGAGCTGCCCCACATCAGCGACCACAATTTCCAGAATACCCGAGGCACAGCCCGACTGAGTCTCCCACCATCGCACTCATGCGGCTTCCAAATATAGCCCGGAAGGGAGCTGCGCCTAGCTGGGTGACACTCGGCAGATCTGAGGTATCGCCGCAGTGGTCATAATTTAGCAGCTCTGATATTGGAGAGGTCTAGTTCCTGCCTGATGTTGCCTCAATGTCAGACACACAATGCATGACAAACTTGTGGCTGTGCAGGACCTGGCCTCTCGGAAACATCCATATATTGAGTCACGCAGCTTGTCGACAGACGCACCGCGACACCATAGCCCGAATGATACCCTGTAGTGTGCCTCCATCCTACCTAGCTTGAGTAAAGTACTGGAGAGTTGGAGAGCCGAACACTCTTTAGGATATCAACTTCAATGCATTTATTATATATTACATGGTTGTGGTTGTTTTGTTTCATACCCAGGAATAGTCACCGTGACAACATAAGAGGAAATACTTTCAGATCTTAGGCCCCTCGAAATAGTAGTGACTAACTGCTGTGAAGCTGGCCCTCACACGGTTCCTTCTGAGTTTCCAAATTAGGCATCATCTACCGCTGGAGAGGATGCATGTCAGGACTCACCGCCACACTTACCGAGTTTCACAGTGTGGCTGAGCTCTCCCCTCTGCACTAACGCTTTGTAGATTGTAACAAGCTTGTCTACATACGGCGATATTACCTATGAATCAATCCTCCTGAGCCTGAATAGCATACTCCTGATGATACCAAGCTTGTTTTCCCTCGCACTGTCTTACGCGGCGTGAGTTTGAGTACGGTATGCATGTAATATCCTGTACAGAGCTGGCGCCAAGATCTTGTCATCCCCACCTGGGCGCATCCTTTGCCAGGCCATTATTGTGGCTGCCTAGCGGTACGCAGTGACGCACTGCGTAGTGCGTACTCTGCCGGAGTGCTCAACCAGCCCAAACCTTCTTGCTCGGTCGGATCTGGTGAGCAATAGAGCAACTTGATCATAGAAAGGCTATATTCAGTCAGACATTTTCATAGGCCCTGGCTTGTATCACATTCAGTTTCTTGAGTATCGAAGCCTGTGTAAGCATGTACTATTATTTTATGAAGATGGAGATGTCCTGGGCTGTCTTGCTACGACTACTTGCCACCTTGAGTTCAGGCCTCGGGAAAGTATCTGTACTGCAGGTACCTACGTCCTACTGTACCTCCTACGCACCGTCATAGTCGGGTTTCAGTACCTCACACCGAGAATCGTGGAAGCGATGGATGGATGCTCTTCTGGGGTATTACGGACATGCCGGATAGTTCTGTCTCACGTGTAGTATGTGCTTCGTACTAGTAGTGTGTACTTAGTTAGTCATTCCATAATCTGTGTAGGTTTGAACTGCAATGCATATAAAGTGTAATACGAGCCACACGGGCCCTTCGACGCTCTTCACAGTTCATACAACCGGTCTGCTAGGCTGCCGATCAGACTTGTAAAAGGCAGTGTTATAGGCTGGAGAATGCTGACATGCCGTAGCATCTGTCTAAGCTTTAGTCCGATCCTCTTTGGATCCTCTTTGACCGTCTTTTTATGGACCGCACCCGCTGGTTGTGGATATGTTATGATAGGCCTGCGGATTCGTCTCTCTCTCTCATTGATCATCCGAATAGCATATCAAAATGAACGATCACGACTAAGCCTGGAAAAGGGGTGAATCAGATATTCTGGAGGCCTAAAGTGATCAATATTGTGCATCCATGCGGCTTGGCTCTACCTTATTATTGAGATTCTTCCCCAACTCGACAGGCTGTAGGTGGTCGCTAGCTAGGCTATGGAAACAGCTGAGCTACCCGTTTACAGTACCGGCTACTGCCAATCCGCCAGCAGATACGGCCATCGATGAATCGTTGATGGGAGGTCTTTTGCATCGAGTATAGCCCATTAGAAGAGATTTAGGTTATGGTAGAGTGCCGCTGCGTCCACATCCCGGCATTCTTACTGTAGTCACACGATGGATCTCTATTCCATCGTGACTAGGCTCACATGAGCAACTTGGGTCAGGCTACATACACACCGGTGCATATCCCATTGTTGTTCTTGCTTCGAGCGTCTGTCTATACAAACAAAAATCGAGTATGATCCCAAGTTGCCTCATTCTGCATGGCCATGTGTACCTTGTGTGATCCAGTATTGAGCTGCTCCTCAAGATCTCTGTCAAGAGACACTTCACTTCATCTCAATGTATGAGGCTTTTTTTGCCGGCCATGCTCGTCTCATGATTTACTTTACAACAGGATAGGAGTCATCTGGATAAATGAACACTCGCCGAATGTATAATACTGTGTATTTTAGAAAGCATATCTTTTTCACAAGATCAGTAACTACTACAGTACCTAGTAGCCTTACCTATGACGTAGTCGGCAGCAGTCAAAGTACACGATGTCGATACCTGGGGGATAGCCCCCCCCCCCCACGTCTGATCTAATCCAGCGCAACCTGCTCATGTACTCAGCTCTTTCTCACCTCATGAGCCAGACTCAGTCCCTCAAGCTATCGGCTGGTCTGCCGACCGAAATCATCATCTCCCTCGGCTACCTGATCATTTTCTATATCCACCTGCTAAGCCATGGATCAACCACGCTCCATGTCTGGGAGTCTGCTGACGACCAGAGCTGTCATTCTCCCCTTTCTTTCCGAAACCTCATAGAAACAGCAAAGTCCATTGGAAGATTTGCAAAATATATTCATCGCTCGAGATACCTCCAAGCAGTAGTATGATAAATGTAGCAAGTCGCCTGCTGGTCCTGTTGCCGCTGATGTATGAAAACGACACAATCCCAATTCGCCGCCCGTCAACTTGACGTCAATGTTGTTTACTTCTAGCACGGGGTTGGGGGTATCAAAACAATTTTCGGTCTTCGACTGACACTGAGACTCATAATAATATCTTTCTTCGAGTCCTCAGAGGGGATGTTTATCTCGGCAGAATGCGTCTACGTCCGATAAACACACTGCTACCTGCTCTCGGCCTAGCCGTACTTATCAGTGGACATCCAGCAACGGTCTACATCATCCGCCACGGGGAAAAACCTCACAACAAGAACGATCACGGCTTGAATCTGGACGGGATCAAAAGATCTCTGTGCTTACCGGGGATTTTTGGGAATTCCTCCGAGTACAACATTGGGCATATAATGGCTCCCACTGTGAGAGAGAGTATGTCACCTTCCAGTCCCAAGCATCAAGACCAAGTTGATCCCATCAGTCTCGTCTCAGATCAAAAGAAAACTTCCAATTGTCTGACTTCTTCTTCAACCATGTAGATGGACAATATCGGCGGTCATACATGACAGTCCTCCCACTCGCCAATCACCTAGGTCTTGAAGTAGACGCCCATTGTTCCCGCGAGGAGACCAGATGCGTAGCCAAGACGATTCGAAAGTACGACGGTCCGGGAAACATCCTGATAGTGTGGAGACACTCGAGTATGAATAAAATATTGGAGCGGCTGGGTGTGTTGAGTACGATATCGTATCCTGAAGACCGGTGAGTTGAGCACCTCTTGACTACAGATTCGCCGTCTTCATGCATGAGATTTGGACAAGGGTTATTGCAGTCCGAGACCGGTCTCTTGTTGTTCTAGTGATGTCATGCTGCCGGAATCGTACGCATGCCATCCAAAACTAGAGCCGAGCATGTCCAACTAAACTTGCTAGATTTGATCTGATCTGGAAGATTCCTTATCCATACGACGAGGTGACGGAAGTCACTAGCGAGCATTGTCCTGGTCTCGATTTCCCCAGTCACGTTTTCGTCACTCGGCACTGAACTGTGAACATACAAATATCGTTCTGCGCCGTTATGCTTCGAACCTATACGACTGTCCTGTTCCCGAATCCTGATGCGAGTATGATGTGAATACGCAGTTCATGGAAAGTTTGATAGAGTGGGGTCTGCATATACAAAGTTCATATAAGATGAATGGCATGACCTGTGAGGACGGTGGTGATGGATAGAGATCTTCTCGGCCAAGGCTGCTAAGCTTACGGTGGAGATCTCGGTGGCCTCTAGCCTTTTACGAAAGTTGATACCATCACACCCGTCATTCGGCGAGTGCGTCTACGAACAGAGCAAGATTGAGATCAAGAGTTCGGACTGTAAAATGAACCACAATATATGTACAAATGCAGATTCGTCTATGGAAGCAGGTCGTCAATGAATGAATAATCAATAAGCCGGCTCTCTCGTCACGGTAATGGTCGTATGCTGATACACCTGAGGAGCTGAAGCCTGGAGCTCGATATCCTCTTTGGGAACAATTGCCTCTGTTGAGCTTCCTCTCTGGAAAGTCGTGCACACCGTAGAAACGAGACCCTGATCATCCGTCTTGGAGTCCATTTGCGGCTTGGTCTTCTTGTGTCCGCTCCTCGACAGATCGTGGTAGCCGTCGTCTCGCTTGGAACGAGTCTCGGAGTCCAAGACCAGACTTTTGCGGGTCAAAGTATACTGAAGAGTATCGCAGAAGCCGGACAGGGTCATCAAGGCGCCTGCCACACAGAAGTAGGCGACGTTAGGACTGTGGCCGCTGACCGAGGCCATTCGACCCGCTGACAGGGGCAGTGTCAAGACGATGTAGACGATCGGGTAGAGGACCATGTATGAAACGACTCGGTTAAGTCGTCGAAGACTTTCAGTATAGCTCTGTCCAAGAATCTTCGATTGCGCCATGCGCCGTCGCAGCTGGACGAACATGATGGCGTATAACACGAGATTGAAGAACTGAGCGGCAAAGATCCAGAAGTAATGAGTCCATAGACGAAGAGTGGGATGTGCGGTGGTCATCCAGCACTAATAGAAGAAACAATTAGCTCAGGTTCGGTGACAATTATCACGTCTGGAGGAAAAGAAAGGTCTACAAGACATACCCAAGCCACAGAAGGCATCCACACGTGCGGTCCAACGATCGCAATAGGAATGATGACCAGGATAACCCCAAACACCCAAAGACTGACGATGATGGCCACAAAGGTTCGATGACTGAGTTGGCGTCCATAGGTGACCTGCAGGAAGGTATGGAGGGCAATCGCCAGGACAAAAAGTCCACTCATGGGATCCCCAATCTGCAACCAAATCCCCTGCAGAAAGCACGCGGGATCCGTCGCATGCAACGAGTCTTTCGCGATCCATCTTAGACTGACGATGAACCCCAAGCCCTGGATGAAATCGGCCAGCGCCAGGTTGTACATGAGCACGACATATTGATTGTAACCGATGTAGCGCTTATAGAATCTCTTCCAGAAGATGAATCGGTAGGTAAAAAAACATAATAGAACGAATGTGGAGAGTAAGGAGATCATAGCCAGGGTCGATACCGCAATCAGGCCCGCTCTTTGTAAGGAAGGTAGCGGATCAATGATCCATGAGCCGGCTGCTGAGTTGGGCGAGTTGGCTGCCACATCCGATTGTTTGTCCCATCGGGGTTGAATTGATGAGCCCGCCAGGTCTCTCGGCGTCAGCAGCCAATTGATCGCAAGAGTCAACATGATGCGTTTGGCGGCTGGCTTGACGTGGTAAGGAAGGACACAAGAGCAGGGCGATTCATCCGAGAGAGATGCCGCAAAGAAGAGAGAGTGGGAAGGTCAGGGTTTTGCGATCCTCTCAGTTATATCACCCGCATGCCTTCTTCCAACCAGGGAGTGATGGTGGTGCAGAAACCCCCCAGAAAACCTACCCTCCACTCGCCCCCTGAGGAGCGCCCGTCATATGCTCATTGCAGCCCCGCTCTCTATGCTCTGTGTCTGGCCGCGATCTCCATTCGCGTTCAATAATGACCGCCGATCCACCTCGTGCGCCTGGAGCCGCAGGAGGGTGCTCAACTTTGAAGAAGCGCAAGAATGGGATCAGGTGTGGGTTGCTGGTTAGAGACCTTTTGCACGGGCGGTTCAGATTTGTAACACGCTCCACACTTCCACAGTGGAACGGATTCGTAGTTGACACTAGCAGCGTGAAAAAGCTTAAGGCCCCAGGTTGGTCGAGTTCCCATCGAATCACTGAGGCAGCATCGGAACATCGAGACTACGGAGGGGACATTCAGCGCGGACGAAGCGACAAATCGCCATTATGTCGGGAAGAGAGACGACTCGAGCGGCCCACACGAGCAGCTCAGATCGCGGCTGTTCGGATGCTTCGTTGGTTCTCCTCGGAGGCTTCCACGGCACATTTCAGAACGCGTGACAAATTGACTTTTTTCTCTTTCTGCACTCCGGGCCGACTACGATCAGGGGAACGGCGCCGTACACTACTACTGACTGGTAGTCTAGTAGACTGGTACAGTACTGGAGGGCCGCATGGTGATCAACTCACATGTAGGACACCACCTCTATGCGAGGAAAATTCGCCGACTGACCCACAACACTGCGGAGATGCATCAATCTCTTCAACGAGATGTATGCAAGTGTGTCTATCTCTCTGGATCTCTCTGGATCTCTCTGAATCTCATAAGGCATGGTTGTGGATCAGCCTTCTCGGTGTTTGACTGTCATGCGAGAGATAGATCATTTGCTGGGGTGTCAATTAAACGTTTAGCGTTTCGGACCTTGCTTGGCGTTCAACGCCACGGCAGAAGAGTGGACAAATACGCAACCAGTTCGATGGGAGGACATCGACTTGAGCAAGTACAGTCGGACGGAACCCACACCAACAAACGGTCTTCGTTGAACGTCCATTGTCCAATGTATGCACAATTGTCCACTAGTCTTTCGCCGTACTGAGGTTGGTCGATGAACTCCGGAGCCGGTGGGTCCGCGACAATCCGTTTATTCCACCGGCCACCCCTTCAGGCTTCCAGTGTCCCCAACTCCAGACGGACGGCCTCCTTAGGGTTTTCTCCTCGGGATGATCGGTCTGCAACGGCGGACAGGGATTCGTACCTTACTATTGTACGAACCGAGTGTGGAACTGTGCTTTGTGGAAGAACCCATACATGTCTACTGTGTCCATGCACGACCGAGACCATGGCCGTAATGTTCCTCTGTACCACCCAATGCACGGATCTTCGAGAAGAATTGTCTTCGATAGCGTGCACAGGAAATGCAGATCTGCAGCGTACAGGTGGCGAGGATCTCTGCGCTTGGGTAGACAGCTGACCGAATGGGGAAAGAGCCCATCCGAGAAAGCTCCACTTGAGCACAGCAGCACCGCGAGGCAAATGATCGACCGACTGTGACGTGCCAAATGACTTGGGCCCTCTTGTCAAAGTGGTCGATCAGGGAGTTCCACTGGCACAAGAGCGGCTCAGCAAGTTTGGAAGTTACTGCTGTGCTGCCTGGAGTGAGGTTCCGCCACGGGACGGTAGTGGAGAAACAAGAATCAGTTCTGGCGATCACTCAGTGGGCAGTCTCATGGCAACGACAGATTCTTCTTGACCGAGGTAACCAATTTTCGAATGTCTGAAAAGATGAAAGACGCGGTCGAACCTGTCACGATGCATGACTTCCCAATCCTTCCCTGGAACGCGGAAAAACCGCACAGGCAGCGACTCATCACATGGATGATGGCATCATGGCCGTGGTAGCACAGACATACACAACAGTATGACCGGCGCTCTCCTCTCCCAAGCCGTAGAAGTCAATTGTGAGAAACGTACCGCGCCTTGACGCTACCCCTGACCCCAGTCACCCCGCAACTCGACGGCCTCGTAGGCTCGTACAAGCTACTAGGGAGTCTAGGGTAGTACCTAAGTACACTAGTACTACGAAGAAGGCGACTCGCAACAAGCTGTTGACCAAAATTTTTGGCAACAAGTAGCAACTTTGACCGATCCCAAAGATCATGTCGAGAGTTCCGTCAACAATAATCAGTTCAACTCCTGGTGAGCCCGACCGTGCAGATGGTTGGTGGTCGCCGGTGGATCGAGTATATCTTTCAGATCTCGGTCTCGGTGGAGGAAATCTGTGAGCACAAGCTTCGGTAGTCCACTACAGAATAGCTACTATCTTGCCGATCTTGATGGATGACGGATGACTTATGTTTTGCTCAGCAGTCCGAAATCGACGCAGTTAGGGAAATGATCTCAGAGGAGCGCGGCTGAACGGGTCCACAGAAGTGAACCCGACCGTTTATCTGGACTCGGCTCACGAAAATTGTTGGCTCTCCGCGGCAATTGATCAACATTATTAGCATCGTCGTCCCGATGAACTGGGGTTCGTTCGGATTGGCGTGGTTACGACCGCCGTGCGTACCGGCATTTCAATAGCGGACGTCCATTAAATGTGTGAGATTTGAACCATTTACAAGCTTCGACTCAAAAATGGGGTTGACTCGCCGGTTCGTGAGGACATGGACCGTGGACAGACTTGCCGACTCCCAGATCTTGCAGCAACCATGGTCGCATGTCGAGCATGCGCATGTAATGCGGGTAGCACGGTAACCGATGCCGCTCCTGTTCTTACGGCGAGATTCATGAGAACATCGAAGACTGTCAAACCCCAGGTGCTCAGGCACTAGGCATTCATGTGATGGTATATTAAAAAGGACTTTCGACATGTTCAACCGCATACTGGCCAGGTTCGACGGCTTCACAGTTCACCGTTCACACAGTACAGCTTGCTGCGAGAGACGGATCCTCTGCTGTGGTCCTGGGGTTGCGAGTCAAAGATCCGTTTTGAGAACGGCCTTGGCGCCGTTGCTTCGAGAACGCTTGCTCGAAGTCAAGAGATCCATTGGCGACTTTCGAGTCCCTGTTGTGAACCAACCCGAATCACTGAGACTGAAGAATTCCCCGCTGTCGCTCCGGATAGCTAACATGGCACACAAGCAATCATTCCAAATGTGTGTGATTCCACTCGAACCCATACTCTTGTGCAAATAGAGCACAGCCAGGACCCCGCTAGGCCGTCCTAACAGCAAAGCTTGATGACCACGGAAGTGCGACTGTACTATCAAACTTTGCTCATTCGGAGGCGTTATTCTCAGCCTCCTTCGGAGCAGCGAGCGCCTGTACGGATCTCTTCTCCTTTTCCACGCCCAGCCGGCGCTGAGCGGTATCGCAGTGCACGAGATTCCCGCATTCACACCCCCCCCTGGTCGAAGCCAGCGATATGTCAAGCTCCAGCGTTTCGTACGCGGCCGCTGCGTCCCGTCCGGCAAAGTATCATTCTTGCGCTTTTTGATGCCATGAGTCCAATGAAGCCTCGACTCTCCCGTCATTTGCATCATGCTTCGAGGGGCCAGGTCAATGTCAACTCGTTCTTCCCCCTTGCGGAATTGCATCACCGCTGGACCCCCAATTGACAGCGCATAGAGTTGGTCATAGGGTCCATGCGCGTCTACATGAGGAGGGATGCCTGCCCCCGGAGGGTAGAATTGCAAACAGACTTGGTCTGGAGGTCGTGACTCCGTCATTGGGATCAGCGGCTGGAGCCAATCGGGGAACTCTTTGTATGGAATGTCCGGATCAATGCCAAAAGTCTTGTAATCGAAGGTATACCCATAATGAAGTGATATACGACCTGGACGATCGGGCCATTCTAGGTCATTCTGGAATATAGAGATGAGTCGCTGCTCGTGCTCTGACGTGATAAAGTCATCTTCCCAAAAAATTCCTTCGGGTGATATGGGCAAAGCTCGGAATGTGCTTCGCCCGGAAGTATGCCTGATAGTATCGGAGGTGGACATATACAGAACGTCAAGAGGAGTGCGTTGTGTCAACCTGAGCGGGCCAGACTGATGCCAGAATCTTTGAGCTCACGTGATGACTTTCCGCTCGACGAGAGTTCTCGAAGCATGTCAGGTGCACGATTCCAGGGAGCTCCCCAATCCCCACAAATATCAAACTCCAGACCCATTTCGATATGCTGGAATGCGCGGGTATGTCAACAAGCGAAAGCAACCGCCCTCTGCCACAATCATGCTCCTTCATTGTGGCGTCTCAAAAACTGATCATCTTTTTTTTTTTTTTTTTTTGGCATACCTTCGAGCGTGATCGTGCGGCCATCTTTCCTTTCGAATGAGCGATACCACTCGTTAGTCGCTACTGCGCTTTGTTGGGCAACGCCCAGACGATCTAAGGTACCGTCCCCATTGAATGACCTGCTTCCTTCCCGGTAGCCGACCGGAGGCTCCCGTCTGAAAGGCCCTAGATGTGGAATGCATCTCGTGCGCCCGTGGGCGAGAGGCAAGTAGATCGCCGGCGTCGAGCAGGATGTGGCAGTGTATATGATGGCCCAAGGACATGTTCCAGGGTCGATTTTGAGGTCGGAGCAGAGTTGTGCACGATCATGAACCAAATTCGTGGCCAAGGATTGGTATCTAGTTGCTCCCTGTTCCGCTGCTCGGTCACTGCAGGGGATAGCGAATGGTGCGTCGAGATAAGCGCCTTTTCGGTCTTACCCCTCTTCTGGGGCAAGCTCGGCTGACTCCCTGCAAAGGACTGTCTTTTAAATCCTGCAAAGTCCCAAGAACTGTGTGTGCGTGGGTGTTCTTACACGCATCACTAGCGTTTGGACCCTCTCGTCCTCGAAATGGTCATTGGTCTTTGTATCACCGGGGTGCGGAGGAGACCCTAATCGAGAATGCTGATCAAATGGATCCCAACGTTATAAGAAGCGTTGTGGCGGCTGTCAAATCTTCACTGCGAGTTTTGAAACGGGCCAGGAAGCTTCTGTTGCGGTTAAAGAGATAACTCCACAATTGACCCGACCGTGCCCGTTCTTTACAACGACGATGACGACTCCCGCAACGGCACCCGGATATGTGGGCAACCTAGATTCGACACAGGAGAAGAGACTCCAAGAGTTATGGATCACATTGATGCAGACATGGGATCGAGAAATATCGGCTTTGGATTGCGATCGTCCGTCTGAAACTTCCCCGAAAGTGAATGGTAAACAAGGTCGACGCATGTTCTCTCTCAGCAAGTCCCCAGCACAGCCTACGGAAACTGAGCTGGCAGCTATTCCTCCCAACCTGCTCTCAACGTTGGAATCTCTTGGTGCCGGGCCAGGGGAACTGAAAGCAGTCGGCTCGCTGCTCATGAAAGTACCAGGAGACAAGCTCCGATCTGCCTTCTTGACGCTCCTGCGACAAGATCATCCAGATGCATTCCTTCTGCGATTCCTTCGGGCAGAACGCTGGAATGTCCCCAAAGCCTGGATCAAGTTTGTCGGCTCGCTGTATTGGCGGGCTTTTGAATACAAAGTCGACGAGCAAGTACTCTCGAGGGGAGAGGAATACAATTTACTCAAGTCACAAGAAGAAGCCAATACCTCGAGCAAAAGGGACGGCGAAGGGTTCATGCATCAATTGAGAATTGGAAAGGGCTACCTGCATGGTTGTGATAGAGCCGGTCGTCCAATTTGCTTTGTGCGAGTCCGAACCCATGCAGCAGACCCGCAGATGCAAAAAGGCCTTTTTGATTATATTATGCAAGGTATCGAAACTGCGCGGTTCTTACAAGTCCCGCCTGTCGAATCAATGGTATGGCTGCATATACCAGGACGGTCGAGTCGTGTCTTGGTCATCACGTTAACAAAAGGATTACTCTCTCAAGGCGATTCTCTTCGATCTGACAGGGTTTGGATTATCGAACTGGGTAAGTAAAAAGATACCGTGCGCTTCAGTCATTGCCCATCGCGCTAATGTATTGAAACCAGGACTTCCCTCCCGTGAGATTCATCATCGAGACTTTTCAAAACTACTATCCAGAGTCATTGGGTGCGATGATATTCTACAATGCCCCCTGGATCTTTTCAGGTTCGTATTAACCGAGGAGATCCTGTTCATGAGAGGGCGATGTCACTGATGAGACACTCTGTGATCTATGTAGGCTTCTGGAAGATCATTAGCGGGATTCTGGATCCAGTAGTTGCGTCCAAAGTTCACTTTATCAGTGGACCCAAGGAGCTGGAGAAACTTGTTCCGAGGTCACAGATCTTAAAGGAATTCGGCGGCGACGAGGATTGGGAATTCAAATACATCGAGCCTCTGCCCAACGAGAATGAAAGACTGAAGGATACAGTGACTCGAGACCTCCTCTTGTCGGAAAGGCGGCAGCTAGGCGACGAACTCTTCTGCTTGACCAACCAATGGATCTCACAAAGCGACGTGAAAACCACCCTTGAACGTCGAGACGAGGTGATTTCGGGTCTGAGAGTGAATTACTGGAAGCTTGACCCTTATGTCCGCGCTCGCAATTACCTTGACCGCACGAGCGTGATCAAAGAGGATGGGACAATAGACTTTTACCCTCACAGAATCTCTGGAAGTGTGGATGAGAAGTCGAGTGGCGCGAAGGAGAGTGTGGAAGAGCAACTCACGGCAGCAACTATAGTCTAAGGTAATTGCGTATTGCTGGAAGTGTGTTTGACGGAGACACGCGCTTACTAATTCATCCGATGCTTGGACATGTGATTTCTGCCTATTGCAAACTATTGCCGGTTCAAACAGAAAGAAGTCCGCGATTTCGTGCCACATCGGCCCTCGCAGCGCCACAATAGTGTACGGCCTCTCCAGTGACATTATTCCTCATTGTTGAGACGATCTTGTTCAAACCACAATCACCAGTAGCCCCGTGACACGCACACGTAGGACCGAAAAGCCACGCCGCACACTATAAAGAAGATCCAGATCACCACCTCATCGCATGATTCACTATCACCAAGCTAGGGTCCAGTTGCGCAGTCTTCACGTCCCCACTTCATCTTCGCCATTCCGGCTACTACGAATTAATGACCGAAGTTCAACCCGCTCAAGTGATGATCTTAACTTGATTTAGAATGGAGGCACAGACCCGGTTTTGAACACTACCATTTCCATCCTCGCGGGGTCTCCACGGTAGCATCAAATGAAGAATCGACTTAGGTCTTTGGCAGATTCATCCTACCTATCATTACTTGGTCGGAAGAGCTTGAAGGTCGACCCCGCCCAGAAGGCGAAGCCTAAAGAGCGATTTTGAAACTCTACTAAAGTGAACCGGTTGAGCTAAGGCTTTTACCGAGGTCCCGCAAAAGAACTTATAATCTCCATAATGGATTTCCAGATGGGAGGCACTTTTGTTGTCGAAAACATTCAGTGCCTGGAAGACATCGATTCAAGATGGCTCCTAGACCTTTACTGCCGGTTCATTTGCCCTCATCGGTGGTGCTACTGATTAGTGCTACGGTCCTTGCGCTTCTCTTCTGGAAGGGCATCCAAGTGATTCGAGGTCAGGATTCATATCCTTGAGTTCGGATCCATGACGGGAAAATTAATGGCATAGTATCTTAGGTTGGCAATATTCCCGCAAGCATGGCTGCAAGCCACCTCTCAACACGATGACACATGGCCCTTTGGGGGTTGGCACGATCAACAAAATGATGTCCGCATCCAAGGAGCATCGGTTCCTGGAATTAATACGCGGATGGCACCAAGCCTATGGCTTCACCTTTGGATCCAGGATGTTGAATCGCCAAGCCGTCTTTACTATCGAGCCGAGAAACGTGCAGACGATTCTGGCTCTCAAGTTCAAAGACTTTGAGCTGGGATATTATCGAAATAAAGCTTTGCGCCCTCTTCTAGGATACGGCATTTTCTCGACGGATGGTAGTAAATGGGAGCATTCGCGTGCACTCATCCGTCCCAACTTCAACCGGAGTCAGGTGCATGACATTAATGTCTATGAGGCGCACGTCAAAGCCTTGATCGACAAAATTCCAAGGGATGGGTCGACAGTTGATATGCAGGATTTGTTCTTCCGAATGGCAAGTATTCCATCTCATGCTTTCTTCTTCCGACGGCCTCCTTTTCGTTGTCTCATGGATGAAGTGGGATGGTTGTTGACAGCTGAATAGACACTGGACTCTGCGACCGAATTCTTGTTCGGGGAATCGGTCAACTCCTTGAAAGACGCCACATCAGCCTCGTCGGCCTCTTTCGCCCAAGACTTCAATACCGCTCAAACCGGACTTTCTCAACGCAGTCGACTCGGTCCTCTGATGGGCCTTCACCACGACACCAACTTTACCAAATCAGTCGTCAATGCGCGCGCCTACGTGGACCGATTCGTGCAGAAGGGGATTGAATACCGCAGAGCGCTCGACAATGGAACTGTGAAGTCTGATGAACTTGACCAGCAATATGTGTTTTTGTATGAGCTGTCCAAGCAGACTGTGGACAAGACCGAGCTCACAGATCAGCTTCTCAACATTCTCCTGGCCGGACGAGACACGACTGCCAGCTTGCTGAGCATTACGTTCTTTGTCATGGCCAGAAAACCGGATATTTGGCATAAACTCCGACAGGAGGTTCTCAAGCTCGACGGCCGGAAACCTTCTTTCCAGGATCTGAAATCCATCTCGTATCTTACTTATGTTCTGAATGAGAGTACGTCCGACCCACACACATACCTATCTCCCTACTTACCGCATGACTATTCTTCCTCTGGCAAAAGCCCAATCTTCTAACCCAACGTCTTCCCTCCAGCTCTACGACTCTACCCCGTCGTCCCCTTCAACGGCCGAATGGCCAACAAAGACACCCACCTCCCCGTCGGAGGTGGCCCCGAAGGAAAAGACCCCATCCACATCTCCAAAGGCCAAGAAGTCATGTACAGCGTCTACGCCATGCACCGCCGCAAGGACATCTTCGGCCCAGACGCAGATGAATACCGGCCCGAGAGATGGGACAAGCTCAAGCCTGGCTGGGCGTATATTCCATTCAACGGCGGACCTCGCATCTGCATTGGCCAGCAGTTTGCGTTGACTGAGGCGGGATATTCGATTGTGCGGATCATGCAGGAATTTGAGAGTCTCGAGAGCAGGGATAGTCGGCCGTTTGAGGAGGCGCTGACGTTGACGTTGGCGAGTTTACACGGGGCGAAAGTTGGGTTGACGCCGGTTCGGGGGTAGAGAGAGCTTGAGTGTGTGTGTCTGTTTGTGTCCTGGTATAAGTAGTGAATTATGTACTTCACGGGCGTAAGGTTGTATGCTTCGAATTATTGGTTCTTTGCTACGCACTTGATGAGACACCCGGCTAGGTAAGCTTCCGGGTCACAGTGGCTAATGAAGGACTTCGCTGGGAGAAACTTATTCTTATCTATCTCATGGAGAAATGGAACTGGCCGGCCGAATTTGAGAGGATTAGCAAGATTATGAGGGAAATTGTTAATACAATACTCTCAAAAGAACCACCAAAACAAAAGGAATGCTCCAAAGAGTGTGGAGAAGTAAATCCCGGAAACATGGAATAGAATTGGCCTGTGATATGACTGAGTACATATAAGACGTTTTGCATGTGAGGTTTTGAAGTCTTGAGTATCTAGGTACGTACCTGATCTACCGATCAGCGAAGAATCTTACTCGTTGTATTATAACAGAGAGACGATCCATGATTATATTAATGATGTACTGCGATAGATTCTACAGAATAGCCCAAACACCGGCAGCATCTGCTCAGATCTAACTATAAAGGCAAGCACCTGGAAGACGGGTAGATGTAGTGTTCATCATTGCGACACCCGAGGGGCCAGGTCACCATCTCATTCCAGCATGGCCGAAAACAAGTCAAACTGCGAATCCGACATGCCAAGCTCGTCCATATCCGACAGCAAGCTCACCCCAATTGACTCCCTCCCAACACTATCACTCGACGAGGAGGAAGATCTCTCTCTGAAACGACATTCATCCGGCCCCGGAACCTCAACCAAACAATCCGTATTGAACGCCAGGTTGCGAATCACACTCAACGCCCACCTCGTCGCCGTATTCGCCTCGCAATATAGATCCCTCAGGCTACCCATCACATCCAAGCACAGCCTGAAATTCAGAATTGCCTCATGCTGCTGACTCGACGACGAAGACGCCTTCTTCATATCCGAGACATGAATGATCAGCGCGACTAGAATGGCGGTGACGCCGATGACGGGCAGGCGGTGCTGGAGATTCAGCTGGTACAATTCTGACGTGATGCGGGAGATTTGGCTGGCAGCGAGTTGGACGCAGGATTGGGAAGAGAGGAAAGGTTGGGATTGATGGAAGACGGCGATGGTGGTGTAGAAGATCATGTGGAGGATGTTGCGGTGGAGGACGACGGTGAGGTCATCCTTGTCGGTGTTGTTGGTGGTGGGTGAGTGCGGTCCTAGAGATGGGAACTGGGGTTGGGCCTGGCAGGGTGGTGGGAGGGTGTTGGCCCAGTCTGCGAGGTCGGTTTGGACCAGAGAGCAAATCTGGCGAGTGTAGTTATCGAGGGTCGTGGGTGTCGTCATGTCGATGCCGGTGGTGCCGGTGGGTGACATGGGCGATGGAACAGCACACATGGATTGCTTTCCTTGTAGGTCCAGAATGCTGTGGATACAGATGCAGAGCCGGGCTGTGGATATGCAGATCTTTGCAAGGTCGAGCTGTGCTTGAACGTTTCTCACCAGTGTACAGCCGCCAGGGAAGTCTGTCGGAGTGTCGAGAGACGGCGAGATATCAGATACTTCGAAGTCTTGCTCGGCGAGTGGAAGATGGCTAAATTCGGCTTGATCGATTGCTGTTCGACACCGAAGTCGCAGTGCGATGATACTGTCTACCATGTAACAGGCCCACGCAATGCGTTTCCACAATTTTGGACTATACCCAACATTGGGTGTCAAGAAGAGCTCATGGAAGAGTCCAATCGATCGAGAAACGGTGATCGCGGCTTTGACCCAATGACGACTATCATGGCCATCTGCAGTGTCGAGTCGTAAAGTCATGAGAAGTAATGTCTGAATGATGGTGATGGGATCCGACTCGTAGTTGGACTTGTAAAGCATCTACAGAGACCAACAGCCGCGAGTCAGCCTACTTTTCCCTTACCATGATCCGGAAGAGTCGGGTCTCACCTTGGTCCTCTGGAAAAAAGCTTCATGGGCCTCCTTGCGACTGTTATATCCAGCTTCCAACAGATGATCCACGTGGACAAAGGTCGTAGCCGAAAACATGACCGCCGAATATAAAAGCAGGCTCACGGTGCCCTGACTTCCACTTTCGTCGTGGATACTCCTGAGAAAGTCCTGCCATTCCAGAATGGGCATCGACGGGAGCACGCTCTCAAAGAATGTCTCCAAGAGCGCATGCTTGAGTCGTTCACTTGGCAAATCAAAGACCCCATTCATTCGCAGAGATTCGATCGAGTTTCTGCTCATGTGTGGTGGAAGTGGATCGAGGAAGCCAGGCAGAGATTGCAGAGGGCCGATATCGCACAATGTGCGGAGTGTTGAGGCGCCCAGGTTGGTGAATGCTTGCCAAAAGTCTTCTTCGTTAAACGCACGCAGTGAGTGGTGCATGGTACGATCTGAGGTCGGACCTGTCGATGAAGAGGGACTGGAGATGCGTGGAGACGGCCTTTGAGCGACGCCGGGCGTTGATTGTGATATTGGTGGTGAAGTGGACATGAACCGACTAATAAGGGGATATCTCGATCAGCATTAGAAATTCCAGCATGTATCTCAATGTGAATCAAGACGGTCTAGGTTACTGAGGGATCTGATTTTACATACGATGCCTGGTTCCTTCTCTTCACGATGCACTGGATGCCTTTGCGGGTACAATTGTGGCAAGGTGTACCCAAGGCGGCATTACATCGGACCTTGGCCGTTTGACAGGACTGACATGCCTTTTGAGCTCGACCTGAGAGGAACATGGACGGTCGTTTCGCCTCGGACATGCTTTTCACTTCCGACATGGTGCGTAGTCCGTCCCGAGGATGAGTTCCTTCGACGGGATACTTTGTACGACAGAGAGATACAAGATCTTCAGTTGGTGGAACAAGGCCAAGTTCCCACCTGCAGTTGGTCAAAAGACTTGATGCAACCGATTGATGTGAGGGAGAAGGTTAACGAAGAAGATCTTGATCCCATCCGAGAATGGAGATTCATCTCATGTCCACATACATGGGGGAGGGGAGGACCCCGTCAACTATATAGTCCGGGGCCCCGCAATCCTCCATCCCAACTCTTTCTCTTAGGTTACGGTTCCATCCGCTTCGCAATGGGCTGTCTTCGTGGAGGCACTCCAGATCTCCAGAATAAGGTATCCAGAGCCGGTCCACATGGCACGGATCCCACCGAAGATCAGCTGCAATCCATCGTCATCGTGTTGGTATGGTCCCAACGGTTATTGATCCCTCTAAGCGACCCAAGATCATATGGGGTTCAAGTTGAGGTCGGTTGGCCATGCATGGAATGTCAGGTCGGGGGGATATTACTGAAAGGGAGGATAAGGTTGTGGGAAGGCTGAGGGAGGAACTGCTGGTACTGGTGGGCTCAGGACCTTTGGAAAAGAGTTCGTCACTCTGCGACTGTGAGACAAGACTGTGCAAGGAAGGGTACTCGGAGATACAATGGGCTGGTATGTTGAAGCAGTGGATCAAAGGAATACCAGGAAGTAGATCTACCTCGTGCCGCCTCAACCGAATCGTCCCTAGCGCGATTGAGCGACTCCGCATTGAAGTAGACCGAACGGCCTCTCCACACTCCCCACGACGTAATCCGGAACCTTTCTGCTCGATTTGGTCAAGCGCCCTTGCGGGACAGAGTTCGGGAACGGTGGGCCCACGCACGGACCTGACCTCCCGGTCACCACTATTTACCTCTTTTCCGCCCTTTAACTTCATTGTTGATACTGCAAGTCGGAATGGAGCTCACATCCTGCTTTCTAATGTAGGCGCCAACTTTCCACAATGCCTCCATCTCGGAAGTCGGGTCGAGATTGAGCTCAGAGGCGCCAGTGAGACACAGGGACATCATCGTCATCGTCAAGATCCGCGACCCCCCCCCCCCCCCCCCGTGACTTCATACACTGCAAGTTCTCCATTCCAGAGCCGACCCATGTGCGGCCGTATCCTTTCACACATCTCAATAGACACAGGGCATGGGTCTGGACTGAGCCTAGACTTTAGCAGCATGCGCTATTGACTCAAGACTTGGACGGCCGACCGGCCTGACAGGCGGATTTAAGCGCACTGTCAGACCTCCTGCTTTCGAACGCTTACAGCATCAAAGTATATCTGTCACTGCTTCATGATTAGTAGATCCAGGCATTAATCTTCATGATGCTCTTGCATTGAATTGAGATATACATACACATATTCTCATAGTAGTACTGTTACCGATCATACGTACTTATCAGGAACCACGTACAAATGCGGCAGGCATCTTATGGCTCCATTTGCAACATGGAAGATCATGTGAACCGAATCGCGGGGATGGTAATGGAGACCTGGACCTGGACAGGGACAGTAGTAAGTTAGCGCGACTAGGCTTACGAACCTCGATGTGCTCTTAGCTATCATGCTGTATTGTGACCGAGTCGCCAGGCATCAGGGATCCTGAATCTCAGAGGTTCATTCTTCAATGAGACTATATCGTTGGAATTTTTGCACTTACGACCTACTTATTACGAAGTACTTGATCGAACTGGATATCGCTCAAGAATGCAAGGTTTTGTGAGTTTTGAACCACTGCTGCGACATTGACCGCAATTCATCGCATTCTCGAACCAATGGACCATGGTCAGAGCGTCCTGGCAGGCCGATCCCCATTTCAATCCGCTCACACGAAATTGGTTAGTGACTAAGTAAAATACCCCAATGAAAATAGACTCTACGACAAACTGCAGTCGTCTTACACAATCTTATGGTATTCCCAGACATCTACCGTAGCTGATTGATCTAGCAGACAGATATCTACTGTGTGGAGTTCTCCGTATAAGAACCCGTAGCCTCCTGCTACCTCGGTCTCTTCTTACCGTTTTCGGTCGCACCCACTCCCCGTCCCTGAGGGATCTCTCTCCAACGCCACAAGGATCCCAATCATGTGCGGTATGCACAAATTTCCTCGCAAAATGAGATGCCTCTACGATACACTCGACCATTTAGATTCGTGTCTGGGCCCCTGAATAAACCACTCTGCAATTTCGGGATGCATCGGGCCAAAGATTCTCCGCCCAGGACTCGGAAGAATAACTCCTACCGGGCGGTAGAGAACTCCACGGGGTACCAAGCTAGATCTGGGAGCCGAGATGCTAACATGAGATAGGAACGATATCTCCGGTGCTCTTCCCAAGAGAGTAACTCATTGCCCCCGTGTCATTGATGCATTGCGAATCGGATACAGGAATTGCTTGGTTTCCGAATCCGCACTACTGCCGGTCAATTAGTACTGCGCTGATGGGGGATAATGCGAGTCATTTCCTGTATTGGGTCTTTCTTGCCATCTTTTTCCTCCCTGTGGTGTTTATAAGGGACGGATTTATCGCTGGCTTCAAGGACGCTTCTCTCTTTCTCTTTCACCGATACTCTTTTCCCTCTTCTTCCCATGTTTGTCAATCGACTCTTCTGGGCGACCTCGTCTCTTGGCGAGCACTGTAACGCAGATTTTATACACCGTGTCCCTTTTTCTTCCGATTTCTGCTTCCCTTTCTTACATATCTCGCTCCATCAAGGGTCCAGTGCAGCTGACCCAGTGGGGCAAGAAGTTCGATTGAGCGATCATGATCGTGACCACAATCTACTCCTACTCGTGGGAGGGCCTGGGTCGACTTCAATCAGTCTCTGTCAATTCCAAAGGTCCTCTCTTCTCCTCTCTTACTTCCCCATCCCTTCCTCCTGTCTTTCCCCGTGAGGTCTTGACCCGTAATACCCCTTTTTCCTGATGAAAAAAGAAAGACGAGAAGAAAGAGAAGAAAGAGAAGAAAGAGAAGAAAGAGAAGAAAGAGAAGAAAGAGAAGAAAGAGAAGAAAGAGAAGAAAGAGAAGAAAGAGGGAAAGAAAGAGGAAAAGAAAGAAAGAAAGAAAGAAAGATGAGAACAAAAATTCTCTTCAGCTTGACATGATCCGACGACCGGCTCTAGACCTGGAACCCCAACCAGTGTCCTCCTCTCCTTTTCGAACTCTACAAAGCCCGGTCAGGGTTCAAGGTCCATGCCGACACTAACATTGCGCTGCAAGTCGACCAGAGCCCAGCCCTCTATTCTTTTTTTTTTTTTCTCTGACCTTCGCTTATCTACTTCCCCCGCTGGCAAACTGACATGACGGGAGTGGCGCTATCGCCAGCTCTTGCCGCGACGTTCAAGCTTTGCGGTTAGGGTTCTACTGGCGTGGTGCCGCCGGCGTCATATTGCATAATGGGAGTCGAGGCCGAGCGCTCGAGGTCTTCCTCTCGACCGCCCGTTGCTTTCACATCTGAGCACGGATGTCGGATGGTGTGGGCAGAATAACATTTCACTTGATATTAGCGCTAATCCGGGGGATAAATTGACAATGAAAAGGAGAGGGAAAAAGGAGGGGAAAAGAAAAATATGAGAGATGGAAGAGACATGAGTATGTTTCATGAGATTATTGACTCTTTGGAAGGGAAAGAAACGAAAAGAATTTTCTGTGGCATTCACGCGCTGGCGCTCATGGAGGCATGGCAACATCGAGCTGGGTATCGACCAAATCAAACCACAGACCCTCGTACTGACTTTCCCTACAGCCACGAACCTGTTTGATGAATCCTCGCAACCGGGTGGCGCTCGAGCTTTGTACCGCAAAGAGGGAGAGCTGCTCCCAGATCTCTTCGCCGGGTCCTTCAACCTCAATCATGGCCATGGTCAAGGGGAACACGACGGGAAGTGCCGAGGTATGCTGCGCGGCAGACTGGGCAAATTGCGAAATGAGGGCGAAGATACTTTGCGCCAGATCCCGGCCCGTTTCATCCTCGACTCCGAGCGGATATCGAAGTCGGTGGACCACCAGCAAAGCCGCCAGGCGATAGGCATTCGCCTGCGTCATCATCGCCAACACCTCCCATTGACCGTGCTTGGCTAGCAGATCTGACGGCTGGGGAGGTGTCCAGTCGAGAATCATGCGCTCCACGTCGGCCAATTGTTCATAAATCTCCGAGGGTGATTCCCCTACGGCGAGAACACTGGTTCGCATGGTATGGCTACACACACAGAGATCGTACAAGAGAGGCAGGAGGGTCGCACAGACGCCCGCGTAGCGATCCACAATCACCCGCTCGGTGGCAGGCATGCGAATGATGGGCACTTCTCGTCGCACCAAGCATTCCACCGTGTCGATCAACATGGGAGTCATGAGCACGGTGTCCATCATGGGGAAATGTACGAGTCGAGGCACCCAGGCCTTAGTCGACATGAGTGCACTCCGCACGATCGCGTGCGCCGAGGAAGAGTGCGGCGCCGTCAGTACATTGAATACGTACATGGTCTGGCCCAGAAAGAGGGCGCACGCCGCATCGTAATCTTGGGTGATCTTGACGTCTCGTAATCGTTGCAACCCCTTGGCGGCCTTGACCATGTCGGGCTCCTGCTGGCGGAGCACGAGGGATCGTTGATACTGGGTCATCATCCCCAGAAACGCCAGATACCCTTCTGTGAGCGTGGGACCCGAGAGACGTAGGATCTGGTAGACAGTGGTTTGGGACTCGGCGACAAAGCTTGGTCCCAACATGAACGGTAAATGGATGACGGAAAATTGCTCCGGATCTGATACTGTCCGTAATGCATCCGACGCCGTGCGCAAGCTCGTGGAGGATGCCAGCAGCCTCTCCGGCGCGATGATCGGCGTTGGATACCGACAAGAGTCGCGGACTTCTTCGACGGACTCATCCGATGGAGATTTGGATTTGGAGCGGCGCGTGAGCGACGTTCTTCTCGTAGATGCCGTCGATGGGCCTCCGTCACTGGAGATGGAGGCCGGTCGCTGCGGCGTGGGCGGTGGTGGTGGATGCGCCCCGAACGGTTGGTCCGAGTCCACGCTCCAGACCTGCATCTCCCCATGAGGAAAGGCCTTTGCGGCCGGTCGGCGCCCTATGCGTCTGTTACGTCGCGACGTTGAGCATGCGATCTTGAGACGTCGACATCGTGCACACTGCTGATCGTTGCCGGTAAAAGTACATTTCTCCTTACTGGAATAGCATCGATCGCATGCCTTTAGTACCATGTTCGCCGGGTTCCCTGCCTGGTGCGATCTCGCACCCTCACACTCGAACACGCACACGCGCGCACACCGAGAGAGTGTCTGTGGGGTGTATGTCTGAGAAGAGAGGTAAGAAGGGGGGTTTGGCGTATTCCCGGACTTCCGGCCCACACCAGCACCAAGATGTGTGGCGGTCGGCGGTTAGTTTTCACGCAGGAGGAGGTTTAGGAGTAAGGTCGGCAGATGGAGGAGTCGAGTGGTCGAGTGAGTAGTAGTGAGTAGGTGGTTCGACAGATGGCTCGACGAGCTTGGATCGATACACTTCCTTCTTTCCTCCTTCTAGCAATTGACTTCTAGCAATTGACTTCTAGCTTGCTGTCGGTCACGCTCAGGTTTCCGTTTCCCCGTCTTTCGACCTGGCAGTCTCTATAGACCATGCACGGACTCTCGAGGTCGATGCACCCCGAGTGAGGCCGCTGCTTCCCACCAGGGTCGCTGTCTCAACCTGATGTGGATGATGAAGAGGCCCAGACGCTCTCTGTCCTCGATGTGACCGGATGCTGGGCAGATGAGTGGCGTGGGGGAAGATGGAACCACTCGATGGTTCCCTCTTTTAGAGCACAGTCACTAGAATCCAGCCTCGTTGGTCTCCCTCCCGAGTCCAAAGGAATTCCCCTGCACAGTCAGGTCACTGGGAAGTAATTAAGTTCTGGCAAAGTTGGGGAAAGACAGTTGGAGATGAGACTCGAAACAGCCGGACGGGCGGGGCCGAGGACAAAAGAAAATGAAGACAGCCACCGACAGAGAAGCTAAGGTACCCGGAGAGAGAGATGATGATGCAGCCAATTTTGGCTTTTTTTGATCTTAAACAAACAAATGTAGGGAGAAGCAGCAGCAGAAACTCAAATAGTGAGTGTTTCTCAGGTCAAAGCAAAAGAAAGACAAAAGTCGAAATTGCAGGTGATGAAACACGGGTGGAAGAAGCGGAGAAGAAAGCAAGAGTGAAAGAGTAGAAGAGGCAGGCTATCCAGATAGATACCTCCTAGACCCAGGTAGTGTGATACACAACCAATTTCAATTTCGACTTCAAGACTCTCTCTCTCTCTCTCTCTCTCTCTCTCTCTCTCTCTCTCTCTCTCTCTCTTCTCTCGCACCAGTTGAGGGTTCCTTTCTTTTTGTTTTCTCTCCTTCCTACTCCCGCGGTTGCAGTGTTGCTTCTCCCATCCAGCCGCAGGTTCCCCGCTTTCCCCGGGTTTGCTTGTGGATTAGTGCCAGCGGTGGCCCAATAATGACTTTCCTGGAAACCCTCTTGTTCCGTGACATCGCATCTTCGCTCTCGGATCATAACGGGCCAGATTGAGCGAAGAGAGGGAGAAAGGCACGGGCAGCAGGACGAGAACACTCAGGCTGCCCTGCCCTGGTTTACTTCGCCCGGGTTGGTCAGGACCAGACGGGCTCCGACAGAGTGGCATGGACCAGGCATCAACAGAGTCGCTTTGGTCGACACCAGGGTCCGCTCCCTTATTGTTGAGGATGTCTCCATCATCAGAGAAGGGTGGAGTGTGAGACCACGATGCAGTCGATCGTGCATACGCTAAACGTTAGCTGCCTATTGCGCGATTCTTGAGCAAACCAGTTCTTGACGGCGAATTGGGGTCCAGTATCACTGTATATCACTTAGTACTAGGCACTTTGACTGTCGGTACAAAATTCGACGGTACTGACTAGTGACATTGATCTGGGTGGCAAAGCTCTGCCATCGCCTTGGTCGAAGACCTGCCAAAGATGAGTCCCAGATTCCAACAATACCCGTCAGACTTCATTTAGGATGTCACGATGCGCTCAGCCGTTCTTCCCCGCATCTGACTCACGCTCTCACGCTCTCACGCTCCCTCTCACTTGACCTGAGGAGCCCGAGGATGGATGCAAGATCCTCGTCCCACAGCGACGGATCAGCTTTTTCCATATCTGGATCCTGCGAGCCTCCTCCACTCAACCAAAAATAAGGATGATCACCTTGGTGGCGCCTGCAATGCACCAGTCAAGGCCAATGGCGACCTCAACCGAGCCAGGAGCTACCGAGACCAAGTCGTTTGATCAGCACTCTACTAGTGAGAAGCATGCGAGGCCCTTTTGCCCTATCGAACACTGCAGAGCTTTCTCTTTTCGCTCGACAATTGACCAAGTAGTGATTCCCTGTTCGACCACCAGTGGCCCATGCCGGCCGAGGCCAACTTGCTTTGTAAGTCCGATCAAGGCAATTTGCCTCAATCTTGCATGGCCAAGTGAGCATGGAAGGCACATACTGTGGTGTGAATGTACTGTACTACACTATCCCTGCATCCTCTCCATCCCCACTCCGCATCATCCGACTCCCCCTTCCAATACTGGATCGTCTCGAATGCATATCTCAAATCCGAAAATTCGGTCAGCTTTGCTCGAGCAGCCCTGCACCGTCTGCAGTCGATCGGGCGCAGCTGCCTGCGGCCTGCCGCGTCGGAGTTTGGCCTCTGCAGTCTACACTCTACACTCTACAGTAGTAGTGCCACCACTACTAGTGTGGCTATGAAACTTACTTGAAGACTCGGCCGGGAGGTCTACCGCTAGTCCTGCTGCTAGTGCTAAGTTGGTGAGTCCTAGTCAAACAAAATTGAATCCTCACCAACCCACAGCAGCCATAACCTGACACGTCATATTCAGGTCGAGCAGTGTCACAGTGCCGCCATCGTAAACACTTGTCTCTATCACTGCAGAATGCAGACACCTAGGGATCGAGGTACAGTCACAACTTGGTTAGTCTCATGAAGCGACAGAACCCATTGCCAGATTGGTCGGCTACGAGTCTACGACACGTCTTGACCTGCTTCCTTATTCTACGGTACGTGTAGTAGTAGCTTCGTAAAACTCATGCTTCGTATTCATTTCCTCCTGGACCACATCAAATTCACGTTTTTCAACCCCTGAAAAAGGGCGCCTGGTGGGAGATTGAGATGACCAAGCATTGTCAGGACTCAGAATACCCTACTACAGTTGGAGGACCTGGTAGCATACAATTGATGAGGTTGCAGCATTTTCACTCCAACCAAACACCAAGATCCTTCCCGCGCCCGCCTGGGCACAGATTATCGGGCAGGGCTCCTGTACACAAAGTCCCAATTGAGGAGCTTGACTTTGGTCAACGCCCGATCGTCTCAAGGCACCGGTCCTCGACGCATCTTGAAGTTCCGCCAAAGTTTGCTTGATCTCGGGATCGACACAGGGCGGCAGCGCTGATCCCGATCCAGTCAGCTCCCGAGTCACGTCGTGCGTGATCGGACTGCATGGTCGGTGAACGCATGTACGGTACTTCTGAGGACGTTCCTTGGAGCTCGTGGAGTGGGATGTATTCTAATGTACAATTGTACAAGAATAGCCGACGGTCTGATCTAATTTCAACCTGTCGTGGAGAGAGATTCCTGTCCGAAGCAGCCAGATTCTGGCTCGCTTTCGCTGGGAATTTGGTCTAGTTTGAATGGATACTCCCCGCCCAGTTGCCACGATTACAAGGATTGAACACGCGAACTTGACTTGAAAGAAGAATTAACGCGCCCTGTGGCTAAGATTCTCCACTTTTACTCGTCTGAAGCTGTGTTGTGGGTGGTCGACTCTCGAGCTGATTGCAGCTGTACACCTCTTCCACAGAATAGAAGAGCCCGGAGGAAACCACTCTTCATTGGAGACATACTACGTGTCTGACATGGTGTGTCGAAGACCGATGGCCATAGAGATTTTGCCTCGGTAGAGACACTACATATAGCCTATCTCAACCGGCCGACATTCTTCAAAGATCACAGCTACCTAGAGCGCAGCTTCGCTACCTAGGCTACAGGACTGAGTATTGCCCTCGAATGCTTTGGACTCGAGCATACAGGCCAAATTCGTGGCTCGCGAAGTTTCCAACAGAAGCATGTCATTCTAATCAAAAATGTGATGCCTTGAAATCAACTGAGATTGGAAGAGGTGATGAGATACGGCTACGGTAGGGGCAGCAGTATCGATGTGTGAGAGGGATGAGGAGCGAGATTGCGATGGGGGAGAGATTCTACCTAAACTATTGACTGTGGTAAGTGGCAGAATCACATGTCATGCTAACAAGAGGATGTGATCACATCGAGAAAAAAGGCAATAATAGCTGAAAGTACCTATTTACATCCATTATATCCGCCTTTATGAATCCACGGCTGTAACGCGCGTCTTATAGATCAGCCGCAGCGGCTGAGAATTTTCGCCTATTTACCTAGAGATTTTCAGAGACCTCTATATACATGCTTGTTCCCACTCGGTTTTCTCGAAAAGACTCCACGTATTGAGACCCCTTCATCAGCACGAGATTTTCACTTGTAAAGGATCTGGCTAAATCGTGTCCAATGCTTCCCTTCCTTCAAGACAATGGAGCTTGCTCATCTTCTTCGTATGGACGCGACCTATGTCAAACCATATCCCTTAAAGTCACCTATCATTTACGGCATACCCACGTGTATTGTCATGGCGCACACGTTCAATCAACAATAGATATAGTCTTGTAGTACTGCACGTGTAACATTCCAAACATGAGAGTTTAGATATATTCAAAAGCCCGAATGACCACATCGAACCCGTACATCAAGCAATAGGCATACCATTATGTAGATTGTAGATCATCCATTTTCAAATACTGGAAATTTCCAGAGGAAAGCTTCCAATTCAGGAGGTTCTTGATGCTGGTATCCTCCGAAGGTACACAGTGCTCCAATCGGGCTTCCATCCATCCTGGCTTGCAGATAGAGTTCCTTGCCAATGATGCGATATTCGAGAGCCTCGTGTAGATCGATGATGCGGACATGCAGGTGGCCTTTACACGCATCGGCACACAATCCATTGTACTTCCGTCGCGGCGATTCTCCACTGGCACCTCCCTGATAGTGTCAGTCTCTGTAGCGGCTCTGCGGTTGACGCACATACAGTATCGTATCATCGTTAGGCTGTAGTTTGCACCACGAGACTGTTTCCAGATACCTGCTATATTGCCTGTATCATCATCTGCACAATCTCACAGATTTGCTAACGCTGTGAATGTTTGCTGGTCCGATCTTAGCACGTTCTGGAGGAAGGATCTATCTCCCTACATGTAGCTCTTCTCCCTCTTTTGCTTTCTCCTCTTAGCACATTATTCGAACAACCATTTCTTTGGCCGCTCTGTACTCCCATTTCTGCAACACCTCGCCTGCAGTCGCAAGGAAGAGTCCCACATCCTGTTCAACAATCTGCCTAAGCAAGAACCAAAAGCACTTCCCCATTCCCCCATGACGCAACTCGACATCTCCTCTCCTGGCCCATCTCCGGTCTCGAGCTGCCAGTCTCGTGGAGTCTCCACCAGCCCGGCGTCTGGCGACGCTGAATCGTGCACAGACCTTCTCACCGCTGAAATTTATTGTGCGCAGGCGGTGAAGGAGCCGAGCGGAGAACGCCAAGATTTCCTCACCCCCAAATTTTTCATAGCGACTGCTCCGACTTGCCTCGAGAACAGCGTTCGAGATCTTATTCGGCAAAAGATGGACGACATCGAGGTTTGTACGGCCGTTCGACTCCGTGCGATTTCTTGACTAACTCTATCTAGGACAGATTGCGCAGCCACGCGCAGGCTTTTGACGGATTGCTCTCATTGATCCCCGCCAAATATTACTACGCCGACGAGAATTCCAGTGTACGTACACACGCTCTTGTTCCTCCCTGATCAGTTTGACTTCCTGAACCTCGGCGGCTGTTCCTGTGCCATTCTCCCTTGATACTTTTCATGTGCCTCATCTAATCATTTGTCCGCATGATCAGGATCAATGGAAACGGAAAAAACAGACTAAAGAACAAGCCCGTGAAGCCAAGCGAGCCAAACTAGACCCCGAATCCGCTAAAACGGCCAAAGATATCATGGATGAACAAGCTCGCAAGCGGAAGCGTGAGGATGGTACTCTGGAGAGCGACTCTTCCGACGGCGAGTTAGGCTCCGAGGTCCCGGGCGAGGGCCTCAAGCGAGGCGAAAAGGTCAAGAAACAAAAGCAGACCGAGGCGGACGCCTCGAAGCCCAAGTCGGAGGAGGCCGAGGCCCGCAAGAAGGCGAAGGAGGAGAGAAAGGAAAAGAAGAAGGCTGCTCAAAAGGAGAAGAAAAAGGCCAAGGAAAGTGCGAAGAAGGACAAGCAGCAACAGGTCGAGAAATTGTCGACCACAGCGGAGGAGCAACCGAAGCCAAATGAGGACCAGGTCGTTGAGAAGCCCACTTCTGCTGGTGACGACAACGAGGCGGAGAACGACGAAGACGACGTTGAGGATGGAGTCGCCGAGGAAGGATTTTCCGTCGAATTCCACGAGGAACCGGAAGAGCCCTCATCTGCCTCTTCCGCTCGCAACTCACCCAACACCTCCGTTCCCCAATCTGCCACATCTTCCATATCCTCAATTGTGCCTCCTTCTACTTCCACTGGCGCCGATGCCACACCAGCCGAGACCAAGGCGCTCAAGGCCACACCCGAGGAATTGAAGCAGCGTCTGCAAAAGCGACTCGATGAACTTCGCGCAAAGAGACATGCCGACGGTTTCAACGGCAAGCCCGCACGTAACCGCCAAGAATTAATCGACTCACGAAGGCAGAAAGCCGAGCAGCGCAAGGCCCACAAGAAAGAATTGCGCCAAAAGGCCAAGGAGGAGGAGCAGCGCCAGAAGGACGAGGCTATGGCTCGTCGCTTTTCTCCCGGTGGCTCTGGATCCCTGCTCGCTTCTCCTCGTTCCCCTGCTGAATCCGTTGGCTCTGCCAACAACTTCTCATTCGGTCAAGTCATGTTCGCGGATGGCCAAATTGCCGATCACTCCCTTACTGGCGTCCGCGATAGCCACAAGACCCGTGGACCTCGTGACAATGATGCCGCCGCTCAACTGAAGCTCGCTGAGGCGAAAAAGGCTCGCCTCGCCGAGATGGATCCCGAGAAGCGGGCCGAGCTCGAGGAGAAGGATGCCTGGTTGAATGCCAAGAAGCGCGCACACGGCGAACGTGTACGTGACGACACCTCCCTCTTGAAGAAAGCACTCAAGCGTAAGGAGACCGCCAAGAAGCGTTCTGAGCGAGACTGGAAGGAACGAATCGACACAGTATCCCGCATGAAGGAGCAACGTCAAAATAAGCGCGAGGAGAACCTCCGCAAGCGCCGCGAAGAAAAGGGCACCAAGGGCAAGGGCAAGTCAAAGAAGCCCTCTGGTGGCGCCAAGAAGAAGGCTCGTCCCGGCTTCGAAGGCAGCTTCAAGGCCAAGGTCGGCGGCAAGAAGTAACAAAGCAACGCCTTCCCTTTCCCTTTCCCTTTCCTCTTTCTGGAATCTACGGCTACTGGCCCGTAGTCAAAGCTTCCGTTCGTCTCCTTTTCCGCTCCCCATCCAATCCTTCTTTTGCGCCTTGGGAGTTGTTTTTGGCAACAGGCTCAAGAATTATCCACTCTTTTCCCTGTGAAAGAGAGAGAGAGAGAGAGATCCCAAAAAAAGTGCTCTTCAAGATATCGATTTGGGAAATATCCACTGGGGATTCTGGTGTTTTGGTGTTCATGCTGTGTCTCAGCGGCATTCATGTCATGTATCTACGTCAGCATGGGTAGCGTTTCGATTTTTCGATCTGTGAATACAATTCTTCGTTCAAATCTTTTGTTCCACATTCTCTTTCTGAAACATTTTGTCCACCATGAACCCCCCCTCAATACTTCAAACGATGATCAGACGGTCGGGTGTAGCCGAATATAAGATGGGCTGCTTACTGCAGGAAAGACCTGCTCTTTTGCAACTTTTGAGTATTTCGTTTTCTGGACATGAGCTCCATCTCGATACCCGTGGGAATAGAGACTGGGGATTGGAAGAATTCTTGAAAATCGAGAAGCTTTCCATTTCTGAACAAAGGAGATAAGGCCTACCACCGCAGACACGGTTTCGTAACGAGCACATGTTGCTTCGAGTAGCCGACTAATAGAACAAGGAAACACAACGCAGGGTCGAGGGTGGGATATGTACAAATGCGTGCTGAGGGAAAAAGGAGAACTGGAAAAGAGGCACAACGGAAGACAGACCCATATCTAGATTTTGGACGGAACGCGATCTGGCGTGGCCCGAGAAGGTTTGTGAAGGACAGTTTCACGGCTGCAAACAAGTATAATCCGTAACTTGAGTGTAGAGCATCATAATGAATTTAACGATCAGAAAGAGATGACGCGATTCATTCTTTTAACGGTAGGGAGCATCCGCGCGAGCAGCAGCAGCAATCTCAGGCTCCCACTTGTCACCATTGGCAAGGAGCTTCTCCTTGTTGTAGAGCAGCTCTTCACGGGTCTCGGTGGCGTACTCGGCGTTGGAAGCTAAACGCAAGGAAAGGAATTAGTTCAGGTTGATAGGGGTATGTTTCAAGCTTTCGTCGGGTACTGACTCTCAACAATGGCATCGACAGGGCAGCTCTCCTGGCAGTAGCCGCAGTAAATGCACTTGGTCATATCAATATCGTAGCGGGTCGTCCGACGGCTGCCGTCCTCACGCTCCTCGGCCTCAATGGTGATAGCCTGCGCCGGGCAGATGGCCTCACAGAGCTTGCAAGCAATGCAACGCTCCTCGCCTGTGGGATAACGACGTAGAGCGTGTTCACCACGGAAACGGGGAGAGATGGGACCCTTCTCGAAAGGGTAGAAAATGGTGTAACTGAGCGGCCAAACACCTTGATATTAGCTAAAGCCTTGCACTCAGAGGTACTCATGCAGTACGACTTCAATTGAGCCGCTGGTGTCCACGTCGGTAGCTGGGAGTATTGGGGGACTCACGGTGGACGGAAGAACTGCTCCAGCACAACGTACATGCCGCGGAAGATCTCGGCCATGAGGAAGTACTTGCTCGCCTTATCGAGCGAGGACTCGTCGCCCTGGTCCCAGCGCTTCGGCGGGGGCAATCGGAAGCCAGGCTGAGGAGGGCCGGCTGGAGTGGCTGCGCGGGACACGGAGGAAGAGAAGTTTGCGGTCGAGCCGACTGGGACGAAGGGAGACCGGCGGGCGGCGACCAGCCTAGCGACCGCGCGTGAGGTAGCCATTATGAGAGACCTGGGCGAGGCGATTGAGATGTAGGAGGGTTGAGCGGCGGGCTGAGGGTTGGGGTCGAGGAGAGACGGCGGAGCTACAACGAGGTCTGGATTGACATGCGGTTGCAGATGGTGTTTGCAGGCTTGGGGGGGGGGGCTGCGAAGGACATGCTTAGGTCATTCATTTCTGCCGGGTGCTGATTGGCGGGCGGCAGGATTTTGCGCAACAGCATCACGTCCCGACCTTCTCTTCCCTTCCGATCCACGTCCCTTTCTCCATCCACCCGTCCTTTTCTCCCCACCAACTTTTTCTTTCCATATATCAACTCTCGTCATCTCGTCTCCGCGCCCTCGTGCACATTCCTTCATACATCACCATGTTCCGCTCCGCCATTGTTCGCTCCTTGCGGGCCTCCGCCCCCCGTGCCGCCATGAAGACCGCGGCTCCCATTCAGATCCGCAGCTCTCCCATTGCTGTCCAGATGGCTCCTCGTATGGTCTCCCAGAGCATCCGCTTCTACTCCGCTCCTGCTGGTCTGTCTAAGGACGAGATCGAGGGCCGGATAGTCAATCTGCTCAAGAACTTTGACAAGGTGCGTTGCAATATCACGTCGATATCACACCGTTGGACCGGGAGTCGCACATGCATACAATTCTTTCTCCACTTCGGTGATATCATCTTGAATGTCCAGAACATGGAAGCTAATTACCATCTTGCCGATAGGTTTCCGACCCCAGCAAGGTCAGTTGAGAAAGCGCGATCATAACTTACGGGCTTTTGTCGGCTGCCCTCGGGAAACAATTGATGAGACCGGTTGCTCTCGGAATAACATCTAGTCTAATCAATGTGTCGTGTGCAGATCACCGGTGTCTCCCACTTCTCCAACGACCTCGGTCTTGACAGCTTGGACACTGTCGAGGTTGTGATGGCTATTGAGGAGGTGCGTGAAGAGCTCTTCCTTGCTCCAACAAGGTTACCCGCTCGCTCGCAGCTGCTAATTATGTCAATAGGAGTTCAGCATTGAGATCCCCGACAAGGAGGCCGACCAGATCCACAGCAGTAAGTGATTCGCCAAGTCAATCGGAGGCTTGACCCTAAGTTGTGATGAATACTAATGTACGACTTCATGGCCATAGTCGAGAAGGCTGTCGAGTACATCAAGGCTCAGCCCGATGGTAAGCAGTCCGTTCCCACATAACACCATTTGAACCTCCGCTGACGGTCGACAATTAGCTCACTAAATGTTACACACTGAAAATTTCCTTGCGGTCGACTGTTGTTGAAGCCGGATAGAACATGGATCGGGTCGGTGGCGTTAGCCAGGGGGTGTGCTTCCTTCAAGCAAGACTGCCTGGCTGCACCGCGCTGCGTTGTATGTTGTAATACATGCTAGTGCTCTTATCTTTTATTATTGTCCATGTCATGTATATCATTCTGAATGCCTTTCTTGAAGCGGTACGGAACCCCGGATCTCCGCTTCTTCCTTGATGTATGGTCATGTGATCTTCCATGCGTGCTTGGTGATCCTTCCTCGTGTCTCTCCGACTGAGTATTTGCTATGACGAGCTGTGTGCAGCCGCCAAATGCTGACGAGTATACTGGCCATTGCGTATCAAGGACAGGGGACTATAGTCCTGGTCCCAGGCCCAGATCAGTCGCTTAGCAGGAGAATGTAGTGCTGCGACTTTCTGTCTTTATCAGGTGTCTGTCCACGATGTCGAGTTGTCATCCATGAAGGAAATTCTCAAGCTCAACGTCCTACATGAGCACCGGATCACGCTACATTGACCCATGAACAAGATTTGATACACTTACTTAAACCTCCAGTGGAATTCAGCAGTCTTTGACCGATGTAGCTCCGATTCTTGAGCCTCGAGCATCACATCCCAGCTCCCGCAAGAACGCAAGTGCTACTGTGCTCAATGGCGTCAAATATCAATAACTGGGGCAAGGTGGTCACGGTGTATCCCAACCTGGTTTTCTATCCGGGCCGCTGGACCCTCTGGGCTCGGATTCTATATCATGGACATCCAAGTCTCAACAGCAGACAGTAAGTAGTACGCTAGAGAACCGTGTCTCCGAGTCAATGGAAGTAAATTGGGGGCCAACACCTGGTTCATGCCTTATCGGGTTATGGTCCAAGAGAGGAAAGTGACTTTCCTGTCGCTTACTTGTGCTACTACTCAACACAAGTTACTTCCCACCTTCAACGTTGTTCCTCTGTTTTTCTCCCCCTGACAGGCTGTTCCCGACCGGTCCCCACTTTACTTTTAGAAAGCGGCGAACAGCTTCTTTGGTCCAACTGAACTGACTACTCGTGACTTCCTACCATCTTTTCTCCGCGATCCAATTCCAAGAGTCCCACTGCGACCGGCAGGCAGGTTGGCGTTCAAGTGATTGCAGAACAGACTCATTTGACCTTCCCTCCCCTCCCGCTCTCGTGGCTGTATGAGACTGCTTCTCCATCCTTACTGATCAGCCTCCTCCTGTCCTCGACCATTCCATCAGCCCCCCCCCCCCCCCCCTCCCCCCTCCCCCTCCTCCTCAACTGTGGTCGCCATGTCTTCCGGCGGCTTGACTCGACGACGAGGCGGCGGTCGAGGTGCTGGCGCAGATGACCAAGATGATAGTAGCCGGGTCTCATCCCCCGTGCAGAGGAATGGCTCCGCGATGGACAACCGTGGTCCGGAAACATCATACACGAGCGCGGAGAACGGTCACAAGATCGCATTTGATCCGCGCGACCTGAGCGAGACCCAGGAGCGAAACAAGCAACCGAAACTCACATTGATGGAGGAAGTCCTGTTGCTCGGGCTCAAAGATAAGCAGGTGAGCCGGCGAAGTTGAGCAGCTGTCCATCCCGGGACATCGGCCAAAGAAGGCGACGAGGAGTCGTCACTTCTGCTTCTACCTTTGCACCGATTGGGAAATCATGCGTGGCTAATTGGACCTCCGGATTGACTCCGTAGGGCCACCTTTCGTTCTGGAATGAGAATATATCCTATGCTCTACGAGGATGTATTGTGATCGAACTCGCTCTCCGAGGCCGCATTAGCATGCAAAAGGATTCGTCGCGGCGACGTTTCCCTTTGGCCGACCGCATCATCGAGGTCGTTGACGATACATTGACCGGCGAAGTCTTGCTGGACGAGGCGCTGAAGATGATGAAGTCAAGCGAGAAGATGAGTGTCAACTCATGGATTGACTTGATGAGTGGTACGTAATAGCATTCCTAGGGACGACGTGAGCTCCATTCAGTGAGCTCTGTTTAGTGGCCCCCGAACCGAAGCACAGACGAAGGGATGGATGAACTGACAGGATGGAATTGTTTCCTACAGGAGAGACTTGGAACTTGATGAAGATCGGATACCAACTAAAGCAAGTGCGCGAACGTTTGGCCAAGGGTCTTGTGGACAAGGGTATTCTGCGAACAGAGAAGCGCAACTTTTTACTATTTGACATGGCGACGCATCCCCTCGCCGATAATGGAGCTAAAGATGACCTACACAAACGAGTGCGCAACATCTGCACCAACCGCACCGTGATTCTTCCTCCCACTCCCTGGCTGCCCGAGGATGCTGAGTTCCGCTATCTTCGTACGGTAACCATGGTGTGTGCCGCGTATGCGGCCAACGTTTTGGAAAATGCTCTGGTCATGATGGGCCACGAGGCCCGTGAGAGAGCCTTTGCACAGGTGGACGAGCTCCTGGCAGAGTACTCACAATGGCCATTCGGCCGTCGACCTGGTGGCTCACAGGCGATTGGAGCAAACTTGGCGCAGGCGATCAATGAGGAAGTCAACCGAGGCAACAAAGACCGCGAGCTTCAACTGGAGGTTTGTTTCATGGATACTCCCTTCTTTGCTGCCAAAGATTTTCCAATGACGCTGTACTAATTCTCGATCCAGATTGTTGCCGCGTGCCTCAGTGTCTTCACCCGACTCGACTCCTTGCTTTAAACACCAATTCGGCTCATTGCTTCCCTCTCATACACTGCCTTTTTCTCACCTCCCTTCCTCTTCTCTTCACCCGATGATATTGACCCATACTTCTTCCGCCTCGTTACATTATGTCTTGTCTCTGCAAGGAAATAGGCTCAGGTCCTGGTCTTGTTTTCTCTCGGGTCACCCAACACGCATGCAGTCTGTTTTCTATATGGTTTCAACCTCGAGAGAGCGTCTTTTTTTTTTTTTTTTCGCTCTTTGTGTCATCTTGGACTATTTGGTCAAAATTCATTCTTGTATGAAATACTTCATCTCGCACTGCTGCCTTGAGCGTCTTTTGCAGCTCACCAACTATCCCGTGATGGATGGCTTCCATTTATTTTGGCGCTGTCTTCGTCTCATAGCACTGTGCATGGCGATGTCTGCTCAACGAATGCCCAAAGTCCACGATGAACTCTGCCTGGAAATATACTTAGCCGATCCCTGACTAGTGTTCAGCGGGCTGAATTGTGATCTTCTTTTTCGAAGGGTGCAGCTGGCGCTCTGGTAGATACTGAACGATGTTCTGCAAGGCTTTCTCGAGCTGTCGTTGACGTTGAGAATATTGTGGAGGCGCGGTCAACTGCATTCACCCTGTAAAATTGATTGCTATTCTTATTTAGCCTAGGTTTTATAATCCAAACACGTGAGGCTGAAACGAGTCGCATGTCCCCAAGCCCATGAGTAACGTGACATTCTCCCACGTGCTTCGTCAGTTTGGCCGTTTTCAGACGTTGCGTATTTCCGGTCACCTTTAACCTTAACAATTACATGGGGTCAAACGCCATTGATACGAAATTCTCCGGACAGACAATGCATCAGGTGTTTTTCATCACTTCGCCGAGAAATGAAACTCCAAGCCGGAGGTTATTCACCACAGCAGTTGTGTTTGAGGTGGAACCGGCGTCTACTTTCTTGTCTCGTGCAGGCAATGCTCCATGCTCCTCTCCAAGCGAGATCCGTTCGCATGACGCAGCCGGATGACGGATGTCATTTGAGGCGCCTCTTGTTAGGCCTCCACCAAACAACCTAGACAGGATCTCCTGGCCTCCGCACCTGATCCACACAGGCTGAAAGCACAGATCGTTCTTTCTCTGTCTCGTATGGTGGTTGAGGGGCCGAGTTCGATGATAGTCCTCAAAAGGGCAAGCGCAAAACGATGAGATCCGTGTTTGATCATCTGGGCCACCTCACTCAAGGCGGGCTCTGCAAGCACCAACTGGGAAGGAAGTGAACTACTAGTCTCTCGGCGCCCATCCCATATATGATCGACACGGATCCCCCTCCCCAAGTTTGAGATTGAATGTCGAGAGTCAGCATTTGTCTTGATTGTAGCTCTTTGTTTTTGCATCATCGGTGTATATTGTCACTTACTGATTCTGTGTGCACGAGTTTCCTCATATTACATCCAAAACATTCGTCCAGTCCAGATAAACCCTGCGCTATACTCAAGAGAGAGTTATCTGAATTTCGTCATGGCGCAAGAGCAAGCAGCTACATCCCCAACTGCTCAACACGCTCTATCGAGAAGAGCGACCGCAGATTCCCGTGTAACTCTTCGGCGACCCCCATTCTGGTCTCGTCAAGGAACAGCCATTCTGGGGTTCCTCTTCTCCTGGCTGGGCCACTCGAACCCGCTTGTGCATCCTGCAGATCCTCACAAGAACACCGTCTGGCTCTTGGACAATACGGCCTTCCGGTTGCAATCCGACTCCGAGGATTCAAGTGGTACCAGCCAGTCGTGGCAGGCGGAATTCGTCGCCTGCATCTTCGAGACACATGGCCGCAAGGACGTAGGCAAAGTCGTGGCCACGATCGCGGATTACATTGGAATTGACGGGAACCTCGGCTCCGATGGCAGAGCCATGCGCGAACGGATCGAGCAGCGTGTACAACCGTTTCTCAACCAGATCTCGCCCGGGCGGACATTAAAGCTGCAAATCCCGGTTGATGGTGAAACGCAAAGCCACGCACTGGGCGATTCGGACGAAAATGGCATCATCAGTCAGACTGTCGATTTGGGCGCGCTTGGAGTCGCCGATGGAGCGACTATCCGCCCTGCAGCTCAAGGGTTCACTGAGCCGACTGCGGTCATGGAAACTCGATTTGCGGCGCCAGAGGGCTGGATGGTCATTTCGGATATTGACGACACAATCAAGCGTACGATGACACGCGATCCAACGGGAATTTTGCGTACCACTTTCGCAGAGGAACCTGTGGCTATCGCCGGTATGCCGGATCTTTATCGACAAATCCAAAAAGACCTTGACCCGACGTGGTTCTATCTTTCAGCTTCGCCGTACAATTTGTACCCCTTTTTGCATCAATTCGTGCATGAGCACTACGTGCCCGGCACGATCATCCTGCGGGACTATTCGTGGATGGACATTGGGGGGTTGATCAAGTCGTTCACTGAAAAAACACAAGAATACAAAGTTGATCGAATGGAAAAAGTCCACAGCTGGTTCCCGAGACGTCGAGTGCTTTGCATCGGTGATTCGACCCAGTCGGATCCCGAGGCATATGCGGAGATATATGCTCGTTATCCGGGTTGGATCCACGCGATTGCCATCAGAAGAGTGACAGATGTTGAGAACATGGAAGAGAAGAATAAGCCCGAGAGGTTCGAAACGGCCTTTAAAGATGTTCCGTCGTCAGTGTGGACTGTTTTTGAGAAGGCCGACGAGCTGGATCGTGTCATAGCGCATCTGGAATCGACAAATTAGGTCTCGTGCGAGGAAACAACATCTTATATTCAATGCTTTTGGCGTACAGTCTTATGAATACCATCACCAGAATGATAATTTGCGAGTTCTCCAGCTTCTTCGTTACTGCACATCATCGGATGCCGTTGCCGGCCACAATTATGATACAATGATTATCGCTCTTCAAGCACCACAACATAATGATGCAACTCGTGGCAATATGAGCTACTTATCCGTCATGAATCGGTCAAGGCGATCGTCTTTCTCAAAATCTATAATATAGACATTGCATGGCCCGCTGCCCACAGCATACTGTCAGACTTTCTTTCCTATGTTACTCTCGCCAATATCAAGATGGACCGCCGCACATCACGCAACGACTATGTCACCACAGACGATGACAGCAACGAAATAAGCTTAATGCCCGCAGGCGAAGTATCCCCAACCACTGATACAGAGTCCGGACAAGCAGCAGATATTCCCTTGCCAAGCTTCAACATGGAAAGCAAGAAATTCTCAACTGCCGGCCCAACCAAACCATCAACATCGCCCACCATAGACCGGGGCGATCGTAGATCCACGATCATCAGTCCTCAAAACTTCATCCCTCTCTCAATGCGAGCCCTGTTCTACTCCGTCGAGCCCGCCACCGACTCATCAATGGAACCTATTCCCGACGGACCCGCAAGCCCCAAGCCCCGCCGCGTCAGCAATCCCGGCACACGCCTCGTTCTCGATCCCAACTTCCCGAGCCCTCAGCCCTCGCCCCAGGAGTATCTGCTCAAAGTGCAGACGGCGGCGTTCTGTCATGACGAGATGCGTCTTTCGACGGCGCTGAATCCGCAGAAGACGACCCCGCAGATTCCCTTGCATAGTATTTGCGGGACGGTGGTCAGCACGCCGTCACAGGATGATGAGCGGCCAGAGGGACCCATGTTCCAGATCGGAGATACGGTCTGGGGAGTGACGAGTTATGTGCGTGATGGCGGCGCGGCGGACTATGCTTTGGCGACAGAGGCCGAATTGGCTTTGAAACCGGCGAATATTGGCGCACAGGAAGCTGCGGCGTTGGCGCTTCCGGGATTGACGGCCTGGCAGGCGCTATTTAGGCATGCGGAGATTGATCCCAACGTCAGAAGGAATGGCAATGGCAATGGGGACGTTGATGGAAAAGGAAAGGAAGTGCAGGGCATTTCCAAGATGGATGACCACAAGGGTGACACAGATGCTCCTAAATCAAGCATCTTCCCAGGGGGAAATGGCGCGAATGGGAATAGCAATAGCGGTAATGATCAAGGCATGTTCAAGACGAACATTTTCAATGGTCATTCCAACGGTTACACCAACGGTCACACCAACGGCCAGTCCAATGGCAACGGCGAAAAGAAAAGTATCCACGGCAGAGAGTACAGCAATGGGCGGGGCAATGGCTACAGTTGGCTGAGAAAGAGCATGGAAAATATCAACAGCCTAGCCAGAAGTGCAAGCGTGATGACTCTTGGCAACGGAAATTCCAATGGCAACGGTCATCGAAACGGCAATGGAAATGGAAAGGAGAAGCGAAAGAGCAGCGGAAATGGCCATTTATATGGCTTTGGGAGACGAAGGAGCACTTGGCTGCAAGCAAATGGGGGACCCAGACGAAGAAGACGAGGTTCTCAAGAACAATTGCGTATATTGATCACCAATGCCCGAGATAGCGAGGTCGGCCGTATAGCTGTCCAACTCCTTCGAGCAGAGATGATCTTTCCAAGCTCAGAAAGGCCATGGATCTGTGTGACCTGCGCGACTACCGAGGAGGAGATCGTCCGTGGAAGCTGGGACGTGGACGAAGTCATCATCATACCACGGATCCCGGAAGCTGAGGATTGCGAGTTTGAGAAGATTTTCCGCGCCCAGCGATGGCCGCCCGTGGACGTCGTTCTTGATTGTGCAGGAGGAATCGTCTTTCGTCAAGTTCACTCACCGGCTGTTGTCAAGGATGGTGGGGCTGTATTGACAGCGGTCGATCCTTGGCCAGCGCAAGAAACTTCTAACTCAGATCCACAAGATACGCTTGGTCGAAGAAAGCGCGGTCTGAAGACGATGTTTGTACCTGTGAACCCGGATGGTGCTTCACTGGCACGCATTGTAGATCTTGTTGAGCGTAATATGGTGCGAGGTCGACCTGAACAGGTCACTGATCTGGTGCAGGCTGATCGATTGTTAAGAGACCACGCCGTGGCTGCAGGTGCTGCTCGACGCGGTGCCATGATGGTTGTCCGTGTGAATTAGAGCGTAACGGATCAGGCTGTTTCAGGGAAATGGACTGTATTTCGTACCTCCTCACAAATCAAGTCGGACGGGACCACTGAAAGTTCTTTTCAAGTTGATCATGATTTTGATTTTATGTTGCGCTTGTTTTCCAGTTCGTGCTAATATGGTCAGAAGGTAAAGACCTGGAAGCCCGTACCTTCGGGATCTGATTAATTGAACTCTTCAGATTGAATATCCAGCCAAGCCCGCCTATACGATTTAACGATAGAGTATTTGCAGGCTGTACAAATATCACAGGATACTATGAGCCTGCCCCCGGTCATCAGGATCGATCAAGGTCACGAGATGTGGTTGTGAGATCTCAATCGTGGGCCGGTCATCTTGTTCATTTGTACAAACTGTGTCTCATCGAATTTGTGTGCTCATTGTCGTTCGTTTCTAGACTAGCCATGTTTATATGTTTTGCCTCTCTAGCTCAGCCAAAGACGTTGCCAAACAACATTGGTCCTGTTCACCTTGAGGGACATGGAGAAGTGCCCGAAAGAGGTGGTTAGAGCGCCTAACAGCAATGGGCAAGCCCATGAACTCGATTGAGTGAGGTGCGTGACTCCGGGCTTTGGCACAAGCATGCGCAAGAGCATTGCTTCCGACTTGACATCGCGGTATAGCCTGGTCGTAACAGACATCAAACCGAGGAGTTTTCGCAAAAGCAACGGAGAGACAAGGACAATGAGCCAGGCCTAGGCGACTGACAAGACTTTGCTGCGAACGCTGAGACTATGAATCCAGCAGCATCTGTCGCCGATCAGCCTTGTGCGAAGAACGTAGTTTTTGGACCGTGCACCATGTGGTTGAGAGAATTTTGAGATCGAAATTGAATTCGACTCTCACTGCCCGTTGCACAAAGTCTTTTCACTTCACGGTCGCCACAGGTAAACAGAGCGAATTGTGTGGAGTGCGAAATTGTGCGCAAGCTGAACGGAGCTTCAAAGATATGTAAAAAGATTGATGTGAGAGAGGCCATTACAATTTTTGCATTTTTCACCATCTCTTCGGAGCAGAGATTTCGGTACGTGAGAAGGACGCGCTGACGGTTTCTTTACCACGACGCCGTTGGATCTCTTTGATGCCGGTGCGATCTGTCACTGTCGTTGCGTTGATGATGTTGTCGAAATCTTCGTCCTCGCTCCCGGCTGAGCCCGACTCGGCGTCCGAGTCAATGTAGACAGGCTGTTCGGGCTTTGCAATCTTCTCCGGCTGCTCCTTGTCCGGAACAGACGGATTTTGAAATGCTTTGGACTCCAAAATTTTGCGTCGAATCTCAGCCATCTGCTCCTCGTCCTCGGAATCATCTGAAATGGCGAAAGGATCCTTGTCTGCGTCGTCTTCGCTTTCCTCCTCGGCCTCACTGTCCTCTTCGTCGTCGTCGTTCTCATCCTCGTCATTCTCTTTGCCGTTATCCAAAGGCTGACGATTTGTATTGCCCACAGTCCATATATCATCAGCACCCTCCACACGGCTCTCTTCATACTCTTGCTCAATCTTTGCCAGCCATTCCTCTTCCGTTCTCTTGACGTCCTCCTCGCTAGCACAGGCCGCGTAACGATCAAGAAGCTCTGAGTTGATCTCCAGGAAGGCTTCACCATATCTGAAGTTCTTCAAGACATCTTCCGCCCATTCGCGATGACCGCAAATGTAAAAGCATGCTGCCAGCGCCTCAACACAGTTCAGACGCCAAGGCTTTCCGTAGTTGACCGTGTTCGCAGCGATAAGGTAGGGAACTGCAGGTTTATATAGTTGGTCAATACTAGTCTCCCTTCACGACCATTCCCGACAAGAGCCAGCACTCACGCAAGCGCTCGCATTTTCCACCGATCCGCGACCAAGGAACTTCCTTGACTCGGACCCAAGAGCATTCCACCACTGCCGCACCATGTTGCTCCATCAACTCTCGATCGGCGGGTGAAACGACTTTCTTCGCATTGGGTCTGGTAAAGCAGCTGTCAGTCGTCATTCGTGACGAATGGGAACCGGCGGGGTAGGCGCATACGAAACAATAACGCCTGGGAATCGCTGTCCAATATGAAGCTCTCGCATTAGACCCAACTTCATAAGACGCTTCCCAGAGCACCGCTTGGGGTCGCAGTGTCCCATATCCCAGCAGGCGGCCCTGAAAGCGGGACGCGAAGAGGGCGCGGCATCATCGCCATCACCGCGGGGCACTGGTCGAGAGCGGGGGTTTGATGGTTTCTTTCCTCCTCGCGAGAAGTTATCTTTCTTATGGCGGACCATGACCGTGAATTCACACTAAAATATCGTTATGTTCATGTACTGTACCGAGTGGCTGGCTCAGGTGGAGGAAGTTGGGCGTTGAATATGTCGGGAAGTGGTTCGAGTGACAAAATTTCCCTTGGAGAAGAAGCGCAAGCGCCACACGTGCAGGGCACTCCGCCCGCGCATCAACTAGCCAGCTTCCACTACTGCGGGGGAAAGTGGTTCGCGGCCGGTTCATCTCTCCCACATCAAAGGTGTCCACCAGGAGCTGGTCGAAGCAATCTCCTTGCACTCTTGTTGGAATTGCACAGCTCTGCTGATCATATACCAACCGTCATCCTGGAGGCTGCTTCCGCACGCATGGCGGCTAGGGACCGCTTCGGTGCCTACGCTGAGCCGGGGTTAACACCGCTTCAGCGGGCAATTCGTAAGTCAAGTCCTACATCGAGCTTGACTCACAATTGGGTCTAGTCAGTCTCCTAAACTATATTATATTCTAGGGAATGCCTGCGATCCCCAGAACTATGAGCCGAACCTCGCCCTGAATCTCGAAGTTGCAGACCTGATCAATTCCAAAAAGGGCAATGCGTGAGTCGCAAACGACATGACCTATCAATCATACGCAAGACAAAATCTCACGGACATCACAATAGGCCGCGAGAAGCTGCAGTGGAGATTGTGCAATTGATCAATGCTCGTAATCAAAACATCGCCCTGTTGGCGTTGGCGGTATGTCAAGGCAATCTGAGTGCGCCGAATATGACGGATTATGCAGGATCCAAGCTGACGGCTCCTTTCTTGTTTCTTTAGCTTCTCGATATTTGCGTGAAGAACTGCGGCTACCCTTTCCACCTGCAGATCAGCACAAAGGAGTTTCTCAACGAGCTAGTTCGAAGGTTTCCCGAGCGTCCGCCGATGCGCGCCTCGCGTGTACAACATCGCATTTTGGAGTCTATTGAAGAATGGCGCCAAACTATTTGCCAAACATCACGCTACAAGGAGGATCTAGGCTTTATCCGGGACATGCACCGTCTTCTTCTCTACAAAGGCTATGCATTCCCAGAGGTTCGCCGCGAAGATGCGGCCGTATTGAACCCCAGTGACGTAAGCGCGTGACCTCTCGAACATATATATGCCTGATTCATATTGTATTGACAATGTTGAACCAGAACCTTCGCTCGGCTGAAGAGATGGAGGAGGAGGAGAAGGAAGCGCAATCGGCCAAGCTCCAAGAGCTCATTCGACGCGGTACGCCTGCAGATCTGCAAGAAGCGAACCGTCTGATGAAGGTGATGGCTGGATATGACAATAGACACAAGACAGATTATCGTGCCAAGGCTGCGGAGGAAGTTTCAAAGGTCCAGCAGAAGGCCAAGATATTGGAGGAGATGCTGCAAAGCCGTCAGTCGGGCGACGATACTCCCGAGGGCGATGTATTTGAGGTGAGTGGCCTTTCAACTCGGGTCATCGCACGCAGGGATATTGACGACAGTGCCTTTTAGGAACTGGCCAACGCGCTACAAAGTGCGCATCCTAAAATACAAAGAATGTGCGAGGAGGAATCGGATGATCCAGAAGCTGTTCGCAAGCTCCTTGAGATCAATGACAGCATCCACCGCACGATTGAGCGGTATAAGCTTGTCCGCAAAGGCGACTTCGACGCGGCATCGAAAATTCCCAAGGGAACTCTGGGAACCACAACCGGAGTCTCGAAGAATGCCAACAACGAGCTTTCGCTTATCGATTTCGATCCCGAGCCAGCCCCAAGTTCCAACGGACAGGCTGGGTCGTCCAGTCAGGGAAATGCGTTGGAGAACGATCTTCTCGGACTCTCCCTCGACGAAGAGGTACCAGCTCTGGGAAGTGGGATCTCGTTGGGGGCATCAAGCAGTGAGTCGAGGCCTTGCTACGGGCAGGTGCAAATGCTGACCTTTCGTACCAGTGGGCTTCCCTCCAGTGCAATCTGGGTCCGCTACAATGACGACCTCCTCGCCAGCCACCCAGCAGATCACTACTCCGCCTAAACCCAACTACGATATACTGGCATCCATGAACTCTTCTCAGCCCGGATCTCGATCATCTACGCCGGGCCACAGTGTCTTAGCTCAGACCCGTTCGACTGCAAGCTCTCCGCAGGTTGCGGATCCCTTTGCGGCGTTGATGTCCGTCAACGCTCGGCCGAAACCTGGACCCTCCCAACCTCCGACAGGTCAGATTCGAGCCGAGGGCGCTGCCTCGGCGGCGTTACTTGACTTGGCAGATGGTGTTTCTCCCCCTCCTCCGTCTCAGCCCACGGCGTCACTGGGCACAGCCGAAGATGACGAATGGAATTTCGCATCATCGCTGCCTCAAAGCAATGCTCTGCCGTCAACCAACAAAATTGTCGTCCTCGACTCGCAGCTTCGGATCGATTTTGTGGCTCGGCGCGTGCCAAGTGCGCCTCGCCAGATCTTCATCCAAGCTGTGTTCTCCAACACCACCACTCAGCCCATCGGAGAATTACATTTCCAGGTAGCGGTGGAGAAGGTAAACAACTTCCGTGTTCTCTGTGAACCCCCCACTTTGTGAACCAAACAAGCTAATGGGCCTCTAGTCCTACACACTTCAACTCCGCCCGCAATCTGGACGCGAAGTCGCTCCGCAGCAACAGTTCGGGGTGAAACAGGAGATGGTTCTCGACGGAGTCGACAGCGGAAAGGGAAATCTAGTCAAGATTCGCTTCAAGGTCTCCTACAAACTCGGTGCCGAGTCTCGTGAAGAGCAAGGCATGGTGCCTGCCTTGGGAGTTGCATGAATGCGGGTTGCCGACCGTTCGTTCTGATGATCTGTCGCGCTATATCATTGGGCCACTTAGCCGACAAGGCTGGATGTCTACCCTCCTACCAGTCTCCTCGCGCCGATTGGGCTGACCAGTCGATGGGCATTGTTCCGAGCCCAGTCGCTTTGCGTGAGACCTCCAGGACGCTCTCTTCTTCTTCTTCTTCTTCTTCTTCTTCTTCTTGTTTTCTCTGTCAATTGAAGCCTGGAATGTTCCCTCGCAGGATGTTCGATGCGTAGTCCCCCTGCTTGTGACGCTGTGATTTCAGTCTCGTTTCTGCGACGTCCCCCATTGCTGCCCTTCTGCTCTTCTTCTGTTGTTCCCCCACTTAGAATTGCCCATGCCGCCGCTGTGCCTTATCTTCATCTTTGACATTGCGGTCTTGGGCCGATTGAAATTTAGCGATCATATTTCTGCTGTCCTTGATTGTTTTCTTGAATATGCCTTAGTAGTCCGTTCTGCAGCCGCGGGAGAGCTGCATCCAGATCTACCGGATCTAAGTGATCTACCAGATCTACCGAGTGCCTGAGCTGTGCATCGTCTGAACCGGTGGGGGTTCCCCATTGGCGATGTTTGACGGTTCGGGGCCTGGAAGCGACAGAAACCGGACTCCCTTCGTAGACGTGAGTCTTGTGTTGCGTTCGTCCAGCGGTTGAGCCCTTTTGAGACTCGTCGTGACCCTGCATTTTCATTTCCCAAAACGGAGACATTCCGCTCGCACTGGCTGATGGGGGTCCATTCTCGATTGTGACCAGAGACACATAGCAAGGTGGACAGACCACGCCCGGGTTGCTCTGAGAAGGACCGTATTTCGAGAGACCAGCACGATCCGCATGGACTTTCACCATCGTGTTGAACCTTGTCGTGGGGTCGACCGCGCTCTCGTCCTGCGGGGGGTGCTTTCCCCGAAGATCGACCTCCGTAACCGGGTCTGGCCATGTCTGGAAGGTTCAGTACGGGTACTACGGTGTCGATCACTGCCGATCCATCGGACGGTTATGTCAGCGGAGCTCCCCCGTCGACCTTCTCCACGACCCTTCGACCGCTCGATCCTACAGCGGTTACTATGACTATGCGGTCGAGGGCATCCCATTGGAAATCTCCAAGTGGAGCACCAGGCATGACATAAGGATTGCAATAGTCGACACCCGTGGATACAGAAGCATCTGTGCGATTTCAGGATCCGTGGAAGAGGGTTCTGCCAGCATACCCCAATATTCCCCCTCCCCTTCCCCCTTCTCAACTTGAGCCAAAACGTCCATCACGAGAGTCGAAGACGCTAAGGAATTTTGGATTTCTGCTCCGACGGCACTAGTGCCTTGTTTCATGCGCTCAGTCGATCAGTTTCGTAATTGTGTTTGCGCTAACGAAGTATAAGTGCCCTTCTTCCTGGACGAGAGGGAGGTCGGGCCGAGACTGTCCGGTAAAGCCTTCTTGCGCGTTGCATTTTGCTTTCTGACTTTTGTCGTTCAGGACTTCAGACAATAAGCACTTTCTCAGCATATTGATACTGGACCCCTGCACCCTGCGTTCTACACCTCTCTGCATCGTCACATCGCGCAAGAAGAATTCCAGAACAACCCGAAATCACCTTGGCATCGATCGACACTAACTACTTAGGTACATAGTACATACAGTAGTAGTCACTAGTCAGAGATGTGACCCTTCCTCGCCCATCGCTCTATGGTTCCGGCATCCGCACAAGTCGATCGATTCGCTGTGGAGCTCACCCACTATTTGAAGTGATCCTACCTACTCTCTACCGTTAGTCTCTCGGTCTCCTCCTGACTCGATCATACAGCGTATGCTTCAGTATAACTACACTCTCAGACTCTCTTCAGTCTTCAGACTCTCCGGGCTCTACTGAGTCGGTGGAGTGACGCCAGAGTTTCCATAAGCGTGGGACTCTCCGGTTGAGGTTCTGAGACTGGAGTTTAGTCCTTGCCAGTAGACAGTAGACAGTAGACAGTAGACAGTAGACAGTAGACAGTAGACAGTAGACAGTAGACAGTAGACAGTAGACAGTAGACAGTAGACAGTAGACAGTAGACACTAGACACTAGACACTAGACACTAGACAGTAGACAGTAGACAGTAGACAGTAGACAGTAGACAGTAGACAGTAGACAGTAGACAGTAGACAGTAGACAGTAGACAGTAGACACTAGACACTAGACACTAGACACTAGACACTAGACACTAGACACCCTTCAGTTGCATCAAGAATTGTTCAGTCTCAATCCTCAAACACCTCATCCGGAGATTTAGAAGCGAGAAAGAAAAAAGAAAAAGCCAATGTCATGATAGACAGTCTATTAGTCGAGCAGGACGATGGCAGGGCCCAGCGTCGAAATTTTGCGTCAGGATCGACATCTTGATTGCAATCTCTTCGCGGTAGTACCAGTGTTTCCTCTGGCCAGAGGCTCAAAGCCAAGCCTCTTAGGTTCTGCAGAGTGCATCCCTTCCAAATCTTGGCGGAGTCTCCTACCCTAAAGGGCAATTCCTGCATGGCAGCAATGAACAACGCGCATTTTTCTTTATCTGAGAGCAAACTAGAAGACCTCTCCCCCCCCCCAACGCTCGAGAGATCGAATGGGTCCTCACTCCCTTCTCCTTCCTCGGGATCTCAACCTTGGGTAAATGGTAAACGGTAAAACGCTAGGAAGGAAACCTCAAGCCTCTCTCTCCCCCCCCCCCACGCTTAGACCCCTCTACCTATTTCAAGCATAATCTCCAACTTGGTGATGTTGAGCTGCTGGTCTTTCCAGGCAAGTACTGGAAGTGTGCAGTGGCGAAAGACCAAAACCCCAATTCCATACGGTCACTGACTGGCATGGCTGGGCTTGAGGTTGGGCTAACGCGAGACGGAAAACTTCCTTTGGTTCGCCGAGAAATGCGGGCACATCCCATCTTCAACGGTCAGCCGGCCGAAAGGGACTCATCCTCGGCTTACCAGCCCCTTCGGCCAGAGGAAGACCGTGGATGCTTCCGAAAGGAGTGGCGACACTGGCGAGAATGAGGGTCGCGCCGCCCAGGGACCACGGGGAAGTGGTCCAGCACCCTGAGCGTACAATAGCGGAAGACTTGTTGGAGTGTCACTGTGGTTCAAGGAGGAGAAGTTTTGATAGCTAGTGGCCTTCCTCTTTGGTACTGTTCCCGCTGCTGTGGGCGCTGAGGCATCTGCGAGGCTGTCCCCCTCCACACCTTTGGGATCCAAACGAAGCTGAAAACTGAGATGGGGTGACCCGAGGCTGTGAAAGGTTGAACAATCAGACACTGTTATTGACAGATTCTTGAAAAGAGAGAAAGCTAAACGGGATCGGCCAGAGTTTTCCGAAAGCAATCAGCGCGGGGCGCGGGGCGCCTTGAGGTTATTCACGGATCAGTGTTTTTTGGGAGTTTGAAGTTTGGGATTTGGGACATTGTTTTAGTACCTTTGTACACCTTTGAGAGAGACTAAGATCAAGTCTGCTTACTTTCCTTTCTCCTCCTCTCTCCCCTCTTCCCCCTCTTACCTTTCCTTTGGGTTCACGATTGCTATCCTGCGCATGGCGATAGGACGCGCAAGAGTTTGGCACTCGAAAGGTTAAAGCAGGGCAGGTAGGCCAATCCGGCACAGTGTCCTCCTGTTTCCGGACGATGATTCTTTGCACAGTACTAGTACTTACTAACTACCTCACTTACCTCGATAGTTTCTTGCATCCTGATAGTTACTCGGTAGTCAGTAGACTTAGTACGCACCTAACCGGTACGCACCTAGTACAGTAAGATAGTGAACTTACGGACTATCTTAGGACTCGTGTAGTAGTCGTTCTTCAACTGATCTTCCCTCTCCTCTCCTTTCCTCTTCTCTCCTTCCCTCGTATCCCGAGTGGTCGATGGGGCGTGACGGGACGGTCGGACAGCAGGGTTTTTCAACTGTTGTTACCAAGTGAATGGGTGCATAGATGCCATCCGATAGGTGCAGCAAAGGTTTTGGTTCAATCTGCTTCTAAACGCTCCGGACTAGCGAGTCAGCCACCACGCTCTGATCTCCCCCCCCCCCTCTTCCTCGTTGTTCCTCGTTGATCGTTCTTTTTCGCCATTCTCCGGTCCCATCAGGCCATCGAGATGGGCTGACGCCGTGGGCTGAGGCTATGGTCGCCCCGCTGACGGTGGCCTTTCTTCCGATACGAATGGCGTTGTTGTGGGCTGAAGATACTACGGAGGAGATGAGGTAGAACTGTAGAAAGTCGACTTTTTCAAGTGATACGATACCAGATAAGAAGGGAGATATGGACTTTGGTCTCGATTGAGGTCGTTTGGAGGGGAACTAGGTGCCTGGCACCTAGTTAGTCTCTACTTTACTACTCATACCTACTACCTACCTCCCGATCTGTAAGACAAGAGCACCTATTTACCTTATGTGCAACGGTACCTAACAACGCGAAAAGAAGAATCAAGGGGATGACGATGCGTGAGGCCGATCCCCTTTGTTTTTTTTTGTTTTTTCACGGATTTTCCTGGCTTTTGAAATCCATTGACGAGGGTCCCTGAACTGCCTTCCACGTTGATCTTTGCTCGATCGACGCGGGAAGCAGGAAATGTTCCGGTATCAAGCGTCCGTGCGAGAGAGAGGAAGAGAAAGGCAGCTTCCACGCAGAGAAAGAAAGAGGGAGAGACTGGAAACATAATTCCTCGAAGAGACCCGTGCGACACGGGGCTGCAGGAACCGGATCACCAGCATGGTCGGCCCTTAGACATAAGGCCGGGGACCGTGAGCTGTGGTCGACCAGCAAAGAAGAGCCAGGACGACCGCAACAGATAACGTTCTACGATGGGCGTCATCCCTCCAGACGTTTCCTTAGCATGAACTTTGTCAAGAAAGAGGGGGGGGGGGACAGGCATTGGGAATGCATGACTGAATCTGATAGCCGAGTCCGACTCGTACACCTCCAGCATTGGATAAGTGGATAGTAGGAGTAACTTGGAGATGGCATCTTGGGTACTCCGTACTGGAGGGGTTGTATGATCAGAAGTACTGCCCCCAGGGTTCCGTTGGCCTTCTCCACTCAAGGCTGGGCGGACTGCCGGATTCGGTCACGTGGGATCTCGACTGGACCTTCTCAGTCTCATCACGTTACTCTCGAGTCTCGAGTCTTGGCCCACACCCTCTTGCATCTGGTCGTCTCTAACCACAACCATCACCATGACCAAACCTGTATTTGTCCTCGTAAATGAGAATCCCACCCCATCTGTGGTCGGGTCGATCACTTCGACCATGTCAGTTTTTCCTGGGTGCGCCCGCATCGGGACGATCTACAAGAGGGCACATCCAAGTCCTAAGTTATCTACAGTCTACACTTCTACACAGTCGTATCGCTGGGGGGAACCCAGACAAGGTGACTGTTCTCCACTCTCAGTGATACCAATGCCGGTCTAGGCCTCTCTGCTCTCCTGCTCTTGTTCCTTCGCAGCCCGTCGGCAGGATGTCATCCAGCCGAATTTGGGCGATCTGTGAGATTTGGCTGGGTGAAATTCAGACACTGTAGTACACTCAACACTGAGCATGCTCAACAACAATCTCGTCCGGATAGAATCCGTCCTGGCCGGCGCGGCATCGGCGCAACGGTCCCAGCTGTATACTGAATACTCTGTGAGGATTCAGTGACTCTCAAAAGGAGCTGCCGCACCGACCACTCAGTGACCCATCAATCACCCACCGGCAAGCAGTTTGCAATTTTTCTTTCTTTTTTCTTTCTTTTTTCTTTCTTTTTTCTTTCTTTTTTCTTTTTTTGAGAATGGTCTCTTCTCTACCGCTCTCTCTGTCTCTCTCTCTCTATTGTCAGCCTCATGTCGCATGCATAATATGATGATCCATTGTTTGTCTCATCCAGCCAACCGACACGAAATGAGGAACCTGTGGCGCCATCGAACGGGCTCGCCGTGCAAATAACACGCCCGCTCGAGGAAACCCGGGCAGGCCCAACTGGCGGCCAAGATGGAGCCAATGGACCGTGGCCCGGCGCTTCCATGGATCGACCCCCGAGGAGACTTTTCGCTAGAGTGCCAGCTGCGATCGCCTGGGGGTCCCATGGATCCGGTCTCGCGAGCTCCTCTGAGATGGCCCTCGTCCTACTCCTGAGTCCTGACAGCTTTCGCCCGCCGCTGCGTTGGAGGGCCGCCCCTCCTTCGGGCAAAAGTCAAATGAGGAAGCGACCCTCACCAAGGGAAAGAGCACCTGAGAGGAACCCCAGTCCCCCAAACTGGGCTCCGGAGTTTCATATTATTTAATATCTTCCCCCTCCCTGCCTTCGCCCTACGATTCTCGTAGGTGATCCTCTCCCATACACCTTGTCACTGGCATGACTCCAGTCTCCATTACGCTACACGATCCTTCACCGGGACCTTGATCAATACACACTCCTCAGACCCTACCTTCCATTCCCACCCTCGATCGTTCAAAATGGTCTCGCCAGACCTCGATCAAGATATCTCGCCGGTGCCCCGATCTCGTGAGGAGAACCAAGAGCGGTAAGCTTCCTCCTCATTGTCCCCTATTTCCACCGTGTCCATCTATAGCTTCGGAGGAGTGTATTGCTATGTCGGACGCATACGACTTGTCAACCAAAAAGCTGATGTTAGGGGCTTTAGGGCTTTCATCGCGGCGTCGCGGCGTAAGGACCGCAGCCTGGATGCTCGTCTAGAGTCCGCCAACCGGGCGTCAATGCTGCATAAGAAGCGCACCGGTAAAGCCTTTCACATCACGAAAGAGATTGTAGAGAAAGAGGCCATGTACGAGGAGGTCGATGAGCGCTATCAAGAAAAACGCATCCGGATGCTGCAAGCACAGAACATGCAGATCGAGGAGCAGTTCCATCGCCACTTGTTGGCGGCCTTTGCTGCTCGAAGCAACTCTAACTCGACAGCTTCGTCCATCGCCAGTCGGCGCGCAAGTCTGGCACCACACGCTTCTGGGGACGCCATCAACGCTCGGAAGATGAGTCTCGATCTCTCCAACTTACGCTCTCCTTTCCCTGCTGGACCAGGGTCTGCTTCGATGGCCAGTCCAGCCACTACCGGGGACGGTTACTTGCTTTCCCCCTCTGCCACGTCCACCTATGATCCCAATACGCAACAATACCTCGGAAGCTGTGCTGACGGCTCCGCTCACTACCCCACGCACATGGTCACTGTCGCCACTCCATCGGCACAGATCCCAGCATACGCGTTCCAACCCCAGACGCCCACGCCTACTTGGGGTCAGATGAATTGGGCACCATATCAACATCAGGTGCCCACTCCCTCTCAGACGCCAAGTGATGCGCACGCCGTCCGTATGTGGCAACAGCAGATGATGCAACACGCCCAAATGCCTGCGGACGCCGCCGCCGCGATTCAGATGCGACAATTCCGGGATCGCTTGGCTTCAGCGCCAGAGCTATCGGTACAACATCTTGCTCAGCCGAGCCAGCATTCCATGGCGCCTACCGCCTCCATCTCCGGTCCCAGCAGTAGCCACGGTCACGGTCATTCTCGTGGACACTCCCAGCCCAGCAACGACCCTCGCAACAATCTTCAGCTTCTTACTCAAGGCACACACCTCGCCCACTTGACGCCTTCCAACACGAGCTCCCCACAAGTCGAGTCTTTCTCCACAGAGACCCAGTCCACACCCGAGTTCTGCCCCACTCCCAACACACCTCTTTCCCCCACAGCGATGAATACCTTGCACAATGGAGGAATGATCCCCAAGATGGATGGCGATGGCGGTGAAGGACTCATGGTCTCGCATGAGGAATCAGATCCAGATTTCAATGAATTCAGCGAATTTGCGCTCGGTCTTCCCACCGGCTCTGGGTCTTTTTCCGACCGAGAACCTTTTGGTTTTGACGAATTCGTGGCACTGGATGATTTTGGCACCGTTTCTTGCTAACTTCTTGATCACTCTCCTTTGCTGTCTTTGTTTTCTCTTCGCCACTTTTCAGCTTGGCTGGTGGGATATTCTTTCCTCCCTCTATTCTTCCACGCTTTTTTCCGGTCTCATCTGAATGATTCCCCTCCTCCCATATTCTTTTTTTCGATTTTCTTCTACCCTTTGTACATAGGATTCTGGTCTTGGCTTGCACATTGCTTCGTGTATCATACGGTCTTCTACGACACGGCCCTTTTCTGGCTTTTTACTTTTGACCTCATGGAGACTTGCCTCTCTCATTGAACGAATGGATACTCATTTTTCTTTCCCAAACAATCATCTATACGTACAAGACTCGCGGATATTACATTGGTGATCAATTCACAGAACACTTGTGTCTTGCATCATATTTACTTTCCAGTAACGAGCCGCCGAAGGTAACCTTAGGAGAGCGCTACCCTCCCGGTTGACTTTGACCACCCTGAAGCTTCTCACGTGCGTGGACCAATCTCGCTTTCTCTTTCCCTCAGCTTTTCTCTCCGCACGAAAAATCAAACTCTGCTTCGATGTGTTCGCGGTGTGTGCGTCGGTGTCTAACCCGTCTCAGTGACCCGTCATGAAAGCACCCATGGCCTAGGTGTCACTCGTCAGGAACTGCAATTGCACGGTTACATTTGCCACCAAAAACGACGTGCAAACTTCCCAATCCGGCGACTTTGACATCTTCCAATGCTCAGCTAGAAACTACGATCTGCTTTCCCTCTCCTTCATTCTCAGCCGGCTAGGCCAGAGATCGAATTTCCCCCCCCCCCCCCCCCCCTCAATCTCTGTCCATGGGAACAGGTTTAACATTGTCGGTCGCGACCTTTCAGCGCCGCCGATTCAGGAAGATCCCAGCTCCACAATCAATGATTCACTCGCGATCCGCTCCAATTCCAAATCTCAACTCGCGCAACTCGCTTGATTCGCTCGATTGGCGATGGGCGATGGGCGATTGGCTTTGCCTGCCATGGTGCTCTTGACATCCGTCCTCGCCCTCTGGCGCGATGATTTGACTCGGAGGGAGAATGATTCCCGGGACACAGTGTGAACCCTGGGCCAAGTCTGCGGGAGAGTCTCCATCGCACTGAGCCGCAAAAGTGTGCTGTAGTAGCCGATGCGAGACTTGCCTGTTCCAGGAGCGGTTTTCGACTCAGCTAGGCTTTGGAAGCAGCACGAGGACATGATTCCCAACGACGATGGACCGTTCCGTTCTTTGATCGTGATCGGCTATGCTACAGCACAGGGGTTTCCTGTCAGTACTTGATGAGATTGAGTACCTATGCTGTTTTTTGTAGTAGGGTCTTGCGCCTTGGAACCATACTGGGGGGCTGGAAAAGAGCTTCAGGTTGGCAAGGGGGTGACGTACCTGATCTTAGAAACCGTTCAATAGTGTGAGCGCTCAGCGGTGGTCCCCCGCGAGATCTTGATCTTGATCTTGATCATTTACATTTCTGGCCGGAAGTTGAATGATCACTCTCCTTCTCTTTCCTTGCATGTTCAATCTGCTACCTGCCATCGAACTAATGGCTTGTCGCTCCTTCCGCCGTTTACAAATTGAGGGACGGACAATTGGAAGTTCACGATCAAACCTCTGTGCGATTGTATTGTCTGACACTCTCATGGCCGTCAACAACCGCAATGCTCCAACACAGCGACACCATGGACGTTATTGGAAAGACTCGTGAACGGCCCGAGAGTCAATGACTGTGTGTCAGCACGAAGCCGGAGCTCGTGATCGTGATTAATCATCGATGCTCTACGTAAGCGATCTTACTCTTGCAGACCCATCACCGTATATATTTCCTCCCCATTCTAAGCCACTCCAGCCTCGAGCTGCCCTGTGCTTTTCGGAGGAAGGGAGGGAACCCAGAATGGGCGGGGGGGGGGGGCAAAATGACTCGGGCGCACACGATTGGCCCAGCTCGACCTAGTCATGAGCTTATTACATACAAGCGGGCGTTTCCCGACAACCTGGATCAGATGTGAGAGCTACTGAATGTAGAGAAAGGGAGGGGGTCTTTGCGCCCAGGAGCATTGACCGTACGAATGGTATGCCTAGCGTGGCCGTGAGGATAGTACGGAATCGATATCGCTTGCAGAGAACGAACAAGAAAATGCCCCGACATGGTTCTAATTGGACAGTCACGTATCCGACTTGACGGTAGGTTAGTTGCCTGTGTTTTCTATTGGATTTTCGCCTCTCTTGACTGGGTCTCGGCACTAAGCGGACGATTGGTCTTTGGTCTTTGGTTTTTTTTTTTTTTTTTTTTTTTTTTCGATTTCGTGACAAAATTGCGATTTTTGGGGGAACGACTGCCTATGTCGAAAGGACGCCTTGAGTCAGCCTTGTTACAGGTTCAACTACTCCCATTTCCCATTTTCTTATTTCTCCCTCAGATCTCGCCGGACTTTCCTTGGCTCTGACCAGAAAATTGGGGAAGAGGAGATCTTAAGAGCTCAATGCATATCGCACGTGTCTTGTCGTCTCGATCCACAGCACAAGTATGATCGAGCAATTTGTTCGGGAGTTGCAAAACAAGCAAAGTTATACTGGATGATGTACAAATATGTGCATACTCATCCTGCATAGTGCATAGTGCATACCCCATCCATGACCCCAATTGACGATCGGTCACGAGGACCAAGAGCGGGGCCCATCTACCTTGGGTGGAGAGCTCCGAGAGGTTACTGGTTTGTGAGACCCGACTCTCCTCATCGAAGAATGCGTCCGACCTCCGTAGATTACCTGTGACTGTGACTTTGACTGTGAATGTCGGTCCTTCAGATCAGCGGAGATGTGTAAATTGAGATTGAAAGAGGGGCAGTGGCTGGGGCCACCTGCAGCATCTCGTCATCGCTACATGGAGATGGGATCTTCAATTCATCATCGCAATACGAACGACCAAAACCCGTTGCCGGAGGGATGGCATCATCTGTCGATTGTCCGGGGACTTTGTAATAAGCTAATAATCTATGTATGCGCCATGATAGTCCTTTCTCAATTTTAGAGCACTATGTTTTACTTTTTTTTATTCTTTTTTTTTTAAACCAAAGTGCTGGGTGTCTGTGCGGACTGCGGAGTACTGCTCCAGGTTTTGATGTGTTTGGGTGTTTTTAACGGATGGATCTGCGAGGTTTTGTAGATTCTCTTGTTCGCGTTGGCAAATCTGCGCCCAAGACTCCTGGGGTAACCGATCCTTCGAGAATTTGAATACCTTGCCTTGCTCTTTAGCTTCTCACTCGAGAGAATTAGTGTGCCAGCGTGGAATCAGCTCGCCCTCTAGAGAGTCCAGTCGAGTTGGTAGTTTACTATTGAGTCAGTACTAGTAGTAACTATGGTACTGTTCACGGTGGGCTTATTCGAGGATATTCCAGTACTTTAGTACTTACTCTCCCACTCGATCAAACGGGAAGAGGGGCCGGGACCGGGGCCGGGGCCGAAGCCGGGGACGGGGACGGGGACGGGGACGGGGGGTTCAGCTCACAATTACGGGGTTAAAGTTGCAGCTTGCCTCCTCCCCGCCCGCACAGACCGTCGTCAATATGCGATCGGACCAACAAGCTTCAACCACGGTTTTTGATGGCGCCGTTTACGCTGGGTGAAAGTCGACTTTGAGGTAGTTTGTGGAAATTAGTTCTTTCTTTTTCTTTTTCAAGTGCACAGTGATGCGCTGTTGTAGGCGATGCGGAGATATGGATTTGGTCATGAGGGAAGACTTGGGTGAAACCCACCTAATTTGAAAAACAGTACTTGGTAAATACTAAAATACGACTTTTTTCAAAGCTCCACTTGTACTCGGGTCTAGACTGGTCGGCGCAGCTCGCTGGTGGAACGGGATCCGAGCGGGATCTTCACCCGTGGATCATCAATCCATGAACACAACCTGGCCAAGGGAGGAATATGCATCGTAGTACTTCGGTGATTGCAGGACTGCCCAGCTTAGGGGATGTATATAGTATAGTATAGTGTATAGTATAGTACATAGTATAGTACATAGTATAGTACATACCTTCTGCTGCCTGTCAAGACCCATAAATTTGACAATCTCGGATCCACGGATAGCGTCGGCGCGTGCGTGCTGAAAGGTCCCGCCATTGGGTGTGTTCAAGTGTTGTGTCCTTATCTCCGTCTCCGTCTCTGGGGCAAGGGGAGGTGGACAGTAGGACAAGTCTATCCTTCGATACTATCAGCTCACGCACGAGATCCTGAGAGTCGGAGTCATGCTTGAGATGGTGGTAGGGCACTTTCGAGCGATCATGAATCGAAGAGCTTTGGTCCTGACTCGGGGGGTTCACTACTGTCTGGGAGGATTCCCAACGACTTATCTACAATGTACTCTTCCTTTGTGCGATGGGTGAGAGTGGAAGTATTCTGGAGATACAGGAGAGACGAGCCCACAAGGTAAGGCCGGGATGATATCAGAGGACTTGATTCGATTCGGTTCGAGTATGCTGACCGAGTTGGAAAGATTTCAAGTGTATTGACGGTCTTTTCGCAGGGCTTTTCCATTGACGGTCTTTTCGTCGGGCTTTTCCATTGACGGTCTTTTCGCAGGGCTTTTCCTTGACGGTCTTTTCGCAGGGTCTTTTCAACCAACATGAATCTTCTCGTGACCTGGCTACAAGCATTCTCGACGGGTAACGCCTTCAGCCATCAAGTCACCAAGAAAAGTCCTGACGACGTGGGACAAATTGCCTCTCCAACAGGAGACCAATTGATCTACTCCAGAAAAATAGCCAACCTACCCACGTGGAATGGAAATCCATGGGAAACCGACCATCCACGAGACGTTTCTCGACTGCAACGGTCCTCGACATGGAATAGTCAGGGGCCAGGCCGGCCGATATCTGTGCATGCTTAGCTGGGCATCTGCTTCTGCTGCTCGTCTTTGGGTATCAGGGTTCTTTTCTCATCAGGAAAAAAGCCACGGGAGACAGGAGATCAGAAGTGCTCTTGAGTAAGGCCAGACGAGCGTGCTTCACTGATCAACTGGAAGGATCTGGACCGGTCGCTGGACTCGACCCTTCTTCATCTAACCGTCTTCAGACCCATTGTCGTCTTGAAGAAATCGAGAACAAAAATAACCACCTCAGCAACGATCGAAGGTGACGTTGACCCAACGAGTAGTCGAGGTACACTTCAAGGTGGACATTTTTTCTCTTACTCAACGTCGTGTAAACTAAACAATCGCCACACCTTTGACATGTCCATATCAAGCCACACAGCCCACTCACACGACCATCGTTTGGAGTCCAGCCACAGTGCCGACCGAGTATCTCGTATCTCTTCATGCACATCTCGATCAGCGAATCAAAGCATTCAACACCCGATCGATTGACACCATCCTCTTCCCAACCGCCTAAGCAGATTCATCTCCACGTACCCATGGAGAAGCATCTGCATGCTATAGCGCGGGTACATGGTGGAGACTGGACACCCGAGACTAGAGACCCGAGAAGCGAAACCCTTTCTACCTGGATGCAGGCCTCGATCCCAATTCCTCAACATCATCAAGACACGAACGCAAGTCCCAAGTCGACCACGGTACTTTGAGCGGGTGATCCCCTTGAAGATGACCCTAATCGGGTTGCTCTTCAAGATGGATCCCTCGTCTCGTGGAGAAGTCTTCTTCTTATCGTCCAGTCGATAAGGAAGTGGTATAGTGGCATTTTGTTCGGCCCTCAAGCCGACGAGTCTAGACACACTCGCCTTCGAAGACTGCGCCTTCCGGCTGGACTCGTTTCGACCATGTCCCGGTGCTGGGGAGGGAACGAGGCTCGCGAGGCGTTTGGGCGTGGGGTGGGTAGTGGCTGCGACTGAACCATGTTATACGATCACGCAATATTCGCCTTTGGCTGTCTGTTATAAGATATGGTTGTGTAGTAGACTGTGGTACATACTACTACATAGTACACACTTCTACATAGTACACACTAACCTACACACTATATGCATGCGTCAGTTTTGTGAGTACCGGGCAACCTCTGGCCCTCGACGATGATCAGCAAATTGGTTCCTATCCACGGCGCTGGTGCAAAGCCATTGTCTGCGATGATGACTACATCATACAAAAACGTCTACACTATCTATACAGTCCGCTTACAGAGTTAGCCTCAGCCAGGTAAGGCGGCTGTGACCCTTCCTTCCCTCGAAGAGTGAATAGATATAATCTCAAACAGTGATCTTGACGCGAGTGGACCTTGCACGCTACCTGCAAGTCTCTCGATCTATTTGCTTGCCGGATCTGAGCCGGACAGCCCAGCCCGCAAGGGAACGGAACCCCCATGAGGCTCAATGATATACAACGGCCGTGCATGTATGATACTTCAGGTATGGATGGAGTTATTAGGACTAGGAACGTATCTTGTAGACTTGTACTGGTGCCACTGCTATACACTTCTGTACCTGAGGGTCCTGCTCTTACCAACAACTGTAGTACTGTAGTATTGTAGTACTGTAGTACTGTAGTACTCTAGTGTATTGTCCAAATTCCCCATCGCTTTTAGGCGATCTCCAAACTCCGATCGAGTACCGCCAACCAAGTTCCTTCCGCGAGAGGTGGGCTTCATTTCCCGAGAGTAGCGGCTCCACCAGTCTAGTTCTACTGTTCTACTATGCCCTGATTCAGTATGGCCTTGGCCATGCCGTGATGCACGAGGGATGCACTAGTAACCCAGCGGAGTGGGACCCGCCGCGAAACTCTAATCGTTCAACCAACGTCAGATGCATCATGCGTGTCCACTGTCCACTGTCCACTGTCCAGTGGTCGACTGGTCCAAACTGCAGAAACACTCGCTTCGATGCACCACGGGGCTTTTTTTTTTGGCTGCTGATTATTCAACAGGACGTGATCCGTCAGTAGACGGAGAACTGGAAATGGTGCATATCACGACTGATAAAGGAAACTTGATGGATGGCTCACCTATGGCAGGGTTATCGCCCAGTCGAAGCATCGGATCTTTTCTATTTCATGAACCTCTGACTCGTGATGCGGAGTAGCAGATTCAAACGATTTTCCAAATATGGTTCTAGTCCTACAGGTCTCCTGGGCCTTCCCACCAAGTAGACAGCTCGCAATGTAGTGTATTTATCCTTTTGACACCACAGAGACGTGGAATCTGGACAGAGGACGCCGGGACGGGGAATAGAAGGGTCGAATTGCGGGTTCGGTGCCTCAGCAAGTACAATGAGCGTCTGAATGACGTATTCCTTGTCAAGGAGATGCAAGACTTAAGATGGTCAGAAATGAACTGAGAAACAAGCTCCATTGACAATCAAGCCGAACTGTGTGGGAATCGCCATATGGCAATAAGAATAAGACGTAACCGAAAACCAGAAAGAGTCATACTGAAACCTGTTAAAGTAAGAAGAGTGATTCCTCCGGACCCAGTCAACTCGGAACCTCCAGAATACATAGAACTCAAACACGCTATGTTGAGAGAATGAAAATGTAAATAGAAAGACGACGCAGCTTGTGCGAGATCCCCAGTACGCCAGGAAAGAACTTAGAGCGTCTTACAAGGAGACTGTCAACCCCTAGACGCCACCGCGGCTGAACATTTCACGGCCCATCTCCGCACTCCGACGTACACTGACACTCGACGAGCTGCTACGCCGTCGACGCCGGGATTCATCGGGATCCGCCGGGTTCAACCCACTTGCACGAGCATGTAAATTCAAAATGTCGGTCAAGCTAACGACACCCACCAGGCGCCCAGATAACCGAGCCCCGGGCAGAGCTGAGGCAGGAATTGAGGGTGCCACGGGCTGTACCGTCACGCTGGACGAGACTGATGGGAAAGGCGCCGTGGGACCAGAGGATGGGAATGGCGTGGGAAGATGCGGTGTGAACGGAGCTGAGGCCTGCGATGATGGGTTGCTTGACGCTGCCGGGGCTTGCGATTGAGTTCCTTGGGCGCCCGTCGTCGCTGATGTGGCCGGTGCAGCCAATGGAACATGCGCAGTTGAATGAGACGGAGTGGGTGGTCCGGAAGACATTGGGGATGCTGGATCAGTCACCCAGAGACTGCAGTTGATCGCCAATTAGCGACCATGCAACGGCGAGAATTCTTATGTTTGTACCTACCGATGCGATCGCGTCGCCACAAGCTTGGCGACGGTATGTGCAAGCGTCGAAGTCGGGTGGACATGAAAGACGGGAAACGAGTCTTTGCCCTCAATCAAGCCACGAGTGGAAAGAATCACAGAGATGAAATGGGTGCAAGTATTTTGCAGAAGCGGTAAAGACGACGACCGAGTGAGAAGCTAAGATATTGATCAGACACATCGCCCCAAAACAATTGAACGAGCAACGATGCCAGCAGAGGGGCGTGTACTTACCTTGACGTCTGTAGTGGAAATGTTTCCAATTACATTCCAATGATTGTCAACTACAACAAGAGAGGAGATACCTTCAGAATCCATCAACTGAAGTGCCTCGCTCAGAGGCTTGTCACCACTGCAAAGCAGAACCCCACGGTCAGAAATCGGATGTCAAATGTCACAACAGGCCAACCCTTCCTCAATGCTGAAAGTGCTCTTACTTGATGGAAATGACGTTGTGAGATCCGAGACGCAGCAAATTTAGAGCTTGTGGATAGAGCTCCTCAAGCACAGGGAAGCTTCGACCATTCTCCCAGAGAAACTTGACGAGGCGGAATTGACTGAAGATGCCGACCACCTCCTCGTCGTTCGGCTCCTTGGTCACGACGACGCGATGAATCCCACCTCCAAAGACTTCAATGGCCCTGAGTACGTTCGCAGACGCTGGTAGGGTGACCAGCGGCTCTTTTTCCATACCCAATGCCTTGACATCCTTGAGGGGAATCTTCTCCCCATCTCGAGCTTTTTTCGCGAGCTCCTCGAATGAGCTTCGATTCAATTCTTCTGGTGCGGTGAGCCCGGCGGCTAACAGAAGATATGTGTTCAGGTCGGAGTAGTCGAATGTCGCAACGGCAGATTTCTGCTCGGCCGTTTCACGGATCAGGAGAACGGGGGCACAAGAATCAATCAAAATCTAGTAGCAAGAGGATTAGCTTCCGAGGTGTGCGAATAGTGAGAAAACAATCTCCCGGCGACCACCGACATTTGTTGCCTCCTCAACACCTGTATCCAACTCCACAAATTGCAGATCGCCCGGGCTTACGAGTTCCCCAATGGAGATTTCGCGCCAATCCCGGTCGATGAACGCTGGATCAGGATTCTTGGGCGGGGGAGGATTGTCGATTAAGCTCTGAATAGCGGACTGTGTGAGAGAGGGCTGTCGTCGGCTTCTGGGAGAGCTCGGTGGTCCGCGTAGTGTTTCACTCAAGCTCTGGCGATGTTGGTGATTCGCTGCCGGCATGTGTGTCACGCGTAGTTGGCTTTGATTGCGAGAGGACCGGCTGTCGGTGCTCGAACGAGACGATGCTACACTCGAAGCATTCTCAATCTCTGAAGGACCTTTGGGAGAGGTATCACCTCCTTCCAGAGTCGGCTGGTTATCTGCCATTTGTCGCAGTATTTTCGCGCTGTCAACCCGATATGATAAACTTATAAGAGGGGCGACTTGGAGGTCGTCTAGCAATCGCAGGTGACGCGGGGGTTGAGGTGAGTGGAGCCAATGAGCGAGTCGGGATTCCTGACATCATGCGCTTCCGACTTCAATTGACTGCCTCCCCACATCACGTGGATCTGGCTCTCTTATGTAAGCCGCCGCTTCAGCCGTGCACCCGGTGACCCTTCACGTTAACTAGTACTTCACTACTAACTACCTACCTTACACGGTTACAGTATAGTTATACTCACTATACTGAAGTACAGTATCATCATGCATTGCTATCGAAGTACCAGGAGGGAAAAAAGGGCGGCACTCATGAACGCACTCAGGTTTTATTCACCGACTATGCCGATGTAGATGTAGACCGTCATTGCGGTAGAGTCCCAAAGATGAAATGCGAACCCAGCTCTGAACCGGAAAACTCCTGGCTTCGGCACATACTATTCCCATCTGAGAGGCTGGACCTTCATTTCGTATCAGAGGCTTACATTGCCAGGAAATCATTGAGTACATCCATCGCATTCTTTGAGCCTTGCTGCCTCATGACTCGTTTACCACGGTCTCGCGGCTGTCGTTCTTCGACCGGAGCTTGTCTCTTGGGATGACTTTCTCCTGACCTGGTCACAATGAAGATCGATTTGGCTGCATACCTTGCCCTTCTTGAGATCTTGTCTGAGTCAGCGTAATCCAGATGAGGGATTGCAAACTCGAGAACAGGGCATCTGGGAGACGGGGGCGTCTGGGTCGGATGTGCACCTTGCCCATCAGAGCGTCCACAGTTTTTGAGTGTTCGGTACATGGAGAAGAGTGGTCCCAAGTGTCTGACAATGCATTCTTCCTGCGTCCCACTAGGTAGATGATCGAATCTTCGAATGAGCCAGCCATTCTGCAGCAGAGCACGCTTAGAGCCTCCGAGCTTTTGATTCAGGCACCTTGTGATCTCTTCACACCGGTACAACACAACGACTTTCAACTGCGGAAATCTTTCCAGCATCCAAAATACTTTGCTTGTGAGGCCTTTTTGCTCATAGAGCCGCAAGACCTGGAGTCTTTGAAATTGCCCTGAAGATTGAACACCTTGAAGCCAAGAGTGAACCAGGCTGTCGTCCATACCTGTGGAGGTGTGTTCTTGGAAAGCGATCGTATTTTTGTTCACGGGTGTTTCATTGTTAATCTCGAGTGCGACCAGATCCGTGATCTGGGCCATATTCACAAGGTCGGCGGTGCTAGCGTATGCCGTAGAGAAAGACAGCACCGCGTTCCAACTATGAGACCGGCTGTGCATCATTTTGAGGTAGGGTCCTATTGAAGATGAAGGAACTTTGACTCTCAAGGTATATGATGGACTGAGTTGATGAAAGTCATGTGGATAGCAACTGCACATGATCTGCCACATCAACAATGTTTGCTTGCTTCTATTGGACATGATACCCATGTAAGCTACAATCCATACCACAACAGCAAGCCCAGTGTCATACCTCGTTCGGAGAAACTCCCATATCTCTTGCGCTATCTTCCAAGGCACATGCTCAAATAACTCAGACTTGATCATGGATTGATCCGCGAACAAGCCTTTCAAGGCAGAGGCCTTCAAGGAAGGTGCACCAAGTTGCGTATTCCTCGGGTCCCTGTAGGGGAGAAAGGGGCTCTCGTGAAGCCAGTATGATCCCCGCTTGAAATCAGTCTGAACAGATTGCGATTCGTGTATGATAGACATTGCGGATGGTTCATCAGCCACTCAAGCTACTGCACAGTAAAAAGGTGACCTTTGGTCTGGTGACCAAGTAAAGCTGGGCAAATTAAATTACCCCAAAGATCTGATTGATGTTGAGTTCGTATGCGACATGGTCTACAGCGAGCTTATAGTGATTTGCATGACGCGACCTGCGCGTAGGGAGGGAACGCGTCAGGCTTGAGGCTTTGCCGATTAGACATGCCTACAGTTGATATTCACGTGATACGATACCTCGCCAACAGGTCAGCAGTCAACAAGCACCTTCTCTAGGCATGGCCTTTTGAGTCATTTGATAATAATACAGTTGCAGTGTTAGTTAGAATCATTGCTCATTAATTTGGCCAAAAAATCAAAGTGGAGAGTTGTGTGCGCTTCTCGGTGACAGACTTGTGAAAATTTGTTGTCCATATGGTAACCGGAAGCTGCAGCCGTCATCGACTTGGAAGCTGGAATATGCATCCTTCCTTGCGCGGTTAAAGTGGATGTTCGAAGCCCTACTTGAGAGATTACCACCTTTCTGCCCGGGTTGCTATTATATTCCCACCTCGGGTCATCAGATTCCAGACCTATGAGGCGGTCTTGTACGTCTACGATCCTGAATTTGGCGAGTCTCCAATGGACCCGGCCGTCTACATGTACTCATGAGCTTCGAAGACGGAAGATTCGAACCAAGCATACATGAATAAACTACGCAGTAATGTTCAACATTCATATTTTCAATAAGGTGGGGCCGCCATCGACGGTTCATACTCGACCTATCAGTCCCAATCCAACAAACAGCCATGGACACCGGAGAATGAAACATAGTACTGCAAAGGTGTCAATCGCTAAATACCAGCAAAACGACAGAGACATGGAGCAGTCAGAAGTGAGAAAAATATGTCCAATTAATTATGGGGACTTCACATCACATAGAGAAGGTTCGTGTCTGTGGAAAAAAGTTAGCATCCATGAGATCAACGGAAGATTGGCGACCAGTGGGCTTGCACAATAAACATCAAACCTACCGATAGGGTGGCTGCAACTCAGCTGCGGCTTTTGGGTGTATTTAGTTGAAAGCTCGTCTCGAATACTGTTGAGTAGCTGGACGTAACTCTGCTGGGGATTCTTCCGCAAGGCGGCGATAAAGGCCCAGGACATGGCGCCTGTAGCCTGGCCCTCAATTTGAGCGTCCTGGCTGGTTTGGTCATCCTTACTGCCGGACCACATAATCACGTCTGCCGGGCTCGTCTTCGTCTGCTTGTTGCGCTCATACACTTCGTCACCTTTCGTGGCTTTTTTGAGGAAGCCCATCGCAGTGGACATCATGCCTCCCATGTCACCACGCGCGTATGCTGAGACAACACTCAGAAGACCCTGACCAGCTTCCTTGGCCAAATTGGGCTCCTTGAGAATTCCGGCTGTGGAATAGATGTAAGGAAGATCCAGCGCAGACCCCGAGTGGCAGGAATCGAAAATGGCCGTCAGTCGCACACCGGGTTGGAGTGATTGGACCATAATCCGGTGCATCTCATCATCAACAATGTGACCTGCAACTCTGAAATCAACAGGATAGATGACCTCGTCGTATCCGTCGTCTTCGTCGCCGTCCAGATCTGGTGTTTGACCACCATGTCCTATATAAACATACAAGGTTAGCGGATGAAATCTGAATGAAGATGCAATTGCCAAAAGGATTTGACTGTCACCTACCCGAGTAGTGGAAGAAGAGTGAATCGTTGGGCTGCGCGTCTTTGACCAGCCAGTGCATTGCACGCAGTATGTTCGCCTTGGTGGGCTGGCTCATGGGATTCTGTTGATCGTCGGTGAGGAGGACCATGTCCTCACGGGCATAGCCAAAGTTTTGATTGAGGTACGTCGACATATTCTTCACGTCATTGATACATCCTCGAAGCTGACCCTTCTGTCCAAAGTAGTTGATTCCAATGAGCAGCGCCTTTCTCTTGCCGGTACAGCGCGAATACTGGAAGCTGTATCCCTGAGGAGCACCGTGGCCGAACGACACGGGGGCACTGGGAGGAGGGGGTGGGCCGCCACCTGGCGGGGGGCCATAGCTCCCTGATAATCCAAGTCAACACATGTCGTTCATTCAACAGAAAGAGCTCTGTGATTTGTCTTCTACCATCGCGAGTTGAGAAGACGGCACTAACCTGGTTGACGACCATGCATAGGCGGACCAGGAGGCGGCTGCTGATAGCCCGATGGAGGTCCCTGCTGGATTTCAACAAGCTAATGTCAGGATTGTGCTTCATGAGCTTGAAAAAAAAAGTTGCCTGGAAACATACGTGGTGTCCTTGAGGCGGAGCAGGCGATCCGTAAGGCTGAGGCGGCTGCTGCGAGTGACTGTATCCGTAGGGATTCGGCTGCTGTGGTGGCGGCTGGTGGTGGGGATAAGATTGGCCGGGATAGCCACCATATTGCTGCTGTTGCTGATGCATTCCACTATGAAACAACAACGATCGTGTCAGCGCTGATATGGACACCTGAGGTCAACTTGGCGGAAGCGCATACGGATATTGCTGTTGCGGGGGGTAGGCTTGCTGAGGTGGGGGATAGCCCGGGGCGCCCTGGTAGGGCGGGTACCAAGACATCCTGCTGGAATGAATTCGAGATCCTTCAAAGGCGGAAGGGTCTCGGAGGAACACCACAAGGACAAAGAGAGCAAGCAAAAGATATCGGCGGCAAGTGGAAGAAAAAATATGTGTAAGAAAGAAAGCTGATGGAGTTGGGCTGGATGTGGAGAAGGCCGATCTATTGCCGCGCTCGATCGGAGGCACGGGACGGCGCGCCAAGGCCCAGCGGGACCGTTCATGATAACTTGACGATGACACTACCACAAAATTTCGGGTTTCTGAATGAATGAGATTCCACAGTGGTGGTAAGATTTATCTAATCGAATCATTCTACTCCGTCGCTCCATGAATCGTTCAACTATAACTCCACGAGCCTTGAGAATGCGAAGCTCTTCGAAGATTCAATCGGCCATTCATTTGTGTCAGAGACAGAGCATCCTAATCTTGCAAGGAATACAAAAAAATGAGCGACTGGACCAGGCCACAGCCTCACGCAGACCCTCCGGTATATGTTGGCATACATTGACAGACATGATATGGTATAAGCAGAGGCAAGATGCACCTGATCCTGTCCCTGTGCCCGCCGCGCGAGACACTTTATCCTGAGATCTTCGGTAGACGACAACCCTCTGCCCCGACGGTCTCACATTATGGCACTCTTGGTTGGTACTGTAGGTATCGATGCAGCCGAAAACGAGTTCACATTTCACACAGCATAAAGCTTGGTCTATACTCTATCCATTATTCGATTCGGGACTGAGTTCAGGTACATACCGCATCGGTGAAGTGGTCACGTACTAAACCAAGAACCAACTATACTGAATCTGTTTTGACTTTTTTTCGGCACCTCCGAACGGGCTGGCCTCGTTGTCACGAACGTGGCCCCGCCAAGCATACTCAAGCGACGGTCAGATCCAATAGACATCGATGGCATTGTGCTCAAAGCACGAGATGGCCAATACGTGGATCAGCCACGAATGCAAATACGCGCCGCATCTGGTCTGTCGCTCCATAATCTATTACGCTAGAGATTGACTAGCTAGAATATGGGTAGGCCTAAATGTGTTGTGAGTCCGTGACATGAGCGACGTAGTTAGACTCAAGTCCTCCCCTGTCAGCCGATCTAGCAAGAGGCTAGTCTGGAAGCAGCCCAGCCCTTGCGACCTCAATCTCCGCTTCCGAAGTACCCGAAAGTTAGTAGTAGTGGTGCATCTTCCTCGGAAAAGTGCCACAGTCTGTACTCTGTAGTCTGTAGTCTGTACTGATTCAGTACTACTAGTGCCATTTTGGTCCAGATGCCAGCCTCAAGTCAGCCCCCTGATTCAGGTACAAGGGTGGGTATCTCACCTTTCTCACATGTAGCCATGTTCCAAATCCCGGGTGGGATCCCAAGTTGCGTTTGGTGTCTTCTGCTAGGCTCTGTCCATCGTCATTTCGAACGTCAGCCCAACGTGCGCATGTAACGAGCACCCGATCGTGCTTTGGATTATCTCCCCGTATCAAGTTTAGAGAGAAGCTCAGCGGGCAAGGTTTGTTCATAGTCAGTGACACCTATAATCCTCCCGGGAGGTGGGCGGCAATAGTCAGAAGATCGTCCTCGCATTGTATTATGTACTTGTGGGAAGCTGCGGGTGACATTGAGGTGACGATAGTGAGGGTTCGACTATGTATCCACACATTCCACCCTTATCTTCTTCAATCATTTCCCTGTATCGCACATCTACTTCGCCTTGGTATATTGGTAAACATCAAAGCAATGATCGTCATGTATCCAGTGAGGTGGAAAAAGTCATCCCCGAGGCTTCTCGCCTTCCCCTTCAGAGCCATCTCCCACTGACATTGGATCCGACGACCTCGCATTTTTTTTATTGTGGTCTGCTACCTGATCATGGCATTAAATCATACTCTAACGACGAGGCATTCCGCGACCACGACCACGGAGAGCGCGCTGGGCGGCGCCGGGAGGAAGACCTCCGGCGGGAGCACCGGGCTGAGCAGACTCCTCGTTCTCTGTGGGTTCCCACGTCAGTGCTTGCGGTCTTCTAAATCTAAACGGAGTAGGGGTGACTTACTGATCGTCTCGTCCACGCTCAGAATCAAGCAAGCAGCCTCCACGGCGGCTTGGATCGCATTGACCTTGACCAAGCTAGGCTCCCAAACAAAGGCGGCCATGTTGTCCCGAACGCCCTCGTTGTCAAAGTCCACACCAGCCCAGAGATTGTTCTTTCGGTGCTCCACACGCAACCGGTTGAGGATATCTGTAGCATCGAAGCCAGCGTTGTCGCAAAGCTGGCGGGGAATGACCTCGAGGGCCTTAGCGAAGGCCTTGACGACGGCCTGCTGCTTGTGAGGTACATTGCGATCAGCATAGCCATGCAGATAGCTTGACAACTCCATCTCGGTCGCGCCACCGCCGGCAACGATCGTGGTGTTGCGCAGAGCACGCTTCACAATCATGATCGCGTCGTGCAGACTTCGGTCAACCTCGGCGATGAACTGCTCAGCACCACCACGCAGGATAAGAGTACACGTCTTAGCAGCCGGGCACTCGGAGAACAAATTGAAGCGCTCTCCACCAATCTGACGCTCCTCGAATGCACCACAAGTACCGAGGTGACGATCCTGGATGTCACTGCAAGTGGATTGGGTAGCAGCACCAGTGGCCTGGCAGACACGGTCCATATCGTCAGAAGCCACACGGCCAGCACAGAAGATGTCGCGGTCCGCAAAGTATCTGAGGTCGTGAAAGGTAATACGTTAGCAATTGCAAAGCAAATCGACGCAGGACATCAAAGGAAACTAAAGAACTGAGGTACTCACTGGGTAGCAAGATCACCAATGGGCAGCTTGCTCAGAACGACCTTGGCTCCAGTCTTGTAGATAGCTTCCAGCTTGTTGAAAATGATCTTCCACTCGGCATCGACGATAGCCTGGTATTCCGAAACTTGCTCAACGCGAACTTCCGCATTGTCTTTCTCGCTCTTCAGCTCCAGCTCCACATTAAGACACACAATCTTTGGGTCCTTGAAGTACTTGGGCTGCTGCTCAAATCCAGCGTAAGAGAATGTCTTCTTGAACGCCACACCGTTCACGAAGAGAGAGTCCTGCAGACCACCACCGGTAACCTTCTTCACGCCAATCAACTTCTCATTCAGATCATCCTGGTCCAATGAGAGGACTGCATCCACGACCACTAGAAGAATCGCACAAACACATTGTTAGCCGCTACATCGAGAAAAGCAGAGGCGGGTTTCAGGGCCAGTATCTTACTCTTTGTGAAGAAATCCGAGTTGCGCTTGATCAGCTTGCTGTTCATCGCGGTCGCCGCCAATCGTCGGAGAGTCTCAATCTTCTTCTCCTCGCTTCCTGCCGAGTCCAGTATATCCACCGCGATCTCCTTGACCTTGTTCACGGCCATGGAACCTGCGCGCCGAAGACCCTTGATGATGGTCTGCGAGCTGACGCCCTGCTCGACCAAGTCACGAACCTCCTTGAGAATCTCACCGGCGAGGACAACCACGGAGGTTGTTCCATCACCAACCTCGGCGTCTTGAGATCGGGCAATGTCTGTAAGAATGCGGGCGGCGGGGTGTACGATGTCGAGCAACTGTTGCGAACGTCGCTAGTGTTAGTCTCATTTTCGTAGCACTCCACTGTCTGCGCGGTTCAGAATTATTTCGCACCTTCATGACGGTTGCGCCATCGTTGGTAATCGTCTGTTTGCCATTGCTATCCACAAGCAGGAGGTCACCGCCATAGGGACCCAAAGTGCTCTTGACTGTAGATTGCACAGCAACGCAAGCGTTGATATTGGAGATGATCTGGCCCTTGCCCTGAGAAGCGTCGGTGCCTGTTCGATTCGATTGACAACAATTAGCATATTTGAGGATTATCCCACCAAAATGGCCGTTCGGGGGGTAGATTGAAGACACGAACCTTCCTTCAGCACGACAATCGTTGGTGTTTGGCCGTTGAAGGCCATGATGTGAGTTATATGTAAACCGAGACGGTTTCAGAGGGAGGAAAAAAGGGATTGTATGAGAGGATTGTACTTTGGTCCTGGTCGGTACACAGGAGTCGGAGGGGTTTGCTGATCGATCACGGCCAAAATTTCCCAAAGCTTCCATTCTCCCCTCAGAAGCCCCGAAGGCCCAGAAGGCGGTGACCAGCCCGCACACTCTAAAGGTGCTAACTCAAAGGTAACCAACGACCAACTTTATGAACAACAGGGTCAGGGCTAATGAGTGAAAAACACACGTACAGAAAAAATTCATAAAACCTGACTATATAGGTACACACCAGACCAGAATTTAAGACTTGGATTGGAATTCACAATTTCATTGAATAGGACTTTTTATATCAGTCAGTCAATTTCAAGTTCTCAACAGAAGTCCCCCGATATACCTCGTAACGACCTAAACGACCTTCTGGTCTCCAGACTCATGAATATCACCAAGTGGTCCCGTCGCGTTGAGGTCAACAAGCTCTGTGGTAGGATGATACTTTTCAAGTCACACTGTACATTGATTTTCCATTCGCAGAGGCCCTGGACATGATCGAGTTCAGAGCAAAGTTGGAAGAGCCCGGCATTCATCACCAGGTTTGATTCTATGACTCGTAGATTAGTCAATGTCAACGCTATCGGGCCACTTGACGAGGTTCCGCATTTTCCACCTCACGGCTTTCAGGTCGAAGCGTGGAGCTCGGGTCCTTAAGCAGGCAGGTTGTGATTAAGTTGTATTAGGCCGTGAGGTAAGCCTCGGTCTGACTACCGCAACAGACTACGATCATCATGTGGTGTGATTGAAGCACACCCTTCCCAAAGCTACCAAGGTAGATGTCTCCTGAGCCGTATCATGGGACTACTCTGCAATTCTATCTTGCCTCCGTCATGATGGAAGTTTTCAGGTTCACTTGGCGTCAAAGCTTAGAAACAGTGCTAATGTGTAGTGGGTATCCCTTTCGAGTCCGACGAGAAATGAGGTGATGATCCCCGAAATGATGTCTTAACATTGATCAGAAAATTCGACTTCGACGCCAACGGCGATTTCCTGTTAAACTCAGTAATTCCCAAGGTGCATGAACGTCCCCAACGCCCGAGTCCAGCTCAGGTAAAGTCGTAGTTCGCATCAGAAGGGTTACCGTATTCATACTTTGAGAGCAACTCGGCGTCATGTTGCAAGTCTTGATGAGATGAATGATTCATCATACCAAGTACTTCTTGCCGGAAAGGATCAGAGCCATCGTCGACCATCATCTGATAAGCATTACTGGCAGTATGAAAGCGCATAGCATCGTCGAAATTTGACATGTTCATGTGTTGGGGTCCGGGTGCAAAAGCGCCCGCCATGGCATTTTGATGCTGATATCGACGCAGCTGTTGCTGCAGCTGCATTATCTGGGGATCCAGTGGCATGGGACTGAAGCCTGTCATAGGGTGCACAGTTTGCGGAATATTTGCAGGGACGGATGCGTGGATGAATGGATCATTACTTGAAGAGTCGTCCGGTGCTTCGTCCATGGCTTGTGTTATGTCGTTTTGAATTTCAGAATGCACATCAGAGGGCTCTGGTTGTCCGTGGTCGTTAAGGTCCTCCATGTCCATTTCCGCATTTTCGGCAGACGCAGACCGGTCGTCATCCTTGGCGTCTGAGTTCGGTGGTGCTTTGAGAGTCTCCTTGCACTGTGGACAGTCTCGAATCACTCGGTTCACTGTCTCCTTGATTCGCACCCAATGAAACTTTACTGCGATGGCGGCCGTCGTCTTGTTGATCCCCGCATGCTGTTTCATATGGACTTCTTTGGCAATCTCATACTGCTGTTGTGGATCAGAGACAACTTCTTTGTCTTTCAACATCAGTTTCTCGGGTTCGCCGTCGTCGCCGCCAAGTAGCTTGTAGTGGGTGGCAGCACTGCGAAGTCGGCTCTTCTCAGCTCGGTCCGCTCCCCTGGGGTATTTCGAGTGCTTCAGATAGTATCTGATCTTTTCGAACCGATCCTGTGAGACAGAGTCCTCGCCATCCAGACTCAGGCCACGGCCATAGATAATGGCATCGACGAATTCTCCAGGTTGAGACTTAAGCTGACCTCCGCCGGGGACTCGACCAATGCGCTTGAACCCTAACGAATCCCAGAGTCGGCATGAGGCCACGTTAGTCTCGTAAACCAGGTTGAAAACCGCATATGTGTACCCCTGTCAAATATGTTGGTGTGAGACAGTTGAGCGAAAGGCAAAGTCGCTTCCAGGTATGGCGTTACTCACCAAGCGAGGCGCCCATTCGAGATATGCTTCTCCCATCAGCCGACCTACACCTTTATTTCGAGCGGCGTCTGTGACTATGAAGGTTCCGTTACAGACGTGGCTGCTGCGGCCAGGGTAGTTAGGTCGGATATGGAAGCCACCTAGACAGATCTTGGTCCAATTTGCGCCGGCGCGGTCCATCGTATGGGTTTGCTGAACATTCTGGATATCACCCAGCAGCATCACAACACCAAAGTTGGAGAACCAGTATCGTCCAAACTGCGCCAAAGGAATCGGTTCCGTCATGGCATATGTATCTCCCTTCTCAATTTCTTTGTTGAATTGATCAGAGAGATATTTCAGTAATGGTCGAGGAACATCGTCCGCCGAGGCGAACGGCAGAAGCGTTGCGACAGTCACACGATCTCTGAGTGTGACCTGTCTTGGATTCAACGCCAGAGGATAATCCATTTGTCCAAGCCTCGTCACAACGGGCTCGGCATCACCATGGACTTCGGACATGTTGGTATAGTAGTCCGACGATGCTGGTCACGGGACTCTCTGCCATACTAGTCAGGACACACTCTCACACTCTCTCGTCCCCAACAGTTTCCAGGGTGCCCCCAAGAAAGGGGTGGAATAAGAGATAATGGATGGTGTACAGCTGCCGACCAAGAGAAAATCATCGCCACAGACTGCACGGAATTCTCTTCTGCGACTGACTGTAAGACAATCCAAAGATCCCAGTCACTGACCTTCCCTATTGCTTCTAGAAGCTTGTTATTCGCACTTCGAGGACCGCGTGGGTATTCTCGAGTCCGGAATGGCTACAACGCAAGTTACAGAAGCCGTGGTCCTTGCTGACTCATTTCCCTGGCCTCAGGCCATTCATCGTGACCGCACTTCATATCTGAGCCCGGCCCGGTCCCAATAACTGGAAGAACATCTTGTTGAGTTGATTAATAACTATCACTAGTGCTTGGTACAGGTCTCTTTGTCATACGCACATTCATTTCTAATTCCTTATTTTTCACACTGAGGAAGACATGTTATTGGGCAGCTCATGTGCTCACCCCAAATCATGAGACAAACGGCTGGCTGTCGTGAGGGTCTTCAGTAGTAGCGACCAGGACATCAGCACCTCCGAGCGACCGGTCACATGTATGAGCTAGTGCGGTGCAGTACTAGATATCATCTGCCGGCTGAGGTAATGACTTCACCGCGGCGGCGAAGGATTCAATCGCTATCACAATTTGGGCTTTGACCGTCGTTTGCTCAGCTCAAGCCTTCCAAGGCTACCAAGCTGCTCAGTGGCCATGATCGATTAGCGAACGACGATCCCCCGCCTAGCACATAGGTTGAGCGTTATATAAATGATTCTTCGCGGCCTTACTTGCGAATAAATCATCCCATCCAATATCAGCTGAAATCCATATTGACTACTCATTCCAATTGATCACCGCGATGATTATCTCACAACGGCCACGATTCTACGAAAACAAATTAGTGCCGGTGGAAATCAATCCAGTGTCGCTCATCGACAGTCTGCGTCAGCTTCGCATGGCCGTGCACAATGGTGCGGACAAATTGAACGCGAATGAGCCACTTCATGATAAATGGAACCATGGGGGAATGTTCCTTACATTTTCAGGTATCTCTCACGCGCAGATTGATTTCCTTTAAACGCCCCCAACGAGCTTGCTGTGCTATTCAGATTGGGCTTTAGGGATCTCTCTAGCTTTCTTGCGTCTCGACTATCAGAATCCAGTACTGTCTAGTGGCAATGCAACTGCCTCGTCATTCCTGAAAGATGCACTGGCAAGAATTCCATGTGGGCTTCCGGATGTGCCTTTGATCCCATCACGATTATCCCCGGCAGGGTCATTCTCGCCATTGGCCGCTGTTACTCTACGCATTCTCGCGGAAGTTGCAAAGAGCGGATGGGGCGCCGGTGAGAGGCCCAGTATTGCTCCGGAACTCATTAAATGCCTAGAAGATGCTGTCAATCTGGCACTCGAAAATCCATGGATTCTGCCTCATGGCGAACATCGAATGGGTGGAGATGAGATTCTTTACGGTCGTGCCGGCCTGCTTTGGCTGCTTTTGAATGTTCGAGCTCACCAGTATGATGAGTCGACTACTAAGCTTCTTTCTCCTGTCCTTGCTAAACTCCCTAACTTGATCGGTGTAATCATCGACGCCGGCCGCGAGGGCTCCAAGCACTATCGACAGGAGCACAGTGATGAAGATGCGCATCCACTCATGTATGCTTGGATGGAGGGTCATTATGGATTTGGCGCGTGGGTATCTTCTCCATATCAGCTACTTCAGGGCCAGCTTGCTAACTCTCGTGAAAAATCGACAGTGCTCATGGAGCTAGTAAGTGAGATCCAGGGAAAATAGACCAACGCATCGCCAAGCTAATCAATAGATCATAGCGGGTATTCTCTCTGTTCTACTCTCCTGTGCGACAGAAGAGATATCGGAATATATCTCGGAGATCGGTGAGACCATCACAGCACTATGCAAATTTTGTGTGGCTCACAGTGGCCATCTGCCAAAGGCTCTCCCGCCTCGAGATTCAAATGAGCCATCCGAGCTTGTGCAATTCTGTCATGGTTCCCCTGCAATCTTGTTATTGTTGGGCGTGGCCTTCAACAATGAGCAGCTCACACAAGGCTATTGGCATCCAGCATGGGACCAGGCGTTGTACCAGGCGACCTGCCGCGTGTGGGAAGAGGGCCTTCTTTCGAAGGGAGGTAGCTTGTGCCATGGTGTTTCTGGGAATGCGTGGCCATGGCTACTTTTACACGACGCATTCGAGTACAAGGCTGATGTGATCAATGGTGCCAGGAGCAGATTCTTCCAGAACAGTGCTGGATTGGAATCACTGGACGAAAGTCTCCCTTCCAGGCTGACCCCAGACTTCTTTCTGTCGCGAGCATTGGCCTTCATGTTGCATTCATTTGAGACACGTCCGTACAGGGATGATCAAGTTCCCTCGGAGTACGACTATTGCATGCCTGACGAGCCAAACTCACTGTTCAATGGACTGGCAGGAAACCTTGTCGCCTGGGCTGAAACTTGCGCAGTCGTGCAAGCCCGACTGCGTAGGATGATGCTCTCTGAGGACAGGGGTAGTCTTAAGAATGATCATGCTTTCCAGGAAGCGCTTCGATGTCGGTTGGGTTTTCCAATGATTGGTGGCAACGGTGCCCGGGGTGCTCTTTGAGTCTCCAGCTATATCGTGCCTCCGTGAAAGTCGAAAAGCTTACAGGCCACTTTCATCAAGAGTTGGAGACGCCGGATTTAATGACATTGTGTTGCTTCGGGCTTGTACACAGGAAGAGATCTGTTATGCTCCGTTCAAAATCCTCAATTCGCTTCTATCACCTCCGGGCAGTTCAAGCCCGTATAGGTTATATGATAATCAATGAGTGCATTTGAAACAAAGCGATGTGGTATTACTTTAGAACTATGGACCACCTAACTGTGAATACTCATGGAGAAGTCATGGAGAAGGCGTGCTTGAAACTTTTACCTGCGAAGTCCACATGAATCGGGCTGCCCGTACCCGACGTAGCCAGGGCAGGCCTGGCGAAGCCCAAAAGATAAGGTATCCCGGAATATATATCTGGAACCCTTTCGAATGGGGTAGCTGGTTGGAAGATCCTGCCCGTCCTGGTGTCGAATTCTCGGTCATTCCACACAGGCACACACAGTGTTATCGAGTGAACCGATCATATGAAGCGAAAGATCCAAGTAGCGAGGACGACGTCACCTGCCTCCTTATAGTGTCATAAAAATCTGCCGTTTTCTGATCTCGTGCATTCCCAAGGAGTTGGCAAAAACACATGCCCTCGTCCAGGTTCGAACTGGAGACCTTCGGATTACCACCCTGTTAGAGCAGGGTCGTCATATGATCCGTATGAGACCGACGTCATAACCAACTAGACCACGAAGGCAGCTGCGATATGTGCAAAGTTATGGCTTTATCAACCTCTTCTTTATTGCCTCTTTCACAAGTTCAGGCCCAGTTGAGTACGCCTGGGTTTTAAGACTTGACAGCACAGCAAGTGCCCTTAAGGAGGGCCACACAATGCAGACAAGATTATCTCCAAGATGGTCCATCTGCTAAAAATGCCATGAATTGCCCTTTCCAAACTACCGTGATGTTTCAAACATCATTCAAGCCCTCCTCTATTACAACCGAGAGAGACGGGCTGGAACACACTATTCTCCTTTCAGTTCCGAGAGGCATCAGCAGACCACATCGGCAGGCAAAAAAAGAGGGCTCTCCGCCTTCTCAGCCTATTCGGGGCCATCTCGGGGTCACGACTTTTCTGATTTTCTAGGATCTTGAAGCATCTCCAGTGATCGATGACTCTCCTGCCATCTCCACTCGCCCAGTCCACCTTGGGCGAAAAGTGCGCAGTCTATTTGGATCACGTCAGCGACCAACTTCCCTTGTTCCTGCACTCCCTTCGCCCTCGGCTCGATCCTTATTTGACCTCTTCGGCCTCGACACTCCGATCGGTCGCGCAGGCGCTGCCATTCGAAGTCGACGAACAAATTCTTGCTGTCACTGCTACAGTTCTCATCCTTGTTTCGAGTGTGATCGCCATGAGTTGGGGAAACCCTTTCAACAATCTCTGGCGGCGCTCGCCCAATTACGCCAATGCCCCGCAAGTTCGCGATGATGACTATAGCTACATCACCCCGGGCGATATCGTCGACCCTTCTGCACAGCCGGCCCGATACGGTAATCGGTATGACGCCGGCTCCGCCGAGAATGAGCCAGATATCATCTGTCTCAAGCACCGGGGAACGACCTACCCGTTGCATTTCCGACCCTACGCCATCGACGATGGGTTGTTGACTGTGGGAGATCTACGCCACACGGCTGCCGCGAAGATGGGTGCCAGCCACCCTAATCAGATTCGACTGCTGTACAAAGGCAACCTTTTAAAGGATGATCACCGAAGTTGCAAGGCAGAGGGTTTGAAGCAACATTCTCAGGTCTTTTGTGTCGTTTCTGAAGCCGGATCCTTGACACCAAGCGACGTTTCTGACCCCGACAATGCGTCTGCTCAAGAAGTCACCATCGATACCGACGAAGTGCTTGGGCCAGTTAACTCCTCTGGCAAGAAGAAGAGCAACAAGAAGAAAAAGAAGAAGGCGGGGAAGCGTAGCGAGGAGGCTTCTGCGTCAGACTTCCTCTCGCCGTCGCCTTCCTCTGTGCCGCCCAGGCCCACCTCTGCTGGCGCAGGCACTCCGGCCCCTTCCCCTAACATAAAGATTCTCAAGACCCCACTCGAACAAGTCAACGCCTTGACCGCGTATCTCCAACAGGTGTTGGTTCCGCTATGTGAAGAATATCTCGCGAACCCACCAACAGATACGAAGAAGCGAGAGTTCGAATATCGGAAACTGAGTGAGACAATTCTGGCACAAGTGATGTTGAAGGCCGATGGCATTGAACCCGACGGAAACGAGGTCGTTCGCAATGCCCGCAAAGCTTTGATTAAAGAAGCACAAAGCTGCCTAAACCGGTTGGATGAAGTCGGCAAAGAGCAATCCTAGCCAAACCCTTCAATCTTGACCATTGATAAATCCTTCTTGGAATGAACCATGTCGTTGGAGCTTTGTCCACGAGCTCGGCAGGCACTATAAAGCTTGGGACCTGATGACCAGAAAGTAGGGCTAGTATATCAATAGCCCCCGGTGCAGCGATCTACTATACGTCTGCCAAAGTCGTTCGCTTCTCGGCCATTGCCGTCTATAGCGCGAATTGATCCACAGCTCTCTAGGCTCCATCGCATCCACGCATTGTCGGGCCATGAGGTCACGCCGAGCTTACGGGAATCTGAGAAAACATAGATCCCTGACGGGAAATCACTTTCCTTCTATCTTGTAGCCAGGCTCAAATTACGTGCTCAAATTATAGACAACCCTTATAATGACATTTGATGGATAGCTGCGAGAATGATTGGGTTATGTTTCATACTCACGACAAGCTTGTTCATACTTCATGGGTCAATCTTGTGTTTCGGCTCACATTCATGACGGTACATACTACATAGATCCATTAACAATGCGTCAGGCAAGCTCAAGGCGGAATGGACGTTAGTGTCCCAGCGCAGATGTTGGCATGATAAGCGCCTCGTAAGATGTACCCTTACCATGCCTTGATGCACGACCTTATCCCAGGCTTAGTTTTCAAACATATTTCGATCATTACCGGGCCTTATCAAAATTGGCTGTTATAACATCCACTTTAATACCGAACAAGATGGCACGCCTGATATCGCTGGGGGTAGTGTGGCTGAGGATCGCTTATGAAACCTCCTCAATCCAGATTGGCCCCCAACCTCACATTATTTACCACAAAGGCCCTGCGGCGGATGGCGTGGTATTGTTCGTGGACTCAATGAATTTCCCACAGTCTCTCCCTTTCTCCTCATTGTCGACGGCGTAACTGCCTCGCAATGACCCAAGATGAGTGACATTTCCAGTACAGGGCGGTTGTTAAAAGGCTCTGCGAGAACGTGCCAGAATTGTGCCCGGGCCAAGATTCGATGCGTACGCTCTTCCCCGGGGGGCAGCTGCGATCGGTGAGCTACCGGCTTCCGCAATTATTGCATAGCCAAGTGCTGACTCTTGTGAAGGTGTGGCCGCTTAGGGAAGGCCTGTCACTTTCAGCCGGGGAGACGACCAAATGGCACTGCCAACCCTAACACCAGCCGAGAGGACAAGATCAATGCGCTGGAAGCTAAACTGGACCGGCTTCTTGCTCAGTCAGTCGACACAGAGCCGCCTGCAGTGGTCGTCGATGGTCAAGAACCGTCAGAAGCTCCAGCAGCACAATCTAGAGATGTCATCGATCAGGGCTATCTGACCCTCGAGGCGGCAGACCGGCTGCTTCATGACTACAAGACTACCATGATGCCTTATTGTCCCTTCGTGCCAATTCCATCAGACGCGACCGCCGCGTCTTTGCGTAAAGACAAACCATTTCTGTTTCTCACTATTCTCACCACAGCATTGCATGATAATATGCCTTTGCAACGGAAATTAGAAGTGCAAGTCAAACGGGCAATCGGCCATTCTATGATCCATGACGGGCCTGTCACATGTGAGATGCTTCAGGGCATTTTAGTCCATTTAGCCTGGTGAGACAAATTTGACCTAATCCCTCTGAGATTCATTCTTTCCAAAAGCTCAACCAGCAAAACAGGTGTCAATATCATGCACGGCCACGACGCGTGACTCAGTACCTGCATCTGGGGATCAGTATCATTACGGATCTGCAGCTTGACCGTGACCCTGCCGATCGATTCTGGAAACAACGAGTCGGGTTCGATCGTGCAGATTCGCGAGGAGCCGTCTCCTGGGGCAACGAGGAGAGAAGAGCCGTGATAGGTTATTTCTGGTTCTCATCATGGTGAGGAAGAACCGCGAATCATGTACCTGGGCAAGCTGACATTCTCCATAGTGTCTCACAGATCTTGCAAAAACGCTCCTCGTTTCCATGGGTGCCGTATCTCGAGGCATCGTGTGAATTTTTGGCCTCGAATCCAGAGTATGAGTGCGATCGGATTCTATCACATATTGTCGAGCTCCAACGCTTGTATGAGAGAGTCGCACAGGTATCTTCGCTACACAAGCCCGACACTCATCACACAGATGAGCTGGAATACGACTACCGTCAAATCCGAACACAGCTGGATCTGTTTCGGAGTCGACTACCATTTGTGTTGAATGACAATGGTGAGATCTCATCTGTCTTGTTCACGTAGCCTTTTCTCACGCTCGTTCTCCCAACCTGCAGAAATTCTTTTCATGCAATTCTACGCGATGGAACTCTACATATGTCAAATCCTTTTGTTCGATGTAAAGCCGGATTCTCAGCATCCACGACATAACTCCCCGTTCCAAGTGGAGATCCTTCGAATGGGCCTTGCTGCGGCGCGCACTATGCTAGAATTCTGGACGTCATTGCCCCTGCGCCGTGAGGTGATATTCAACAATACATCTTGGACACAGCTTGGATTCGCCGTCACGCTAGCTTGTAAGCTTGTGGTAGCAGCGTCAGAACCGCCAGTTCGACCACTCACCGCTGACCTGATTGCCGCATTGAATCTGTCCAACACGCTCAGCCGATGTATTCTGCGCATGCAAGCGCTAGTGACGGCCCAGATGGACGCCAAAGGAGACCGTGACGTCTTTTATCATTATGAGAAACGTCTCAAACAAGCGCAGTGGTGGTTTGAGAGCCGTGCTCTATCTCAGTCGGAACAGGATCAAAGCCCCGCAAACACAATGGACGAACCATCAAGCCTCAGTATCCCTCAGATGTCATCGCAAGATGGGCTTCAGACTTACTACGGCAAACTTGGGGATGACTTCAATTTTCAATGGCCCGGATTTTTCCCAACTCGCGTATTTGAAGAATACTTCGCTGGATGGCCAGAGCAGGAGTCGATGACGTACGAAGAGACATTTTTATAGAAGGGAATCGATCTGTGTTTGCTTCGCCAATCTTGTGGCACCACACGACAGCTCGTATGCTACTCTGCGAATTGGGAAATACTATACAAGGAAAGCTTGCATTCTCTGGATACTCTTCCTGTCTCTAAATATTGGTGTCTTTGTGACGCCATAGATACACAAACCCATGATAAGCAAAGACAGAGCTGCCCCCAGCCTTCCAGTCCGACTTTTCACAAATTGTGATATGACCTCAACCTCACCTCCTCGAGCCTCCGTACTTTTGAATCAAGTAAAGAACGCACCTTTGCCACCACCAATGAAATGAGACGACGGCAGGATGGCAAGTAAAGTCCGCGAGGTACCAGAATATTGGAGCCAGACATCCAGCGTACGACTGATAAAAGCGGATCCCGAATCGAATCTGAAAGGGCCGGGAGAAGACTCAGTAAAGCTGGCCATTGATGTACTTAGGTTAGATTTCAATGCGAGCTCAATGAGAAACGGATGGCCAGGCGTATTGGCCATCGGCTCACTGCCAATGCTATACGGCCGGTGCTGAAGCAAGAGAGCTTCATTATGATGGCGAGATATGTCTGCACTCTCGAATCGCAGCAGCGAGTCTAACGGTCGAAGACAGCCAACTCGCGGGTCGATTTCTCGACCTCCATAGTGCCACAGGAAGAAAGGGCAAAGTATATCAATACGCTGCACAGGTAGAAGATAATTGGCATATGTTGAAAGGTACCATGGATAATTCGTGCCGATGAATTGGCGCGCTGTTTCCACTTCGGTACAGGTGTATTGCGGGCAGCTTGGGTTCTGGTCATGACAAAACGCAACTGCCTTGCTCCAATGCTGTGGTATCGTCGTGGTGTGCCGCATGCGATGAATCACCTGTAGAAACTCACCAACGGAGGGAGTGATTGGCACTGAATGGTTTTTTCGATAAGGTGGTGCCCATTCAACTGTATGATTGGATTGCGTCTGATGAAACTTTGTGCTCGGGCGTGCGATATAGTTCGAGTCATCCACCGTGACGAGGTAAGAGTTTAAGTTTGCTCGTAATTGGAGACACGAGTCGAGCCGTAATAAGCCGGTGATCAGCAAGGATATTGTTAGACATGCTTTGATTGAACCTTGGAAAGCCCAGATTTTGACGACCCTCAGCTTGGGAAAAGGCGAGATGGAGGATGTAAAGGAGCCGCAATCCACTGCGCCGTCGTTTCGAAAAGAGCATTAATTATGCTGCATCTTGGTGACCCAGCTCTGGAGCACACATTCGGCCTGAATTCTACGAATCAGAATCTGCGAGACCTAGGTTATACGAAGTTCTGAAAGTCATCGAACGGAATGAGTATGAGTAAAATTCAATTGTATACACCGGCATTGCATCCAATCACCCCCTAATCAGCCATATTCGCCAAGATGTAGACCCATACGATGTTGTTTAAATCGATTCCGCATTCTCGCCGTGAGACAATACTGGTCTGAAATCTGCTGAGTACTGCCTGGCAACGACTAATAGGTGAATAGGCACTGCAGTCGATAAGGTAGTCATCATAATTGTGGTCCACAATAGTACGAATGTCGGACGGACAGCCTCACAATCCCGTGTCCGTGTCCTTGTCCGTCTCCGAGTCCGCATCTTCCAATCTCAAAAGAACGATCAGCTATATCTGATTGCCTACTAATACACTGCAGTAGAGACTTGGCAATAATAATCTGGCATATTCAAGGCTTGCTGACCCGTGCCCGTGCCGTCTTTGTCCTTGGATCCTGGCCCGAGACCGAGCGTACACAGATCCAGCGACGTCCGATCAAACCGAAGATGCAGGCCAAACCAGAGATTAGGCCTCTGTACGGCCAAAGAGCTATGCAAGCATCCCTGACTCAGTCTGGGCGCTTTGCTCAGCCTCAAATCTGTAATGCGCCAAGGTCGAGCTAAGCTTTCATACTGTCTGCATTCATAGCATGTCAGCACGGACAAGGAATGCCGTGGTGGCCGAAGTGTTTGACACACAGCAGAATATAGCTAAGACGCAAAAAGTCCAGACTATCAGATGAGCGATCGTATGGATACATCTAGTCATAAATACCCTCGACTCGCAGACATGGAATCATCACAGATTGCAAGGACACCAACAGTAAACCGGGTTGCACACCCGATAAACCGCCAAGATGCCCAACTCAACAAACCCTTCGGATTATTGTACCTTGGGTACATGTCCCCTCTCCGAAGCACACGTCAATTATGTTCCCTCTTTGCCGGGAAATGCATTCTTTCTCGCCCTTTTCGCGGTCTTGTTGGCTGCTCAAGTGGTACTCGTCATTCGATATCGAACTTGGGGTTACTTTGCAGGCCTCTTCGGCGGACTCGTTCTGGAAGTGATTGGATACGCCGGACGATTACAGATGCACAACAATCCTTTTCGCTTTAATCCTTTCCTCGAGTAAGCTTCACATGCTCGAATTGTCCTTTTTGATCACAGTCTCTTTAGCCCGATGGAGATGATGCTGATCAGCCTACCAGGTACCTTGTCTGCTTGACTATTGCCCCAGCCTTCCTCAGTGGCTCGATTTACATCTGCCTGGGTCGCATAGTTACCATCTACGGCGAGAACATCTCCCGACTGCAGCCCAAGACCTATACAATCGTCTTTGTGACTTGTGATCTCGTGTCTCTCATCCTCCAGGCTGCAGGCGGAGCTATCACTTCCATGGCGAAGTCGAATCAGAATGGCCTGGCGCAGAACGGTATCAATATCATGATAGCTGGTCTGTCTTTTCAAGTTGCTTCTCTAGCCCTTTTCATGGGGCTCTGTCTTGACTTTGCATGGAAAGTGAGGAAACACCACCACGATCTCAATCCCAATATTCGCATGCGAGAAGTTCGTGAAAGCGTCCTCTGGAAAGCGTTCTTGGTTGGTACGTTCGACGATCACACTTGCCTACCCGGAATATAACACACGAGGGGTAGGACGTCTTTGGACTCGACTCAGACTAATGGAAGATCGACCACCAGGTCTTGCCCTCACTACATTGACGATTTTCGTGCGATCTACCTTTCGGGTTGCCGAGCTTCAAGGGGGATTCCACAGTGCGCTTGCCAATAATCAGGTGATGTTTATGATTCTCGAAGGTGCGATGATTGCTATCGCTACCATCTGCATGACCGTCCTCCATCCCGGCCTATGCTTCAACGGGCTCTGGGATGCAACCAAGTGGACTTTTCGCCGATCCCGCAAGGGCGAGCAGGATACAGTTGAAATGGGCGACAACCGAAAGGCTAGCCCTAGCCCAACTCTTGCCTAAAATGGATGAGGATGGGAGGCTGTGGATTCCTCAGCCGACCTGATCGATGGGTCTTGTCTCTTTTCATGGGGACTGAGCTTTGTTATTCGATGTGTGACTCTTTTTCTCTCTCTCTCTCTCTCTTTCTCACCTTTTCCCCCGAGGGCATTGCGACCGTAGTATCTTTGAAGTTGAGGATGTATGCAGCTCATTACTCTGAAATGTCATCTTGTTTGAGTTATTAGTCAATCGAGATCGCCACCTGATGCACTAACTTGCGATCGCACTTCTACACCGCTGCTGGCTCGCCTCCAGACTGAAATGATAGATAACCACCAGTTGAACGGGCGACATGACTCGTTGCTTTGCATTGTCAAAGCCCCGGTGTCAATGCTCCCCTATGCATCTCGGAGTCCGTGCCGACGGATTTCCAAGATAGGAGGATTTGTCAGTATCCGGTAGTTTGCAGATCTGGGTGAGAGCATTGGAATTGAGCGAATCATTGGCATTCAGCAGGAGAATATAGCATAAAGTCAAGAGAGAAATCAGTAACTAATGTAATAGATGGTGAAGAGCAGACCGACCTGTGTAGACTGTATTGATTTCCTGACTATTTTGGGGAACTGGCAAGCTGTGGGAAACAACCTCGGGCTTGTTCAACTCAGGTCAGACGCGACATAAGAAAAAAGCTACAAATATTCCTGGCGAGTATGGTGGACTGAGTTATTGAAGTGAGGATCATGGACGTTCGCTGCTCTGTCGATGAACCGCTGCGGACATGATGCTTGTGCATGTACAGTAGATCTCGTTGGCATTGAGGCCCAGGGATAATTCGAGCCTCATACGTCGTGGGGTTCAATAGCTCAACGGCCCGGGACAAAGTTTTGGGTTCAGGGGTCGAGTTCCTGGGTCCACTCTTACAGTCTAGACTTGAGAGTTGAGTCCATAATCCATATCTTGGGGCGTTCGTGGAAGACAACACAAGAGACGAGGCTAGATAGGGGCAAGGGTTCCAGTTTGATCTCAAGTAACAGAGCAGCGGACGTACATACTACTACATGGGGGTACAACTACAAACGGAGCATCACTGCGAGACCCCCAACGTAGAGGTTTGTAGTTGTGTACTTTGAGAGAGGGTCGCCAGACCCGCAGCATGGGGTTGACGCATCTGCTGGACTGTAAGAATTTGACGGATTATTTTGTTGTTTCGCGGGTTCTCCTTGTCCTTTGGCGACAGAATGAAGACTCCCGACCGGAACCGCTTTTTTTTTTCCATTCTTTTTTCCATTTTTTCGACATTGGGTCAAGCTAGTATGTGCCTCTCAACTTCTCAAGTGGGTGCTCCCGTCGGACATGCTTATCTCCTTCTAGGCTTCTACTACGGTATTTGAAGTTATCTTGACTCCTGCGCGTGCATGTACTGTCCCTACATGATCCGTACTCTAGATGGGTTACAATTCTCAGTGAGAGACATCAAGTTGGAGAGCTAGCATCTTGGCACAACGACGCATCTCATTTCCCGGGGGCACACTTAAAAGTGCGAGCTACTGCAAGACTCTCCTTCCAGAGTAGACAGGGAAACTCTGATTCAGTCCTTAGTCTCTATCGAGTTCCCATCATCTCCAGGCCCAGTTTCAGGCCCAGCGTTTTCATTTGACTGAAACTACTGGAACGACTCTTCAGCATCTTAGGGCTCGTACCGTTTTCTCTCCATTCGACACGTCTTCTTCCAGTCAATCCTGAGGGTCTTGCTTTCGTCGGATCTTCCGTTTGTAATTACTCACACCGATGCAGAACTCGCCTCCTGAGCCGGATGAGCTTTAGTCTGCTTTCCTGCTTTAGCCCGGCACTATGTACTATCCCGTACTAGTGATCCTTTGTTGGCGGGGCCTATTTAGGGTGTCTCTCTCTGGGTGGAACCCAATTATCGTCGTCTGAATTGCAGCGGTGCGATGCATGACATTTGCAGCTTCAGTAGTAGTAGTAGTAGTAGTAGTAGTAGTAGTAGTAGTAGTAGTAGTAGTAGTAGTAGTAATCATCCTGGGGGATAGGGGCTTTGTTAGTCACTCCACAAGTGACACCCAGCGGTCCTGGTCTCGCAATCTCTTCCTTCATACTTCTGGAAGGTGAGCTGGTTGTGCAGAGGTTGACTTGTCAGTACTCAGTAGTATGCTACTATGCTCTGCTGTAGATTCAGTTGTTGATAGTTAGTGGTGATACTCTTTCCAATTACTTAAGTTCTCAGTGGCTCTCACCAGTGACAAGGAGGGATAGGACCAAGTACTACTACTTTCAGAGTCTCTGCAGCATACCGCAGCACTACTGTTGAGTCTCTACGTCGAACCCTTTACACTTTTGCATCTCTTCATTCCCCTCTCTATCTTGCCTTGATTCTATTCTTCTATCGACTCTCCTTTTCCACCTCTCCCTCCCCTCCTTGCCTCTCCGCTCCGCCCCCCCAGCGGCGACCGGTCCCATCTCACTGACTTTCCCACTGTCTTCCCTTTCCGATCCTGTGATCCCGTTGCCATTGCCTACCCTCACAGCTGCTGTAGTGAGTAGTCTAACCTGGTGAACTCTCCACTCCCGACCCAGTCAAACTCAAAATCTCTTAGAAGCTTGGGACCTGCTCCAGCTTGACTTCAGCGTCACCACCACGACTGTAGAACCAGCAAGACAATTCACGTCCCCAGTCTCCACTGCCCAGTGCCGAGGCCGCAACGGAACCTGCGCCCCGTGACTCTCGCCCACTATTGAACGGCCCGCGAGGATTTGACTGGCGCCTCAGTTCCTTCTCTTCAACTGCTCCCGTGGATCCCCCAGTGAAGCTCCCGCGCCAGCTACAGCAACACTCGATCTGTATCGTCTTGAGAGACAGAGAGAGTGAAAGAGAGAGAGAGAGAGAGAGAGAGAGAGAGAGGGACCGCGGGTTGAGGAACAGCGGAGAAACTTGGTAGTTGAGCCCACCCCCAAAGAATCAAGATCTACCGTCCGTGATCATACACCACACGCTTTCTTCACGTCACTTTGTTCCAACTTCCCAGACCCAAAGTGGCTCACTAGTCTGCTGGCGGTGGTCTCGGCCAGCGGTTGACTCTGTCCCCACCAGGTTTGGAAAGCAGCCTCCGCTTTCTTCCCCCCCCTGCAGAGAGCACTACTCTTCGGTCTTCACTCTACGATCGCTGGCCTCCTTTGCCTCTCCTTCTCCCCACTGTGGGCTATTCGAACCCCCCTCCATCCTTGCACGCTCACATTGGGTGTCATCCACAGCGTCTGAACGGGGATCCAAATACAGTCAATTAATACATCGGTCATTCTGCGACCACACCATTGCCTACCTTTCAGCATCCACCCTCTCCTCTGACAGGCCTTCAGGCGAGGCACGGGTATGGAGTGAGTGGGACGCACTGCCCTCAAATTTTCTGGCCGTCATCAAAAGCAGACCCGGCTCCCTCTTTTGCCGTGTCCACCGTGCTTCTCTCGATCGGGATCCAGCTGGACTGGCATCTCTCTCCCCATCGCTCTTTGCAAAGAGGGAAAAATAACTCCCCCTCCCTCCTTAATACCAACACAACAACAACAGCAATTCCTACGTTCATTCGACCGGTTACCCAGTATACAACTTCGCGAATCGGGTGGGAATGGCGGGCATAGCGACTGCGTATTCTTCTGAAGCCTTGACCCCAGCTGGAGGCCTGGACAACGAAAAATGGGAATTCGCAGTCCCGATCGGAAATGAGGTATGTTTTACGTTGGATGGAAAGCCTCTACATCGTTCCTCGGCAGCAAATGATCAGGGAGTGGTCCACAGTGAGCGCGGGTTTGCCAAATAGATCTCCCCCATCACATGGAAATGAAGAATGATGTCGCTCGGACATTGACGAGACAGCACGAGAACCCGCCACTGACATGCATTCTTCCATTCCTTCTGCAGGGCCCCCGGCATTCCTCAAGACCTCGAAATTCTCATGACTCGAACCCCGCTCGTTCAAGATCCGCCAAGCAACGCAACTCCAATGGCTCGCGAAGCTCATCGATTTCGCGCGCGGTGCAATCGCACGATACATCGCACTTGAGCTCGGTTCGAGGTCGGAGGGATCACAGCCTGCATCGGCATGGCAATGACTACGGCGTTGCCTCGGCTACGGACTCGGTTGGCCACCGCGAGGACGAGAGATCGGAGTTTCAGGATGGCCACGTGGCTGCGCAGCCAGAGGAGATCAATGAAAATTGGATCCACCGAGACAAATTAGCGAAGATCGAGAGCGAGGAGCTTCAACAGGCGGCGATTCTCTTCCACAGGCGAATGCGCGCGGGGAGCAAATCGAGCGCCGGGCCAGGCAGGGGCTACGATGCCAGTTCAGGTGGCGCGTATGGCTCAACGCAGCCCACATCGCCAACCGGGAATCACTCGGAGCCGTGGCCGGAGCTGCATGAGCAACACGGCAGACCGCTCAGTGTGGGTGATGATCCGGAAGAAGGGCAAAATTCGTGGGATCTCCGTCGCCCAGAGGAAATCGCTTCGCAGGAAACGACGCCCAGTCTTTACAGTAACCCCGGTCTCCGCAAAAGCTCCTCCAGAATTCCCATTTCGACTGCGAGCCCTGTCCCGATTGGTCGTCGAAGCCGTGCAACTACGGGCGAATTCGACGACGAGGAATGGGGCCGTGGTCGTCGCGCGAGCGAGCCCATGATGGTCGAACCGGAGACTTCGACCCCATCGTCCGGAAGCCGTCCGGCGAGCCGCGGCTTCAGCACCACGCAAAATACCCCGGCCAAGAAAACACCTCCAAAGAGCACCGGTACACCGGGGTCGAGCACCCGCAAAACCTCGGCGCCTGCGGGCAACCGAAAACCTTCCGGGGCAAGGTCCCGGACAGTCTCCGGCAACACTTCGCAGCGACCCGTGACCCGTGGAGGAGAAGCTCGGCCTCCCAATGCGATCAATCGACCCGAAGGCGATCCGCCATGGTTGGCAACGATGTACAAGCCTGATCCTCGTCTCCCCCCTGATCAGCAATTGCTGCCGACCATCGCCCGCAAGATGCAGCAAGAACAGTGGGAAAAGGAAGGGCGCGCCCCGACGACCTATGACCGACACTTTGCACCGCTCGCTGTCCATTCGGATGAGCAGCCGCCTGTTCCGCCCAAGGTCGAGGAACCCGCCCCAGAAGTGAAGCCCGAAGAAAAGGTCGAGGAGCCAGCCAGATCGGTCAAGAGCCCTGAGCCCCCCGGCCAAACACAAGCACCGGCTATAGCACAATGCCAAAGGTGCAGGACACTCCACAAGTGGGCCTCACGCCAAACCCCAACTGGAACCCCCCGTGGTGACCGCAGAGCAGCCCTTTAAGAAGGGGAAAAGTTGCGGCTGTTGTGTCGTCATGTAGACCTTTGAGTCGATTCAGCTTGATTCTCCCTTTTCCTTTGATTTCCATCGGACGTCGGCGTCCCCCACAAACCTCGAACGTCGTTGCCTGCGTCTTTCTGTGGGCTGTTGTTTCCAAAACATCCGTTTCTCGGCCCATAGGAGGGTCTGCTTCCATTTTTTTCTGATCACCAGCGGCATGACCAGCGTCTCTTTCCTTTGATTCTCCCGTTTTCTGTCCATCCACGTTTCAACTTCGGATCGAAAGTAAGGCCGGACATCTGGCTTTTCTCGGCGTTGCCCACCAAGAAGCGGGCCAGGCAAAAATCCTCGTTGCTCATCCTGGGAATCAACTCGCGCCTTTCTTTCTCTTGATTTTGGTCCTGCATGTCCCCTTGTTTGACCTTTTCATTTCTCACACCCTTTCTCCTCGATAATTGCATGCTTGCTACCCACGATGGCTGTGGCATTCGTTGCTCTTGCGTGATGATGCATCCGAGCAGAGACACAATTTTCAAAGCGTCGAGGAATCGAAACCTCAACCATTCCTATCTTGCAAACTCGACTATCCGTCTTCCATATTTGCCTTCCCTAATAGATTATCCATCTTTCCTTTCCTCTTCATGTTTCCTCGGACATCACCGTCCTTGACACTACGGGCATACTTCTCCTTGAACATTTTCCCTCTTGTCCATTATGCACGGCGCCGACTTTTAGGCGCTAGAAATTTCCGCTGCGTTGTCTTGCCATATTCCCATGTTCTGTTACAAGCGTTTCTGCGATGTGGTTCCCGTGTTGATCTATCTCGTTTTTGATCTGTCCCAAGCCGTTCTCCGGGTGTTCATCTCTGTCGTCATTTAATTTCTTCTTTTTGTTGATCCTTGGAGCCATTGGAAGGGGAAACAGAAGCCAGTAACATTATTCTTGAATCAAAATTAGCATACTACGCAATGTGGATAGTATCATGTTATGGAGGTAGACAGCTGACTGACAAATGCCCCCTTCGCGGTCACCTTTCGAGTTCTTGTTGGTCGAATATGGCGGTCTCCGGTCGCCTCGCTCATATTTGGCACAGCCGAGAGATGTTGGCGAATGTATACACTTCTCAAGAATGCACCTGCGATATACTACTAGTAAGTAGTTACTGGTTGGCACTAACTTAACTAACTGAACGTCTGGATGGCTGAAGCCCTGGTAGGTGCTGACAAAGAGCGCGCGGGGCTGCTTAGGTGAACTTACTCCAGGAACAACTTAACCTGTCGGGCCCGCTCCCCTTTGCTTACGTAACCCCCATTGACATCACGGCAGTTCACGTCCCGCCCGATCCCTCGCCGCAACGATTTACCCGCACCGGATTTCGATCGCGCAATCGCTTTCTCTTTTTCTCCCCTCAACTCACAACGCTCAACTTTCATTTCCATTCACCCACTCCCACACATCATAAAAGAAACCAATTCTCTGCGGTTTCTTTTTCCCACCACAACTCGCCCATCATTTCCTTCATCTTCCAGCGTCTGTTCGGCTCCTTCGCCGGCCCTTCTCCCGCCGCGATGTCCGCCGCCAAAGCCAAGGCCCAGAGCCTGATCAACGAGAACGCCGTCATCGTCTTTTCCAAGTCTTATTGCCCGTACTGCAAGTCTAGCAAGGATTTGCTGAACAAGATCGGTGCCAAGTATAAGTTGCTGGAGCTTGATGAGTTGGGTGAGTTGGTTTTGAGATTGAGAGTCTTTTGCTTTGGGATCTTGTGTTTCTGGGGAGCGTGAAGCTCTGTTTTTTTTTTGTTTTTGTTTTTGAAACCCCTCCTCCTCTCCTCCTCCTCCTTGGGTTGTTCGGCATCCATGGATCCCGCGCGTGTTGACGGATGAGGCCGTGTTGCGGCTATCATTTCCGCATTCACGTAGCTTGCTCCTGCCACGAAACACAGCGACCATCGAAGCATCCCCATGAGAAAAAGAAAAGACTAACGGGAAATTGTCCACCTACAGAGGACGGCGCCGATATCCAAAGGGCGCTCGAGGAGATTTCCAACCAGCGCACCGTGCCCAACATCTTTATCAAGCAGAAGCACATTGGTGGAAACTCGGACCTGCAGGCTATTGCCAGCAAGCTTCCTGAGATGTTGAAGGATGCTGGTGCTGTTTGAGTGTGCGGTTACTGGGGGTTGCCGCCTCTGGTCGCATATATTAGATCATCTGGGATATTATAAAAATATATCTTGTTATTTCTACTTCTTCCTGCTGTTTGCTTTGCTGAGGCCTCTGGTGTAGGCTTGGTTTGGGACGGAGGAATTTCATTGTTGATTTACTAAGGTAGGAAGTAGGATCTCGGTGTTGTTGGAGGTTCATGATGGACTCCTGGGACGAACTGAATTGTCGAAAAAAGACATCTCGATATAGACAGAAATATTGTACAAAGAAAGGGCCGAGACAAGGGAAGCTGGGACGGCAGTGCCAGTCGCAAGTGCGGCAACCGTTTCACACCGATAGGTGAGAGGGGAATCGTCGCCAAAAAAAGATATCTGTTCTTGTCTTGTTCTCTCCTGTTTATCTTCTCATACAACACGCTGCACCACGGTTCCCACAGGCCGCTCCACTACCTTCATCAACCCATCCACAATGCTGCGTCTTGCACCCTCACTCGACACAGTCTTGCCAGCCAAGTAGTTCAACCACACCAATCGACTCACCCGCTCGTCATTCACCCGTCCCATCCACTGCATCGGCTTGGTCGCATCGGGTTGGAACAGCGCATCCAAGGCACCCTGAGCACCACGGAGCAACACGAGGGTCTGACCCTTGGGCACGTTCTTGCGCTGACCACCTCCAAACACGGCCTTGAAATCGTTCATGGACGTCCCGAACTGAGCGTCCTGGAACTCACCAGGCGCAGCAGCTCCCGGCAGAGTCTTCTTCTGCTGTGCGCGCGCAGTGATGCCCCGGACCCATCCATCGCGCAGATGCATGAAATCCGTATTGCGAGTGGGCACGATGCGGAACGCAGTGCGAATGCCATTCTCCTTGAGGAGCGCAGTCCAGGCGGCGTCGCCGCGCTCCGCATCAAGAAGGAGATCCTTGAGCTGCTGACGCTCAGGCGGAACGAGAGATGTAGCGGCGTCGACCCCGACGCCCGAAACGGCGTGGACATCGTCCGTGGGTGGGTGAATCGCCGTGTCGATCAGGCGCCGTTGCAGCTCGGTGATGTCGGCCTTGGCAACGTACAGGCCAACGACGTAGACTTGGATGGAAAGGAAGGAGACGGTGCGAATGCCGAGACCGAGAAGTTGATACTCGTCTCCGCCGGCCGTGGAGAGATCATCGCCTGCTGTCTTGCGCTCGAGCTCCGAAGTCGCGGGCAGTCGAATCGTTGTAGGGAAATAAGGAATCGTGCTTGTGCCAGTCTCGACCTGTTCGACATTCTCTTGACCATTTAGTGTGATGACAGAGGGTCCACCTGTGCTGGGAAACCCGGGCGGTCCGTCCATCTTCAACGCGCCGCTCGAAACTCGCGATACCTCTGTCGTTTCCTCGGTCCTGGATGCCTTGTTCTCTAGTGCATCCAGTCCGAATACATCGAGTTTGATGACGCCGTACATGGCAGCACCGCATGCGATCATCCCCGCTGCTGAAAGCTTGATCGAGCGCTTGGACTTTGCATACTCTTGTTCACTCTTTGGTCGTCCCACCGAGCGGAGAGGATTGGTGCCGCCGTTGTTTGCGGTCCGTAGAGGCCCCGTGGTCGCGAAGTACCGGGGAGCATTGTGACAATGCGACAGTCGCTGTCGTGCAAGGCTTTGATATGCACGCCAGGGATTTGCTCGAATGTGGGACGACATGATAGCGGTGCACTCAGTGTAGTGTGTATTGTATAAACCGTGGATTAGTTCATCTGCGGAGCGAGGCTCGTGTCGGAGTCGGAGTCGGATTGCTCGGGGTTGTGGGGTTCCACGTGACAAGCGCCGAACTATGGGAAGGCTCAAACCCCGTCTAGTACATTCACAGGTGTGTATATAAAGATTTCAATGCTCATGTTTTATAAAAAGTGCATTTGACAGCTGGTATGATTGCGAGAGACTTGTAGCGAGTGGTAGAAAACCGTCAAGGCGGTAATCACATCATTCATGGGAATTAATCCGCCAGTCGCGTACCCAGTAAGCCAAGCCAAGCCATTGCCTGTTGCTGTGATGCAATTCGAGCGCACGCAACAAGGAGCTCCAAACCTACGGGAAATGCAGTGGTTGACTCAGCACATTTCGTCCACCAAGTTTAGTTTAATAGTAATGGTCTATCTTGTAGGAATCTGACATGATGCGTTCGTAGTTGGATTCGTAGGACCTCAAAGATCGGCAGTTCTCGTCATGGCATCACTCCGGTCTCATTGCGATTTGAAATTCAACATGCGCTCCATTTCCAATCGAGCCTACGCAGGGTGCGATCCCAAGTCCTTGCACAAATGACTCCCTCTCAAGCATCTTCAATCATGCCGTCTGTCGAGTAATGCACCAAATCGTTTGGCGGAACTCGGATGAGGAGGGGGGAAAAAAGAGACAAAGCTGCATTTGGAAGAGGAAAAGGATATTTTCATTTTTCATTCATCGCAATGCACCTGGGGTCAGAAACATTGATCCTGAGAATGGTATGTTGGAATCGTCCCTTATTCTGTGGGAGTCCCTTCAATACACCCGCGCCGTTAAACCCGTCATTGCAATATGAACTTCAAAACCCGCACACACAAGACACCACTTAAGCCGACTTGTTCTTGCGAGCCTCACGGCCCTTGGCCTTGCGGGCCAGGATCTCCTCACGGTCCTTGTCGAGCTTGAGCTTGCTGATGACGACGTTGGAGGGGTGGATGGGGATGGGGACGGATTGACCGTTGGTCTTCTCGCGGACGACACGCTACAGAGAGAAAAGAGAAAGCGAGTTAGTGACTGGTCAAATTGCCGAGGCGATGCGTAGACGGCCGAATGGCGGAGCGGAAATGTACCTCAACGTGGACACAGAACTTCAGACGGTAGACGGTGGTGATGCGACCCTCACGACCCTTGTTGGTACCGGTGACGATGGTGACTGTAGGCGATAAAAACACTCAGTTTTTGCACATGAATTGCGGAAATTTGGGGTTGGTTTTCGAGATCTTACCCTCATCATCCTTGCGGATAGGGATAGAGCGGACCTGTTGCGATCGACGTTAGTTTCGCCTGTTCCTTTAGCTCTTCCATGTTTGGTCTCTTTTGCTTGTCCCGACTCGCTTTCCGTTATCGAACAGAGATTTTCGACAACAAGCAGATTCGTGCAAGTTCCAGGTCCCAAAGATCCTCCCCCCATGAAATTCGATTGGTTTCAACGTACACCGTACTTCTCGCGGAGCTCCTTGGACAGGGGAGCGCTCATGAGAATGCGGCGCTCCGAGGAGGGGGCCTGGAAGTAGGCCTTGCGGCTCTTGGAGCGGGAGGAAGCCAGTGCTGCAGACGTTCGTCAGTAATTATTTGCGAATATGGTTGCGTAGCGTCGATTGTTCGAGACATGTGTTTGCGGTCATTGAGAGATGAGGACGAAGGGCGAGACGATACGCACCGGTGTTGCGGACAGCCATTTTGACGGAGCGACTGGGTGGTGTCGTGAATGGCTTCAAGGGCACGGGTTTGTCGTTAGTCGAGGATGAAGGTCACTTCTGTGAGGTGAAAATTGAACGCGGGTGGGTTGTGCGTCACATGACACGCCGCTTATCTGGGTAGGGCTCGGCCGTGGCTGCTTATTGGACAGAGATCGTGACTAAGCGGGCGCCGAGTCCCGACTCTAAATCCATGCGCTCTGCCGTTCAGGTGGAGCCTCCGAGACAAACTACCTAGTACCTACTACAGTACTCTCATACAAGCAGATGCATTGGACACTCTGGTCTTCGCATATCTGCTCATTGACCATGGAATGGCACATTTCTCGGGATGATAAAATGATATTGGAAAATTTTACGGACGAAAACAATCGTGGCGTTGTCGTTCAGAAATTCGTGGAATTGCCCCTGGTCTCCTTGCTCTGCCGGTGGTTGAGCGCGTGTACCTACTGCCTAGAGTATATGCCGAGTCCGGAGATGCATCCTTCATGTTTTTTGTTCCAAATATACTGACCGAGGACGGGTCGCAGAAGAGACACCCATGCTATGATATGTATGGTGAATTTTAACCCTATGGCAGCAGTAGGTACTCTTTTTAGGCCGTGGCCGCAGCCACATGTTGCAAATTTCTATTTGTGTCGTGCACATGATGACTGTCCCTTGAAACCATCGTTGCGTCAAAAGAAGCATTTCTATATGAACGACTAAGACTTGACGAAGACACTTAAATGTGTCCAAGTATCCTGATCGTCAGATTGTTGCCAATTGAATCTTTGTGGCAGTATCATGGTCATTTAACCATGATTTTGAAGGAGCCTCCCTGATTGACATCAAAGGAAACGGTATCGTACTCGACCTTCAATCCGGTACGAATCTGGCGATTGTTGACGGTGATTGAAGGCTCCATGCCCTCATGGGCAAAAGGTAAAGTTACAGTCCCCCGGGTACCCTTGGGAACCGAAAGCTTCACATCATACCCGTACCCCTTCAATCTCCAACTCGCCTGAAACTTTCCCAAGGATGTAGAGAAGCCTGCCTCGGCATATTGGAGGTCCGCAAACTGCGGAGCAAAACTCCACGTCTTGCCCAGTGGTGAAGTGACATCAAGACCCACGATGAAATTGGTTAATGCAGACGTCGGTCCAGAGGACCAGCCATGCGCATGTGAGACGTACGAATCGTCATAACCATATCCGCGACTACTTCTGTATCCGAATGTTCCATTCGCAAGATAGCCTTCGATAACGGTACTCTCGGTGCCGTTTGGGTTGTTCATGTACCAGCCCCAACTGCGACGGATCAAATCGAGGGCGCGAGAAGACCGACCAACTTTGAAGTGACTCTGAATCTCAAAAGAAGAGATGAATGAGGCGATGTTCTCCGGGAGCTCGGGTGCAACAGCACCGATTGGGGTCCAATTGAGAAGCAGCTTGTCAGAGATCCGAGCCGCGCGGTCTGCGTCCACGACTCCAAACAGGATGGCCATGCTGTTGGCATCTTGTGGGTGGAGCGTGGTGTCGGTGGCATTGTCTTTGAAAGCCCCGAATGAATAATCCCAGCAGTGCATGTTGATCGCCGCTCTGAGATCCTTGGCTCTTGAAGTCCATGTTTGAGTGAGATTGGCCTCCTCCATCCAGGTGGCTAATGAACTTCCCGTTTGTAGCGTATGGTAGAGACTACCGTCTGTTAGTCGGATTCCCTTGGGAAGAGCAACATCGAGCAGGGGAAGCCTTTGATAAGACGTACATCATCTGAGCCTCAGAATTGTTGTAGCCTTGTTGCCAACGTGCCCAATCACGCAGACCTGTCACATTCATCAGGCCGCTTGGATAGGTGACCTTGCCGTAGATGAAGTTCATAGCGGCAAGATACTTGTCCCAATTCCTCGACAAGAAGACTGTGTCGTTGGTATATAGCACGTAATTGTAGGTACCAATCATCGACCACATATGATAAGTGTCCGATCCCTTCTGACTCAATGGAGGACCAGACTCATCGAACGCGCCACTCGAAGCCTACTCAAAAAGAAATGAGTCCCCAAGCATGATTTCTTTGGGGCGAACAATATCTTTCAAGCTTACCTGAGTATCGTACATGATCTGCAGCGCATTCTTCACACTTTCCAGGTTGCCTAGACTCACGAACGCCGAGGGCACCGCAATACCCATGTCTCCTGGCCAAACAGCTCGATCTCGCTTGGCGCCGTCGACAATGATGGTGTCTCCGGGTCCCAGAGTGCCGTTATTGAGCCATCCAGACTTTAGTCCATGCGTAATGCGCCCTGTATTGACTGGCACTTCGTTGGCCTGGAGGGTGTATGCGCCACTATACCAAATACGATTGAGTAGTTCATCGCTGCAATGGAAATACCCTTGATAAGCGCGAAGATCAGACCATGTCGGCTGAAAGCTGATTTCCACATTGATGTCCTTGAGTTCTACCTCTGCATGATTGTCGGTGAGGAGGAAGAGCGTGAGATACCGGAAGCCGCCTCGAAGATGTTGATCCGGCATGACATACTTATGGCTTCCTGCGGCAGAGAAATTCGTATACAGCGCACCGTCATGATACAGACTGTTGGAGGAGTCAGACCATTCTCCGATCCAATTCTTGGCTTCGGTAAATGCGAGTCCGATGGCACCTTGGCCCGTTGACTCGTAGTCCATGTGAACGATACCACCGACTTCGATGCCAAAATCAAAGACCACGAGTGATCCATTTCCCTGCAAAGTCGCCGTCGCTGGGCGTTGGAAGTTCGTGATAGCACTTTTCTTCAACTCTGGAAGCGTCGACTCTGGACGCACAGTTCGTGAGTCAGGCGCGTAGATGTTCTTGTCCCAGGGGCCATTGAACATTGCTCGTGTTGGTCCTGTGCATGTCACATCTCGCCAGCAGGATTTGGTTTCGGTCGCGAGAACGAGAGGGATTACCCCCAACACAAGTAGACTTGCCCAATCGATCAGGCCCATGTTGAAAGAGAAGGTGCAGACTTTCCAGTGAAGAGCGCATTCAATGCATCTGATACATTCATACGCTTGCAGGATACTGAATCAGCCAGATCGGTGTATCTTGACTGAGTACATCCGAGTCCATGTTTGGCCTTTATTTTAGGAAATATGCGGGTAAAGGGTCCTCGAACAATGGAGTACTCCGCGGTTCTTGTCAAGCTTCGGGCGACAATAACACGAGTTCCGTTTCGCATGACTTTTCTGGGAGATTGCACAACAGAACACAATCGGTTCTCTGTGGACGATTGGTGGAAATTTCAAAATCAGCTCCTCATCTAGTCGTGGCGCTTGTCCAGGACAAGAGCAATGATCGGCAACACAAGCAACCCTGTGGCGTTTTGAGGTCCCCTCATTCTTACTTCCAACGAGTAAGGAGGCTTAGTGTTCATACCAGTCGCCATTTTAAATGGAGGATTTACCTCTCGCCGGCTTACCTGCAACAGTCAATTGCTTTGTCCTGTCATAGCCACCCCCGCAGAGGCCTTTCAATTGACTCCGCATTTCCGACACTGGAGATCATCCGGGGTGTAAAGCTGGCTCGGCGTAAGAGAGACCGGGAGAGATCTGCCAGTGATTTTTTAAATCATCCACCACTTGAAGCCAGACAAACAGAGGAATCAATAGAAACAGCCAAGTCTCTCACTTTATCTTCATAGTAGAAATCAATCCTCTTGCCCGCAACGACAATGCGTCTCATTGATTTGAGCTCAGTTGCACTCCCGTTGATTTTGGCCCTCTCATCAGTGCCAGATATCGTGGATGCTTCGAAAAATGGCCGTCCGGTCTGCACCGTCAAAGCAAAAGGGCACCAGAAAGATGATGTTCCGGAAATACTGAACGCCTTTGAGAAATGTGGCCACGGCGGCACCGTCATATTCCCTGAAGATCAGTCATATTGGATTGCAACGAGGCTGAATCCCATCGTCAACGACGTGATCATTGAATGGAGAGGCAAATGGACGGTCAGTGCTTTTTGGTGCTCTCTTGATTCTGCAGCAGTCATCTCATTCCCCTCTCAACTTTCATGACTGACATTATTCCAGTTCTCTGACGATCTGGCCTATTGGCGTAACAACTCATACCCCATTGCATTCCAAAATCACGCTGCGGGATTTGTCATCTCGGGCGATGATATCCAGATCGACGGATACGGCACTGGAGGCATTGATGGCAACGGGAATGCCTGGTACACAGCTGAAAAGGGAACCACTCAGCCTGGACGACCGATGCCCTTTGTCTTTTGGAATGTATCCGACGTTCGTGTAAGCGACTTCTACGTCAAGGATCCGCCATTGTGGAGCTTGAATATCATGAATGGCACCAACATGCGTTTCAACAATATCAAGTGCAATGCAACGGCGGTGGATGCGCCATATGGTCAGAATTGGGTGCAGAATACAGATGGATTCGGTATGTCAACGCATGGCCGCTGGCGGGCCAAAAGCTGCTAGAGGTATATCACCACCTTGTCATGAGGCCAGGGACTGACCACTCTTCTCTTGTGTCTCATGATCTAGACACCATGGATGTCGACAACGTCCAATTGACCAATTTCATCTACCAAGGCGGCGACGACTGCGTCGCCATCAAGCCGAGGTCATACAACGTTGAGGTCCGAAATGTTACCTGCCGCGGTGGGAACGGCATTGCAATCGGCAGTCTCGGCCAATATCTCGAAGATTCCAGTGTCCGTAATGTACTGGTAGACAACGTCAAGATCATCCGATACAACGAGGATATGCACAACAGCGCATATATCAAGACGTGGATTGGAGCTCAAGTTCCCCAAAAAGGCTACGAAAGTGCAGGCCTTCCTCGAGGAGGGGGCTGGGGCGGTGTGTCCAACATTCTCTTCTCCAACTTTGATATTCAAGGTGCCAACTCAGGCCCCGCGATCACACAGGACAGCGGTAATAATGGATCTTTCTCGGGATCCAGCCTCATGAGTATCTCGAATGTGGCCTTTGTCAATTTCACCGGCAACATTGCGACGACTAAAAGCAGGACATCTTCCGTGTCGTGTTCTAAGGTGCATCCATGCTACAATATTGATTTTGACCATGTGGCACTGTATCCAACCAACTCGACCACTGTTGGAACAGGTTCCTGCAAGTACACGGCAGATGGAGGAGTTCATGGGCTCAGTGGTTGTTGATGCTAGGCCCGAAGCTAGCTTTGCTTTTGTAAGCGGAGTTGTCAAGATCTTTCTATAGGGTCGACTGGCCGGTGGAATCGATGCTATTGTCAATGCAATCAATTCGACCGGGATTTTACTTAGGTCGGCCGGTCCGAATTGACAAAATCATCAGAATGAATGTTTGCGCTAAGTGGACTTGCATGCATCATGATAGGCGGATAGTAGTACGTAGACGAGATTCAGAATGGATGCTTCCTCCGAAAACTATAGCTTATCGACACAACGTCTGCGCTGTCGCATTTCCCGTCTCTCGCATGTGATCATCGTCTTCATCTGATACAGTGTACTACACTAGCGATATACCATCCTGTCAACCGTAGCAAGGTAACCACTGCCGAAACCCATCCAAATGAGAAAGCTCACCACGTTCGTTAAGAACCCCCACATGGTCCGTCATTTCCGTCCCGCAAACCGGAAGCTTATTCTCTCGCTAGCGATGATATCACCTCTCTTGCTCTCAAACGCATCTTCGTCGTCCAATCCATTGAGATAGAGAAGCGAGTGCATGCTAGAGTAACTTAAAGAGTTCTCCTCCCGTGATACGCCATGAACGAGACTGTCCGACCAGCATTTGCAGACCGAGGGCGTCCTCTGCTGAGCTATGGAATTGCTTTCCCCGCGGCGGCAGCCCGGCATGTCGCCGAGACCTTTGGCGCTTCACGAGTATATGTCATCTGCTCTGGATCACTTTCACGCAATACAGACGCATTAGCTCGATTGACAGCCGCACTGGGTCCTGATAAAGTGGTGGGCCGGCGTCTCGGGATGCAGAGTCACACTTTGTGGTCTGAAGTCTTGGAGATTGTCGAGGAGGCGCGAAAGGTGGAAGCTGATCTTTTGTTGACGCTGGGAGCTGGTAGCTTGACGGACGGCGCTAAAATCATTGCCCTGGTGAGTCTGTGCTCATACTTCATTCTTCCCAAGTCCAGTCCTGCGAAGATTGTTGAAAGAGCCCCCGTACGCGCTCCGTCCATGACTCTCCTCGGGAACTAGAAATATTCAAGCTCATGTGCCGGTGTCTCTCCCCTGATCAATTATTGACTGGCTGATCCTCATTTGAATTGATACAGGCTCTCGCCAATGGGGTACACACGCCCGCCGATCTCGAAACTCTAGCTGAGGGTCCCAGGAAGCGGTCCCAGATCAATGCGCCCACCATCCCGATCATTTCAGTTCCAACTTCTCTATCCGCTGGTGAATATTCAAACTTCGCCGGTGGGACGGAAGACCGCTCTCATCGCAAGTACAGCTTCCAGGCACCATTGCGTGGACCCCAGCTCGTCATTCTGGACCCAGAGCTGGCAAGGACCACCCCAGACGCTATCTGGCTGAGCACGGGAATCCGCGCAGTTGATCACTGCGTAGAGACTCTGTGCGCCATCGAGGGAACGTCGCCCGAGTCGGACCAATTGGCGGAGCATGCGCTGAGCATGCTCGTTCCGGGTCTTTTGAAATGTAAAAGGAATCGCAAGGATCGTGAGGCTCACCTCCAATGTCAATTGGGCTCGGTGGGTGCCATGGCTGCATGTTCAAGTGGAGCAGTCCAACTGGGAGCAAGTCATGGCATTGGCCATCAGGTAAGCTGGCCTTCTATGGAACGCCATTGTCAAATTGTCAATGCACTCTGGGCAGTCTTACTGACAATCAAATGACTAGCTTGGTCCATTGGGCGTAGGTCACGGCGAAACAAGTTGCATCTTGCTCCCCGCCGTGTGCAAGTATAATGCACGGCACAATGCAAACTGCGAAAGACAGGCTCGTGTACGAGACGTTCTTCTCGACGATTCAGTCATCACGGAGGTGTTACAAATTCATTCGGTGAGCAGGGATGGATTGGATCTGGGTGATGTGCTGGATATTGTGATTCGAGAATTAGGCATGCCGCGCTCTCTGGGTGACGTGGGTGTCGGCCGCGATAAACTAGATGGTCTTGCCGAGAACAGTCTTCACGACCGGTGGTGTCGAACAAACCCCGTGCCTTTGACGGAAAAATCTCAAGTCTTGGAGATTCTGGAGATGGTCGTCTGACATTGAAAGGAATTACTCTGTCATTAAATGAAACTTTCACGACGGGGCAGCCCCCATGTGTGATTTCGACAAACGGCCATTCTCCCCCTGTCAAATTACATCATTTGGGTGGGCGATAAGAGAGAGAGAGAGAGAGAGAGAGAGAGAGAGAGAGTGCAGCCAATTTATTAGAGTAGCGGACATGTTGCTTGCTACACAATACAAACCAAGCACCACGTATATCCTGAATTTCTGGAGAAGAGATTGCCAGCACGAAAAACCTGGGTTACCTCAGCTGTCTAAACTGGACGAAATCGACCAACAGGAAGAAGTTGCTTGTCTCGTGGGATTTTGCATGGAAGGTAAGGACGAGATGCTAAAAAGACTAGGGATTATTGGGAATCAAAAGGTAAACATTTCGGGTCTTAACTAGAATCGGATTCACATGGCCCATGAAGGCTTGGTTGGCAGCTGGAGAAGGAGACGAGACAACCAACCCACAGGCAGAAAGATGGAGCAGGTAGATACTGCGGATATTAAACAAGAAAAAGCATCTACTGGAAGAACTTGCGGACGCGCTCCTGGTTGTCCGGGTTCACACCAGCAAGGATGGATTCGGCATTCAAATTGGTTGCCGTCACCAGCTGCTTGGCGGCCTGGGCGACACGGGCAGCCGTTTGGCCCTGCACAGTGCCAGCGTCGAGGGCTTGAACGATGTAGCCAAAGACACGATCAGCTTTCGTGATGACTGCGGGGTTTTGTCTGGAAAGGAAGAGAAAATGTCAGCAACGACCTCACGAAATTTCACGAGGATCAAAATGAAGTCGCAAAGATGTAAAAATACTTACTGCTCAATCAACTGGACGATGAAAGAGTAGGCATATGGGGCAGCCTCTTCGTCATTTATGATGGGCAAAGTATCAATCCAGCTGTTCACGATCTCCTGGGCGTTCTGGACTTTGGATGAGTTGAAGTGCAAGATCTTCGCAATGCTGGCAGAGGCATTCTCAGTGGCAAAGACGTGCTCTTCAGTGCGGTTTTGCGGGTGCTGAGTCACTTGGAACAGGCTTGGGATGCTGGCACCCACGAAGTCGGCCCAAACAGCTCCACCTTTCTGTGCAGCAACACCCACACCGTAAGCGGCAGCCTGGCGATTAGCGGCATTCTCATCTTGCAAGCCAGCAGCGAGGGGCTGCATGATGTGGTCCTTGTAGGCCCAGGATTCAGCCGAACAGAATTCCAGAACATCATCCATGATGCATAGAGCCCATTGCCGCTGAGTGGGATCTTGACTGGTGATGAAATTGTCGTAGAATTGCATCAACTGTTGCCAAGCAGGCAGGAATGTAGTACCCTGGTTTTTGAAAATGGTGTGGAATGCCTTGTTCATGTCACTGAGCAAATTCTGGTCATCCTCGATAGCATACTCGTAGTCGAGATTCTCTTCATCGCCATCCTCGAGTTCGGCCTGCTCCTCTAATCGCTGCTTCACACGCATCTGATAATCCTCAAGGGTGGACTTGGCGGATTCGATGAACGCCTGCATGTGCTGTGGGGTAAGACTGTTGGCGCCCACGACTTCGACAGACTCATAGAAGCATTGATACATCTCCGCCAGGGTATCGACAGTGGGCTCAGCGCTCAACACTTCAATGATCTTCTCGGCAACCTTGTTCCACATCTCGGCGAAGCCAGCGGAGGTGCCTCCGTGAGCCTTCTTGAACGAATTCAGGAGTTGGGGGATCAGCTTCGCAGCAGAAACACGAACAGGGTCATGGAAGAAGAATGCCAATCCAGGGATCGCGATCTTTTCCATGGTCTCAAGGACGTAAGGCTCAAAGGCCTCCTCGAGGATCTGAGCATAAATGGTGATAAGCTCAATGGCAGTGTTCTTATCCTCCAAGGCGCTGGTCTTAATACCAATCACCTTGCCCTTCAGCGGCACCAACTCCCAGCCCTCATCCTGCTCAACTGCCTCAATCTGGTCCTCATCATCAAGCAGCTGAATATCAGCCTTCGCAGCCGCTACTGTCAGAAGAGGGGGCATAACACCGGGAAGGTAAGGCACGAAGTCACGGCCAAGGACACGACACATGCGGCCCCAACAGTGAAGGAGATACTGCGACTGCGGGTCGTCAGCGTCAACGATATTCTGTTGAATGTGTCCAAGGATATTGACAAGGTTCAAAGCATCGGCACCCATCTTCTCCTTGCCAACGGCCAAGGCAATCAAGGTCGCACACTCCATAGCCTTGGCACGAAGCAAGCGGTACTCCTTGCCTTGCTCCTGTTTGAGCACGTTAAGGAGCAGTGGCATGAGAGTGTCGTAATACTGGCCGAACGCGGTTTCGGCAGAATCGGCAATTGTGGCAATGGTAGATAAAGCCTGTTCCTGGAGATAGCGCTTGGGGCTGCGCAGGAGTTCCAGAAGGCGGCTCAGGAGGTCGCCGAGATAAGGCTCCAGAATACTACGCTCCGCCTCTTCACAGAAGTTGACAAGAGCAGCAGCAGCATGAGACTGGACACGAGGTTCTGTTGAGCTGAGCACGGGGATGATATTGTTGAGAACAATGCCGTGGTATTTCTCCTGCATGATACCAGCGAAGTCGGTGCTCATTTGACCAAGGGCGTTGCATCCGGCATAGCGAACACGGGGATGCGGGTCACGCAGAGCTGGGACGACAAGAGCAAGCACCTGGTCAAGCTCATTAATCATCAGCTCGCGGCAACCTTCCGAGATGGCAGAGATTGCCATCAGAGCAGCGTGACGATCGCGCCACGCGGACGAAGACATCATGCGGGGAATCCATGAGAAGGCAGGTTGGAGGATAGCTTGGCCGCCAAGCTTGTTAGCCAGGCGATCCATGCACTGTTCACCAGCGATGTGGTTGAGGTCACTCTCCTCCGGTTCGAGCTGTGACATACAAATCAGTAAGTTACCCGCCAATGGTAACACAGTAAACAACGAAATAACTCACATCTTCAGAGGCATTCCACTCCTCTGCATCATCGTCATCAGCACCCACGTCAGTCATCAAGCTCAGACATTGAGTAACCATCTCTTTCGCGAAGTTTGGCTCCTTCTTGCACATGTTTGGTGCGTAATCAGCAAAAGTCGCCATTAACTCCAGCGCGTTCTGGCGGACTTGGTCGCTGAGCTCCTTGTCGGCAATGACGCTGATGCTGAATTTGACGAGGTCGCTGAATGAAGACTTGAACATCCGGGGGCTGATTTCGGCAAGCTCAATAAGAGCTAGAAAGGCTGAGGAGAGCTCTTCACTCTCGCTTGATTCCTTGAGAGGGGGGAGGATGTTGAGAAGAGCGGGCATGAGGGAGAAGAATTTGGCTTGTGATTTCTTGTCGATGGATCGGAACAACGAGGCAAATGCATCCATAGCAGCAATCCGCACCTGATCGCAAGGTTAGAAGACCCTCGCGTAAGATAGAGATGTCTCAGAACAGAGCTTACGGAAATATTCTCATCCTCAAAGCCCTTGGTGAAGACAGCGACGACGGCTTCCTCGTGCTGCTTTTCGATGATTCCAGGAGTAGTTGTGAAAATGCGGAACGCAGTCTCTCGAAGACCAGCCTCGGGGGACTGGCTAGCCTGGAAGAGAACACTTAAGAGTTCGGGCCATTGCTCGCCTATTGCCAAATCGAAGCCAGTCAGAACCGTCTGCCATGATCCAGGCCCTCGAAAGAAAAAAGAGCCGCAAGCGACAGGCAAAAGTGCGTACCGTTATCGGTGTATTGGCGGGCAACCTCAGCCACTGCGTCTCCAACCTTCTTGCGCACATCAGTGACCGATTCGGTGGTCAGACATGTCACCAGTTTTTCGCGGATGGCGATGCGTTGTTCGTTAGGTAGGCTTAGGAACACCTCTTTGACGTCGCCAGAGATAGGGTCTTTGCGGGTCTTGGTAGAAATTCTTCGGAAAAGCACAGCGGAGAAAGCACGGGTCTGGCGAACATTTCAATCATAGTCAGCATGTGTCTGTTGAAGCACTCGGTAGTCGTTCTCGCCAGCAGGGGGCCACCAGCGTGCATTAAATAGGTACAAGAAAGAATCGAGTGACATTTGACTCGCATGTCCGTTCGCTACACAGTAGGAATAAAGGGAGAGCACCCACTAATGTATCCTCGGCCCCAGCAATTTGCTCCGCCAGTCCCATCAACAGAATGTCGGGCTTATTCTGTACCCAGTCATTGTTCAACTGCTCCTCGGCCTGGGATCGAACAGCATTGTCGGGGGTACTCAGTGCGCGCAGCAGCTGGGATAGCGCGGTGTGGACCTCTTGGGGCAGCATAGACATGTTGGGTGCGTCTGATCCCAAGATCCAACAGACAAGAATGACCCAGTTTGTTGGAAGCCCTCGAAACGAGATTGATCACAGAAATGAATCTGGAGGAGGGGGTGGTTCGAAGGCGATGAAGGAGGGGGAAGTTTTGTTTTTGGTGGGGCGGAGAAGGAAGGAAAAAAAGATTGATGATTACGGAGTCAGGGCCACCCAAGGGTTGATATGCGAAGAGTGCCGAGAGGCGTCGAGTTTGTCGACCTTGCAGACAATGGACAATCTCAGTGATCCGTGATGCTCACGTCAATGGCAGATTGAGAAAAAACATTGATTCATGTTTTCGAAAAAAAGTCTCATTGCAAACCATGCTACTTGGTTGACCGCGCACTTCAATTTTGCTGCGGCCTCTAAGTTACTATACTATGTACATGAGCGGAAAGTTACCTAGTCTGGCATCACATGGTGGTTGCCATAGATCTATTGCTAAAGTAATACCCACTCACAAATCTAACAGTGGAATTCTAAACTCATCTATTCTCGAAAAGTATACAAGCGCTATCCAGTTCAAACGTCATCTTGCACAACCATCCCGCTGAATTGTCAACTACTCGCACATAATGACCTTCGAATGCTTGATCGATGTTGATTATATGTATTGCAAGCGACCCATCAGCCGTGTGAATTTGACTTTGAAACAATTGTGTCTTGGAGCGGCACAAGTGACTAAGTATTAAATAGGAGGGGATGTATGTCCGCGACAGAAACACACAAGAGGACTTCGTGAGGCAAGACATGTAAAGAAACAGGAGGGAGAATGGGCGAGTGTGAACAAAGAAGGCATGTTTACAAAGAACGTCAGGCGAAGAAACAATTTAACGACCGCTCGGTCGGCTGAGAATGAAGACGCCCGCAATCACAGCAGCCAAGGTTACAATGGCTCCAGGAAGAAGAAGATCATTGGGAACCCCTGCAATAAGTTGCTCCTCAGCGCGGTGGGTTGCAGGGAAAGCTGGACGGGGCTTGCTCAACAATGGTTCCTCCGACGTCGAATCTGCAGCAACGCTCTTGGGCTCCTCGGCAGCTGGGGACAGGGGCTTGGAGGGCTGAGGATCAATTGTGGCAGGAATTGGAGGCTGGGAGGGATCGTGGACAAAGAGATCAACCTTGTCGCGTCGGGCGCGGCGTGCGAGGTCGATCGCATCCAACATGTCCTGATCAGTTGTAATTGACACTGTGTCGCCTTCGTTGTCCATGTAGCTCAGAGCATAGCCAGTGTTACTCAGGCGACCCTCTTCAACATTGGCCTCGCCGCCCACGGCTTCCAACTCAGCACCAAGCTTAGCAGTCACCTGAGTGACCAAATCAGCAACACCAGAAGAGCTCAGGACATTTACGCGGTGAACTCGGCCACTGGGAGCCTTGAACTTGAATGGGAATGGCACATTCTCGGTCGGGGGCTGGTGGTGCTGAGACGCAACTTCGGAGTGCTCCTCACCTCCGTGATGAGAAGCAGACTCGTTCGGTAGCACGCTGTTGTCATACTGAGACCGTCCGAGCTCAGGGCTCAGGACGGAACGGTGGGGCTGGCTTCCTGAGACCATAGAATCTGACTCGTGGTCCATTGAGAGCCAGAACTTGTTCCACGCCGGACCTTCGTCGTCTTGGGTAGACATAGTATTGATCTGCAAGATAAGTCAGTGTCGTGTCTAAGAATTTGGACAACGCTATGAATCCAAGGACTGACCTGTTCAAGTGTAGCATAAGTCAATTTCAGCACATCCACCATACCGACAATTTCACCACCTTCGTTCATCACAGGAAGGTTCAGATAATGACCGTCTATGTTCACAAAGTCAGCTTCGCAGGCATAGTATCGTGGATTGTGTGATGGGCTTACCGTGCATTTTGCGCAGCGCGGCCTGAATACTCATGTCGGAGGGAGCAAAGTCGGGGTGAGGAGTCATCACACGAACGACGCTGCAAGTTGCAGGGTCAAGGCCGGGTGCAATAACACGAAGAACGATATCCTTGCTGGTGAAGATACCGGTAATGGATCCTTGATCTTGAACGAGCAGAGCTGTGGTGTGGTGCTCTTTCATCAATGCTGCGGCATCTTTGACAGTGGTCCGAACCGAGACAGTCACGGGAGGCAAACCATCCAGTACACTCTCGAGGGTAGGACCGGACATTTTGGACCGCAGTGCCTCGACATATTGAATGACCTGCTGCGGCTGGCTCGATCCTAATTCGGTCTGAACGCCCTCCAATGCATCGTAAAGCTTGCGTGACGAACTGTAGGCGCGTTCCAACTTCTCCATCGCATCATAGAAGCACTTAGTGATGTCCAGGACACCGGAGATATCTTGGTTCTCGTCCATGACGGGCAAGTGTCTGAATCCCTTCCGGACCATGAGGTCCAGTGCGTCTGTTGCGCTCGTGTCCGTTCGTGCGCAAAGTGGATTTTTGGTCATGATCTCGGCCACGCTGACCTCTCGTGCTTTGAGGCCAGCGCCGACCACGCGAAACGCCAGATCCTTAGCAGTAAAGATACCAGCAATGCGATCATCTTCATCAGTAACCAGGACACAATCCTCCCGCTTTGCAGCCATCAGCTGAGCAGCCTCGGCAATGCTGAGGGAAGGCTTGATCTGAAGAGCTTGGCTTGGCTTCAGAGCAAGCACCGTACCGGGAGGTGCTTTGCGAGAATTCCTCGCCTTGGTGGGGTTGTGTTTCTTCTTGTTGAGGTCGGCCTCCATCTTGCGGCGAATTGCCTATAGACTCAGAACTACATGGTTAGCTGCCGTGTATTGATATCCAAACAACAACTCCAGCACGGCTGGCGGGACGGAGTTTTAGAGCTCCGCAAGCACCCACCTCATCACGCTTTGACTGGTTCTGTCGCTGTCTGCTACTGGCGGCGCTCATGGTGCCGGTTCCGAGGTCACTTGAAGGGGTGTTGGTGGTCGAGGCGACAGAGGATTCCGCACGGTCTGTACGAGGTCGGGGGATGTGGGAGGCGCTCGAGCTCTCGAAGTCGGGCATCCTTCCTCTCCCGATGGTCTTATTGGGCGTCCCCCTAAAAGTACCCGTATGCGACATTATCACGCCTGAGAGGGGAAATCACACAACGTGAACACAGAAGCGAAGGAGACAAGGAGAGTGGAGCTTGGGACAAGGAATGAGACACCGGTATGAACAAGTACCCAGAAGAAGAAGACAATCAGTAAGGGTGATTTATTCAGTTTGACAAAAAGGAAAATGACGGTCAATAGTCGATCTGGACAGGGGTGTTTGGATTGTTTGGCCGCCTTCTCACGCTAAGTCGAGCTATCACCCACTTGGGGTGTGTAAACATGGGGCTTATGTAACTGGTTCTGAAGCCGTGACCGTGACCCGGGACCCGACGGTACGATCCGGGCGCTATTCCCCTCTTGGCTTGGAGCGTACAACCACCGGTCCTATCACCACGTGACTGATAAGGCTCCGGTGGTAAGATTTGTGCCTTTCTGCCTTAGACTGATGCAGACTTAGTGCCTGATTTATTAGGTTAAAGTATTGAGGCATTCACGGGCGCCGACCGCCGTCACTGGATCTCGCTTAAGGGCTTAGGGCTTCCCACAACACAATCAACCATCCATTCCGGCAGCCAGTCTGTGAGAGCGTGCTTCGACAATCCACCCCCGACAAGACACCCGTACGTTTCCCCCTCCAATATCAACTTTTAAACCTCGAATCGACTTTCTGACGCTCCGCAGAGCAATCCGTCAAAATGGTCAAGAAGCGGGCGAACAAGTAAGGCTCGATTCCTTCTCCACACAATCGCAAGTCGAGTCTCCAATCCGATATGAATATCCGCAATGTCGCCGATTACTTCGACACAAACCCACTATGAATAAACGCGAATTATTGAATCGGTCTTCTCATCTCCAAAAACAGTCGACGCACATTGCAGGGGCTTTCATGATTGGTTGGAGACTGGATATCGCGAAATGGTCACCATCACAGTGCGACATGAACGCTAACGCAATTCTTCAGCGGTCGTAACAAGAATGGCCGCGGCCACGTCAAGCCCGTGCGCTGCTCCAACTGCGCTCGCTGCACCCCCAAGGACAAGGCCATCAAGCGCTTCACCATCCGCAACATGGTCGAGTCTGCTGCCATCCGTACGTGACCCCTCACTGCACGTCCTGTTCTCTCCGAACCGCCTATCTATCCGCGAAAAGAATATGATGGCCAAGGCCATTTGAACCAATAATGGGGAATGGCTATCAGACAACTTCAAGCACCATACACATCAAGCCTTTTGCGCATCACACAAAATCGGAATACCTGTGTATATTAACATTCACTCCTCTATAGGTGATATCTCCGATGCCTCCGTCTTCGCCGAGTACACCGTCCCCAAGATGTACCTGAAGCTGCAGTACTGCGTTTCCTGCGCTATCCACGGCAAGATCGTTCGGTATGCAACACAACACCTCTTCGACTACGACCTGTCACGTTCGAATACTAATACTTTTCCCCTCTAGCGTTCGTTCCCGCGAAGGCCGCCGCAACCGTGCTCCTCCCCCACGGATTCGCTTCAACAAGGATGGCAAGAAGCTGAACCCTCCTCAGGCCGCCAAGGCTTTGTAAGGGAGAGATGAAAGCCATTCAACGCAACAAAATAAAAATGGAACTAGTCTGAAATGAATCTTTTTATTTTGTTTTCTTTTTCCGCTGTGGTGCTCTTGAACGACGGACATCGGGTTGCACCCTGAGCTGAACAGTCTCAGGTGCTGCGGTGAAAATGTGGAGGAAAATGGCACTGGTTATACGACGGAACTCCTCTGATCTGGCACTACAACTTGGCGCATGTGAGGATTGACGAAAGTCGAGTTGCTATGCTCGTATCGACGTGCTGTTTTTGGTCCGTGTCCCAGTCCTCGGCGCCTTTGACAGGTGACTGAGCTTGAAAGTCGCATGCATAGTTGGAAGACCGAGTTGGTCTACGACGGTATGGTTGCAAGCTAGGAAAATACCAAAAATCTTTCAAAACAGTTGTTTTTCAACGTACTTCCGTATCCAGTGCTCGTTATTGTGCCGTAGTCTTGTGATGTGGTTGTAATCAACCTAAAATAAGGGCCTGAAGAATCTCTTGACTACGTTACTCGTGTGCTATTGCTGTCTCTGTCATCGACCTGCGAACTGATGATATCACTTGTGCATATGTAGATCGACTGACCTATGGATAAAGGTACCCCTTCTCAAAATAATTACCATACATATCCACCATGCCACTTCGCATCTGACTGGCCTTCGGATTCCGTACGACCTTGACTTCCCCTTTCCAATGACCTTCAACAAAGTGCGCCATCGCCAGCTGAGGTGTCATCACAGCGGGCAATACAGGTGTCCGAATGCCGCTGCTCAAACTCTCTCCTCGCAGTTCACGCACACGATTCTGGTATTCTGTTTTCTTAGCCCGTCGAAAAGCAGCGAGTTCTGAAACGAGATCGATATCTTGAGCTATCTCAGATTGGGACGTCACGTTCGAAGACGGGAATAACCCAGGTTTAATTATGCGCGCCCCTTTCTGAATCGTTGCACTGCTTGATGATCTTGATCTGGGACTTGCTATTGTAGAGGCCTCGTCCTCCGGCATCAGAGAGATCTTCTCATTCAGCGCGGCCATCGGAAAATACTTGCCACGATCATTTTGCGGAATCCCGCACTCCATATTGTCGAAGAAGCTAAAGTCGTCTGCAGCTGCCGCCCACAACGCTTCGGAGTCTCTGTCTCCTGTACTCGAGGCTTGAGCACCGGCTTTCCATGTGGAGGTTCTCTGGGTGCGGTCCGTGGGTGCGATCTCGAGCACTATGCGCCGGAGACGGAACAGGGCGCGGGCACGCTGCTGTTCTGCTAGAGCGCGGGCTCGTCCGGGTGGTAAAGAGTAATCAGTTCCAGCCTGTAAGGTTGCTAGCAGAGCCTCATTGGAGCAGGCCGTAATGAATCTAATCAAAGACTCGAGAATGGAGGATTCAGCCGGTATACGTGATGGCACATCTGTAAGGACTAGAACCTCGAGATTGGGCATGTGGGAGGGGTGCAAATATGGGATCAGGCATTCTTTGCCGTTTCGGAGTGGCAGGGTTTGACTTCGAGGACGTTTCGACATCAACTCTCTGATTCTTCTAGCTTGGGGGTCTTCCGGTGGTAGAGGGGAATTGTTTCGTGCGGGTATGGATGACCACGTCTCATCTGCCACTTGAAGCGTCGATTCTGACAGATATGGAGCTCGATTACCTGGCTGGCTCTGGGGCATCCGCTGGACTTGCTGCTGTCCGGCCGTGTATGACTCGTCAGTCGGCTGTACCACAACTTCTGGTGCGAAGACTGAACCGCGGCGAGGAATGGACGACGGGTCATCTGTATAGCGGCTCGATGAGCTCATTGCGACAGGGATGACAGTGTCACTCCCTGGTGTCTTTGTGGACGTATCTGGCAGCTCGCTAACAGGGTAGTATTCACCGGCAGGCAGCTCGTGGATTTCCTGGAATGCGTCAAGCTCGGCTGGGGGGATCATCTCCCTACTGGAAGGAAGCTCGGGCAGTAGTTCTGCTACGGATACCGAGTTTTTGTCAGGGGCCTCAGCCGTGATTACTGCGTGATGAATGCGAAGCATTGCGAGTGCGTCTCCAGCGACGTTTGCTAGGATCGGCACAAGCTTCTCGGCCCCTGGGTACTTGCCATGTCCTAAACTTGTATTGTTGAGAACGTCTGCAGTATTAACCGTTCCCACATCGAGGGCGTGAAGTCGACCCGACGTCAACAAACCCGCAACACCTTCAAATGTGATAGGATTTTCTGCAATGCAAAGATGCGTAATTCCGGTACGCGGAAGATCCTCGATCCAGTGATAACTCGACTTTGGCTGGACAAGGTGTTTTGCATATTGATCGTCCAGTTTCGGAGATCTGAGGAATTCCTTGTAGAGGGAACCTGCATGAATCGCTCGTGGTTCCCGCTGGGTTGAGACACCAAAGCTCCTTATCCCTATCCTCTGCATTGGTTCATCTGGAGGAAGGAACGACACTTGCAGGATCGAGCGGATTGCTGCATCCGTGAGGAAGTTCTGTCGCAAATCTAGGAAGCGAACTCGAGTTCCAATGGCATTAGCCAGGAACTGTGCATCGGCGTCATTCAATCCGAGACCGCGCAGCTTAAGCACATGTAGATTCTCCATTTGTGATAGGCACGATAGAACGCTGTGGTCACGCGCGGGCGTTGTATGGGAAAGATCCAGATATATCAGGCGCGGGAAACGGACCAATGTCCCAGCCAATCCGGCAGAGGTTGCGTTGGGCTCGCTTTCCGCAAGAAGCAGACGAATGTTGTATTCTCTTAAGGTCGAGTCCTCCTTAGTCAGAGCAATCATTGCATTATGATCAAAGAATGGTAATTTGGAGACCATCAAGCACTGGAGGCACGGTAGATACTCCAGGATCTCTTTCAGCCAGTCGGGCCTGGGTCCGTCGTAGATCTCTGAGAGCGCTGGAGGCAAGTGAAGTGTATGGGTGAGTGACCTGACCTCTAGTCTCGCATATTTCAAGCATCGGCGGAACCGAGTGAGGGCCACTGGTGTTCATCGATGTCAGTTTGGCCCTCCATGTCGAGTTCAGCCTCGTGCATGTTCATCTTACCGTAAACGGCATCATTCTCGGTGCCAAAGTGTGAGGCAGGGTCTCCCCATAGCAGTGGCATGAATAAGTCATGCCATCGATGACACACAAGCGAAGTGGCGCACAGGTCGCTCGAGGGAATGTATGAGGCGATGATAGACCATGCATCACGGTCTGTGGCGGACTTGTATGACGGCGGAATCGCATCCATGCCTATTGTCAACTGCCCCACTTGACGGCCGGGTGGTGCTGCCAGTTCGACTTATGTCTTTAATAGAGTAGGATTAAACTGACACGTGCCGTGTGTGAATTCTAGTATGAAGTCTGGCTTCATTACGAGGTGAAGCGTTCGTCTGGTTCGGGATCTTGAGTACAGGATGCCTGAATATTTGATAGCGCAACAATGGGGGTCCTGTCTACCTCAGATCCGATGCGGGGATATATACGCTACTAAGCCTCGAGGCCTTGGCACTCAACCACTTGCGGAATAGGGCACCTGCGAAAGTCCCATGGAACCTTTGACCTAGCATGAGTCAGTTGGAGCCCTGACGTTCCTGCAAGGTATTTATTTCAACGTTCAATCCGCAGCAGAGTACTGTGGTTAATTTCATTTGTTCCTCACCAGTCGTGCTCGGTACGCAGATCGCCTTTGAGTGTATATTCAAGCTACACGGTTGTAGCGTCGCATTGTGAGCAATGAGCATCACCTCGGTCGCTGGCACTAGAGCCGATGCTAGCTAGGCAAATAATATCCAGCGAGACGGTTTTCATGGCCCTTTTTAAGCACTCGGAGATTGGAAAAGGCAATGAGAGGACTTGCGACATGATATGACCATCCTTTCAGAGCCCAACACTGGAGAATTTATCGATTAGACGACCTCGGGCCAAATCACAGTCTTCGCTTGTCAAATACATTCTGACTGTCTCGGATGCAGGCTCCTACTGTACCATAAGTAAGGAACATCGGCGTGTCGACCTTGATCTCGAGTCCACCCGAGTCACGTCGTGCACAGGGCGTTAAAGTGTTGAAACGCGCGCCTTAGTGTCTCTTGTTGCTCCATATATCATCAAGCGCGCCTTTCAACCAATCGCCTTCGTGGTCTAGTTGGTTATGACGTCGGTCTCATATGGACTTTATGACGACCCTGCGTTAACAGGGTGGTAATCCGAAGGTCTCCAGTTCGAACCTGGACGAGGGCATCGCTTTTTGTTTCCTTTTTTGTTGACTTGATCCATCGATATATACAGATAGCCCTGCGTCGTTCGACATGTGAACGTGAAGAGGTTTTCTCCTTCACTTTTTCGGGGTGCCGATGGGATGCGATTGAAATGCGTGGATGAAGCGAGCAATCCATGGGCTATTGAAGGTACAGGTTCTCTAGATTGGAGGCTTCGTGCTTTATCATCTACATTTCTACTACAATGCTACTGCAACTGGACAACTGGTTGCTCGGTTTTCCACGTGCGACATCAGGTACCGGGTCTGGTTGACCGGACCATATCTGTGTAGTGTATCAGGTATGCACGGTCCGAAGGTGTGGACCTCATTCTAGACCTAAGTCAGGTACACGGCTCTTACTCCGTTGTCGCGTGACGGTTCATTCGGTCATACAGTGTCGCTCAAAAGGATAGTTGAAAGTACCAGAATTTTCGAGTATGTCTTGAATCATCGCTGTCTTGTCACAGACCGGCCATGTGAATCCACAACGGAAGCCTTTTGGGTGGCCAGGAGGGGTTGAAGACCATCGCTACATCATCTTCACCTGGAAACAATACTGACCGGTGGACGTTCTCCTTTCTTTGGAAAGGGGACGGAGCAAAGAATGAACAGAGGCTTATTATATACATCAAGAAGAGGGTCCAGAACTAGAGCACTGCCCAGCAGCTGGAGAGCAAGAATAGAAAGAGAGCCACAGACAAAGACCCAAACACCATCTTATGCAACCGGGGCGAATTCCAACTATATCAACATCGGTCGACCAAAGAGTCGAAAGAACCGGACCCTAACCGAGACGCAATCGGCCGGGAACAGCTCGACCTCCGAATAATCGCGTAACGCCACCTTCCTCTGTGGTGTTATTATCCCCAGACATCCAGCGAGGCAAACGGAAGGGCTCCCCTTGAAGCCAGTCTGGTTTATTGGTAGTCTCAAATGTATTTCGTACTCGATGGGCAAAGGACTGAAAGAAGTTCTCCTCTTCCTCTTCTCCATCCACCACCGTCGGTGCGGTGACAGGTCGTTGAGTGGCACGAGGGGATCGCGATGCTTCGGCGGCAGCGACGCGCAGCCGGGAAGAACCCAGGGATTCCTCATCGCTGCGATCTGATGCCCACGTAGACCGTCCACCGCGAGAGGACACTGCGAGGGAGCCGAATCCATTTAATTCGCGCTCAATGAGGTCACGACCCTCACGCCAGCCACCCACGCCGTAACCCGCCGGGTTGTTCTCCACGTCATGCAAATCGTCATCCTCTGCCAACCCAAATCCGCATATGTTCTTGATCCGTCCATAAAGATTGAACAAAGTGGCACACACTGGAAGGAGGATGAAAATTGGGAAAATGAAATCAAAGCCCTTGCCAAGGTGGGTGAGGTTGATGAGTCGACCGAGGAAGTCGTAGAAAGTAGTCGAGCGGCGGAAATCCTTGGGTAAAAAGGTCAAGAAGTTGTAGGCGATAGGAACGGTCAAACGAGCCACCAGACTGGCGTACCAACAAGCGCTTTCTCCGTAGGTATTGCGCCGCACCAAGGCCCTGTTGCCCCACACCTTGACTTCACTGATTCCGACTAGCGCTGCAGAGCACATGTAGAGCAACCAGAGAGAGGCGATCAGCTGGCTGCCAAAGCCAAGAGGTCGTTCGTCTTTCCAATTGGGGGCGACAGTCAAAGTAATAGCAGAGAATTGAGGGGCCAGTGACTTAATCAACTCAGACCAGACGATACAGACCGAGGCAACTGCGAAAATTGCACCAAACACCAAGCGGAAAGCTGGTAAGACGTTGGAGTACAGGTAATAGCGCAGGTAGGGATTCAGAAGTTTGACCCTGGGCAGGCAAGACGACCGGCGCCGAGTCGAGCCAAATTCGAGCTTCTTGGACGCTGTTGAGTTCATGATAGCCTGCAGGTCGGCCGCTAACGTGACGGTACGGTCCCACTCGTCCACAAAACGTGCCTTCATATGGCGTGCGCGCTGGAGACGCCTCGTTAAGTCTGCCAAATAACGCTCCGTGATGACCGAGGGGATCGAGCCGGATGCCTCGGGTCGTTCGAGAATCGGGACTCGCACGTCGCCTGACTCGGCGCCGGGCCCCTCGGACAGGTCCTCAATCCATTCCTGGAAGTCCCGCGCGGTGCCAGTTTTGCGCTGCTGGAGCTGAGCGACCTGCGAGTTGAGAGTTTCGAGCTGGTTCACGGCGTCCATGAGACGATCGTGAACCCGAGGGGCGTGCGCTTGAACACGCTTCAAACGACCGCTAACACTTGCATTGCGGAACAGATTCCTTGGAATTGAGACGAGGCCGTGTCCCATCAAATAGATGGCAAGCACCAGACCCCAGACGTATGCCAGTGCCATGACGGTACCCTTGATGGAAGTGGGATCGAAGCCGATCGAGACCGAGATATAGACAAGGCCGACCACCGCACAACTCAGCACAATTAACTGATATCGCGCATTTGAGCGGAGCGAGTAGAAAATTCGGGCTTTAGGTTCGCGGTATCCCGAGTCAATATAATCGCCAAGCAGTGGAAGTATCGCCCTGGGGATTATGAGCCAATGTCAGCGATATGCGCCCGAGTGTAGCGAGCGACCGATGGCTTTTTGTCCAGCTGTACAGAGAGCATACGAACCAGGTCAACATGAAAATGAGCCAATACGCAATTCGCCAACAGACCAAGACCATGCGGTCCGGCAGCCAGATTGCCTTCGGACCGGTACCATTGCGTGCGCTAGATGCTAGATCAATGGGGACAAGAAGCACAACGCTCGCGGGCAAGGCGAGCGCCAGGAATATCGGCACTAGGAGGTAGGCCGGTGTGGCACGGAGCGTGAGGTACCGACGCAGCAGAAGCAAAACGAGGGCTGAGATCGCGCACAGGGCCAAGGCGAAGAAGACATTGGAGCCCACGGAGATGGGTGAGACGGAGAGCGAGAACATGGCGAGAAAAGTGGGTAGACGAGCGACAGCGGTTAATCAAGCTCTCCTCATGACTGAAGTCTTGGCTACCCGGACGGTGAGAAGATTCCCGGCGGTAAGGGATCGTGAGCGGAGTGATATGGGCGTTTCTAGCAAGCAACGACGAGGATGAGATGAACGTGCGATCGAGACTCGAGAAGTCAAAAGGTTGGCAGCGTAGCAGCTATTGGCATTTCCAGGGGAGCGTGAGCGTGGCTGACTTAAGCTCGGGGGATCGAGTCGTCTCTGCACCCGACAGGTGCACCTACACTGCTACAGTACCACAAGGCACAAGGCTACGCAATCAGTTGGGGCACACGGGACCGCGAGTGGGGAGGCGATCGACAGTACGTAAGACCACTCGGTGACAGTCGACGACTGAGGCTCTCAGGCTACTGCTTTGGTATACTCGCTTTGGTCTAGCTCTAATACTCCATTAGTCTATTACTACTCTATTCACTAATTGTGCTGTTGTGCTGTACAATTTGCAGTACTGTATTATTTGAGCAGGATAAAATGTCTTTCAGTATTGTATTTATTGTGTGACCGTATTGTCTCATTGACGAGAATCGGTGTCTTGTCTGTCGACAAGCCTGCCTGCGATCTGAGCATCTTCATCTCAGCCTTCTCGTACTGAGCATCCGGATTCTTGTTGATCGTCTGTCAAAGGCAGATATGGTCGTGTACTGACCGAAGAAAGTTGAGTTTCATTGCTCCAACTTTCAAGGCCCGCATCAGGCGGGCCCCGTCGGATGCCAATGGCTCGCTTACTTTGGGGTTGTGTCAGACGGCAGACCCGTCCTTCAACCTTGGACTGATAATACGACACACTTACAGTACCTCTCGGTGACTGAGGGTTTAGACATTCGATTACGGTAGGACAATTGGACTACTGTAACCTTGTTGTAAATCTGGAAGCCTCTTACAAGTTACCAGTAGTACTTTACAGTCGTGAGAGACTGAGAGCTATCTCGCAACACGTACATTGCAAAGCGTACATACATATAGTAAGTTAGGTACATCAGAGTACTGGCTACTGCTAGTGTCTACAATTGTGATTGTCCCCCAGGAAATCACAAACAATAGACTTGTGCGTTGTGGTTGTGACAATGATAGATATTGCTCTATATGACTCGATGGTGATCCCTGTAAATCCGTCGATACTTTTTCATGTCTTGTATCAAGAATCACCGTCTCTTATGCTGCGGCTGCACCAGACCTTACGGCAGAGCTATACGGCTTGACCACCCCGAACTTGGTGCCCTGAACCTGTGGAAGCCCATTCCGCACAGGACGAGATAGGTAAAGTCGCTGAAGCAGTGGATATTTGGCAAGGCACCGTCGAATGCGAGGTTGCTCGCAGTCCCGTGACCTTGCTACAGTAAGAAACTCCTAGAGTACTGAGTACCTAGGTACTGACCAGTGACCAGTGACTAGTAGTACTGACCATCGTCTCGAATCGCCGCGGTCAGGGTTTCATTATTATCTTCGAGCTGGCCTACACTCTGCATGAGACGCAGGCACAAAATTGTCGACGCATTTCAATCGACTCCCATACCGATCCAGCGAATACTTCACTAGCGATCGCATGGTGACAATGCATCTGCAAGGTGTGGATCAGAAATTTCTCCGCTCCTATGCAGCAGCTTCCCACTGTTCTCAATAAAACTTGACAAAATTCTGGATATACTCTCTGTCCAAGTATTAAACCCCTATTCGAGCGCCGCTCAAGCTACTAAAGGTACATACGTTATGTAAATTGTGTGATGAAACAAAGTTTGCCACTGGCGCCCGCCCCCAGAGCTTAAACCTAAAGGTGGAAAATACCTAGCGACCAAGTTCAATCTCCCAGGGACGCACGATAGCGATGATTGAAAATTGAAGTCCTTTCCCAAGCTCATTTTCGACATGTGTATGCTCTCAGAAAGAATAAAAATTGACGAGGCACACAGATGGACGTCCATCCAAACCCCCAGCGCAAGAGCGTCCGGCTCACCGAAGCAACTTTGCACTTGTCTCTGAGACGATGATATAGGCATGAGACGTTTCATATCTGACCGTCTTCCCACCCCGACCCACCTCACCCACTCACGATGGACTGGAGGCTCTTGTGTTGCCTGCGGGACCTGCTTTGATCAACAGGAGGGTTGCCAAATAATCTAAGCCTTGAGCCTTTACTGTTCGTACCGAAGGTTGGCGAGCGATGAACCGCACATCAATCTAGATGTTAGCTGTGGAGTGAGCGGTCATCACTCTTTCGCCCGTTGTTGGAACCGTTCATGAAAGAGACAAAAGCCCCATCAAGCAAGCGACGCCTCTTAGGAACAGTGGCAGGAAGGGAAGCCAGGGGTTGGTTGCAAATGTTTCAAAGGTGCACGGATCTCTCCACGGAGGGCGGTAGATCATCATGTTGGTTATTCGAAGACGATGGACGGGGTGGGGCGAGGCAAGAGACGAACTAGGCGACCACCTTGGCACTTACGGAAGTGCCATAAAGTGGGATGGTGGATGGAGGATTGCGATCACAGGCGAAGCCAGCATCCATACCGGTAGTCAACCCAGGCGTTGCGAGCCTCATATAGCAGCAAGACTGGTGGTCGTAGGAATGAATTCCTGCACTTATAGTCAGTCGCTTTGCGGCAGGGTCACCTACTGACGAGCAGGAGTCGTATGAATTGGTTTCTCAAATGCATTGACCGTGTCGGCGTTGGACCTTTTGTAGCAAGTTCAAAGCGAAGACTGATAGGTCAGCAGCCAAAAAAGGGTACCGGACCTCTGCTCACATATACCATTGGATTCATCCTGTTCCTGGTGTCTAGACCAAAACTGCTCCATCATTGGATGGCAGCGGCCAGATGTTCCTAGGAACAATATAAACGAGAGTGAAAAACAGATGACCCAATACAGGAAATGGTCAAGGGCAAGGAGATGGTCAACGGACCGATGAATACTCGAGAATTGACAATCGACGGGCGGAGGAGGATCACTTGGCGGGACGATCATCATCTCGTTCGTTTACACCAAGACGCCCGTTCCGGCCCTTGAGTGGGACTGACCGACTGACGGATGACAGCTCGTAACGCGAAAGCTCGTGTGGCTTTTCACGAAGGTTGCTGAGACTTTGCAGATTGCTCGTTGTCTGATACCCGGCACCTCTAATCCGATCTTGTCAGATTTAATACGGTGGTGACTGGAGAGGTAAATCATAAGATGCAGGGCGGCGATCATTGCTTGTAAGATCAAGACTGACACCGTCAATCTTCCAGCCATGATCGTGAGGCTTCAGAAGCCCGTCGTTAGTAGTCCAGACTCCAGACACTCGATATCACAGATAGATCCTCAGTCTGTTGTTGGATTGTAGTTGGCAGAAAATGGTCGTGAGCCCTCAGCCCTGAACCCTTCAGACGTTCCCAAGACGGCCACATGATCGTGGGTTGGGCCCAGCCTCAGCCTGGCAGAACGTCCAAAATGGTGTAGATTTGTTTTGCTGCTCCCATCCTCTCGCTCTTTTTCTCTCTTCCTCAACCTCTTCGTCCGTTTTTCTTCCACCCTTTTCCCTCCACACGTTTCCCTTGCAACTTTCGTTATTCCATCTGCCTCCCAAACCATTTCATTCAACTCCATAGTCTCCCCCTTCCTTCTCGGCTGCGTCAGCCGGCGCGCGCGTCACGGCACCAGAGTGTCAACGGCCGGTGCCCAAAACGCCTTGCGCCCCTCATCCTGGGTTGTGCGGGAATCGTTGAGACACTACACTGGTAGCTCGCAGTCTAGCCTCGCCTGTGGCTTTGGTCTCCTCCTTTCGCTTCTCACATCGTAGTCGACCTTTCTCTCCTGCCCACATTATCGTCCTCACATTGGATTTCCTCCTCTACCCGCTCGTCTTCCTCGGCCGGTCTCCTACCTACCGGGAACCATACGCCCAACTCCATCCCCACTCGCCCTGATCGACTCGCACCCAGTGCAGGGCTCCACACCAGCAACCCGGCTTTCTTCTTTTTCCATCCACCCTCCTACCAACACTCCTACGAACTGACCCTGCGACCACACCCGTTCACTGGTTCAATTTTGTTCCCCTGACCATCCGCTCTTTGCCATACTCCTCTCCTCACTCATTCCTAACACATCCTCGTTCACGTCATCCTCCGTCGGTCTGCCACGCGAGTCCCGGCTGATCTTCGTTCCGTCCTGCGCGCCAAGTGTCTCCGATCTTGTCCCCAAGTCACTCACACTCGTGCCACTAGCGAATGCTGACGGTCCATTCATCTTTGCTCGGATTTATCCCGTGCCCTCACTGACGGGGCTTCCGTCATGAATCCCGCTGCGTTCTCCAATCCTGGAGGGGGATGCCCGGTGCGGGAATGCCGCCGCAGCAAATGCAACAACAGCAGGCGCCGCAGTCGCAGGCGCCGCATCAGCGCATGGATAATACCCAGATCGTCATGAGTCAAGTCGCCCACGAGCTTCAACAGCAGCCTCCACTCGGCGGTTGGAAGGATGAGGTTCCCATCAAAGTTCGAGCAATGAACGTCTACCAGATGTAAGTGCACCGTGAACATGGCCTCTGACTTTCTAGCGAATGTCTCCTCATCCGTTCTGCGTGCGCCCTACTGCGGTGCGAGTTGAGATTGATGGCCCCCTTCGTCCCACCCCCGTTCTCGTCATGAAGCTGACATCATTTTCGGCTTAGGATAACTTCACTCCGATTGATCCAACCTCGAATTGATCTGAAGCAAGCGGCCACCGCTGCTATCTCATTCGAGACCAATGCCTTCAAAAAGGCCAACGCACGGGTTCGTTGCCTCGTTTCGTTTATTTCACATTGTTTTCGATGTCCCAGCTTCCGCGGGCTTTCACCTTCCATGGACTTCACTTCCCCAGTTCCACGAGAAAAAATCCACCATGTTGTGTTACCCCCGCACTTCCCCTTCCTCGCTGTCGTTTCCGATACGCTTCTCACACGTGTAGACTGACATTGACTTTCTACCAGAGCGACTACGAAAAAGATTGCGCCGAGAAACTAAACCACATCAAGGACACTCGCCAGAGACAAGCTGCTGCACTTCAGTCTGGAATGACACCTCAAGTGGGACCAACAATGCAGGGTCAGATGCAGGGACAGATGCCTGGACAGATGCCGGGCCAAATGCAGGGCCCGATGCAGGGCCCGATGTCAGGGCAAATGTCGAACCAGATGCCTGGCCAGATGGTGGGCGGTTTCATGCCACACATGAATGGAAACATCCAAAACTCTCCCGTTTCCCAGGCGCATCCTCAGATGGCAATGGCCCTGGATGGTCCCAATCAGCAAGCTGCAATGCAGCAACGTCACCAAATGCAGCAGCGTCAGCAAATGCATCAGCGTCAGCAAATGCATCAGCAACAGCAGCAGCAGCAGCATGCTATGCTTCAGCAGCAGCAGCAACAACAGCAGCAGCAGCAGCAGCAGCAGCAACAGCATCAACAACAACAACAGCAGCAGCAGCAGCAGCAGCAGCAGCGACTCCAACAACGCCCTTCCGAGGATATTCCCGGAGTCAATGATGATGCCTCTGGTTTCCAATACTTGAATTCTGAACACGTCACTCAGCTTGCAATGCAGATGCAGCGACGGTACACCGAGGAAGATTTTGTCAAAATCAGGAGAAATATGGCTACCAACCTGAGTGACAATCAGAAAATGTTCCTCCAGCAGCGCGGGATTGACCCAATCCAGTACTTTTTTCGTAGCCAGGCAGCGTTGAACCTGCGACGCCGTATGTCACGTCCGGCAAACGCCCAGGCTGGCCAACCTGGCATTTCCGCGAACAGTGTCGGCCCAGCTAATGACGGATTGAGTCAACAAGCAATGGTGCAGAACATGATGAATCTACAGCGCAGCAACACGGCGTTCCCGAACAATGCACAGGCCCAGGATTCGAACACGTTCTTCGGCAGCGTTGAAAACATTCAGGGTCAACAAGCCGATGGTGTCCGATCACAGGAGGCGGGCCAATTAGTTGTGCCCGCCAGCTCGTCTCAAATGGGCCAGGCGTCTCTCAACAACCAGCAGAACCAGTTTGCTCAGCAGCCTGGACCCAATGGTCACGCTAAAGACATGATCAATCCCGTTGGAATGAATACTCAGATGTTCCCACCGCACAACATGCAACAGCAGCAAGTGATGGTGCAGAATGCCCGAGCGCAAGCCGCTCACAACGCACAGATCGCGATGTCCGGTCAAGTTAACCCGCAACCTCCGGCTCAGTTCAACCAGCAGCAGATGTCCATGCTCAACCAAGGCATGTCCCCTAACCAGACTTCTCCGGTTCCTGGGGCTGCTCAAGTTCGGCCACCGTCTCGTCCCGCGCCTATGGGGCAAGTTCCCGGTGGTCTGCCAGGTGCACGTCAAGGTGTCCAGGGCCGACCCATGATACCTTCAACCCTCCCTCAAGCAGTTCGAGACCAACTGAACTCAATGTCTGATCAGCAGCTTCGAGATTTCTTCGAAAATCAGCGACGCAATCTTGCTCACAACCAACCCCGGGGAAATGGATCACATCCTCTAGCCCAGCCGCAGCAGCAACCTTCGCAGGCTGCGCTCCCTCAAGAAGCTCGAAACCAATTCTTTGGCGGCCCGCTGAACAATAACATGAGGAATTCTATGAACCTACATGCTTCCACGAATCCATCAGCTGCTATGAATCTTGGAGGTGGCGTCAATCAGAATCAACCTCCGGCCAACACAACGGTCATGACTCCGCAGCAACAAGCGGCTTTCTTGCAACGTCAGCAAGAGCTATTCCGATTGAACGCTCTTCGTCAGCAGAGTAACGGCAATGAGATGACTGCTGAACAGTTGCAGGAAATGGACCGGGTCCAGTTCCCGCAACCTATGATCGCCAATTACCCTCAGGTTCCCCAACACATTAAGACTTGGGCGCAGCTAAAGGCTTGGTCAAAAGGTAACCCCCTGAACAACCAGGGGTTGGATCCTGCTCGGCTTTCGAACATGCAAAAGCTTCATTTTGCCCACATAGCGAACTCAAAACGTGCACAGCAAACTCAGCATGGTCAGCCGAACCAGCTAGGGCAACAGATGCCTCCTTCGCAGCCAAGTCACCAGCACTTGCAGAATCAGCATCAATCCAACCAAGCGCAGCAGGTCTTTCAAGGTCCAATCGCGGGTCAAATCCCTCAAGGCACCCAAAATCCCCCAAGCCAGCCATCCCCTATGGTCCTGCGGCCCATCGTGCAACAGGATATCGACCATGCGCGCGAGAAATTGGGAAGCAAAGGGCCCAACTTCACAGACGACCAAATTCGTGAACTCCTGAAAAAGCGACAGCGGCTGATCTACGAGCAGACTAATAATGCTCTACAAGCCCAGCAAAATATGTTCATGGTGACTCAACCAGGACCGCATCCAGCAGGCGTCGTGCCCCACAACCCGGTACAGACTCAGCCACTGCCGGTACTGCAACAACCTCCACCAGGGTCAGTTGACGTGCAGCATTCGAATCCGCGCCTGCAGCAAGTGACCAATGCCACCTCGAAGAGTGGAACTGCCTCAGTCTCCAGCAACCAGAAATCGAGAAAGAGACCTAGTCCGGACGATGGATTTGACACAACGGTTCAGGGGAACTCTAACGCTTCCCAGCAGAATCAAAGTCTCACGGCCCCTGCTGTTCCTGCCCCTTCGAGCGTGGTAGCAAATGTGCCCACTTCGCAGGAGGCTCCTTCCGCCCACGTTTCTCAGAACCTTGGACCCGACGTGGCTGCCAGACGACCTCCCCCTCAGACCTTCTTCCGTGGTCAATACCTTGATCGAGCTGTGGCCGAGCACAATTGGAACACCAACATTTCTCCTGAACTTCTGGAGAATTACCGAGAAATTGGCAAGACTGCCCCGCCCTCAGGCGCCCTGGATCTGGCACCGGAGGTTAAGGAACAAATGAAGCAGTCCATGATTGATGCTCTGGAGCTTTTGTCTCGACTGGATGTGGCTGTGCGCGCTTACATGGGAGCACCCAATCCTGAACGCAATCTGAGAAAGCTGTTCGCTGTGCGACACCAATTGTGGCGTCAATTCAAGAATCAACACGACTGGACTGTTACCGATCAGTTCACCGTCGCGCCCGACTACCTCTCTGGCGCTTTGATGTACATTCGCAAACTTTTCCAGATGGTACTTCTTCGCATCCAACAAGACAGACGGGCTCTTACTGAGCAGGGCACCGCTTCGACTGAATCAGAACAGCCTCCTCAGACATCCGCTTTGACCCCTGCAAATCTCCAGCAATTGCAGCAGCAAGAGGAAGCTCTGCAGCGCGCTGCCCGCGCCCCTAGCCAGTCTGCAAATGTTCCCGCAGCACCTCTCGCTGCTCCTTCGCCCCAGGGCGTTCCGGCCTATGGCCCCGGCGCGTTGGCTCCCGAAAACCTCAAGCTTCCACCACCGAAGAGGCGCAAGGTCTCAGAAGCCGGGCCTGTCGCGGTCCCCAAGACTCCAGTAGTTGCTGACACGGAATCAAGCTACAAGAACGCCACCGTGGACGTCAAGCAAGCGACTGCGCCTGCGAGTGGCCCATTCAAGTGCTCCGAACTGGATTGTCCAAACCATTACAAGGGATTCCCCACCTTGGACGCCATGAATAAGCACATTGAGGAAAATCACAAGCCTGAGACCGAGGAGGTCACTGGAGACGTTTGCGATTACTTCCGAGAGAGTGTCAAAATAGGCCTAGGACTTGCTCCTGGCTCTAAAAAGGAACCCTGGCCAGTCGTTAAAGAACGTCTTCGCACAGCCTTCAAACCAATTGTTGACCACATTCGTCGTCAGGATGGTACAGATGTGATTCGTGCCATTACCGCTGAATTCCTAGCGGACGAGGAGCGAAGACGCAGACGCTGGGCTAAAAAGGGCGACACTACTGGTGATGCTACTCGTGACACTACTGATGACACTACCCGTGAAGATTCTACTGAGGAAACTCCCGAATCAGACGGGCTGGACGACTTCCCCGAGGACAATGATGACAATCCATTAGGCTCGAATGAACCGGTTGAATGGGATTCGTGGCTCGCAGATTGGGACGAGGAGTCCGTCATGGTTGCTGCGGAATGGATGCGAATTCCGGAGAAATACCAGGACCCAAAGGCTGGTATCAAGAAACCTTTGACAGTCGACTTTGATCGCCTTGAACGTGAGCAGCGAGAGGCTCGGGAGGCCAAGGCGGCCAAGGAAGCCAAGTCTGGCTCCAAGGGACGTGCTGTTCCCATCTCCACTCGTGCATAAGCACCTTCATCTCTCTATTCGCTTCATTTTCTGTGTCAATTTTTGAGATTCCCTGCTGGATCAGCGTTGGCGTTTACGGGCGGGCGGGGAATCGGAACACCCCCAACGGAAAATCAAAGGGGCTCAATGATTCTTTGATACTTTACATGTTCTTCACAGCAGATGACGTCGATGACAAGATAATACCCCAATACATAATCGATCCGTTGCTGTCATATGTGCACCTCGTAAATTCATGAATGTAGCCACACAGCATTGCGGTACTGAGTCCGGCCTACTAACTTACATAGAGGCATCGGAGACGAAGGCAGCTCGCTCATGAATCTTAGAAGAGATGCCCTTGGCACCTTGGCCACTGATCACGACTTGGCCGCGTAGTCTCGTTAAGATTATGATTTGATGATTCCTGCTAATTTCTGAGCTGGCGCTACTACACTGGAGATCCAACCTTGACTTTCCCATCTCCCGAATGCCACTTCAACTTAACAGGCGCAAGTACGGGTACAGCAGTTCACACGGAGCCACACAACTGAGTATTACAAGTACTATCGTAGCTTTCCGTTATTCACAGATAGATAGTAGTCGTCTAGTCGACGCACGGATTGGAGATGCCCCCATGATCCATCCATAAGGTATCTAGTATAGGATTGGATCCAGTGGACCCCCGACCCACCCAAGTTGTGTCAGCTGGTCCGCTCGAGCATGCCGATAAGCGATAAGCCCAGCTATCTCCGCTTTGTTTGACTCCTCCGCTTCTTCTCCTCATCTGTCGCCTCCGGGTCCCTTCGTCTGTCATCACGTTCCAATTTCCTCGAGTCTCCCATATATGAGAGACACAATATGATGGAGAACCGAGGCCTCATACCGATTCTGGTCACGATGATGCTCGTGACCGGTGTCTGCAATACAATCTTGAACAAGTACCAGGTAAGAAGCTAAGCTATATCGAGCCCAGAGTCCCAGCTAACACCGGGTAATAGGACATGCAATGTGTGAGGGATTGCGATGCAGCCAATCCGAAGGATCGGAAGCTCTTCGAGCAACCAGTCATCCAAACGTATGTGAATTCTCTGAGAGCCTATCACACTTAGGACGGGCATATCTTGGGAACGGATCGTGGCTGACTCTAGCTTTCCCGCATGTAGAGCGCAAATGTTCATCGGTGAAATGGCCTGTTGGTTGGTCGTTGGATTATCTGTCCTCTACCAGCAGTTTGTCGTTCCCCGGCTCGGTCGCGAATCGTCCCCGCTCTTTGAGGGTGGATATCAGCCCGTGCACGAGGACGAGGATGAGCGAGAACAAGCCTTGGAAGACGCGCATCCTCGCAGTCCGAGAAAACCAGCACACGACGGAGAAGACAGGATTCGCCTTCGTGGTTGGCGCATTTTCCTCCTCGCTGCTCCGTCTTGCTGCGACATTGCAGGAACGACCTTGATGAACGTCGGCCTTCTCTTTGTTGCCGCAAGTATTTATCAGATGACTCGTGGAGCTCTGGTTCTCTTTGTCGGTCTCTTCAGTGTCATCTTCTTGCGCCGGAAGCTTTTCCTGTATCAATGGAGTGCACTCTTCGTCGTTGTACTGGGTGTTGCTCTCGTTGGTCTCTCCGGTGCCCTGTTTGGAGGCGAAACTGGTCACGAACTCAGCCACGAGACCGGAGTCGACGCTCAGACGACTGCTAGGACTCCTGAAGCAGTACAGACCATCATCGGTGTTTTGTTGATTGCAGCAGCGCAAATATTCACAGCCTCGCAATTCGTGCTTGAAGAGTGGATACTTGAGAATTATGCTATGGACCCGCTCCAAGTTGTGGGCTGGGAAGGAATCTTTGGCTTTTCTGTTACTTTTATCGGCATGATCATTTTGCACTTCGTGGTCGGTAACACTGATGCTGGTCGTTATGGTTATTTCGACATGAAGGAGGGATGGCGCGAGATCACCACGAACCGTGCTGTGGCGATCTCTAGCATCCTTATTATGATCAGTATCGGGTAAGCTCGCAGTCTTCCCCTGGTGTTCCTTTTAGCATGGAGTCCTTACCTGCTAGATGGCTACTTGCGGATCAAGCTAACATCTTCCCTTTCACCTTTCAGTGGCTTCAACTTCTTCGGTCTCTCCGTCACACGCACTGTCTCTGCAACTTCCCGTAGCACCATCGACACGTGTCGTACTCTGTTCATCTGGCTGGTCTCACTTGGTCTGGGCTGGGAATCCTTCAAATGGCTTCAAGTTGCCGGCTTTGGCCTCCTTGTATATGGCACGTTCCTCTTCAACGACATTGTTCGTCCGCCTTTGAAGGCTTGCCTTCCATCCGAGCGCAGAGAGGGCCAGGTCCTGCTCCCCGAGGAACCTATTGAGCACATTTAAATGTCTCATTGACCTGCGATTCTGATCTTTGGCGAGATTCGGGAAGACTATAGCCTGCAGAACGGAGAGTGGCGTCAAATAGCGCCCTCGATGTTTTTTTTTTCTTTTAGCATATCACGCCGGTCGTTCACTATTATTCTTGTTTTGATTTGGTCCAGAGGCTTCGACACTCATCGTGCAGCCTTGAACCATTCTCGAGCCGCGGGGTCTATTGGAGGTTGAATTTACTTGCATGGGTCAATTGCTTATAGACGGTCCACCTCTGGCGACCGCCCAACAATCGGGCGTTGGTGTTGGTCAATACGATATTCCGTATTTGCGTTGTCTTATCAGTCCATGTTATTACCTCCCAATTCAACAATTCCGGTGAATAGCATACAAGTCCTACACAAAGCTGTGGTGGGTAGGGTACGCCATTCGCGATTGAAAGATGCCTCCACAAAGCTACCAGCTCTGTCAGGGACGTAGGTGATAGTGACCACGGTCCCCATCCCTCCCGGTACTAGACTTGGGGCAGTCTCAAATGCTAGGATGTATCGTTGATACATTTGCATCTACCTAGATTCCATTCGTTCTGGGAGTACGACGGGAATGACACGCTGATCTACCATGCAATCACGTGAGGTGCCTTGTCTGTTGACTCCAGATTTGTCACAATAAGCTCATGCGAGAACAGTAAGAATTACTTCCAGCATGTGAGACACCAAGAGGGCATATGAAAGGCGAGCGGGCTCGTTCAGACAGCAGCATATAGGATCTGATATCGCTTTGAATGAAAAAAAAAAGTTTATATACTGCAATGAGTCCCAGTCAAAAGGCGCCTTAGAGTTGAATGACATCAGACGGTGCAAAAAATTTATTTCAGAAACAGGGGAAATTTTGTATAATCTGTTCGGCGCATCAAGTAACAGACCAAGAAGTTTTTCCGTCTCTAAAAGGAGTCTGCCTCGCGGATGCTCCACCCATAATAATGCAAAGGAGTAAATTGGAAGTGGGTACTTCAGGGCTCGGACCAGTCGACTTGATCTGTGACTGCGTTACCATCACGAGTGGATGATACGCGAAGACGGAGACGAAGCTTGGGTGGAAGGGTCTATTGAATGGGAAGATCAGTACTGAATGGGAAAATATAGAACGGGGTTTCAGGAGACATACCCCATTGAGAGCAGCGATGCGAAGAGTCTGAGTGCCTTCCTCGCCGGATTGAAGGTCAGGCTTGTTGATGGCGCTCAGCTGCAAACGCTGGCTCTTCGGTACGGCGGCTTGTAGACCAACATTGGTGAAAGTCTCGAAATTGGAATCGTTGCGGAAACGGGCTAGTAGCTGAGCGTTGGTGCCACTGCGCTGTACTTGTAACGTGAGTACAAGACCATCCTTGCTGAAGACGCTGTGCGCAGGCGTGCTGCTAGATTGGGGAGCAGGCGTGGCGCTGGAGGGCGGCGCAGTCGAACCCATGCCACCACCTCCGAGCAGATCCAATGACGCGGAGCCAACTTGCTGAGTCGGCTGCGGAGATGGCGAGGCGGCACTTGAGCCAAACAAGTCCATGATCGCACTGTTGCTCGTGGCCTGAACACTGGGAGCGGGTCCCGGTGACACTGCGCTCGAGTCTCCTCCGCCAAGAATATCTGCCAGCAGATCAGCGGTATTGGACCCGTTTGATGTCGGGCTCGTGACAGGCGCGTCAGAACCACCCATGAGATCTAGGAGCAAGTCGTGATCGGCAGGCTTTGACAGCTTGGTAGACTTTCCGCGTAGAATCTTGCTTTGGCGTTTCTTGGCGGGTGCACCCAACACACGCTGCTCTTCACGGATCTCGGGCGCAGGCATGCGTTCGAGAACACCGCGACGGATCTGATCAAATCCAAAAAGATTGCTGTACTCAACAGCGCGCTGTTGAATCTCAACACTCAGATCGGCAGTGCGGCTGGTCAGAAGTCGTCGCAGACGCTCAATTTGAGCTGGATCTGAGAGGCGCGTCGTGAGTTTCATGGTAGCGGTGATGATATACTCCACTACAACCTGGTTGGCATATGTGCTGTTCAGAATGTTGGTGAGCAAATCGACAATATCACTCTCGCGAACTTCCTTCACCAGCTCTTCTTCTTCATATTGACCGCCTTGAAGCAAATTGTCGGCATACTCTCCAATAGTCCAAGTGGCAGCTATTGTCAGGCCTTCCTGGGAAATGTCCTCCTTCAGGGAGGCGTAGAGTTTTTGGACAGCGTAGGTTTGTAACTCGGGGGTGGTAGCAATCAAACGAACGAAGGATGAGAGAATCTGCTCCTTAACGTAGTTCCCGGCCAGCTTGAGAACTCGAAGGATGGTGTCCAAATGCCAGCGTTTATTTGGGGCGAAACGATCAGCAGCGATGCCAATTTGCGTGGTCATGACCGGCTTGAACTCATTGTCGGCCACTTCAAGGAAAGCAAGCAGCTCCCGAACAAGCACGCGCACATTGCTTTCGTTAATCAACATGAAGCTGAGATCCAAAGCTCGGCGACGAATACTGATGTCGGGATCCCGCAAGCATTCCAAAATTGTGTTGCGGTGTCTTTGAACCGCGTTGGGTTCAATGGCGACGACTTTGTTGAGGGTGTTCAAAGCGACGTAACGGATGTTGTTGTCCTTGTTCGACAAGAATTTGCCTAGAATGTTCACACCCAACACCCTCAATCCGGAGTCCGCCTCGATGTCCAGAATCGTGAGCACAGCCTCGTACAAGATGGCATTGCCCACATTCTTTGAGGAATCTGTGTTGGTGGCCACCTGCGCCAGGATGTCGTTGATCAATTCACTGGTCGCGGCATCACCTCGTCCGAGAACACGCAAGAACCGAAGAATCTTGACCTGAAGGAATGGATCCGTGATACCCGATACATCGTGCTCCGGTGCATATCCGGACGTGGTCAGACCCTTGAGGGCTCGCACGAGACCACCGGCAAGCGGTCTGAACGTCTCAATGACACCCTCTGGGCCTTCCTCATCTTCCTCCGCCTCACAAAGGTCAATTGCGAAAGTGAGGCCGCACAGCAGGACTCCGTGGTTGCGATCTCCGAGCAGTGTTTTGGCCTTTTCCAGGAAATGTTCATGTAGATCTGGGACTTTCCGACAGATGCGCATAGCACAGATCGCGGCTTTTCGGCGGATGTAGGGGTTCGCCGTGGACATGAGGTTCTCCACTTCGGTGAACAAGTCTCGCGACATCTCTACCGAGGCGATGTTGCCGAGCGCACATAGGGCGAGACCGACGATGTACTGATTGGAATGGCTCAAGTCACTAGTACATCATTAGCACTGCCGCTAAAGCATCTAGTCAATGTGATCTCAGTTGCACAGGAGCTGCTTACTTTTGTAAGGAATTGGTGACCAGGGTCAGCACCTCCTGATTCTCGTCGAGCAGAAGCATTGTCCCCAGATACCCCAATCGTTTGTCGGCAAACCGATGAGACGCAAGAAGTTTCAAGCATTCGATCTGACCAAAATGAGTTCGTTCGCCGAGGGTGAAGAGGTAGAGAAGCTTGGCCACATTGTTCCTCCTAATGCAATATATCAGCACGTTTTTCGTTGAGGGCGCCAGGGAACGATGCGATGCGCATTTGGGTGCACTCACCGGACGCCCGAGTCATGGCTTTCTTCACGAAACGAGGCTCGAATTGCAGCGCTCTCCTTCTGAATGACCGCCCGCTCGTCGGCGATGGTTTTGGCCGATCGAACATTGCGGATGAATTGCTTCACTGTGGACGATGTGGGGTTCAGCGGACTGCAGCACCTTCAGGGGAGACAGTGAGGGGACGGTCGACGGACGACTCACGAGAAGACATGATGGTCCGCAGCCCCTAGCGGGGACAAGATCAGAGCGGCAATGAAAGAACTCTCGAATTCAAGGTCCGCGACAAGTCCTTCCGAGTCGGTCAAGCTGTACGGCCGTTCAGTAGAGAGGCAGCTCGGCGTCTGGTCTGGATCAGCTTGGGTCTTCCAGTATGATCATTCGGGCCCGTGACTTGTGATTTGGGTCGACCTGGCTTCTTGGCGTAGGTGAAACCGAGCTAAGACAGAAAAGGCAACCATTCATGCCTTAAATCATGAGACACCGTGAGCCTCCTGCAGTATGTTACAATGTCGAGAGCCCGTTCTGGTACAGATCTATAATTACGGTAGTAGACCTAACCATCTGTAAGTAGACCAAGAACTATGAGCTACCTTTTGAGGTACTAGTGACTTGAGTTGACGAGGTTAGCCCACATCATGAATGGTCGCGCTCTCGTCTTCCGCGACAACTGACCGCCCCAGGTATGATCCACCTAAATGCAGATGCCTTATCTTCCTGGCAGATATCTTGCCCTCCTGCCCTTCAATGTTATGATCCTCGTTGATATCCTTTGTGTGTAGCTTGACTTTCGAATACTAGCATATCCGAATTCTGGTGTCTGCCTAGAGCGCTCTTTCGCACTTGATCTGTGATGCACGATAACGAGTCGATCAATCCTTCGGTTCCTTCATTTAGTATATACTCCATACTCTACACTCTGCAGTCTACACTATACAGTTATTCACTAGATGCATTATGCCGGACAATCCATATTTGATATTCCGCCTCACGTCGATCAACTAGGCTCCATCCCCGCTACTTGAAAAAGGATGCCCGAGGACGTGCGTGACTATGCGCCTCTGTCATTTCGCCTCTGATCAATTTAGTACAGGTGAGAAAGGGGCTAGCCATTCCGCCTCAGACGTAATTGGAGACCATCATTCTTTGACCTCCTCCGCCTTGGCATCTCCGGATCATGATTCATGCGACATTTGATGTGTGCGACGTAATTGTAAGATCTCCAGTTCATTCCAGGTGGGGAGAGCCAGGGGCTAGCCTGCCCGTGAATGCTAGTTGGGAACCGTTGTAGGGAGTAGAGATATCCCGAAATCGGCGGGGGTGATGATCGATTGAGCCCAAGGTTGGCTCTTTCAGGCAGGATGGATGTCTTGATTGTCTTCCGCAAACCCGGTAGAGACCAAGACCTCCACTGTCCCGGGCGTGGAGGCTTACATAAGTCTCTGTACCAGACTCGCTGGCACTTGGCAGTGCATCGGACATCCGGCATCGCAGTAGATTAATTGTTCTACAATCTACAGTTCTACACTACTACTAACTATTGCAGTACTTGACTTAATAATGATAGTCGTGCTCGACTACTACAGTAGTATGCTCTCGCTCTCCCTTTGTCTCAATGGCGGGCCTGCTGAATCCCGTATTGCTCGTATGTTGCGTGTCTTGATTCGGACTCTCCGAGTAAAAATACGGCGGTGCCTGCTTTCATGCGTATTCGTACTACACCTTGTATTGGGTAAGGCCCCTCGACTGACGTAGTGGGTGATCTGCCGAGCTGTTGTTAATTGTTCTGTCGGCATCCGTCCGATAGAACTTCCTCATCAACTGAAACTTAGTCAACATCATTTCAATGCCGTCCTATTGAGTCCGCCTCTGCTCTCAGAATTGAGATATATTGCTGTCAAAGTGGGAGCCTGTTTCTGTGCGCTCGCTAATCAACAACCACGCGATCGAAGATCCTCTTCGAGTCAGCATGTCCAGCGCGGTCCATAAGGCTGATGCGCCCGTCTTGCGGCCGCGGGCGATACCCGTTCCTTATAGCAGCAAGAACGAGGTCGATAAGTCTCTTGCTGCCCCGGCGATCGACCGATTAAGTTCAGATACCAGGTGAGTAGCCTCTAATATTCACGCAGTCGTCCTTAAATTACATGATCCTCTGACAGCCGGTCTCTCCAGCGGCCGTTCTACTCCTATCCCCGAAGATGCGCCCCCCTCGGCACAATCCATCGCGGTAGCCCGCAAGCAAGTGCGCCTGCGAAACCGCTTGTTCTATACGATCGACTATGTCCCCCGGGTGTCACATTTTGATCCGGACAGCGACTACCATGATTTTCGCGGGTTTTTTACCTTGTTCTGGATCAGCTTGGTGATCATGGTGGTGACAACGGTGCTCCGAAACATCAAAGATACTGGATATCCGTTACGGGTGCGTGTATGGAGTCTGTTGTCGGCCAATGTCTGGGAGCTGGGCTTGTGTGATCTTGCTATGGTGGCTAGCTCGGCATTAGTACTGCCCTTGCATCGCCTCTACCAGAAAGGACCAAAATGGTTGCAATGGGCGCGGGGTGGGATGATCGTACAAAGTCTCGGAGAGGCTGTATGGCTTGCGGTCTGGATCAAGTGAGTGTCGGATCGACCCAACCCACTAAGAGCACGATGAGACGGTAAATGTCCAGATGAACACGCATTGGGGACGGACTGACAACCCTTTCATGACACATAGCTGGCCATTCTTGCGCCTATGGACTTGGACGGCGCAGGTGTTTTTCACCCTTCATCTTCTGACAATTCTTATGAAACTTCACTCGTATGCGTTCTACAATGGCCATCTCAGCGACATGGAACGCCGCCTTGCAGCTTTGGACAAGCCTGGGCCGATCGAGCCGGCGTCTCCATCAGATATCAGATACCCCGAGCCAAAACGCCGCCGCCCATCGTTGAAGCCGACCCATGAAGAGGACGACAACACCGAGCCGCTGGTTCGGCTTCGTGAAGACCTGGCCACTGAATTGACTTCCCCGCTCGGCAACATCTCCTACCCTCAAAATCTAAGCTTTATAAACTACGTCGATTTCCTCTGCTGCCCAACCCTCTGCTATGAATTGGAATACCCCCGTCGAGCGAACCGTCGGTGGGCCGAGATCGCTTGGAAAACCCTTGCTGTTTTCGGATGCATCTTCTTACTCACTCTGACGAGCGAGGAATTCATTGTGCCAGTGCTCAGTGAAGCACACGTCCAACTGGAGGCGCTAGACAGTACAGCTGACAAGGCACTGGTCTTGGCTGAAACCATCAGTATGCTCCTATTTCCCTTCATGGTGACCTTTCTGTTAGTATTTCTTGTCATCTTTGAATACGTCCTGGGCGCATTCGCAGAGCTCACTCGCTTTGCGGATCGACACTTTTATTCCGACTGGTGGAACTCTTGCGACTGGTAAGTCTCAATTCTGTCCTACGCCCTTCCAAGAGGAAAATTATCCCCTCATACATGCAAATTACTGATCTCCCAACCCCAAGGCTGGAATTTTCACGAGAATGGAATGTCCCTGTCCACCACTTCCTCTTTCGCCATGTCTACCTTCCTTCTCGGTCAAAATTCTCTCAGCCCGTTGCCATGTTCATTACATTCCTGGTCAGCTCGATCTTCCACGAGGTAGTCATGAGCTGTATCACCAAGAAACTGCGCGGTTATGGGTTCGGAGCCATGATGCTTCAACTGCCGATTGTGGCAGTACAAAAATCCCGATTCTTCAAGGGCAGAAAGACACTCAACGCAAGTCATTCATTCCCCTACAGGCCTTACCACGTTTAAAAAATCTCATCAATCACTGACTCTTCCACTCTCACAGAATGTATTCTTCTGGTCTTCCATGATTCTGGGTCTTTCAATGGTACGTGCGCCGCTCTCCAGTCGGTAAGGTATGCCGTCAAATTGATCTGCAGCTACTGAACTGTTTTCCATGATCCAGATGTGTGTCTTCTATGTCCTGGTTTAGGTCACTTTGATCGAGCAGTGTTTATAAGCATCTCATATTTGACTCGTCGTTCTTCCGAGTCGGAAAGAATGGGTCTGCGATAGAGGCGGATCGGTTTTGGCCCTGATTGGCTTGCTAATGTTATATAGCGCTTTATAGAGCGATTACTTCTGGGCACGTATATGAGAAAGGTAACTCCCCACGAGGCGGGGGTTATTACATGTATAAAATGTGATCTTCCTCATGACATAGGCACTCCTTCCCGTTATCATAGACCAGGCCAGATGCAAAAGGGAGCAATTAGACCTAACCTAAGTGCTAACTGGCGCGGCCTTGTACGACATATCTCTCGGCACCTCGAGTCCCGTGAATGAGGACGGGAACGCCGACCCAAATGAACACCACTAGGTGGCTAAATTACTTCTATTCAATCCAATCGGTAATGAATAGAGATACAAACCACGCACTACCCCAAAAGACCTAAAGAATGCCAAAACCGTGGACAAGAAGCATTAAAATTCAAAGTTGCGGGCAAACCCCCTTCATGCATTTGATATCTTGTATTGTGATATTTGCTATTCGTTAAGTCTTGAGAACCCAAATACTGAAAATGACAACACCACTGCCTGGATCCAGAAACGCCTCCCAGGGTAAATTCCAGAAACCAAAAAGTCAGAGATGTGAAGACGGAGCGCTCTTCTAGGGGTTAAGATGCCTTATCATGCGTAGGTACCCAACCCAGCAAAAAGCCGCTCCGCTTCAATGCAAGAGGGTGGAGAAGATTGGATCCTGGAATACGCGCGGGATTCAATGTTCCCCATTATCTCGAGAATCGAAAGGAGAGATATGAACGATGCAGACCTAATAGACTCGGTGGACGCCCATTTGGCCAGAAGCCATGTTGTGCCATGGGAGTTTGAGATGCATGGTGATGATGATTGTGGTGGTCGTGACGATTTCCATGTAAGGAGCAGCGACAAGGAGGAGGCATTTCGAGGGGGAGATACGTTAGTGATAATGATGATGGTGGTGGTGGTAGTGATGGCGAAGATGATGACGATGCTCTGCAGTTCTGCTGCCGATCGAGCACGACGGGTTGCAGGGGAGGAAATGAATAATCAGAGCCAGGCGTGTGAATACTAAGTACAGAAGGAACCCCTGATGATGATGAGGAGGGTGATGTTGTTGATGACGTTGATGTGCATGATGATCATGGAAGACCGGTAATGGTCATTGTTCGAGAAGAATAAACCCAGACCGAGTGGAAGAAAAGAGAAATTGAAATGTGTGTGCACGAGCATAAAACTTGTCGTCATTGATATGTTGTCATTCATGCAGCTGTAGATTGTCGTCTCCCAATTGGCGGATTGCGAGCTTCACTGTAGTAATGAGATCGACCGGGCGACATGTAGGCTTCGCTTGGTCGTACCTCACGAGGGTACTTGGTCTCTTGCAGTCGAGTCCGAACGGGGTACTCATCATCATAGGTGCGGCCTGGCCGTGGCCTGCGCACTTCAACTCGAGGCGATTCTTTCTCAACGGTATTGAAAGTGTTGGCTCGTTTGGGAACGATCCGCACAGGAGAATTCGCGCGATACTTGGATGATTTGGGAGGCTCAGTAGTTGTTGGATCTAAAATCTTGTAGCGAGCTGTGGCCTTGGGCGAAGCTCCCCTCGCAGGCATCTCGGGTGTACTTGGACTGGAATAGCCAGAATCGTAGCGTCGTGAAGACCGCACTGGAATTTCTTCTCGAGCCATCTTCTCCAGAGTCGGCTCTTCTCGAGAGGAACCCTCACGTTTCGGCCGAATAAACCCGGCCGAGGTCGTCGCACGGGCTCCAAACAAAGAAGGCCGGATCGAGGATTTGTAAGGCGACGAAGCGGAAGCTGGCATCTTCGGGACCTTGAACTCCTCCTTCTCTCGGCGAGGAGAATCAAGCTTCTCCCAGGAATTATGGCGTGAGGTTGACTCTGGTCGGCGGGAGGACCGCCCCATGCGCCGGCTGCTGCTCATCTCTGGCTCGGCCGATTCGTAACCACGGTGTCGCTGTGGAGACCGGCCCCCCCGCGGACCTTCGTATTTGGAGCGATGGATATGTTCTTCGGCGTCGTGCACCAAGCTATCATGCTTGCGGCTACTGTATCGGCTGGAGGGGACTGCCACGTCCTCGTCTTGGTAGGATCCCGTGCGGCGCTGGCCATGATCTCTTGATCGAGTCCGAGACTCTCTGGCATCCCTGAGAGAATCTCGTACGTCGTAGGAGTCACGAGATGTACGAGTTCGATAAACAGGTCGCTTGACTCGCTCGGAGGATGGATCCGGTCTACTTGTGTCGGTGTCTTCGTCGGACTCGGCGAGTGAGTCGTAGTACTCGTATTTGGCGGATGTTTGGCGACGGCGTTCGCGATCTCGCTGTTTCGCCTGGTCTGCCATCTTTGCCTTGGCCATGTCACGGAGGTCCTTCAGGTTGTCATAGACACTCGTCGGTGTGCGTGCTTTTTTCTTCTCGTCCGTGGTGCGTGTCTTGGTTCGTTGGCCGTATTCCTCGTGCTTTCGCGACATGGACCGCGGCTCCTCCGTAAAGGGCCACACTTCATCCACCAAGATGTCCACCGGCACTCTCTCCTCGAAGATGCGACCTTCTCGCACTTCGCGGGCGTTGGCGCTGGCACTGGCACTGGCGCGGGGCGAGGAAGTCGGGGAGGATTCAGCCGCTCGCCTGCGCTTCTCAAGCACTTCACGCTTCAATTCGGCGAGTTTGGCCTTCTGGTCGTAGCGCATACGGCGTGTTTCATCGGAGAGGGTTTCGTATGCCTGCTGGACACGTTGGAACTCATCTTGGGCGGCACTTCGCAGTGCTTCATCTTGTACCTTGTCGGGATGACATTTCAGCACACGCTTGCGATGGGCGGATCGAATTTCTGCTGTGGTGGCGTCCTTCGACACTCCCAAGACCGCATAGGGATCAGGCTCTAGTGAGGAGTTCATCTTCTGAAGTAAGTGGGGTCTGTGATGCGGGATATATGACAAGTTGGTGACGGCAATCCACCATCAGCCAGATTGTGAGGTCTCCCGCGCAGGGATTGAGGGGAAATCCAACTCCTTCGAGGTCGCTGCTCTGGGATTGAAGAGGTGAATTTAGAGGAGAGAAGAGAGAGGGGAAGAAGGGGCGGTGGAGCAGGAGCGACGTATGAATGGAATGCTCTGGGGACGCCAGATCGAGGACAAATCCACATCCAGAAGATGCTGGCTGGGCCCGGAAATATGGATCAGGAGAAGGCGAAGATGTCAGTCGATGAAATTGGAGTCAGGCGATTGACTGGACAGGCGACCCTCTCATGTCGTGATATCGATTTACCCTTTCTAGACGAAGCGAAGTGCAGGGGGGGGGGGGGCGATTAGAAATAAGGATGGAAGGTCGACGACGGTCGGAGGTGGGTATGACTATGGGTGATACCTCTGGTGACTGCGGGAGTCTGCTAGACTCTGCATATGATGGAAGGGCAGTGTTACTGTTGACTGTTCAGTGTTTGAGTGTACCGCAGGGGCAAAGTCTGAGAGACGGGCGGACGGGTTCGGGACCGTTCCAATGAATGAAAGAGAAGGCTTAGAGGGGAAAGGCCCTAAAATTGAAGAATATCCGTCCCTCCATTATTCTTATTTTTATTAATAATTATCAGCATTATTTATTTCCCGTGCTTCTCCTTTGGGAGTCAGTCAGGAGCCTTTTTAAGTTGGGCCAAACAGAAAAAAGGAAGAGCCACAAATCATCATTTGTACCAGCCTCCTACCAGGCACCTTCCGTACATGCTGTCCCCCTACGTAATTCAAAGCACGGTAAGAGGGCATTCTCACCCAAGGCTGGGCGGGTACTTGATGTACATGGGTAAATAGGTGTGTTCACTGGTAGACACCTCAGTCGGACTGTCTGTCAGCATTAGGCAAGCCGGCCTCTTGGTGGCTGGATACCGAACCAAATGATACATCATGATACTATAGTAGGTACATAACTATATATGTATCCGGTACAATGTACGTTGATGATTGCAGCAGGCAATACGCTGCCCGAATATGGTAAAAGTAGTAAGTTAGAACTCGAGTACCGAATTTTTACTGAGGGTATCTAGTACCTACTAGCCTACCATAGTTCCTTAGCAGCCCAGACATGGAGCAGTATGTAACTATGTACTATATACCGGTAGGTAGTAGTTACCACCTGGCACCTGCTGTGAAGGAAGATCTCAGAGCTTATGAAAAAACAGCGAGTGACGTGGGTCCTGAAGGGCGGTCAAAGTACAAGTACCACTCCACAGGAGCCATACTGCAACAAGCCAACTGCAGTACTGCGTGCGTATTACACATCCCACTTTGTTTGGTCCTACAATAGTTTGCATAGTCACTAGACTCACTACAACAGTACTACTACATGTAGTACATTGTAACTAATATATATATAAATATATATATATACTAATCGAAGGTAGTAGATACTGGTAGTAATAGACTGCTGTAAGCCAAGGGTAATGAATCAGCAGCGCAAACCGAAGCACAGGTAGCCACGAAATTCCGGTGGTGGTCAAATCATTCATACTACGTATATGACAAGGGTAAACTCCTAAGTCTCCTCCATGTAGCACTACGGCTGGGCTGGTGCTTAAGCTCCTAGCTAAACTGGCATGTACTCCGCCACCCTGGCTCTTCGAACTAACTGTGGTACTGTACTACTATATAGTAAGGGGCCACCGAACCGGTGGCGGTAAAAAGGTTCTTGGAATATGGAAACTGGGTAGAACGTGAGAACATGCTACATGTACCCTGTACTGAGTAATGTGCTCAGGTGCTCAGTAGTAGTATGACTATGAGTGCCTAACCAATGCGTTCAGTAACTGAAGTTCACCTACATTTTCCTCTATAATCCAGAGATAGCAAAGTCACAGTTATACAACCAGCGCGGCCCGAGACCAGTCACGGTCGCCTCACTTCAACTTATCTTAGGCCCGGCCTCGGTTTCGCTCTGACGGCCTAAAAACGGCTGCGGTGCTACCCTAAGACCCTTAACCATAGAGCAAGTACATACGTCACCCAGTCAGACTCAAATAGCACGAGGGAACGAGGACGAGCAAGTAATTCTTAAAACTCGCCGAGATCATGTCATCTACTTGAAGAAGATCGCGGTGCCTGGATGACGGGAACAGTCCATCATTGCCATGCCACCCTCGCTGCTCTCCTGCCTTAGTGAGTAGTGAGTACTGAGTACTGAGCAGTCACACTTCCACCGGCCCTTCATCTGCCCGATGACCGCCCTAAGTTAGGACACATGTTTCCCCACGTGGTTTCCGCGTGTTCAAATCGGTCAGAGAAGGCGATGCTTGCCACGACGTCTCGCGATAGCTTCGAGCTTCCTCGATATTTCCCTTTCCGGCTTAAGACAGACGTACACGTATGACTATAGTTGTCCGGACTACGGTGTCATGTCTATGCCTCATCAATTTTCTTCCACCATCACCCCACCGCTGGTTGAGATGGTTTGGTTAAGGCGGTTCATCCACTGCGCTCACTGGCTCTGACCCAGACAGACTTTAAGTAGGTGGGGTGATGTCTTGCGTGCGAAGCCTCACCTTTCTCCTGTTCTCCCTCGAGACGGTTCCTGTAGACGATGAGTGTCTCTCCACCAAGAAAGCAAGACGAGCGAAGTCGAAAAGCACACTGACTCCATTTAACACACACCGGAGCTGCCTTCATCACACGGTGCTTGGGTGGAGCTCTGCGGATTGGACAGCAAAGGCACCATGGCTTGCTTTGTGCAATAGTGTTGTTCCGCAGTTCTGAGTTTTGATCGACTCCAGTATTTGTTCCAAAGTGAGAAGGAGTGGAGGACTACAGGACAGTGGACACAGCGTAGAACAGTAGACTGGCCAAGACATCACCCAGCCCACATGTCCGATTAAAGAGTAGTCCATTCATCATAGGACATCTCTCGGATGCGCTCGTGCGCTATCGCGTAGCCTGTCCGCCGAGGTTGTCCACCAAATGAGCCAGAAAGAGGATCAACGGCTCATCCTGTGATCCGTGGGAGAGAGTGGGGGCCCAAATCGACATCTACCAAGTATCGTGGTCTCAATGATCTCTCTTGAATCTAAATAGGCAGATCATGGGAGGACTGATCATTCTGTGCCGCTTGGACTATGATCACTTTCTCGTCTGGTCCTCAAGATAATATGGCCAGCCAAGGTTGTTCTCGAATGAGATCCTCATCATGGCTTGCACGACGTGGAACCGGTCATCGTAGTCTGCAGATCGTGAGTGTGATGAGAGTAGGTGTGCATTACCCCGCATGGTCAGCCTGGGCCCCCCCTCCTCCTGCGCGCTAACTGCGACGAAGACTTGGACCAGATTGATCTTCAACTGACAGTCTGGCTTGCCTACTTCAGTGGTTGTGGCTACACTGCTATATCCATATTGTAGTGGCTACATGCTACTCGTTGTTCTTGTTCGACGCACAGCTTGATGGTATACCGAGTCGCACCGCTAGATGTCCTGCGCAGTCGATCCCATGGCGAGTATGCAGAAGCGCGGAGACCTGAAGAGGCTAACTGGAGACACCAACCTATTCACAATTTCTCATATCACATACTCAGGCTGTCGGAGGCATGCTGCGACTCGATGACCACCCTGAAACCGACCGCTGACCGCCAAATCTGCCCGTCGATCGACCCGTGTTGACCGAATCATGCACAGACAAGTCAAAGGGGCCGTCTATCGTCTGTCTGCTCACCTTCTGCCACTCTCATTCGACTCAATGAGGGTATTTCAGAGCTGCAGTTCCCGTAAGTCCGCAACAGGTGTTCGGTATCCATGTCAGGAGACCTTGGGCGACATCATCTTCCGACAAGAGATGCTCTACCACTCCAGATGTAATCGATCGGCTAGCTCCAAGGCCGTTCAGTGGGTGGATCGTTAGTGACGGATATCCCAGTTTTTGTCATCTTCATTGGCTCACGATGTATCAACCCAACCTGGTTTTGTTGCCGGGTCTGGCCTCTTGCATTTTGGCGGGGTACTCGGGTAATGTACACCGCTGTATCGCGCTCCTGACTCCGACTCGTCAGAGTCGTCAGTCGTCAGTCGTCAGTGCGTCACTACAGTGCTGTACTATTCCGAAAATATTTCCGGTACACAGCTCTCGAGAAGCGCAATCAATCTGAAATCACATTGCTCAGTGCTCACACCAGACTCGGCATTCTGGTTGGAGATAATGGTCGACTCGCTTGTGCCAATCCTTTCGAATCCGTGTGAGCAAACCACGAACCTGTGTGGCTCATCCAGGTCGCTCTGTGCAAGGGTGCATACGCTATACACTGCACAGGGTGCAGCAGGTCGAAAAATAGGACCAGCTTCGACCGGTATGATCAGCCAATGAGATACCCTGCCCAATGAGGGCCTTTCTGTATTTGCCTTGCATCGGATTCCCTGCCTCTCGAGCCTCACTTGAGTCACTGTATGGCCCCGATTCAAAGGACACGGATATGCACTGTACTGTAGGACAGCTGCGTACAGTTAGGCTCCTCGGACATCCGATTGGATCGACACCGGTGCCTGTCCGTGCCACGGTGCCACCATGCACTGTGCCTATCAAGCCTCGGTCGGCAAATCAGCCTGCAATCCAGCCGGGCCAGCCTTTACAGATTGTTGCTACTTGCTAGTGTACCGCATCATCCGTGGAGACTGGAGAGGGACCCTCGAGACAAACCAGAGCTTTCGTGAGCCACATCTCTGTCTTCGCCACACCCTCCGGTGAAGGTTTCCTGAGGGTTCCTAGTGCTCAACAAAGCTCTTTCCTGTTCCTTGCAACCCCTATATTTACACTCATTGGTAAGTTTCGGGAACCAGTCGAGTCACGAGGGACACGCGGCTTTGACGTGTTCCACAGCCTCGCTCGGTAGACTCGTTAGAGTCGTTATAATCCGTTAGTACTGTACTTGGGAAGT